ACTAACATAATCAGACTCTGAATTGAGTTGAATTTAAAAAGAGAGCTTTCTTGGTAGCGGTTAACCAACCTGTGCCATCGAACGTGAGACTCCTGCGTGTATGTAGCCGATCCGGGATGACATTTTGGCCTGTAATTCGATTGGAGTCGGTTGCTGGGTCGGTGGAGCTATTATAAGATGAGCAGACCGTGTGCGGCTTGATTACCTTGTCTTGTTAAGCAGTCACTAGTCTTTCAGTCAGACCCATACAGCCGTTTCCCTATGCCTGTTTTTAGGTTGGTTGAGCAATTGATGTGGACATTACCCGAGAGCCTGAAAGATTACCAGGTTCTCATGTCAGGGTCTCCGACTAGCTTTCTTTTTTATTGGGGAAGGGGAATATATGTAGAAAAAAAAATGGGGTCCATGTGCATACCAGGGCCTATATTTTCATATTTGCAGGTTCATAGTGAAGTTTGGGAGGCCCGTTAAGAATGTCCCCCATTGAATTTCATGCTCAGCTTAAACTAGTAGGTGAGCATATAGATGACATCTTTTATACCACCTCCTACATGTATGTAATGCAATGGACAGGTATTTGAGGATTAATCCCTTTTTTTTTGGATTAAGGAGTGTCCTGATGAAGTTTGAACCTAGTACCTTCTGGTTCTGAGACCCCTGCTCCAACCACTAAACCAATGTGCTTTAGCAACAGAGCAACACCCACCATGCACTCATGGTGGTATCGGTGGTCTTGACTCTTGAGCGAGATCAACATACCACTGTGCACGTATTCATGAATCTTTTGTGTCAAATGGCCTCAATCTCAAGATCTCTAGTATTCTAAGCATTCATGAGTGTTGATATATCTCTCCTTGATAACTATTATCCACTCCTAATAGGATCATTTGGCTTGTCCATGGGGAATACCCAAAGGATTCAGATGATATTGAATGTTACTTAACAGGTTTGTTTTTATCCCTCTTTTCATTCTCTTTTATTCCTATACATGGAATGATGTGATAAAGAATACCCGAGGGTTAATCCAATTGCAGCAATCGATGGATCGTGCTTGAGACATGATGCATTCACTCGGTGTGGTCATCAAGGAGTCCTAGAGATCAGAGTGGGACGGCAAGAGATTGTTAGATTAGCTGAAACAGTCCTCCATTCAGACAAGCAAGAATGCTTTGGGCATAACTATATATCTAGCTATGATATATATTTTGAGAAACAAAAATGTTGACTGTAAATGTGGTATAATGAATGCTGCATTACAAAACCGTTTACGTGCAACAGAGGGTTCAGTCTTGATAAAGATTCAAAATCTGTTGCCCGGGTAACCATTGTGTCATGTGACAGCCATACAACCACTATATTGGCGGCTAGCACTTATTTGAATGCTGGAGCAATGCTCATGGTGTAAAACGGCATTAAACACTGGGTGCAATTAACCTCACCAAGACTAGTTTCTTAAGAGTACATTAAATTATTCTAATACGATATACGGATACTTATCTTGCATGTATGCTCCTTTCGCTAAACGATGATTCTGTATGGGACATTTCTTTGTATAACTTCTTGTTGTACGAACATTTGTATAAATTTTCTCTCGTGTGAACACCCTGCAAATGATGTGAGTGAGATGGCAATAGATTTTGAGATTAGTTGTGGATAGAGGGGGATAGAGCGTGTGCTTGTGGAGACTAAGGAGACATTAGTGGGACATAACTAGCTGTGAATTCAAGCTGTCACCGCTATGTGCAGTCTTGATGAGCAAACATTGCCAAGTTGTGACTTGATGTCTCATTAGGCGGCCATCAAATACAAGTTGAGAGACGCAACCGTGGACATGAAGCTCAAGATAGATTCTATCTCTCTTTCTCTTGATCTTGATTAGCTCTGTATTGCTATCTCTATTTGCCTTCCATGTCTCTTGATCTCTTTTACTCCTGTCACTCTCTTTCTCTCTCCCTCTCTTTCTCTTCTGTCACACTTTCCCTCTCTTTCTCCCACTTTCTCCCTCTTTCTCCCTCTTTCTCTTTCTCTTTGTCTTTCCCTCTTTCTTATTTCTCTTAATTTCTGTTTCATCACTCTTTCTTACATATTACCATAGAATGGTTACTGTTACCATTTGTTTGCCTCTTTCTTGCACTCTTTCATTCTGTCACTCTTTCTCTCTCTCTCTCTCTCTCTCTCTCTCTCTCTCTCTCTCTCTCTCTCTCTCTCTTGCTCTATTTCTCTAGGGACTTATTATCCCTGGTCTTTCTTCCACTCCCTCTCTCAGTCCAAGTCCTTACCATTCCTTTTCTCTATCGCTGTCTCTAACTATCCTATCAACATAGAACTTAGGTTCTGTAATATAATGAAGATCATTTCATAGTATCTTTAAAAGGATAGATATATTCTCTTTTTGTAGATTGGAAGTAAAATTACCAGAAGAAGTAGAAGTATTATACGCAGAACGGCATTGGGAGTACCGGTAGTTAAAGTATTTTTTTCCTCTACTCTTACTTACATAGTTATCTTGTAATGTTGATTATTTGATGACATTTCTAGTGTTTGTGTTGTTTTGGTTCCTAGTTTATTAATTTGTACCGTCTCATCTCCCGTCTTCCACTTCTAGTCTTCAACCTTCTGATGAAGATGTCATGTTCTAATTGCCTCAGGCATCACTGTGTTGCTTAGTAACCAACATGTCATCTGCTAGCTGGAGATTGGCAAATATTTGAAGGCATATATGCTTGCATCTGACCAGTTTATCAACATAATTACCAATCTGTCTTTGTCTCTTTCTCACTGTCTCTATCTCTATCTCTCTGATTAATTTTCTAGTACATGTAGCATTGGTTATAGTTGCATAATCTGTGACCTTTATCATTTGGATGAGGTAGGCTTCAGAGTGAGAAAAAAAATCATAACAGGAAATACAGTGTAGGTGTGAATTTGCCAAAGCATGATTAATCGTCTTGTCTCTAAAAATTAACAAAGGAGTCCGTCATGTTTAAGGGAGTGTTGTTAGTTTGTCCTGGTTTTTCAAGATGACTTAATGTCATGCAAACATAATAAACAGTGAACAAACTCTCAAATTAAAGTGTTAGTTCCTAATGTAGGCTTCTAAAATCATCATTGTTTAGCGATTCATGTAGCATTGGTAAGAGAACTATATAGACTTCCGATTGCCAAATCACCCTTATACAGACTGATTTTGGTAAGCTGTCATGATTAAGATTGTAAATACTGCAGTTGTTTAATATGATGTTTGCTATTTCTCCTAATTGTGATGTCATCAAATTCAGCATCAAGAGCCAAACTACATTTTAAATTTTTTAGAGATTCTTCATTAGATTTATCAAAATATCCCATTGCTTATCTGTAAAAAAAAAAAATGACAGAAATTGGGGTGCATCTGTGCTTTAACAATAACATCCCTGATCCAACAATCTATCTGTATTGTTGCGTTGCCAAAGTGGAGTCGTAGTTGGCCGACCGTCAAGTTAAGGCGTCCACCGCGTCTGCTTTTCTCATGTTCATGTCAAGAGGTTAACCTTGGTGATCTGGAAAGTGACTTTGAGAGCAGATTTCTTGCTGGAGATAAAGAAGCAATGATCTGTTTTCTCCATATGTAATAATAGTTCAACTTGATAACATCCTAGAAAATGTAACACTTGTTCACCGGCCATCTTTGTGTGGTAGTGGTTATGAAGATAGTGTCTGTGTATTACATGCAGGAATAGGCGTATAGGTTAATGCATGATATTTTGTTTGGCGGTGGCTCTCTATATTTTGGGGAAATCAGTCAGTTGTTTCTTTTTTACCATGGGGAAACATGTCTGTATTCAAAAGAAAATATTCTTATTTTTTATTGTGATGAATTGGGAAACAGTTTGTGATCATCGCAAGTTTTGTCCTTGTGCAATGAGTAAAAAGCAATAATAAATGTAATACGCAAAGAGAGAGATGACTTGTTTGATTGTAAAAAAAATAGGTGAATTGCGAAACGTTGATGTTGTGATGAATTTTTTCTTTCTTTTTCATTCCTGTATCTGGACATTTTGTTAAAGTCACTTTAGTTTATTTTAGTTGAATTTATAAAGAAAAAAGTTTGCGGGATGTATGAAATATATTTTGTCCTAAGCTCATTGTGACTGCTCTATATAAGACATTTTTTTTTACTAGTCTGTAGAACCTGAAGTGAATAAATAAGGATACCGGTATATATATATCTCCTTATCACAGTCATCCAAAGTCTTTTGGTAAGAAAAGGATTTCAATCTTGAAAATGTCATGGCCCTTGAGATGCGACCTTTGAATGAAAATACCATGGATTTTGTTCCATGGAATGGTCAAAGTTTATTGTTCCAGGGTTGTAATTGGGTCATATTCTTCTAGTTTTGTTTGACGGAGGCTCTCCTATGGTCTCCCAGAGGTGGTTTAGAGTTTAGAGTCTTGACAGCGCTCACTTGTGGGCAGAGAGAAGTGACCCAAAGTGACATTCCACACCTTTTAGATTATTTACAGGAAAACAAAGCCATCGCGGAAAGTCTATATGTGGGACTGATCAATTCACAGAGGAGTCTTGGAGATTAAAACAAAATGCCTGGTTATAGATGACCTTTCTTTCTCTTTGCAACCCTTCAGAATTTTTTTCTGGAGAGGATTTGCATTCTTCTTTTCATTCTTCTGAAATTTCTTTCATTTTGTTTGGCTCATTTTTCAAGGTTCAAATATTTCAAAATTTTATTTTATTTCGGTAGATTTCGAGTTATATCCTGCTGGATTCGCTTGAATGAACAAGTAAAATAAAAAAATAAAAACATCTGTTTATATCCAGAAGGGCATTAACTATACTGAAATGATATGAATTAATGCTCTTCTAGCTCTCTAGCTTCTAGCTCTAGAATACAAGACCTACGTGCATAAATGGACCTTCTTTGTACCGTAATCTAAAGACACATGCAATTCATGAATTTTAATTAATGATCAATTCTCTTTCTCTGTCTTTTTCCTTTTTTCCATAGGTTGAGGTCTCGGACAATGGCATCCCATCCCTTAAGTCCATCGCTAAAGTAGTGGTCACCGTCGAGGATGAAAATGACAACGATCCCAAGTTCATCCCCGCCTCGACCGTAACCATCCCGGCGATGGATGACCCCGGAGAGCGACGCTTCATCTGCCGTATGATGGCGACAGACAAGGATGTGGGTTCCAACGCGGAGCTCAGCTACTTCATCCGAGACGGGAATACGCAGTCACGGTTTTACATCGATGCCACGACGGGAGAGGTGACGTGCAGTAAAACCCTGATTGATGGGGAGAGATATGTTCTTCAGGTGAGCATATATCAACATTGCCCATTTGATGTTGTAAGGATTTTTGCATTCAAGGAATATTAGACAGTTTTTAAAACAGTGAAACCTGTATATAAAGATCATTCTAGGGAGACATGAAAAGAGATCTTCATAGTGGCAGGTGGTTTAAAAGAGTACAATTTCCTTTAGTAGACCTTTCTATGAGAAAAACTTTTTAAAGGAAAGAAAAATGTGTCCCTTGTGAAAAGGTGGTCATTCTTTATATGTGGTTGGCTCATAAAGAGTCCAATAGAGCTCCAGAAAGCTCTCTGAAGAGCAGTGGAAAACTGCAAAACAGCTCTGGACACATAACAATGAAATACATAAAGATCAATCTGATGAAATCTTGCTAATAATATAGAAAATTCACGAAGAGCTCCAATCGTAAAACAAAAATGTATGTTTGAAACGATGGTGAAGATTCATGTAAACATGATGGTCACTGTCATTTATTTATTCGCATGTTACAGATTGAAGTTAAGGACAATGGGCCGATGCGTCGACGGAGCGATCTTGCGAGGCTCCCCATCATAGTGACCGCTGCCCCGGTGCCCTCCTCCAGCGCCCCTTTCTTTGAGGAGATGTTGGAGACGGAAACCCGAATCACAGAGAACTACGTTGTAGGAAGCTTCATCAATGCGATCCTCGCAATCGATCCCGATGGCGATGAAGTCAGATATGCCATAGTTGGTAAGCTACATAGTTACGGGTTGCAATAGTATGGGAGAGAAAATGATAATCATCAAGTCATGAAATAATCATCAAGTCATGAAATAATCATCAAGTCATAGAATAATGAATGGTCATAATAGAATAATAGAATAATCACAGAATAGTAAAAATCATGAAAATGATTATCATGCTTTGATGCTTTCTGTAATGCGGTAATTATTGATCATAGAACAACAAAAAAATCATTGAGACAAAATATTTGCTGAAGTCTTATTACATCTAAACTAGTTTGGGGCTTGTGTTGCTTGTGCGATTTAACATAGATTTCTGATTAAGGTTAAAGGTAGTTCTTAGTCCAGTGTTAAGGTTAAGAATTTGACTTGTGTCCAATAAAAAATAGCTATGGAGCAGTTGTCATGAGAGCAAACGTAGCAAATCAAGAGCACATTTTGATATTAAAGCCCCTCTGCACTAGTTTGGCCAGGAGGGAATAGACCTCCCTGCATGGTCACTGACAGGTGGTTATCTCATCCGATCAGCTCTCAACTAACACAAGAAAAAGGAGACCACGGGGGACCAATGGTCACCGACTAGGCATTATTTGCTACATAGAGGGCGCAAGTAGCTATAAGTAGTGCAGTGGGGCTTTAAATTTCTTGTTCCTTCTTGCCTTCCTTTCAGATGGTAATGAGGATGGAGCTTTCTTCATCGATCCTCAAGGAGGCTTCATCTTGATAGCCCAGCCCCTGGACAGTGAGACCAAGTCTTCCTATGATCTCACCATCTCAGCATCAGATGGGTTCAATGAAGCTACCACAATGGTAAACACTCTATTAAGTTTTGTAAACAATCTGTTTGTAAATGATTTATTGGTAAACAGTGGTTTTTTTAAACCCTTTGTTGGTAATAATCTATTTGTAAACTATATATTGAGATCAAAGATATTGAAATCAAAGAAATTCTTTTTTGTGCCTTTGCTAGCAAAGGTGATATCAGAGGCATATCATGTCTTTAATAATGTGTATTTTCTTAATATTATCATTATCATTACGGTATGATTATTTTCAAATTTTTTTTGCCATTTTTTTTCTTCTCAAAATAAAATCTTTAAAGCTTACATGTACCTGTACTTCTGCTAGAAATCTGTTACCATCTTGGAAATTGAAATGTTATGATAGGCAGTGATCTCAATATCCTGGGTACATGTACATCTTTGCTATGGTATTCAGTTAGAAACTCTTATGTATCATCAATAAATATGATTAATGATGAGATATGCTAATGGTGATGGCAATAATAGTATGTTTATGTTATGAATATGTACATCCTCAGGGGTGGTCACGTCATCTACTAAGTACTAATATAAGGTGTTCAAATTGGGAATATGTTTTGTTGAGATATCATTCATTGGTACTGTTTTGTTCCAGATTCGCATCTTAGTAACAGATGTCAACGACAATCCTCCCATACTTGAGCAAGAGCTGTACGAGATAGACATTCCAGAGAACACTCGGGTCAACACCCCCATCCTCCAGATCATGGCCACTGACCGCGACGCCACCGACCGCCTCGTCTTCACCCTCCCGAGCACCTCGGACCCTGCCAGTCGCTACCGATTCCGTATCGACACCCACAACGGTTACATCTACCTCAACGAGAGCCTGGACCACGAGTCCCAGCGCCAACACGTGCTCAACGTGGAGGTCAAGGACTATAACTACGGCACACATCGGACCTACGCCAGGGTGGTGGTCAACGTGATGGACTCCAACGATCACATGCCGGAGTTCAGCGCCGAGAGCTACGAAGGGAAGGTGTACGAGACAGCTGCTGTTGGGACGCGAGTGGTGGATGTCTATGCGTTTGACAGGGATCAAGGGTCGAATGCTGAACTGACCTATTCCATAGTGCAAGGTAATTATTTACCTCGTGGCTTTTCCATCAATCTTATCATTATCTTTTACCAAGTTCTGTGTACCTGTCTATTCCAGGTTCTTTTGATAGAGAATCATATCTGTTGAGAGCCAGAAGGGTGTTAACTCTATGTTAAAGCAACTGAGTTGATGCCATCAGCAGAGGCTCTCAATGTTGACCGATGCTTACCCTGAAATATTAAGAATTCAATTGGTTATTCATTTTCACAGTTCGCTCTTAGCACTATCCATATTTCATGAGTTTCATAAACAATATTCACCATAAAGTATTTGGATACTCAAATGATTGATCATTTTCATGATTTGCTCCTGGCATTTTCCATATTTCATGATCATATTGTTTTCAGCCAATTCATCAAGCAAAAGAAAAGTTTCTTGGTTCATCACCTGCAAAATCATGTTCATTCGCCCTCTCAAAACAGCAACATATGGAGCACATTGCACCACTATTATATTCATTCAAAGCATTTGGTTAAGGGTAAATAAAAAATATGAGTATTCGTCATGATTGCATAAGACGAGACTTTTAATATTTTATCATACTTACTGTGCATGGAGACTTGTATAAAAGCATACATGTACGTAAGCAGCTGATGTGTTGTGTATGCAAGTTTGGAATTACAACAAAAACAAATTGTATGTTTAATTTTTTTTTAAAATAAGTTATTGATAAGGAAAGTAGAGACAAGGAAAGTAGAGACAAGGGAAATATAATTGTATTTCAAACAAAAGAGAACACAAATTTAAATGTGCAGATCATGTTATTACTTCGTGCATCTAAAAAAACAACGAAATCAGCAAATCTATTTTCCAAATGAATATAGATTATTGCGTAATCACTCTTCATTCTAATTAAAGTTTTCTGTTGTTTTGAATGTGAGGTTCCCTGTCGTTTACACATATCATATAAACGCAGCAGGAAATATGAATCAGACTTTTGTTCGTGTGAAGTGATTTTAAGTTGATTTTATGATTTTGACATGAAAAAAACATTCTTTCTATCCATATGGAGATAGCGTTCCCTATTTACCCATCTATTATTTTTCTTGACACCCCCACCCCCCACACCACCATCCCCTTACCCCTTACCCCCCTGCCTCCAACCCAACCCTGGTTTTATTTTATTATCCAGTGACAAGGCACGGCGGTCTCAGAGGTTGGCTGATCATTGAATCATTATTTTTACCCCACCCCCTTGCATTTTGCCCCCCTCAGCATCCTGCCCCACACCCTTAAATGCTCATTCAGACTTGAGGCAGTAAACTGTGGAATAATTAAAATGAGAACAGCTGATGCTCTTCACTTTTCTGTAATGTTTAACATTCAGATCAGTGAGTATATAAGGGTCGTTCAAGAGTAGCTGTGCTAAACAAAAATTCTGAAGAAATATTGCCCTTTTGGCATTTTTTGTTTTTTTGTTTTTTGGGCCACAGTGGTTTACTGCAACTTGTCTGAATGGGTTTTTATCTTTATACCAATATCATTGCACGCCTTGCCTGAAAGATATGCTTTGCACCAATGATTCTCCTATTGACACATTCCCAATTTTTTGTAACCACAGAACTTATCCCAACACCAAATTTTGTTTACCCAACCATCGAAATAGTAAAAATTAAAATGTTAACCTGACCAATCATTAAAAGAAGTACTACAAATCAAAATGTTTGCTTGCCCAACTGGACAAATGAAATTCTAAGTAACTTGCCTATTGCTTTTGGCTTGCCCTGGTTACCTCAGGGCATGTGGGCAAGTAGCTTTGAGTTACCCATCTTCTGTGTCCTATTACAAACCTTGGCCCTGATGCTGATGTATAATTTGATTGCAACTTTCTTGGAACCTGTATTTAATGAGAAACTATTTGAAAACTTAGTCCTGATTGGCTGAAATTGAATTTGTTTGTAACCCAAGGCCAATCAAATCTCTTGAGCCAAAGGAACGCATATATTTTGATGTAATCCACTGCTGCGATATTTAACCAATATCACGTTGAGGTGATCCTTGCATGTTTTGATGATTGATGCAGAATGTGTTTCTGAAATGTTTTGCAAATTACAGAAAATACATTTTTCTGCCATATATTGACAAGTAATAACAATGTGCTTCACTGACATTATTCTTATTTATTTATTTAACAAAGGGGGGGGGGGGTGGCTGCATTTTTGCATTCTTCATGTGTTATTTAAGGACTGAACATTTTGTGCCCATTTAGTACCATCAACATTAATTCACTCTTTAAGAAGAAAAAAAATGTATATATGCATCTTCAGATTAGAAAAACATTGTAACCACTAGTTATATATTCTTCATAATATGTTATTAACAAACATAGACTTGCCTTGCATTATGAATTTGTTGAAATTCTAGCCTGAAATAGAAAATAAGAAAAATTGTAGAATGCATAATCCTGCATGAAAGTTTGAAAATGAATATTCTTATTATAAAACATTAATAGTATAGACAAAATAAAAAATTCAATGCACTAACATGTGATTAAAAAGTATTTATCATTAATATTAGAAAGGAGATATACTTACATTACAGCTGATAGTCCATCTTATCCCATATCATATTCTAAATAACCTGCCTCATTTGATACTTATAATCTTCCCAGTTGCCTCTTTTCAATAAATAGTAACATAATCTTTTCATAAAGATTGTCAATCTCATTTATATTCATTTCTCATGTGATTGCCATTGCATGTGATACACACCAAGTCGAAGATGGTAGTTAGTATATCTACTAATACTTAACCCATCGTTTGTCTAGTGTATATATTTACTCTAAAGTTGCATATAATGTAAATGTTAATGCTGATTGATACATGTATATGATGACTTTACTAGCTACACTTTATTGTAGGGTTGATATTGCAAAATACCTGTATGTATACATATATACATGTAGTTAATAAATTGAATGAATAGAAGTAGCTGACTTGTATAACAGTGGGCAAAATGGGATAAATTAAATTTGGAAAGTTCAACAGATGAGGCAATGATGGTCAATGTAGTAAATTATTTTCATTGCAGTCGTTACATTGTATATTAAAGAATGATAATGATAATCTGGATTGATTAGCAACTAATACTTCCTTGAGGTTTTGAAGTACGGTATGCAAGTAAAAATAGTGTATTTACCTAGTTCAAACTGTACATCCTCTAATAATTTCACTTTCAATCTGCAGAAATTTGTGTATTATTTATGTCTTTTTGGTATCCCTCTTCCACAGGAAACATTGGTCAGGCATTCAACATTGACCCGATTCTGGGCACAGTGACTGTTGGACATGAGCTGGACATTGAACAGGAGGCCGAATATGCCCTGGTGGTCCAAGCCATTGACCATGGTGTCCAGCCACTCAGCAATGTATGCTTCGTCAACGTGACTGTGACTCTCTCCAACAATGCTCCGCCCAGGTTCAGAGAGGAGGAGTACATTATGGAAGTTGCAGAGAATCTTCTTGGTAACCAGTTTGTGGCCCAGATCTCCGCTGTGAGTCGCTCATCCGTCTATTACGAGATCACCAGAGGTAATGATGCCAGGCGTTTTGATATCAACTCCAACTCTGGTATCATCACAACGACGATGCCTCTGGACTACGAGGAAGTCACCATGTACAATCTGACGGTTCAGGCCACCAACATGGTGGGTCTGCGCACCAATACATGTCTGGTGATACATGTCCAGGATGCCAATGATAACGCGCCCACGTTTAGTTCCGTGGAGTATGTCGGTAGCATCTCGGAATCGGCTTCACTCAAGAGCGTCGTCTTGGATGAGAACAGTCGTCCGTTGGTCATCAGTGCAGAGGATGCAGACTCGGGTCACAACGCTCACCTTGTCTATGAGATCATTGAGAGAGATGCACAGATGTACTTCAGTATTGATGAAAGCACTGGAGCCATTCGTACCAAGATGTCTCTGGATCATGAGCGTATCCCCGAGTTTGAGTTCACGGTCCAGGTCCATGACACAGGCAGTCCGCAGATGATGGCCAACAAACCTGCCAGGGTAAGGATCACCATCATTGATATCAATGACTCACAGCCGCAGTTTGTCAAGGCAGTCTTTGAAGCACAGCTTCTGCTGCCGACCTACGCTGGTGTCTTCATTCTGACGGTAACAGCCATTGATGATGACGACGTCAGCATGTCTCAACTTGAATACTCCATCCACGAAGGCGACCGTAGTCACCACTTCAGTATCGATGCACAGTCTGGTGACATCTTCGTTGCCAATGGCACCAGCTTAAGCAGTGAGTATGACCTGACTGTCCGTGTCACTGATGGTCTCAACTTCAACGATGCCCAGGTTCTGATCCACGTTGAAGCTCGCCCCACCTCCAGCTTGCGGTTCCCTGCCAACGAGTGCTACGCCATCATCCGCGAGAATTCCAGTACTGTCCATGACGTTGCCGTCCTCTCCGTCATAGGAAGCACCCTCAATGAACCACTCACCTTCACGATCCTCAACCCCTCACCCATGTTCTCCATCAAACCCACCTCCGGGATTGTGAGAAACACAGGCATTCCCTTCGACCGAGAAGAACAGGACAGCTATCACATCGTGGTGGAGGCCAGGGATAGACGCACACCACCTAGAGTGGCACACATCATTGTCAATGTGGAGATCTTAGACATCAACGACAACCCGCCTATCTTCATCCATCATCAGTACAACGCCATTGTCCAGGTGGATGCCAGTGTTGGAGAAGTCGTAAGACAGGTAAGAAATACTTAAAAGATGTCAGTTGATTCTGGACAGTCTACAAAGAAAACAAACTTTACCTCTGTTCAGAAGTTAACCGACATGAATGAAAGTATGAAGATCTGCAGACAAAGCTGATACTTGCAGTGATGCTTAGTTTGTCTATTTTTTTTTTTTCTACAATTTTTTTTCAGAAATAAAAAACAATAGCATTTTGTTTAACCTTAAGAATGATATTTGCCGACCCATTTGTCATTCAGGATTGGATAACCCTGCTGCGAAGAAAGAACACACAATCGGAGAACGATTTAAATTTTAAAAGCTTCAAAAGAACTCTGGAAAGATCCCTGCTTTGGAGAGGAAAAAGGACTCAAAGGAAATTTAATTTTCACTACAGCAAATATTCTTTAGTGAATCCAAATAGAGTTTCTGTGAACAAAAAAGTATTTTTTCTAACACTGTAACATTGACATCCATGTGATGATTTCACCTAACTCACTACTTTGTTTCGATTCCTAGGTGACAGCCATCGACCGAGATGTGAGTAAGAACGGTGAGGTCCAGTACACCCTGGTAGAAGGTGGTGAAGGCCACTTTGCCATCGATTCCAGCTCCGGTGTCATCATAGTGAGAGAGAAGCTCGGAGCCAACTCCCAGAATAAGAACTTCACTCTCAAGATCAAGGCCAGTGATAGAGGTAAGTCAATTTCTTCCACAGTCAGATATAGAAATCAGGAAAGCAGCAAATGTTTACTTGTGGGTATTAGTACTAGTATTGGATGTGTGTGGGGTTTTTTTAAATCTGCATTACACAAAGACGTGAATCAAAGTTGTCACCATCTTTTGTCGCTGTAGAAGGGTAGTTTTGGGGGTGGAATGTTGATCGAGTCATTCTGAAAAATTTTCTCAAATTATTTGCATAAAAATATATTATTTTTCATGCAGTTACACAATCTTTATTTAGGTTACTCAAACATATTTGTTGGTGATACTGTTTACATTCCAATTGAATGATATGTTTTTACCTGTTTAAGACATTTTTTTTCAACTAACACAAGCAATCATTTGGTTAGACCACTTATATTCTTGGGTCCTGCCTTCTTAAAGTGTTAAAAAGGGAAACTAATAGTGTCCACCGAGAATGCGCGTTCCGTGTAACTATTATGGAGTTTATAAGAGAAAGTCACAATGGATTAAAAGCATGATGATGTACAGTCAAACCTGTCTATAGTGACTGCCCAAGGGAAACACAAAAAGTGGTTTTTGTAGACAGGTTCTTCTAGTACATGTTTCAATGAGAAACTATTCTCAAGGGAAACAAAAAATGTGGTCTTTGTAGACAGGTGGTCCCTAAAGCAGGTTTGACTCTATCAAGTTCCACTCTGACCTTTGACATTTCTCTCTATGATGCAGGCAAGCCCAACCACAGCACCGTTGTGGACGTTCCAATCACCGTACGCAACAAGGCCATGCCTGTCTTTGAGGAGCAGTACTACAGGGCCACCATCCCTGAGGACCTGGAGCTGCACTCTGCCGTGGTCCAGATCCATGCCATCTCACCCAATGGAAGGGACCTCATCTATAGCATCGGTGAAGGAGATGAATTCAACCAGTTTGATATCAACCCTCTGACAGGTGGGTTGGGTGAAGTGTACTGTGTTCCATTCTTTACCCAAGTCTGGAGATATTTTGCATTTAAACATTGAGTCAATATTACAGGTCAGGAATTCTGTAACGGTTTCCCTGATGGTAACATTTTAAAATGATATTTTCATTTCTAAAATTTTCTTGGATGGAATTAATCTGTTCATTTTAAACATAACCATATTTGGCATGTAGTTATTATTCTTTCACTGGAATCAACTTTAAAATACTAGTAAGTTGAAGAGGGAGCTGTTTTCTATGTCTTGTTGTAAATACCCGGTATTCAGGATTCAGCATCATAAACTAACTATCAAGTGGCACATCATTAAATACATTGCACTAATATATTCATCTTTCGATTTTGTCTCGTTTCAGGCGTAATTAATCTGATTGGAGCTGTAGACTACGAGACCCGTCAACTCTACGGCCTTGAGGTCCTGGCCAGTGACACCTTGACCGGTGCTTCGGCCATGGTCACTGTCGACATCACTATCAGCGACGTCAACGACGTCATGCCTAGTTTCAACCAGAAGATCTACCAGGCAGTGCTCTCAGAGGCCGTCTCCGTCGGCGCAACCGTGCTCCAGATAAGCACCACTGATCAGGATTCACCCAAGAACAGTGGTGTTCGCTATCAGATCGTCCAAAGCGACAACCAGACGGGACACTTCCACATCGCTGCCAACAGCGGACTCATCCTCACCTCGCATGTGCTCGACTACGAGGAACACAAGATGCACAACTTTGTCGTTGTGGCAACAGACAGCGGGATGCCACCGCTGAGAAGCGAGACGAGAGTCAGTATCCGCATCACCGACATGAACGACAATCCTCCGCAGTTTGTCCACAGGGATTATTACTGTTCCGTGAGTGAGATTGCAGAGCGGGGTGCCTTTGTGACATCTGTTTCGGCAACGGACAGGGACATCTCTGACATTGATCAGCTGACCTACTCCATCGTGTCAGGAAATGAGGATATGACCTTCACTATCAACAAGAAAACAGGTAACATATTCTTAATCCACAGACTCTCATTTCTACATGTAATCTCATCAAATCATATATTTGGATTATACCTTATATTAAAAATAAGAATAACTCTATCTGTTATCTTTTGTATATCAGGAAGATTCATAGAATCTTAACTCAACAAGATGGGATGTTGCCTACTATTTAGTTTTGTATGTACATGTCATTTCTTGTAGACTGTATAATCATGACGGTTTTTATATGAACGATTCATTGTGAATCTATGCATAAATTTATCTATGTAGGTTTCCAAAGTGGTTTGGTACTCACACTTTGGTACTAGCGTGTTTCAATTTTGGTTACATTGATCCAATCAAACACAGACTGTCCAACATTGCCAGTGTTAACATTATTTGATTGACATTTTTCTTGAAATTGTGTTTGATAACAGGTGTAATCAGCCTATCCAACTCTCAGAAGCCTCAGCTCATGTCAGGGCGTGACTACCACCAGCTGAACGTCTCCACCTCTGACCACGTCTTCACCAGCTCAGCCACCGTCCATGTCAACATCACGCGAGTTAACCGCCATTCACCGGTCTTCAGCCAGGACGAGTATGTCACTGACTTCATGGAGAATGGCACTGCAGGAGAAGTTGTCTTTCAGGTAAGAAATTTGTGAGAGATAAAAGTAGGTTATTGTATAGCATCCATGTCTGTCAGAATTGGCACTCCTGGCGCTCCCGATTATAACCCTGGCTTTCGCACGGCTACCATTAAGGCACTCTAGCATTTCAAGGAATTAATTCCTGGCAGGTACCCATTTACATCACCTGGGTTGAGTGTGGCAAATGTAGACCAATGTCTTGACAAAGGACATTAGTGCCGCGGCGGGACTCGAACCGCGGACCTTGTGATCCACAGTCCGGTGACATATCCGCTCGACGACGACACCTCTAGATGAGATGATATGAGAAGAGAATGTTACCAGCAAGATCCTGTATTTGCTTTAGAGACATTTGCTCCATGCTTTGTTTTGCCAAAGACTATAGCGGTAGGGTTAGAGTTACATACAGTGTTGGGGCACAGTTGAAGTCAGGAATTGAATAGTGTTGGAAATTGATCCAGGAGCAAATATTGTAAAGTTGTGAAATGGTATTACATAGCATTGCCAGTGATATCAGAAGATATGGTCTTCAACGATTCTCCTTTTGTAAACCGGTGTTGGTAGTGGTCTCAGATTCAAAGAATACCATGGACCATGACAGAAGGAAAAAAATGACTATACTTTTGTGACTACAAGGATAGAATATTAGCCCATTAGTGTTTTTCTTCTTATTTTCTGAAGCTCATGTATTCTTTAGAACCTTGTATAAGTTGGCTGATATTAGTTAGTTTATATCAAAATATTTTTGTGTAGGACATTGGCTCATGATTATGTTAACGACAGGATGTGTTCATAAGGAAAGTATGGATGTCTCCTGGAAGAATTACAGAGAGAATTGGTTCCAAGCTATGATAACCCTAGATCTTTGAAGTTGTATTCCAATCTTTTTTCTTTTGTTTTGTTTTGCAGGTGATGGCTACTGATGATGATAGTGGGGACAATGGTGTCGTCACATACTCCATCATCAGTGCCGAGGCGAGACGAATGTTTGACATTGACAGTGCAACAGGTATGAACACAGTCTCTTTCATCACAACAAAGCTTTAGGCATTCTTCATAGATTGACACGTTTTCTGATGCTCTGTAGATATTTTGCTTGAATGAAACCAGACATGTTTAGATCTAAGTTTCTTCATATTTCTACATAATCATCAAGGGATATAGAAAATATAATATCTTGATGCATTCTTACATTTTAACAGCATGCTATATCCTTTATAATTTATTATTTAGAATTTATTTATTCAGCTCAAGATTCTTCTTATACTTATTGAAAAATAAGAGGGGTCCTTTTTGAGGAGTATATAATGAACATGATTAGGATTCAAGAAGAATAATTAACCTGTGTTTTTTAAGACTTTTGTGTTAATATTTAATTATCATTTGTTATAACCACTGCATGATTTCATCTCACATTTTGATTGTTTTATCCAATCCGTGTCCGGGAAATTATTGTTTTTAAACCCTGCATGGATTTTCTTTTTCTTTTCATTCCCGTTACCTACTACCATATGTGTTGTAGGTGTTTTTATTTCAGAGATGCCCATTGAGGGAGACTCAAGTATGTCTGAAAATAAAAGTCGTAAAAGTCATTGTGTGAAATTTTATTTCCCCAATACTGAATTTTGTTATCACCATTTCAAGCAGGTTGCTGTGAATTTATGCACTTTCGTTTGAGTATTATGATAACAGCAGTGGGTTGTTCTTTTTTGCTTTGATTTTGACAAAAATATCTTGGCAATTTATAACTCATCATGGCCTTGAATGGAACAGATTTGGAGTGATGTGGCAGGTCATCTGAAATTGTTGGCAGATGTATTGTAAAGCTTGTCATACCAGCCACAATTAAACAATTAGCCTAATAATTGATATGGACAGAGACTGAGGGATGATCGCACTGTTTGCCAATATGACACACTTTTTCACAGAATCTAAGATAAACAAACATGCACTTAATTAGACCTTCACCTCTTGAGTACAAATCGTGAGCTTTCAGAAAAAACCTTTTGAAAGGTGAAAAAGTACTTTATAAACATTCTCAATACACTTTATACACAGTACAGTGTACTCCACCAAGGACCCGTTCCGCATTTGTTTATGCTTATTCTGTATGATTTGCTTGATTGTTATTTTATTTTCAAGGTGTGATATATCTTGGTTCAGGGAATAACAATTTGATGTCAACAACTAACCATTCCCTTTAAAAAGAAAACCCTTGAGTTTATAATGTGTACAAAGTTGAATTGTGATTGCAGTGACTTTTTTAAGCCTCTGATTTGGCGAATTGTTTGGTATTTAAAAAGATATTGAGTAGTTGTTTAGCTGCAGAATATTACTTATTAAAAGATTAAAGATGAATGATATGAGTAACAAAGCAGTACAAAATTCTAACACTGAAAAGCACTGAAAAGTACACTATCTGTATAGTGACATTATTATGCTTTGAAGGTGCTATATGAGAACAACACAAATGAATAGGCTTCAATAAGGTTAGATTAACAACAATTGGGTTTAAAAAAAAAATGTTTTGCGTGTGAGATAGGAAGGGTTGGATTGACATGAAAGAAAGAATTAATTCACTCAATTTATTCATAATCAAAAGATTAATACTTTTGCATATCCAGATAAGAGTTTGATTCAATTATTTTAGAAGCATGCCAAAATATAATTTGTCAGACCATTTAGAATGCAGGCACCCCAGTAATACAATTTAAAATGTTGTGTCCTACTCTTACGGTCTATCCAAATATAGTTTTATCCCTAAAAGGAGTTGCTGTATGTTCTTTGTGTCCTATACTAACACTACTTAAACCTGTAGCTGCTATTACAAGAACATGTATGTTTATGATTACTTGACCTTGTATTTGACCTTGTATTTGACCTTGTCTTTGACCTTCAGGAGAGATCCACAGCAGGATGCTCCTTGACCTTGAGTCCGTCAGTGACAGGACGCTACCCGTACCTATCATGGCTGTGGATGGCGGAGGAAAGACGGCCTACACCACCGTCAACGTCATCCTCAACGACAGGAACGATAACGTACCACGCTTTGAGATGAGGGAGTATAAAGCATTCACAAGATCTGGCGGGGAGAGCCATGTCCCCATTTTAGTGGTACGTTTGTTGATAGCACAGTGAAACCTGTCTATAGTGACCGCCCAAGGGAAACACAAAAAGTGGTCTTTGTAGACAAGTTCCTTTAGTACATGTTTCAATGAGAAACTATTTTCAAGGGAAACAAAAAATGTGGTTGTTGTAGACAGGTGGTCTTTGTGGATAGGTGGTCACTAAAGCAGGTTTGACTGTATTGGAGGAATAATATACAGTTGGATGGAAAAAAATTACATATAGTTGCTTTGTTGTTTTCTCTTTCTCTTCTTTTTAAAGAGGAATGTGAACTAGTAAGTTGTGTGAGAAATCTCACTTTCCAATATCAATAAAACTCATTTCTCATATTAAAATGGATACTCTGTTGTCTCGTCCTTACATTTTTTAATTCATTAAAAGTCTGCCGCATAAAGCATGTACAAGTTCATCTTTGAATACCACAATACTTATCGTTCGTATGGGGTCATTAGACAATAGCATATATTTCTATGACAGAACCTTCACTCCTGATTGCTTTCTCTTACCATCATCAGGTCACTGCAACCGATGTAGACTCTGGAAGCAACGCCTTGTTGACATACTCCTTTGAGAGCGGTACAGCTCAATCTGCGTTGGATCTCTTTGAGATTGATCCCAAGACGGGAAGCATCTCAGCATCGTCATCTCTGGAAGGAGAAGGTACGTCATGATCAAATTTAGCTTTTTAATCATGACCGACCTTGTGGGTTATGAGCTTAGTCACACAGGTTTCAAAGGACAGTATTGCTGGTCAAATGATTGTGATATTTCGGTGTATAAGTGGTTATTAAAAAGTAAAGGTACATATATCTTCTTCCTCACTGCAAGTGATCAACAAGAGATATTGGAATTGACATTTAAAAGGTGTTGATCCATTCTGCAGGTTTTCTATGTTTTGTGTCACTGTACTAAGCATGAGCTTTGGAAAAACAATCATTCCAAGCAACATTATTAAGAAATAAAATTACTTATTTATAAATAAAAAGTGACTTAAAAAGTGGTTGAATTTCTCATATTTATTTATGCCTCGTTTTCTAAACCTATTTTGCAGAGGGATCTACCTTCCAATTCTTTGTTGGTGTGACTGATGGTGGAAATCCTCCACTGAACTGGGTGACAGCAGCAGAGATCTACGTTCTCTCCCAAGATGATGAACTGCCATTCTTTGATGGGCTGGTCAACGAACCTGACATTGATGTCGCAGAGAACACACCAGTGGGAACAATCCTATCCACCTTCTTGGCTCATAGCAACTCATCGCTCACCTATTCCTTGGTTCCTGGTAACGAAGCCCACACCAACGATCCATCGCACTTCTCCATCGATGAGCACGGCAACCTGACGTTGGTGAGCTCCTTGGACTTTGAGTCTGTCTCTTGGTACAAGCTCATCATCAAGGCCAGCACAAACACAGAGCCATCTATAGCTACCTACTTCACCGTCCTTGTGACTGTGACCGATGTCAACGACAACATGCCTGTCTTTGAAGACACAACGTACAGCATCAGCGTTCCAGAGAACACTCCGGTTGATGATGCTATCCTGAAGGTTATTGCTAGGGATGCGGATGCTGGGTCCAACGGCCAAGTCCTCTACTACCTTGATGTTGAGAATGACCTGGAAGTGTTTGAGAAGTTTGAGGTCAACGAGATGTCAGGTATGTTGACCATCCAAGAGGGTCTTGACCGGGAGACGGCCGTCACCTACGACATCCTCATCCTAGCCAGGGATGTCACCAACGCTGATTTCTCAGCAACTGCCACGGTTCACGTCACTGTGGTTGACTTCAACGACTCGCCGCCACGTTTCACGCAGAAGGTCTATCCGGGAGAAGTCCTCGAAAGTGATCCCATCGGAACCGTGACTGTCTCCATCCAAGCTGTTGATGGCGACGTTGGCACCAACGCTCACGTCGTCTACTACATCACATCAGGGGACCCATTCAATCACTTTGCCATCGAGAGCAACTCTGGCAAGATCTACGTTGCTAACCCTCTGGATCGGGAGCTGAAGGATACGTATCGCCTCAATGTAACAGCCACCGATGGGCTCTTCTCAGACACTGCTCAGGTTGTGATCTCAGTGCAAGACATCAATGACAACTCTCCTGTCTGTGCACAGGTAAGACTACATTTTCTATTCCGTAATGACATCTGGATTTTTTATTTTCTACTTAAAACAAGATAACAAATTCAGGTGCTTTGTAAAGCATTTTTATCAAAGATACAGTAATAGAATACTGTTTTTAGCCTATTTTAATTTCGATTTCGATTTCAGTTTCTTTCAGTCATTTTCTTTGTGTTTTTAACATATTTATTTTTGGTCTAAGTTTCAGAGAGCTGAGGCAAAGAAATGAACTGTGTAGGCCATTGATCAACATTTTTTAAACTTTTTTTTAAAAAGCTTCAGTTATCTTCTGTGTGTATCTGCAACATCAAAGTGCCAATGCACTAGATTAAAACTATATAAATTAAATACTAGCTGTATACAATATTGTAAGGCAGCACTGATACTTGATAGTATAATATGTCTCTGATCAATTTGATATCATGTTTTCCATAGACCCTGTACACTGAGAACATCCGAGAGAACTTAGCAGCAGGCCATTACATTCTCTATGTATCTGCATCTGATGCAGACATTGGAAGCAACGCTGAAATAACCTTCTCTCTGGAAGGTCAAGGGTCAGAATTATTCACTATCGAGAAAGACCTAGGTAAGAAGTGACAAATTAAATTTCTGTAACCTCATTATGCAATAAGTTTTCTGTAAAAGGGATCCGGTAACTTTGTCTTAGATCTTTTTAAAAAATCTTTGATTTAGCTCATGCTGCATTGATAATTATGAACCTTTAAGTCAGTCAGGAACCCCATGACTTTAACATTGTTAAACGATCCCTTTAATCAGGATCGACAAACAATTTTTGTTAAACATTCACCAGTTGTGAGGTACCTTATAAAAACACTTTTGTTTAATTTTTGGTTACTTAAGATGTGCAAAAGTAAGAACAGTAATATACCTTTGTAAATGATAGCTATATTGTAGTTCACGTTGGTGTGACTTATCTTTCATTATGGAGCTGATAAGCATGAGACTTCATATGAAATTTCAAAGTTTGACCCTTCCTCTTCCCATTACAGGTGTAAACACTGGCACCGTCCGCACGTCTGGAGCCCTGGACTACGAGACACAGCAGTTCTATCGCTTCCAGGTGATTGCCAGCGATGGCGGTGGACTGTCCTGCTCCTCAGACATCTCCATTGGTCTACTGGATGTGAACGATAACCCTCCGGCGTTCACACAGCTGGTCTACAACGTCAGCGTCAGTGAGAACACAACTGTCAACACATTGCTGACTAGAGTACAGGCCGTCGATCCCGATAAAGGTAGGCTAGTTCACACCCGCAGAAACGTAGAGAAGCAGTCTATCGAATGCTATGCAGCTATTATGCAAGTTCTTGTGCGTAGCCTTGTTAGGACCCTTCTTTAATCAGGGTTTGTAAATGCAATGCACAAGTGCTCTTCTGCTTACGCCAACAGTTTATACCACTTTGAAGCAGATTACTAGTTAATATGTTTGCTTTCATTTTACATTTTCTCTTTCCATCGGGTACTTGTATGTTAGTACTGTGTAATTCCATTAACTCTGCAATGCTTATTTTGTTTGATGAGACCCAAAAGAGCATTATATTATATCAATTTATTGAGAGTTGATGCCTGTTTGTTTTCTTGCAGATGTTTTTTTTCTCAATCCTAATATCTCTATTGAAGGCTGTTCAAGCAAAATGTGATACATAAATCTCTCGTAAAATGAGTTTGCAAGAAATTCTATAAAAACTAATCATGCATTTGATGTTTAACCTGTAGATGCCAACAGGCGACATAGGTACAGCGTAAGAGGTGGTAACAGTGAAGGAACCTTCTCTCTGGATGACCAGTCCGGTATCCTGACCCTGACGGAGCCCCTGGACCGAGAGCTCCGCAGCCATTACAACCTGACCCTTGCAGTCACCGACATCCTCCAGGCAAGTCTCTCCACCTCGTCCCAGCTCATCGTCAATGTCCTGGACGAGAACGACAACGAGCCGCAGTTTGAGAGCGATCTCTACAATGCTTCCATTGCTGAAGATGCGGAGATTGGAAGCACCGTGGTCACTGTGATTGCAATCAGCCAGGACGTGGGACTCAACGCTGAGATCATGTACCAGATTGTCTCTGGCAATGAGCATGGAAAGTTCAAGATTGACAGTGCCATAGGTAAGTTTCTGGATATGATAATTGGAGCCTTTTTAATGATTTTGATCTCCTATCATTGGAGGGCTCATAAAAGAGATAGGGATTTTCATAAACCTCTCTGGTTTCAATTTTTTTTTTCCTGCGTATGAAATTCATACCTTTCCTCATTAAGCACTCTTAATTTCCATAAGCCTGTAATGTATTTGTTTATAAAGATCTTAAGGAATGGTATCGACAATGCCAGAAATGCAAAAGAAACAAAAAAGTGGCATCACACATTTATGAAGAAAAATCGATACATTCCTAATCACTGCTGCTTTTCTTAGACTCCATTTGGATCATTGAGGAATATGAACGCTAAAGATCTTATCCCACTTATCTCACCAGGTGAGATCACCGTCGCTTCTGAATTGGACTTTGAGATGTCCAACAAATACTACCTGACGGTCAAGGCCACGGACATGGGCACCAACCCACTGTCCGACACCACCACCATCAACATATTCATCACCGATGCCAACGACAACGCTCCGCTCTTCAGCGAGGACATCTACAGCACCACCATCAACGAGGCAGCGAGAGTGGAAGGGGATGTCATCCAGGTAGGTCTTGGTGATGTGGTCTAGTGGTTTGGGTGCTTGTTGCTCAATGGTAGGGTCATATTCTCAAAACCCATCTCTCGTGGGTGATATGATCAAGGTTTGTCTCAATTTCAGTGGTATTTGAGCTTATTTTTATGATAGCAGTGTCACGTCTGATTTTTGTCCATGTGACTCTATACACTTTATCATTATAGTTTCTCTTAACCCAGCAGAATTAAATGGCTATCAAGCAGGAATGAATGGAGAAACAACAAAAACAAAAAACAAATCATTTTATATAGTGTAACATCACCTAATGTCAGGGTAATGAAAGATATGTATACCTGCCAGATTTATACACAACATTATTAACTCAACATTTGGAGGGGGTGGGAGGTTGCCAAAAATAACCTTTTTCACACTGCTACTACGACCCTTGACCTTCATCATTCTGTTGTCAATGATTGAGAATGATATGCTATCTCTGTCCTACTCCAGGTGATGGCAACAGATGCTGACAGTGGAGCTAACGGTAGAGTGTCTTACTCCATCATCCATGGCAACCTCTTCAATCAGTTCATCATCAACCCTGACAATGGACTGGTCAGTCTAGCAGCTAAACTGGACAGAGAACAGGTAAGTGGCTCAGATAAGACTACTCTTAAAACCAGAAACCTTTGTGAATTTTTAGTGATGACCATTTTCGTGGAAAGAACCGTGCAGACTGCAAAAATTTCAATTTTGTTACGCTTATGATTCATTCCATTATTTCGCAACATGAAATTGAAATGAGTGTGAGCCTTACTTTTATTAACGTGGAAGTTTCATTTGTTCGACTAGATTTCTTGAAATACTAGGTATAATCACAATTGAACATAGATAATGATGTTTTCAACCAGAGAAATAGATGAATGAAATTAAATTTATATCTCATATGATTGAATGACTTAATAGCTTATTTGAGGGGTAAATTTTTTCAAAGGAAGTTTTAAAGAAATTCAATTTGTAACCAATATACTGTCCGGTTATACTTGTATCTAGTTCACAATGGCACATATGGATTAGTTTCCGATGATATGAAGGCATAGTAGGTTCGCAGTCAGTGCAGTGATCTTTAAACCAGAAGGTTCATGGTTCAAAACCAAGTCAGTGCACTAAATGCTCTTTGGCAAGGCATCAACCTTCAGTAACATAGAACATAACTTCAAAGTGTAGGTTCAGTGGTTGCACAGCTTAAAGTAAACATGCCTGTTTCCTAAGCATCCCCAAGTAAAAGAAACTCCAATCTTTATAATTTGTTTTGTTTCCTGTCTCAGATCGCTTCATACTCCCTGGGTGTGAGAGCCAGTGATGCCGGTGATGAACCAAGTTTCACTGATGTCACCGTCCAGATCATCGTTGACGACATCAATGACAACCCTCCTGTGCTACCAAGACAGAACTATACCATCATACAGCAGGTAAGATAAACCATTTCCTCATTTTGATACGCATTAAAGCCCCACTGTACTACTTGTAGCTACTTGCTCCCTCTATATAGAAAACAATGCCTAATCGGTGCCTGTTATTCCCCCATGATCCTCTTTTTTTATGTTAATTGAGAGCTGATTTGATGAGATTGCCACCTGTCAGGAACCTCACTGGGTGGTCTAATCCCTCCTGTTCACACTAGTACAGACGGCCTTTAAGTCTTATTTCCTCTCTGTGTGAATGAGAGAAGAAATGCCAATTAAGAGGAAGTTAGGGGCTTTCTCTCTTCTGATATTTGGGCCTCTTGTAAATTTTCTCATCAGCATCAAGTGTAAACAACAACAAAAAATTACAGTTTTGTTCTCAGCAAGTCTGATATTGATAACAGGTTTTATGAAACAGAACTCTGCTCATAGTAGATACTAGGATATAATATACCAAATATTCCAAACATAAGAAAAACATTGTCACTAGACTCCCATTTGCAGCATACCAAATAAAGAGATTGCTGACGAGTTGGGTATGGATACTTCAATCGATAAAGAATGACTCTTTAAATTCGTTCCACTTGTCCTGTGACCTATTGGAGAAACTTGACTCATGTGAGATATGTTTCCCTTATTATCTACAGGCTGATACTCCAGTGGAGTCTGATATTCTTCAGCTAAATGCTACAGACCTTGACACGCTAGCCAATGGTCCTCCATTCACTTTTGAGATCGTCAGAGGCAACGACAACGGGGCATTCGTCATCACGTCTACCAAAATGTTGAAAAACAGGATCTGGTTCAACCGAGACATTGAGACACAGTACAACTTGACCATCAAGGTGACCGATAGCGCCCGGTCGCCGCTCTACTCACTCTCGTACATCAAGATTATCATCGTTGATCCTATGAACGTCCCAGAGGTGGTCACGCCGGTCAAGATCACCATCAGTTCCTTCGAGGAGACCTTCCCCGGTGGCTGGATCGGACAGATCTCTGCTACCGACCGCGATCCTTATGACGACCTTGTCTTCGAGCTCCAGAACGACAATGTCTTCCGCATCGGTCAAGAAGATGGCATTATCATCGCCCCACCCGACCTGGATGAAGGCTTCTACCACATCAACGCTAGTGTCAGTGATGGACAGTTCACTGTATACGCCGAAGCAAACGTAACCGTCCGGATGCTGAATCAGGCCATGCTCAATAACAGCGCCACCATCACCTTTGCTGACGTCACGCCCGAGGAATTCCTTCCAAACTCTGGCATCTTCATGTACACAGTGGCCAACCACTTCCCGGGTGCGACCCCAGAGGATGTTACCATCATCACCATCCACCCATCGGAGGAAAACATCGAGAATACCGACGTTGTTTTCTCAATCCATCGTAGCAAGAGCAGGGAGAGTTTCTTCAAACCGAAGCAGATCCAGAGACAGGTCGAGGCCCTCAGCGCCGCTCTCCAGGAGCGGATGAAGCATGATGTGGTATCGGCAGTCAGTGACCTGTGCACTCTATTCTCCTGTGAGGAGAGCTACATCTGCAGTAATGATGTCAGGTTGGACTATTCCAACATCTTGACGTTCTCAACCGATGATGAGAGCTTTGTGTCGTCCAGACTCTATAGGGACTATACCTGCACCTGTGTCGTAGGTAAGTAGAAGCATTCAATATAAAGTGATACTTGACTTAAGCCGTCCACGCAGGCAGAGAACTTCATGATGGCTTCTGTATGGTGATGGTATGCCAGGTTCTTCTATCTGCAGCCTGTCTTGAGGCATCTGTCAGCCTGGTTATGGATCTACTGTTCTTGAGAAAATATCAAATGGCATTGGTAACAAAATCAAATATGAAATAAGACATGTTTTTTCATTCTTTATAAGTACCCATTACATTGTCCAGCAATAATTGTTTACATCAGTGGTTTTTCAGTTGTTCCTTGTCTCAGGGACATTGGTTTTACAGCTTTTGTCTGATTTCAGTCCCTGAGGACACCTCCCCCATTTTAGGTTTTGTTAATGGCTTCATATTGTGCAGTACATATGGATCTCCAGCTTTTTTGAGTGTCTCACATCGGGGACAAACCAACTGGTATCCCTGTTGCCAAGTGAGCCGAACCTTCTGTAACCCTTGGTGAACTCTCTCTCTCTTTCCTTTCAGGTTCATGTGCGACAACCACTAAGAAGCCTACCACTACCAGGGCCACGACGACCCCTGCACTCCGCACTCCCTCCGTCATCAACCAAGACAACCCTTGTGCTAGCAACCCATGCCATGCCAACATGAACTGCCGCTGGGATGGCTTCGATGGCTACGTTTGTGTATGCACGGATGACTCTTTGTCCTGTCTACGTAAGTGTTGAGAAGCCACTTTCTTTTTCGGTCTTACATGTATCTCTGGTCAATTTGCTGAAGTTGTAGCTGAAAATCATGTTCAGTAGAAGATGACAATTAAATTACAAACAAACATGAACATTTAAATGTTTATACATTAATTTTGTGACTTATTCACCAAACAGTGTATCAAAATATTTAGAAATAGATTTAATTTGTCAGGAGAATTGTCTTTCAATGGGTGTGTGGTGCATAGGCCATCTTAGTAAAGAAACAATTCTCCAACACAAAGCAATACCTCAATGTACACTATGCAAAGGCAACTTCAAATCAGATATTAGCAGTTAGTAAAGATTCTGCTCTGATAGAAATAGATAATTGGGTTTTATAGTGTAGTTCATGTATTGTTGGTCATAGTGCATTCTGTGTGAGTTAGCTCTAGCTATGTCAACTATTTCATATATAGCAAATTTTGATATTTGGTATGATAATTAAAACTTGTGTTGATATCAATTTAGTATCATCCACAACCTGAATGATTTATTCCCCCCTCCCTCTCCCCCTCTATAGCTGGACCTGACGAGGCCATGAACTTCAACGGCCAGAGCTATGTGACCTACAATCACCTTGTGCTGTCCACTACATCCACTCAGTTCTCATCCAGTGTGAACACAGATCGTCCGAACGGTATCATCATGGATGGTGCTGGAGAATTTGACTACAGCGTCCTGGAGGTGTGTTCCCACTCCTCATTAAAGAGTCTGAACATTAGATACGTTTAAGCGCAATTTACCCCAATTTACATCTCTACTTTTATTTCATGCCCTGTTGGACTGCATGATTTTGCAAGAAATTATAGGAAAGGGCTTTGAATTAAGGCTTTCTTAGCACAATTTTATGACTCCATATCATACTTTGCATCATCAAGAAAATGGCAGCCTACAGGTTGTAGCTGGAGATCATAAATTTCGACATAAAAATTGTGGTTTATTTCCCTTTTTTTCCATTTCTATCTTTCTTTTTGTTTTCTTCCATGTGGTACTAATAGGCAAATGTACAGGGGTGGGTAGGAAAATTTAAAAAACTGTAAGAATAATTATTTTTTATGTTGGGGTTATTTTCTGTTTAAAAGCCGGATAGGGGCTGCAAAGTAAAGGGATTCGTGGTCAGAACAGTTGATTAGATTAGATTTATTTCGCTTGGGGACAGATTTGAAAGTAAGAAAAATTAGTTTGGTGTTTGTAGGTTTTGTTGATATTTGATTGGTGTCTTTTCGGTACTATTGAGATTATTGTACTGTAGATTAAAATGTTGATAACCAAGGTTTAATACAAATATGTTATGTGTGTGGCTTAATATTATGATGATTTTGGTTTTAATCATATGTTCACTTTTGTTCCCACCATATGTAGATAGAGAACGGATACCTGACTTATCGCTTGAACTGTGGTTCGGGAGAGGCCAAGATTCGCATCACTCAAAAGAAGGTGAACGACTTCGGCTGGCACAAGATCTCAATCAACCGAGAGAAGAACCATGCTGTACTGACCCTCGATGAGCAGTACACAGCGGAAGGCACAGCACCGGGTGAAAACCAAGACCTCAACATTGACACCATCAGCATCGGCTCCAGTCCGCCTGCCAAGGGGAGGGTTCGTCGCTCTGCGGATGTTGGTTTCACAGGATGCATGGGAGGACTGAGCCTGGATAATTCACCGCTACCTCTCCTGGGCGATTCTGTCCAGCCGCATAACATCGGCAAGTGCCAGCGTAAATGGCCGATGGCCTGTAGCCCCAACCCTTGCCAGAATGACGGGACCTGTCTGGATTACGGGTATAGTACCACCTGTGACTGCCTTCATAACTGGTCTGGAGAGCGATGCGAGAAAAAGAACTGCTTGGATGCAGAGTGCGAAGGGATCCCTACAATCACAAGTGGGTTTCCTATGCGCCTCATCATCATCATCATAGGCGTCTTGGTCGCTATCATCATCATCGTCTTCATCCTCGCTGCGTGTCGATACCATCGTAACAAGAGGAGACGGTCACGCTATCCCGCCCGTGACGGAATGGGCCGAAGCTACGATGATGATTACAAGCGTGACAGCAAGCTATCGGACTCTGATTATCTTCAGAGTCTGCCGCTTAACCCCGTCGCCGCCACCCCACCGAGCCCGACGCCTCCTCCGCTACCGACACGCCCAGCGTCCTACACCCGTAGCAACCACAATTCGCTGAATAATCTGGACCGTGATCGTCATGACGACATACCGTTCCATGGGCAGCCGATCAGTATGCCGCCCTCTCTAGCCCCCGTTCCATCAAACTCTGCATCAGATAGTGACTCCATTGCTAAACCTACATGGGAGTTTGACACCCCAAGTACACATAACAGTTTTATCGATGGTGAGTTCCAGAAGACTATCTCTCCTACTTGTGTAAATCATTTTGTACATATATGTAGCATTAGATTCAGTTGTTTGATATTTCAGTTTTTATATTTAAAGAATGTAAGGGGTCCAACATGTTAGGGTTTCTTTACATGCTACTTTAAAACCCAAAACTATTTGTGTTCAAAAAATTTTATCTGGCTTTTGCAAGTGGGCCGGAGTCGTTTTATGCTGGAAATAAATTAATCATACTAATATATCTTATTAATTAATTGGAAGTTTCTTGCAGGGGAAATGGCTGTCATTGACAGTGGTTGAAAGGTTTGTGTCATGAAATTATGGTTTTACAGTGTAGTAGGTAAAACAAGTTAGTATCCCCAAAGCATATCACTTGATAACACTTTTTTTTCTTCTGTTTTCCTTTTCTGCAGGGCGTGACAGCAACAAGGGTCTTAGCCCTCACCCCTTGCAGCACTCTCAACCCAGCATCCTACCCCCTGTAAGGCGTGGCCACAACACGCCCATGAACATCCGCCATCCGGTAGAGAGTCCCCCTGCCTACCGGGCAGTCAACCCCAACCAGGCGGATATGGTCTCCATGAGCTCCGTCAATACCGAGAATGAGGACGATGGCCTCAGAGGTAGGGTTTACCTTTTCCATCTCACCAAAAGTATTAAAAATGAGTGATTCATGAATTTTTTGGGGTTTAGTAAGTGGTCTGTGTTCAGGTGTGGGAGCACTCTTTCAAGGTCACGATTTTAGAATGTTGAACCTTGTAAAAAAAAATCATCTTTTCCAGGATGGTGTCCTTAATGGAACAAATTTGTAAATGTTATCCTAGAATTTGATTATTTAGAGACGAGCCTTATTAATGTTGAAAGTGCTCCAGTCCCTCTATATCTGAAGTTTTTATATTCTATCATTCATCAAAATATCCAGCACTACTAAATCAGCTCTATTTAATCAGTGTCTTTCTATAATGATGAATTCATATCACTTCAGAAACATCTCAAAATGGAGATATTGTACATCACAAATCAGTTATTATTAACTTTCTACGAACTATAAATTTGTTAAGTCAGTAAATCCTAAATAAAAGTTATTCACTATTAAAGAACATTTAGAATGCCTCATGATATAGAAGTAGGGGCTTTCCATAAAAATGTATTCTTTTATTCTTTTGATTAAATCACGCAAATCATGCAAATGCACCTTAATCACGAGGGAAAAAAATCCATATAATTGGGTCTTTCTCGAAATAGTATACAAAAAATCTTCACTTTGCATTAGTATGAATATTTAATTGTCATGTAGTTGTCATTCATCATGAATGCAGACATTGTATTGACTTTTCATCTTCAGATTTGGTGTTGGGGAATATATTATTGCATGTTTTGTGTGTTAACTTTCAATCAGTCATGAAAAAAGGTAGCACCATACAATATTGTATTACTCCAATGCATATATATTGAAGAATTCTCTAACATTTGACGAATATATTCTTCTCTCCAACTATATTCTAACCCACAGTCATTTTGTGCATGGATCTCCACATATTCATATTCATGTGTTCCATTACACTCAATGATACCGAAAGGTTTGATCCCGTTAACCCCTCCAATCCTGCACTATATTCTATGTATGTTCACACTTAAATACTAATAACATTCTTCTTCCATCTTTTCTTCTAACATTTTTTTCTGTCTCTTATTGCTCGCATGACGGAATGGTCTGAATGAACGTAAAAAAATGAAACAAATTCATACTGGTAATTTTATGTGTAATGTTTGGAATGCGTAGGAGCGTTAAAATCAAGCAATAAACCCAAGGGGTCTGCTTTGGCGAAGCCAGGTAAGATGAAGAAGGGCACCAAAGATGGCGAGAACCTCACCAAGGTCACTGAGAAGGACGCGAGTACAGACAATGACACGGACGTATCCGAGGATGTTCACAACACGAGCGATGAGGGCGAGATCATCGGACTCAACGATTTGGAGCAGATGGCTGCACTCGCGTCAAAGAGAAACTCGACGTTCTCCATGGAGGATGAGAATTCGTCAAAACGTAACTCGCAGCATTCTGAGGGAGGCGAGCCAGAGCCTGTGGTGACAGCGAACATCAAGTGCGTGCGCTTCAACATGGAGCCCGAGATTAACCAGTTTGAAGTTCTAAGCTCGCAGTCTGAGGCGCCCACTGATTCGGAGAGCGATCTTCCATTCATGGATCGCGATCCAACGTTGCAAAGAAGTGGGGGGCCTATGGAAGTCGATCAGGAGCCGGTTGATTTGAACACTAACGTAGATCCAACAGAGTTTGGCATAGATGGGCCTGTCCTTGTCGTCACCGATGTCAGCTGCCAAACGGAGGATGAACTTGACGATGATGACGATCCCGGGGAAAACGATCCTTTCCTACCGGCAGGGAGCCCTCTGGAGACCACGACAGAGTTTCATGATACGCATCAGACAGTCTACATCCATAGATCACCTCAGGGTTCTCCCGAAGAAGAAGAGCGAGAAGGCAACCATTCTATCAATACTCAAACACATCCACAACCACATCGTGAGAATGCATGCTATATCATTTATAAATCTCTGGTCTCTATATTAGTCCTGTCCTATTGTTCCAAGTATAAATTCCTTCAGTATTAGATGTTGTTTTTTTATGTTTTACACATACTGTATTGTCAGAGAATGATGGATCTCAGTGCAATTCTGTTTCTGAATGTTGGTTCTGTTTAGTGTCAATACTATGGTTTACTTTGAATCCACTCTATAGTCTAAGTCTAGTACATGTATAATTGGTCCTTTCATATACATACAGCCAGACCTAAAGATGGGTACATACCAAGACCAACAAACTTAGCCCTCCCTCCATATTGATAGCACAGCACCAAGTCTAATCTATGAACAATCAGATTTTCACCCCCCCCCCCTTTTGTTTAAAGTGCTAGATCTAAAACTGGCATTTGCATCTTACAATTACTATTAGCAACTGAGTAAACAAACTTATAAATGTTTCTGAAAGAAGCATAATGTTTTACATTTCCATAAACTTCTTCATAGGTTTGGCTGTTTGTTTCTGTTTTGTGAGGGTACACTATATATCTCTGTGTCACTCTATGAAGTTGTAATATCCAGTAGAAATAAACAGCAACAACAACAGATAGTGCTGCACAAATGTTTTTTTCTTCTTCAGAATACATGCATTTCTCTTTTGTGAATTAAGTGGGGAAAGAACTTGAACATTTTTCACTTCTAAACGTGTGCTTCTTAAACAGCCAGTATGTTAATTCAACATCTATCCATAAAAGAGAGTTCACATGAAAGACTTTATTACACATAGAATCGATTGAATAATATTTCTAGAAGAACAAAAAATGGTAGAGATTTTAAGAAGAGGTGAGACACACTCCAACTCAAAGTATAAAAAAATCAATTAACAAAATCAGAGTACGGTAAATTGAAAAAAGGGAAGGATGTTTTGAGGTACCTTTGGAAGGCATGGATATTTTGGGCAAGATTTTATGACATTGGGATAGTGCAATAATAAGTTGCATCATTTTCATATCAATTTCTTACATTGTGCTTTCTATGAAACTATAGAGAAATATTTAAGATTTATAGTTACAATGTAGTTTGAAGACCATAAGCCATTGAAATTACCCTGCTTTCTCTCAATTTCTCGTCATCACAAATTTACTAAACACACATATGTTTTTAACCTCCTCCCATACATTCCCTCCCTCTACAATTTGATATATATCGTATAAGTGAAATTGTATATATCATTCTCATTCCAACCCTAAAGACCCTTGTATTCACCCAAGTATTATTAAAATATAAAAGATTATGAATATATAATCAAACTATATTCACCCAAGTATTATTAAAATATAAAAGATTATGAATATATAATTCAAACTATTTGACAGCCATAAAGTTATAAAACTTTTGTGTAATTGTCATCAAGTTTAATATCCTTGTTCCTTTCATCCACATCCCCCTCCCCTGTTTGGACCTAACATACATATAACATCATGAGTGTGTATCAAATCATACATTATCTAAACTAAACACAATAATAGTTATCCAATATGTGATGGTGTGTTCAGATGGAAGTCAATAGGTTCTGGTCAATCATGATTAAATTTGAATTTTAAGACTTTTAAACATTTTTTTGCAGTATACCTAAAGGATGCAGGCCAAAATAAACTTGTTTATAATATTAAAGTCTAGCACTGACTACTTACAAATTTGAGGATAAACAAAATCATTTTTTTCTATTTCGGTGACCCACAGATTTGGATTCAGATACTTTATTCATGAAGAAAAGTGCTTTTCCTTGAGTTTTAAACAATGCTACATACATCAATGAACTGGTTTGGAACATGTTTTCATCTTAACACAACTTCATAATACAACAATCAAACCTCATACTTATACATGTACATGTGTGTTAAACATTTTATTATGTATCCATATTTTACTTTCAGTTGTAATCTGCATGGGTTTTATTATTATTGTCATAACTATATTCATATTTACTACCTGATTGATCATTTGTAATAATAGTGTTGTCTGTAAAATATACATATATCATGTAACAAGGTGTATTGTATGTAAATGCATGAATTTGTATTTGATATACATCTATGTATTTTCATATCTCACAAGATCTTTTATCACATGTACTACTCAATATATGTTTGTTTTGAATATGGTTTAATGTATACCCGGTACTTATTTACAAAATACAGAATTGACACATGGATGATATTTTCCAAAAATATTTATTGAATTGATATATACTTGAAAGAATTTAAAGTTGAGTGATTTATAGCAAACATTATCAAGAATTTGTAACAATTATGTTATCCATTTCCACATTCAAAATTGAATCACTTTTTAAGTTTTGAAAGATAAGTCATATTATTCAAGTCACTTGGCATTGAAATTTGAATATTTGAATCCAGGTGAACTGAAAATTAAGATTTCAAAATTGATCAATGATATTGAAACAGTGAATTCAAATCTTTTCACCTTTTTGTTTTTCGGTTGCTAAGGAGACAGATTTGCTAAATTCAACTTTCCAAACTATTACAATTACTTTTACAACTCTTGCCCATGTGTTAAGGAACCCCCCCCCCCCCCACTCCCCAAGTGTGAATTCTGTAAATTTAGTTTGCATGACTATGTATAGTCTCTGATTTTCATTAATCTCTATTGATGTTAATACTAGATGATACCTATTAATTTGTATTCTTTAAAGTTTCTATCTCTGTCTTTGATAGAGTTGTGTCTAATGATATTAGTTTAACTTTGTTATATTTTTTGTTCTACTCCCCCCTTATGCAATTCCACTTGGTAACAATCAATTCTGAAGTTGGCAAGTAACATGGACAATATATTCTCTTTTATTCGGGAGGGGGGGGGGGCTTTTTCAAAACTTACTGTAAATTGTGTCATTTGCTGTACATTTGGCATGTTATTATAATGACATGCTTGCCCATTTCTGAATTCTAGTTTACTATTCTTCATAAAACTTGAAGTTCATCCATTAATGATACTATCAATTGGACATGTATGTATCATTTTGCATCAATATTCCATTTTCATAAGTCTTGTATTTAGATATGTAGCAGTGAACCTTTGTAAATGTGGTTAATAAGGTCTATCTCAATCATATTTCTTGAATGTCATTTTAATACATATTGTCGTACAATGTAGCTTTAATGATGTGTGTCTCTGTCAAGACACCTTCGGAACGCAATGCATCATGGGATATTAAAGATGGCTGATTTGTCTTGCAATGAACTCGCCCTGCTTAACATTCGGACGTCATCTCTATCTGCTATCTGCCAAAAAGTGGATTCCATTAATTTTGTCATTGCAACAAAAATGGATTCCACTCAATTTTCAGATCGGAAATGTAAAGGCTGAATTATTTGTATGCTGCATGCATGGAGGTTGAAAAGCGTTAAAACGTCATGAGCTCTGATATGCTCTCTTTCTCTTTCTCTCTCTGATATCCCAAGATGCACGGCATGAATCAAATAAACTATAGGGTGTTGAACAGCGCCCTCTCTGTCCCTTTACTTTGCCTTGACCTTTAACCTCAGTGTTGTTTCATCTTTTGCGTATCGTATTTATCCAACAGCTCATGGTCTACAGCGGGGAAAGAAAGGTATTTTGGATTTTTATTTGAGCCGCTTTGTACGAAACTCTTAATAATATACAATAAGATAACGAGATACACTTGTACACATTGACATATCATCAGTGTAATACCATACATCAGCATGATATAATTATCAGTGTTCATTTACAGTGCCCTCTACAGAGTAAAGAAAACAAACAATGCTGCATTCTTTGAAGTAAAATAGTTTAGTTTGAGGGAGAATGGCATGATTCTCTTCACTTTAATACTTTGCTCAGAGAAAAAGCTAAAAAGGGAAGGTGGATAGTAAAAAAAATAATGCTAGTTTAGTCCTTCAGTTAAGATCTATTAGAATATGCACTTGCAGGTACATGTACTTTCGTTTTTTGATTTTAAAAAAAATCTTTCTTTATAGATTCTTTGAAAACAATTGGTGAAGAGTGAGTTCATTAATGCAACCCAATTTCAGGCATACTTGCATTTTACTGGTATAGGCTGTGCATGGCAACTTTTCTTCAGCTTAAATTTCTGACTGTATTTTATTTTTCTTACCAGAGGTAATTAATACGGGCATACTGCATTATGACTTTTTTTTGTTTTTTGAAAGAGATTATCCAGAAGTGCAGAATTAAAATAAATGCAATATGCATTTAATGTTTTAAAACATATATTGAAATGAAAATTATATATCCTTTTATTTGAGTCAAAATTCTACTTCTGGACACTCCTTCCCTGGTATTTTTTTCTTTCTAAGTAGCATTGATTTGAAGAAAGAAAAAATTAGCAAGCATAGAAAAAAAAATTCATCAATGCTACTTTGATTATATTATTTTGTTGAGCACAGGTGAATGAGGCAGTTCTATAAGCATGCGCAGAAAAGTATGAACTGAAAGCATTTGTAAACCAGTGTTTCTAGTATTCTCATTTCTGAATGCAAAAAACAAAACAAAATTAGGTTAGATCAGTAGTCGTCTTCCAGTTCTAGAAAGAGAGAAAACAAAAGTTTTGCTATGAATGGATATTTTAAATGATTCTTGCACTGTCAATGAACATCTGGTTTATTTACATTTCACACACATATTACAGAGTGAATTCTTGAAAACATGGTTACGGGAATGATACAGACTCTTTCCACACCTCTATTCTTTTATTTCCGTTATTATCAAACTTTTTATTCCTATTTCCCTTCCCTCAATATCTTTTATCTTCTTTGTGTGTTACCACACTGGACATTGACTTTATCAAGAAATACCACTCCCTTTTCGTTATCTGTGTTTTATTTCTATCATTCAACTTGGTTTTCTATAAGATATCATCCCTTTTCCATGTTGTTTTCTGTCTTTTGTTTCAAGTTTTTCTCTTCAGGCATCTTCCTTTACCTGTTATCTTTCTTCCATTCCTCTTTATTGTTTCTATTTTCCCTGCCAATCTTCCTTCAAATTCTACAGTTTATTGGTATTTCTGTTCCGACTCTACCATGCTGTTAGCATTGTCTGTCATTCTTCCCAATACCTTATTCCTTTCCTTCTTCAAACACTATTTTTCTGCTTGAATATCCTGTGACATATTGTCACAATTACCAGATTATTTTATTTTCAAGGACACCATCCTTATTTATATTTCTATCAGATATTTCACATTCACATTATAAACACATACATGTATCTGATCCTACATTGATAATTTCCCTCTTTGTGAAACAATATATGTATCATTTTCAAGAAACACTGTATATATATATTTACATTTTACCCATCAGTATTACAATGTATGACCCTTATTTTAAGCTGCTAAGCCATTTATTTTCAGGCTGATTCTTTTTATTGTTATGATTTTGAAATACTTGTATGGAGCTGTAATGTATTGCATGCACTCAAAGAATGTACAGACTGGTAACACATCTTTTTGAAGAATAGACATGATTTCTGTTGTTCACTTACCATTAACTTTGATGCCATTCTAACAATCGAGCATGACCTGAGTATTAATTTGCTACAATCCATCAGCTTTCGCCTGTGGTTTCTCTCGACCTTTTCATGATGATGCAATGTTTATTTTTCATCCGACTTGTTTTATTTTCCATCTCTCTTTTGCATTGCATTGCACAAAGATTGATGAAGTAATTAGAATTCATCACAGGTTAGATGCTACAATTTATATTTGGTATGGTTAACCTGTTCTATACCATGAGATTGTGCATCGTGTGTGGTTTATATATCTTACATGTACATGTGTATGTGTATGTATTCTCGTTATTAGAGAAATGTCGATAAATTTTTTAAAAACTATTTTTCCAAATATATTTAATATTACAGATCTTCTATTTTCACATATATCTGACTTTCATAATGATTAAAGTGACCATTTTAAAAGATTTTTTTTTTTACTTTTTAAATTCAAGAAAAACCAAAATGGATTCCTTTGAATTTGACCTTTGTATACATTTGAATTTGACCTATGTATACATATCAAGAAATAGATGTATTTTCAGCATATGATGTTCTGGAGAAAATTGGGTTCAAACATTGTTGATTGACTTTTATTTATAGTCATGTATTCACATATTTAACAGAAAAAATATTTTGACAATGATCTGTCAAAAGAAACTATTTGATGCAAATTTGTAACTTAGTAGGTGAGGCATTGTTGGGAAAGGCTGGTCAGGCTTGCATCTTAATGATTCTTGTCTTGTGATTTAATATTCATAACCTACATGCATGACTATTAATGTAGATTTCAGCACTAGATGAATGATGCTCTGTTTGTAATATGCATGATATTGTCAATGAAGGAGATGGATTTTGATATATTTTGTATTTTCTCCAGTGATTATGAAACCTTTTTTGTTTTGTTTAGATGTTTCATTACCATTTCAATTAGTAACACATATTCTATGTGAATTATAGTGATGTATCAAGGGAAAGACAACATTTCATGTCATAGTTATGGAATAAAAGACTAGAAACAGAAAATAACCTTGCACTTCCCAACTAAAAACCCAACTTAAACTACCCAGCACCCTATCCTCCCATATTCAACTCTCTATTACACATTTTCAAAGATTTTAATTCATTTATATATCAAAGAGTAGGTCATTTGTTATTGAATATATATATAGTTCATTGTGTGAAAAATATGCAAAATTTGGTACATTATGTCTAATTGAAACTTTAGGAAAATATTTATAGAAATGGTATACTGCTGTCTGAATTACAGCAGAGTCAATTTCATTCCTTAACTCGTCCATTTATTAATTTTTTTCTGATATTTAGACAGGGTGACTCATTATAACTAATAATGGTGGTCTCCCATGAGGCCGTGTTAAACATAATGAGGAACGATAGAGATGGATGCTAGGTTTGATAGACATGGCCTTAATTCATTTTGGTGCATTGAAGGCACTGACAAGCTAGATGGGTGGCAGTGTGCTAGAGGTGGTGATGGGACGTTCTAAAACTGGTCTTTAGAAGAATCCTTTATAGTACCCTCTCTTGGGCAAAACAAAAGGCGGGGAGGAGTGTAACCTACAAAATTTAAAGCTCCTTATAATTCTTGGGCCTCCAAACAATCATCACATTTTAAAAACAGTTAAATTTGATTGTGGAACCTAGATCTTAAATACGTTGGGGTAAATCGTAACTGTTGTGTGTATTTGGGGGCTGTTTTATGTCTAGCAACATTTGATTAATGCATTTACTAATGCTGCTCTATCATGCAGTGAGCCAGAGGTGTAATAGATTTCTGTAGTTTTATGGAGTCTGGTATTTTCAAGTATTCAGCTATATTTGTGATTGAGAGTATCCGTATACCTGTTTTAGTTGTGAATTTATTATCAGATTGACTAGTGATCACTGTCTTGTTTTGTAATATTTAGAATGTTTTATGGTTGTTTGAAGTCTTTCAATCATATTTGATGGATAGAAAATGACCCCACCAAAAAAAGATCACCATCAAAAATACTTCTGTTTCACAAACATTTGGGATGTTAGATTTTACTCTCTGCAGGGCTCGATACGAACAGGCACCCGGACCCCTAAAATCTGAAATTTTAACCCAATTTTTTTTTTTTAAAGAAGAAAATATATATGGTATGTCATATTTTAGTATTTCTATAAATTGTTTTGACTTATTGTCATGGGTGTGTTTGTATTATATTTGATGCACAGATAGTGGCATTCTGTTCTGTTGCTTGTACTGGTATTTGTTTTTATAGTTATATTTGCTTTCACATTTATATTCATATTACCCAAAGCATGGCACAGTGGAACTAATGGTTGTTATTGTTTGATTACTTCCATCAGGATTCCAGTGGGATTACAGTGACTGGGTTCAACATCCTGAATCCCTCAACAACATCCCAGAGATACCCCCTAGAGCCCCTCGAGACAGCCCCACCAACGTCTCCACCACCACATCCCACATCAACGAAGAGGAGGACGACTACGAGACGGATGAAGACGAGTACGTGGGTGGGGATGACACAGACTACCCACCCGAGAACGACGACATGCCCATCGCCAGAGCGGCTCTGCACTTCCGACGTGAGCTGGAGAACTACCCACCTATGGATGATGATTATGGCGGGTTGCCGTTGAACGCCATCAACATGCGACCGGGTCATTACTTGCCATCTCACGGGGGAAGCACGTCAACGGTGCCGCCGGACTATGACGGTATCGGAGGCTCCCCGGATCAGTCTACACCGTTTTTAGTCCCGCAGAGGAACCACCTGGCGAGGGGGCCAGACTACCGACGACCTATCAGTGACATTTCCCAAGATGCACTGTCCATGTCGATGTACACGTCGACAAACGCTTCGTGCTCCGACGTGTCGGCGCTGGAGCCGGACAGTGAAATCAATTTGAGTGAATTTGAGTTTGACCTTGAGGACCATTTAACAAATCTACAAACGAGTACAGATGTCTAGCATGAAGATGATTGACGACGAATTAAAGACTTGATAAAGAACATTTGAGGAGTACATTAGACTATGCTGCTCAAGACCATGTGATCAGCTGGGTATCGATTGTGGGATACAAAGAGCTACAGAGATAATGTTATACACTCAATCATGGCAGCAAGAAATGGCGTTAGTATTTGATATACATACCTGTACATCATTGTAAAATCTTGCAGTACGTCATTGAGTTTGAATCATTTCCCTGTCAGCTGTGTCAATGAACAATTAAGCCCTTTTGCTTCTAATGTCATTAGGAATTCTATCAAGCTTCAATTTCAAAAAGTTATAATTCTCTGTCATGAGGGTACTTCCTTTTCAATGTTTCATGGAATATTTTGGGAAGCCAGTCACTGGAATACTGCTGATCTTTAACAAATGTAATCTCAAATTTCTAGAATTTCATATTTGCTGAGAGATATATGAAAGCTTGTAATAAAGTAAGCTTTGTATGTATATTTGGAAAATTATTAAATAAGACAAACATGTACAGACGGCTCAAAGTATTCATTGATTTTTACATACTTAATCTTGTATCACATAACAAGGTATTGACATATATATTTATATGAAAAAGATATGAAAACTGTTCGCACGTTAGGTTCCATGTTCAGAATGTTATGATGTTGTATATTGTAATATATTATAAAGGTAAGCTGAAAATGCCTTTGCTCTATCGGACTATGAAATAATAACCATTAATAATTTCATTCATCAATTTACTACTGATGATCAACACTGTCATAGAGTCATGTGTGAATGTTTCTGGTAAGTAAAGTGTCAAGACAGAATTGCACAGAACTTTTGTCAGAATTACTCCATCAATACTTTCCTCTTTTAAAGTTTTTAAGAAATTTGTTTTTATGTTTTTTTAAAAGAGAAGAAAATGTATATTTGTTTCTTTCTATGCTGTCTTTGATTATGAAGAGAAGATTTAAAATCATGCATATCTGCATGTTTGTCATATATACAAAAATAACTTTCAGTACCTTGCTTGTGTATATGCCTGGAAGAATATAGTACAACATTTTCTCTGTATCTTTTTTTTGTATATTTAAGCTCTCAGTACAACTTTGTGATCTGAAAACTCATACTTCTTGAAGGATGTTTACGATTATTATTGATGTGATTTTGGTAAGAAATTCTAGTACTCTTTGTTCGGGATTAAATCCTGAATGTTGTATGTATATATCTGCTAAGGGGTGTATGATACCAGGTTCAACTACAGCTTAAAAGCATTTTTGTCTCTTTAATTTTGTGTATTCGCCTCTCTTGTTTCGAGGAGCATATACTTTACACTGATTGATTTCACTTCTTGTGTTTGATGATTATTCTTGTCTTTTCTGATTTATTTTGATGATTTCCTTCTCTGTTTTCTGAGGAGATAATGGTTTTGAATTTTGTTACATTTTCATCTTATGCAAATAATGACAATCGTGGGTGCATGCATGATAATGACTGTTTTTATAATTGGTTGAAATAATGGTGGCTATATTGTAATGTAAGCATATGGAATAGGGCTACATGGTATTGTTAGAGATAAATGTGTAGGAGTTATATTAATATGTATATGTTAAGTCTTTATTCTGTTAAAGTAGCATATTTCATGTGTTTGTAAGCCGGTTTTCACCACCTTCAGAACATTCTATATTTTGTTCAGGGATATGATTAGTACCGTGGCTATTATCTATTTTCTTGTCAAACTTGATATTTCTTTCTCACTTTTTTGTAATGACTATCAGAATCGGAAGTTCTTTTTCAACAAATCATGTTCTTTATATAACTTCATTTATTTAAGAATAATAGTTTTGAATTCGTGGAAAGATATTCAGTCTGCTGACCTGGGTAATGTATTGCACTTTAATCGGTCCATGTTACTTGGAGGGCAAGGTATGCATGTACAAAGATTATTACTACTACTATTATTATGATAGATGGTAACATTAAATGGCTGTATTTTGACTGAAAAGATGATTTTGATGCAATATAAACCCCATCTGAGCCCTTGAGCTTGCAATTTCTGTTTTAGACTATTTGTTTTCCAAGCCAAGCAGCATTCTTCCTCGCAGTGATTGAATTGTTTTGAATCCAACAGCATTTCATACACCTTCCAATGTCAAATTGCATCTCAGAAAAGAGTTTAGTTAAGAGGGTTTTAGCCCATAGAGTATATTTTTGTTAGTATTGTGGTATTGACTGATAAAATGGTTATGCTAGAAGTTTAATTACACTGCTTACATGAAAGTGATGAATTGGGACACACTTTGATGACATATTCAATCAAAATTTACATATTTATTCTGAGAAATTACCCATAATATTGTAAATAACTGCTGCCGATGTTTATCACACAAGTATAATCAGGGAATCATTGTATTCAGCGGTAACGACAAGTCAAAATGATTATAACAATTTTCTTTCACTTATTGTATTCAGGAATTCTTGGGATAACAACATGTATAGTTTCATTTATAAACAAAGTATTCAATTAGAGGTTTGAGTAGGGAAATATTGTGCCATGATTTGAATTTTATCACCTGATGTACATGTGTATCGTTCAATGAGAAAGAAACAATTTATATATCTTTATAGAGTTTTGTAGGTACACTTTATTTATCCAGTATTACAATACTCAGTTTTACAGCTTCCCAATATGATTGACCAAATCTTCCAGTCTTTAGTTTTCTTCCCTGGATCATTCATTACACTTGCTTCAGACGTCACTGTCCAAACTCTCATGGAATTAATACCTCCGATGAAAAGTGGGTATAGATGGACATATACCAGCAGTACTGCCCTTCTGCGTGCAAAGCCAATATAAAAGCGTAGCGTTTCTCTTCTGAATCAACTGAATCAGCTTGTTGCCATAGCAATAAAACATGGCGGATGCAAACAGACTACCTAATAAAAGATCAAATGGCCTACAGCCACGTACAGTTGCCATTTCGGCATTTAATCTTTAAAAAATAGTCGAAAGGGCATGTATTTGTATCCTTTGATATGTTATCAATGCCCTTCTGGCTTCAAACCAGACGATGTGGTCTTCGACGACCAAACTGTTACGATTTGAAAACTCTTAAAAGTTGTATGTTTGCCAAGTTGATGGGCATTTTTTTTGGGGGGGGGGGATTGATGGGCAAATAAATAATTAATTTTCTACATGAAGCATTTTCTTCCATAGCTGGCTGGATCTGGACAGTGTCTGTGTGTTTCTTTGTTTTCTTTTTAACATGGTTTGTCTTTGAAGCAACCATTCTAGTCATCAGCTTGCACTTCTTCTTTTGACTCCTTATCTTTACCCTCCAAAAAGATAAGTACTGTACACGTAGCTTAGCCATTTCAGTGCACAAATGTTAACTTGTTACATGTGTGTAATTGTTCTGTTCAACTCTCAGAAGTCAGTTCCTGTAAAAGAGCAGTTTTATGGCATTTTAAGCAGTCTAATTTTTGATAACCTTGCACAAAGTATGTTTTCCCTTTTATCAACTTGAAGATAAACATTTAGGTAGATTTTCTTGTTGGATGATATCACCTTTTAATAATCTGTATAAGCCTTACCAAACTTAAGGCACTACATGTAGTTCTTTATATTTTCCACTACATTTTATTCTGATTTTAGTAGCATTTGTTTTTATCATGTATTGCATTTCTGTTTTATTTTTTATGAAAACTTGCTTCCAAATCATTGGCTCTTCATTTCTACTTTTTTTTCTTCATAACTTTTTTCATTGTAGGTATGTCATTATAAAATGTGCATCGGCAGAACAGACTTTCTGCTGCTCTGAAAGTTTTCACCAAAGTGTTTAATACCTATGTGTATTTGACTGTAGGATGTAGGTAGGATGATGATGGTAATGGTGGTGTATTGATTGTTTGCAATAGTACTTACAAATAGGCTTTTCTGTCTCGTGTATTCCAATCTATTTATGCTTGTTCTCTAAAAGATGTATTCATCCCGAGAAATAATGTTGTAATAAATGTTTCAATCATCTCGACAGTACTCCTTAGCATAATATCTTCCCTCGATTTTCATTTTTCAGGGATATTACTATTTTACCCACATATACCTTTTGAGAGATCCGATATAGAGGATTAATTTTTTAAAATTAAATTAGGCTAGGAATGATGAGCTTTTCTTTCTTATTCCTCTCGAGTTAACTTTTATATCTCACAGCAACAATAAAATATATGCTTGAATTTCTTTGAGTAGATGGAGGAATATGATGCATTTAAAAGGTGTAAATTTTATTCAATTTTTGCCACTTCATAATAATGCATGCATTGTTTATTGTACATTATCATTTTAAGTTATATTTCTGCAATTAAGAAATTAATATGCATAAGACTATTAAAGAATACTTCAGACATTTAAGCCTTTTGTTGAAAAGTACCTTAATTTATTATGTATTTTTGCCTTTGTGTTGTATGTATAGCTTATTAGCATTACTTTCTTGTTTATAAAATGAAGTGAAAAACAATCAGTGTTTTAAAATGCAAGTTGGTGCATGATAGTTTCACGTCATCAAAAGTCGTGATTATTGTGTCAAGCATTTGTTTCTTTTTGTTTTCTAATATTGAAATATCGCCAAATAATTTCTGTTCTTGCGTATTTCTGTGTAGCACTATTGTATTTTGTTTATTTCATTGTAGATACCGAGATGTGTCCAAATAAATACAATAACGTGTACACGTACATTTTTGTTCTATAATTATTACAGAGTACGCTGAGATCTGTGATTTATACGGATGAGTATGTTATATATAAAGGTGATGCGGTCTTGTGTGATAGATATGAGCATTAAAGAGAGATGAGAAAATGTTTGAAAAGTATTTCTGTGGGAAGACAACAGAACACAAAAACCAAATCACAAAAACAAATCAATTTATGGATATATTATTGTTTCCTTCATAATAATTTTCAGCCTATATTTACAAGTACATGTATTAATAAACATAAAACGAGTTGATCTCAAAATAATACAAACACGAATATCATTAGGTGTTACAAAATAACATTAACCTCAATAACAACTTGTTATTACCATCAAATACAATCAACTGTAATAAAAGTGATGACATATATACAAAATGGGCACTTGAATGGCACATCAAATGCAAATTTTGTGGACTAAAAGTAAAGAAATTTGGGTATTTATATGAATATTTTGGTATTTACAGGCAAATATCCACAAGACCAAGCAAAACAAGTTGTTAAAAGAAAATTAAATAACATACTCCATTCTAATTGCTCAGAGTCAAATGGAAATTGAATGTAAACGTTTACATAGAATTAATGACCTTCTGGCTCTCACATGTTATCTCATCAAAATCATCAAAATGGTTCCAACAAGACATGCTTGTTAACACAAAGGCACATACACCTCTACAAAGTTGATCATCTAGTCTTGCTTGTTGCACGTGATTATTCATCAAACCGATGAATTCAGTTTCATCTGTACTTCAGAACGATGAAATACATTTATCACTTCCTTCATATTCTCATGAATTGGACAGGCGTCAAAGAAGGATTTCTATTCTAAGTTTACAAAATAATAATAAAATAAAATGTCAACATATTGTATGACAGTGTTTTTAAAAGATAATCAATTTTATAAATCAAACTTTTTTCAAAGTTTCTCAACATTATTGTTACAAATATAAAGATTGTAACGATACCTGAAGTATCACAGTATACAGCCAAATTATAGTCCATTCTATATTTGGTCTACATTGTAACTGTTATTATGTCTTGCCTGATATTATGTCATATGTCATAAAACAATGTATAAATAATATAGGGTATATAAAACATGTATCTGAATAACAAAATTGACTATAAAATCCTCAATTAAAAATCTATCTTCCCAATGTAATTACAAAGCACTCTTCTTAAGCTGCCTTAAATTTAGATAAGTACATCTATGTTACTGCTATAAATATTTCTTCGTGGAAATATTTGAAAGACCTAACTTTGTCAGAAGTGTCCATTGTTGGTTTGTTTATTTTACCTGATTGCTAAGAAAGTTTCAATATCTCTGATATAAGAACATGCCCTCATGGTTATAATCTTGTACAATGGCTTTACATGGTACAGGAATCGAAGCATAGAATACGAATATAAATGCACCAAGCTGAATAATGATAAATTCGCAATCGATGGCATGGTAACGTGGTCTATCATTCACATGGAAATGTATGCAGTTGTCCAAGACGGCTAGGGACCCTGAATGAAAGCAAGGAATTTTCTCCTTATTCCGATTATCTCACACACTTCCAGCATGTCCCAGCTACATTTCTTTGTTTTGTACCTTTACAAACTTGTACAGGCACATAATGAAAAGTAATGTGTATCATACGATTTAGTGACAAGTTTACATCTCTCTATGAGGCTTGCTTAAAAACAATTGATGCATGGGAGCTTTATATAAGCATGTGGCTTAACAACATGAAGTCTTCTTGTATGCTTTGTAGAGGAATACCCATTGGAAATCAAATGTTGAACACACACACATAAATGAAACATGATTGCATATGGAATATTTTTTTGATTAAAATGCATTATTCATTTTGGATAGACAAAATTTGCACAGGTGAAGCTCTCAGTGAATGGTAAAAATAATGTAGGTCATGTGATGTGAGTTAGCCAATCAACCTAGATTTCGGTTGATAAAATAGTACAAGCAATAGTACAAGTTTTGTGCCGTGATCAACGTTATGGTGTATACTATTTTATGATGTCTTTGTGCTATTTGAACCAGCTTCAATACCGATCATATAGGGGCTTGGAAGTACAAAAAACAATGATTAAAAACAGTGTAACATACCATTAAACGATATGTAACAACCCATCAGAGAGTTATTCAGTTGCGCAAAAGTTGTATTTTTTCTTATTTTCAAAAAGAAATCAATAATGAACTTTTTCAGGCTATTTTAGGGAGTTGGAGATATGAACCTAAAAAGGGTATTCACAATACTTCTTGATAAAGCAAAGCTGATATTTCATTATCACAGCTGAATATCCAAAGCTCATTGGAAGCATATAGAGATTGTGACAAGCGCGATGCAAAGAACTGAATTAAATATGATACATATTATATAATATCATCATATTGAGAGAAGCAATTCTCGAGTCCAACTTCATTTGTGTTTGGTAACTAAATTGGCTCATAATTTTATTTATGACTACTGGTAGAACTTTAAACAACTATTTTTCTTGCACTTTGATCTTTGATTTCAAGTGGATTGGTACCTTGAAAATCTCATATATTACCATTATCATTATTAAAAGAATTGTGAACCATGCCGACTCTTAATACTCTATAAATGTATGGAAATTTTGCTTGAGATGAACATTCTTTTAAGTACTTCTATTCAAAACAAACAAAAATGGCACTATTCATTTTAAAAATGTGATCCACTTTGAATGTTCAAAACAATCACCTTATACCTACACGTAGATGCAAGACATTTCTTTGAAGAAACATGAACCTGAATTATTTGTCATTCAATCTCCTAAATCATCCCTCTTCTCAATGTTTAACTCATCAATATGTGTTGGATACTTCCATGTGAGACACAAACTCTCTCCATTCGTCATAAAACCTGCCTGGGCCTCGTTTCAATACTTCATAATATATTCATCTCATCTGAATGTAAATACTTCCATGACAAGATATAAATCTGTTGCATTCATCATGAAAGCCCCACTGTACTACTTGTAGCTACTTGCTCCCTCTATATAGAAAACAATGCCTAAGCGGTGCCTGTTGGTCCCCCATGATCCTCTTTTCTTATGTTAATTGAGAGCTGAGTTGATGAGATAGCCACTTGTCAGTGACCTTGCTGGGTGGTCTAATCACTCCTTGCCAAACTAGTACAGATGGACTTTGAAATACCTCTCACCTTCAACACGTAACAATGTTCAACTCATCTATCTTCATGTTCATTAGGTTCAATTATCCACTCCACTTGTCATGCAACAAACTGCCACCAGTTTTCAATGTTGACGATATCCATTACATCATCATCTTCCTCATCGTCCTCCTCATCGCCCATGTCTCCCCCTTCCATACCAGCAAAGAGGCGATTGGCACATCTGCCTCCTCCTCTGTAATGGCTGTACGGGTCGGATCGCGGTAGGACCAAGAAGCAGAGCCAGCAGAAAAAACAGCGACATTTCATGCAAGTCATCTTGTTGCAGCCGTCAAATTTCTGTCAAATGCAAACCAGAATAGTCAATGTAACCATGCAAATGGGAAGGGTACTGTAAGACTACACAATTTTGCCAGTTTTGTGAGTAGTTAATGAATCTTTTGCTGTATATAACTACATACACAATTCACATTCTATTGAAAAATTATTGTTAGTTGGTATCTTCTTAAAGGACTGGTACTGTATCCTTTTGCAGCCAACATCAAATTCTGTAGAACTTTGCAGGAATTATAAATATGTCACGTATGTCAAAAAAAGACATTTTCAAGTCCTTATGTTTTTAGGAAAGTTCTGAATTAGTATTATCTTTCAAATGCCTTTATTTAACCATTTAATTTTTTTTGGCCTGCAAATGGGTCAAATGGGACCTTTAACAGGATTTAAATTAAGATTTTTTCACAGGCGCATTACTTAAGAAACAGATTTAGATCTGCACATACCTGGATGGCTCTATCACAGTTAGGACAATTCTTGCTGTGTTTTCTGATCCACTCTTCACTGTTACAGTTCTCAATGACTTGACGAAGGTTGTGCTTGCCGTACCTCTGTTCCATGATGGACTTCTCATCCTCGGTGGCATTCTCGTAATTATCTGCGAGCCTTTTGTATTCCTCTGATTATGAGGGAGAAAAAAATGGGATTAAAAATGTTTTAACAAGTAAGCCTAAGTTTTATCAGGGTGAATGATGTGAAATTGATACATTAAAAGACTTTATATTAAGGTTTCACAATACCTGGTAACCCCCCCCCCCAAAAAAAAAATGATAATGATGATGATAATGATGATGATAATAGGCATTTCTATAGCGCCGACTATCTATTCCTGGGCGCATTTATTGCAGCGCTCCAGCATTTCATGGAATTAATTCTTCCCAGGTACCCATTTATATCACCTGGATTGAGTGTGGCAATTGTAGATCAACGTCTTGCAAAAGGACATTAGTGCCGCGGCGGGACTCGAACCGCGGTCCTTGTGATCGACAGTCCGGCGACGTATCCACTCGACTATGACATCTCTACAATTGATTATGACGATGATGATGATGATGTTACATGATTACTTTTTTATCAGAAAATGTAGCAATAAAAGAACAAAGTGTATCCAATTTGAAGCAGAGCTGATTAATATATCCCTCAAGCAATCCCTGCCCCTAATAAATGTAACATAGTTGACAGAGCCTGATTCATCACTCACCTTCAGAAACCTTGCATGGTTCTAACCCGTGGTACGTAGTCTTGCAGAGGATACAAAACGCCAGTCCACACACAGTACATTGTCCCATATTACCCTCTTTAACCACGGGAGTCTCGCAGCTCTTACGAGGGCAGTATACAATGTCTCCCATCTCGCTCAATGAGAGGTCGAGCAAGGCTGCGTCGTATTTCTCGAACAATTCGGGCTCGACTAGCGCCTTCACCTGGAGATTGATAACAGAGGTACTTTCGTGAAAATGGATGAGAAGATGAAACTTTGTCCATGAATTAAAAATGATTTGATTGGGAGCCAAGGCTACTCTGCAGTAAACCAATGATACATAATGACTTAATTCCTGTTCAAAGACAAAGTGATAGAACACATGTTTTCAAAATTGGACTTTAAAAACATTGAAGCATTGCTCCAATATGTAGAATCTTGGACCAGAACTTTGGCTATATTTCCCCATGTACTCAAGCTTTGTACAAAAACATATTGATCAAGTCGTACTTATTTTACTCATCTTATTTTTTTAAAATTTTTAAGAGAAAATAAATCAATCTACGTGTATATGCCATAAGTAGGCTAGTAAGTGTCCCTTCAATACAAAAGGCGAACAAAGCGTTCTGTAATTGTTAAAATCATGCATTACGCAATTTGATATGACAAATTGAGGTTTGGACATTATTTATTTATTTGATGCCACAACAAAGTCTAAGTTTGCAGACCGGAAATGACCTTTGACCATGACTTTGTGACCTCACATGATTGGAAATACTTGATAACCCTTTACTTCAAGTTTCATTGAATAAGAACTTATACTTTCAAAATCATAATAAAATTTCAAAAACGTAACCTTGGTTAAGTTTATGATGCTGATGCCGCTGCCGCTGCCATTGCCACCGGAAAAGTGGCGCCTATGTCTCGCTTTTTGCTACGCAGGCGAGAAAAAAATCGGAGCATTGTTGCAAAAATGTTCCACATTGTCTCTCAATTACTTTAGATGGGTAATTAATTGCTTTGAGGGTAGTATTCCAGGGGAGACGTCCAGGTACAAATGACATTCCATGCCTAATCATGACATCACATTACGTATTTAACAAATATTTTTTGAGACTAACCTGTGAGGGTAGAGCAACGCTTTCGCAATCTATGTCTGGACACAACAATCCTTTCACATCGCCATCCCTGATCTTCACGCTGAAATGCTCCTTCATACAATCTTTACAGTACACATGTCCACAGGCATCAAACATGATGCAGTCACTACCAAACTTCCCTTCAAGGCACACCCCGCATTCATTGGGCGTCTTGTTGAAGATGTATTCTCTCCGATCCCTGTCGTACTTCACAATGGTCGGTATGAGATTGGGTAAAGCAGCGATGTCCTGCACCGCTCTGGCTTGGGGAATCCCCGCGTCCGATCCTGCGTTGCCTCCCACGGCTCCCTGATGGGTCCTGCCATCATCCCCTCCTGGTCCCGGCAGGTGGGACCTCTGTCTCATTGTACGAGGAAGATCGGACGTGTCCAGGGTGATTGGAGAGCTGAGTTTGAGGAAACTGAGAGTCTCGCTCTTGAGGAAGTCGGCCCAGCAGTAGATGACCTCACCTTGGTTTTCAGTCCACATCTCATCCAGCTTCTCACATAATTTGTTAAGCTGTAGACCAAAGTAACGCAAAACACCATTAAAATAATACTTACATATTGGATACATCATGTGAGTCATGAGGTGCTAAAACTGCTCCAATATTTCCCCAAATCTAGCTAGACTACTGATGATAGTGCTCACAATATTCAAGGAATTCTTTCCTCCCAGCTACCCATTTAACATCTGGGTGGAGAGTGGTAAATGTAAATTAATGTCTTCAAAACATTGGTGCCACATCAAGTCTCGAACCCAAGTAGGCAAGTATTTAAACCAATCAACTACAAAACATCATAAGATAAAAAAGGATTGCAATAAATATCACTCAACCTCCCTATCCTTCATTTGATATGTATTCAAATTGGTGGAGAGGAAAATGCTGTCCAAGCCAATAGAGGGGGGGGGGGGAGGAGGCTTAAAAAATATATATATTTATGGAGGCTCTTAAGATTTATGGGGGGGGGGGGGAAATCTCTAAGTCTCCCTAAACACCCCACCCCTTATCTATTCTTCCACTGCTACAATGTTGAGCTTAATACTGTAGTTTTATTGTTCTAACCTGTTTCACAGACAGCCACTTGCAGGAGAGAGTAAAGCTAGGAGCACTCTTCGATGGATAGTCTCTGGGGTAATTGAAGGTGAGCTCGATCGGTGGAAGATGATTGACCAGCATGAACCTTGCCTTGTTCTCTTCATCGTCTTCACCTCGGAGCAAAATTCCTTGTGTGCAACAAAATTAATAAATAATTAATATAAATACATAAGGTGCAAAATCTAGACAAATATTCTGCTGCACAGCAAGTGTTCATGATGTGATTTAAAACTACTACAGGTGATTAAATGAAAAGATGTCCTATTAGTTTTGATTTGAAAGGATTTCATGATGGTCATTTCCTGTTTTCTAACAGTAAGTGACTCAAATCTTCATATCCAAATTCAAATTCATATCATATTTAGCAAAGCAAGGAATGAAGTAGAAACAAGTACAAAGACCAAAAAGCTATTAAACAATACACTTTGATGAAGGAATGCCCTAATCTTAATTTATCTTCATATACATTTGAGTTATAAAAAACATACATCACTAATTTCACACACCTAATGCTCTTGCTTGCTGTACCATTTGTCCAATGAGTTTGATGGTGCAATCGGAAGGGAGCTCCACATCAGTGTAGAAGCTGCCACCAGATTTGTCCTCGTGAGCCATAAAGGTCTCCTCATCTTCAAAGATGCTGCTCAGAGCTAGCAGCTCATTCGCTTGGCTCTCCCGGTCTTCCTCCATGCTCCCTCCTGGTCGATGATGTTGAACTTGGTGTCACCTCATGCTAGCCAAAGGCCCTAACAGCCAAAACTGAACATGTAAATAATAATATTATTGAGGAGGATGAGGAAGAGGAGAAGGAAGAGGAGGAAGAGGAGGAGGAAGAGGAGGAAGAGGAGGAGGAGGAGGAGGAGGAGAAGGAGGAGGAGGAGGAGGAGGAGGAGGAGGAGGAGGAGGAGGAGAAGGAGGAGGAGAACAAGACCAAAAAAAAGAAAAAGAAAAAGAAAAAAGAAAAAGAACAACAACAATAACAATAATAATATTAATATTAATTGGGTGAACTCTTATTACCCAGGGTAGCTACATCAACGTTACTCTTACTCTTCCTCCAGGCCTTGGTCTTGCAGTTACTTTTACCCTAGCAGTTGTCAGGTGACAATTTCCGTATGGGTGGAGAGTGGCAATTTTATATGTACTGAAACACTTGGACATACACCTCAACAATTTCAAATGTCACTTCACAAAATTCACTTAAAAATCAGCATATGAATTACAAATAGTGACACCTACACATGAATAAAATACACTAAATTGAAATCACTGAAGGTGAAAAATATTTCAAAAACAAAAAAATGCAATTTACTTTCAGTACTAGCAAATTAGTAGTAGGCCTACATCAAAATCATTAGAGATTATTGTGTATACCCAGATATTGTGTGTCCAGACAGTTGATTTGAACCAGCAATTTAAACAAAATTACATGCACTTTTTCATTTGTAAATATTTTTGTTTTGACTCTATTGCGTGGCTTGAAGTCTGGCCTTTACCCTTTAGGTAAATTGTCACCCATTTCTATAGTTACACCTGTAACATTATTAGAGTGCCACACATACTTTCTCTGGCAAGCACATTCTAAACCCTATTGTATTGGGATGTGCAACCATCCAATGTACTGGTATAGCATATATACATGCATATTACACTTGCTTTTTCCACACCTATTTTTATCACTTCTCCTGAGCATGAGCTGTTCTTACAGAGCACATGGTTTCAACAGGTGTTGCTAGGACTAGGAGTAGGAGTAGGAGACAAGGTAGGAAGAAACCACTTTCTATTTTCTTTAATATTTTAGGTGACCAAGGGGCCGTTTCTCGAAACCGTCATAACTACAAGATCAACGACATCTCGACATTGTCACGCAACTTGTCAGCTAAGTGTTTCACGAAGCTGTCTTTGCCAAGATGAGCGACACCTTCCGCGACAATGAGTTGTCACTGCTCCGAACCCTTCATATCTTTTTAATTGCTGTAAAGCGCCATCACAAGTCAGTTTGTTACTTTGTTGCTATTCCATGGGCCGCGAAATGTATGATTTGTTTCACTATCATTTTGAGAAAAATATAGACGAGTTCGGTACGTAATTCTCTGGGATGCGAAATGCAAATGTAAAGAAGTGATAATACAAATTATACAGAAATTTTAAAAAGCTGAATATAAACATTAAATCACAAATCATTAAACTATATCATATAAATAAAAGAGATAAGAATGTTACACACCGTTGTCCATAGTTGATCCATAGTCTTCTCTTAGGATACCATCATACCTTTGGGGCCTATGTGCATTATTATTCCCTCTCTAATTACTTCTTCCAAATTATATTTTTAATATCGAATCAATTATATAACAAGTATTTATGAGACTCTAGAATAAAACTGGCTGAGAAAAGGTATTTTGCCTAAAATTCCTTGTCCAAGTACATTGATAAACTATCACATTACGGTATACTTCAACTACCTTTTGATTGGATTGTCTAGAAAAAAACACTCACCGGTTTTTCTTCAATTTAAGAATTTTTACAGAAATATCAAATCGTTTGATGATCTGCATTTGATAATGACACTATTTGTTATTTATTTAAGGAGAGTTTATATGTATATGTTTCTTTTTGAACAATTTTAGCCCCAAAACTTGTTTTGGGTTATTCGTGATAAATCAAATGGATCGCGAGTTCGCGACAAAGACTATGTTCTTGAGCTGCTAGACAAAGATACGACTGTCATGGAGTTGGTTTCATGAAATGGCCCCCAATTCCCTAAAGATCATAAGATGCTTCCTATGTTAGACAATATAGTGCTGGTTCCTGGTTGATGCATAGTTTTTGTAAAAATCCAAAGCCAAAGGTAAAATTGAAGGCTTTATTTTTTTGTTAACATGCAGACACATGCCACACCCCCCCCCCCCCCCCCCAAAAAAAAAAAAATCTTTGCTTGGACGTGGACTTGGTTGCCTGCCCATGTCCATGAGCACTACCGATGGATATCTGTGTTAAAAAACAATCATGATTAACAACTTTGTGAATTTCTCACCAAGTTACATACACAGATGCATGAAACCCCATCCATTTTCACTATAACAACAGGTTATTTAAAGTAGACTCTACTGCATTATACAGGCCTCGTAGCCTACATTGTATTGGATGACAATCTTGAAAACCTCACTTTAGTCCCACTCGTTTAAAAATAATGTTGCGTTTTTGCAATTTCAGAATCAGATTGAGCAACTGCGCTGCCATCTCCAAAATCAGGCCAAACATGCACTTGAAATTTAAGTGTCATCTTATACTCACATGCCTCGTTTCCGAATCCTGAATAAACAGAGTAGCTATGTAGACTTAATACTGAATTGTGCAACAAATACGATGACAACTCTCGGGCCAGGGTACAAGATTATTACAGAGTTTGTTGCAACAACTTGTCAATTATAGGAGCGCCATCTAGCGTGTATATCCATACAGTGCTTCCAGAAGTAAACGGACAAAAACAAAACTATTCAAGAGTTATATAGTCTGAAGAGGAAGAAGAAGGTGGAGAAGGAGGGGAAGAGAAGGAGGAAAGAGGAGGAGGAGGGGAGGAGGAGGAAAAGGAAAAGGGAAAGAAGAAGAAAAGAGGAAAATTGCATATATCCAATTACACTCATGATGTAGGCCTAAATACATTTTCCCAAGCCACCCACCTATACGGTAGGCCTATATACTTCTACTTCTACGACGATACTCAGCAGGATCCATAAGTCAGGATGTAGTGCTGAGGAATAAACTATCTAGTTCTTGGTCAAAATAACTTTCCTAAAATATGGCACGTGATAATGAATGATAATGAATGGACTGATGGCGCATATTTAGAAAATGACTGATCATCAAGCATTTCATTAGTTTTCATAATTTCCATCTCTTGACATGGGAAAAATTGCTAAAATGCGGGGTCGATAACATAATTTTCACTGTCAACATTTCAATTATCATTTTCATTGCTCTTTCGAACATATTTTTTTCAAGATATTATCTTAATAACAATGGTGTCAGCTTTTTTTAAATGGTTTTATGCATAGTCTGCTCATTGAAATGATAAAGGCCTTCAATGTTGTCTGTCGGGAGTGAAACTGGAGGCCCATTAGTATATAGGCCCAAGTGCCACAACAGATTATTGTTTGCTGTTATGACGATTTGTACTACAAAGAGTAGCAGTTATCGTCATTAAAACTTTCCAAAAGGGAAATACAGTTCCTGAATGAATCGACATTGACATGTTTATTGACTCTGAGGCTCTACATACAACTCCTGAGTGAACTGACCTTGATATAGTCATTGACATTGACCGAATGGTTCGACCTTAAAGGTAAAGACAAGTATTGGAAACGCCCCAATTTCAAAAAATGAAATGGAAGCTCTCATTACCAATCATGTGAAAGAATATGTTTTGAATAATACATGATGATAAAAAATTTGCCGGGAAACCGCTGTGGCATCGGAAGAAACGGATACATTAATTTCAATTCTTGAATCACAAAACAAAAGTTTATCAACTATATTGTTTCGATTTATATATCACTACACTTTTGACAGGCCTGTTTCACAATTAAATGGGATTGGGTCTTTAACAGTGGAGAAGGCTATAATATATAGGTGCCCCAGGGGCTGCCCCCCCCCCCCCATCAAATGACAAACAAGAGCAAAACAGGAAGAGAATGGGGAGAGAGATAAGTGGAACAAAAAAAAAGGAGATAACTGTATATGCTGTTTATTATTTTGTGATGCCGAATCTATGAGAGAAAAAAGGCAAAAGTCAAGGATAAATATATTTTAATGAGAGCCGTCTAATTCGCAATAATGTCACTTGTAGTGGCATATCGAGTGGTCTTTCACAGAGTTGGGCGGGTGGGGTCGGGGTGGGGGGGGGGGGGCAAAACGGGTGATTCATCTATTTCAGCAAGAAAGTCGCTAAAACATGGGGGCAGGGCGTCGGACGATCTGTTATCCTATCTATTCATACCAAAAGGGTCTATAATGCATGCGGATACCACGTTCAAAAGTGCATGCAGTGCATTCCCACCACGCAATAAAGAAGGTCACGTGCACTTTTTTTTCAAACAATATCCCAGACAAGTGAGACAACATAAATCTTGGGTTAAAGAGTAAAGAGGGGGAAAGACAAACACAAATGGTTATGCGAAAAATGATACAAGACGGTTAAACCTAAGCAGGATTATTCTTAATTGCTCTCTTTTGTAAAATTATAAACAAAGTATTGATGTTGACTTTGATAATGGGATAACAATATTAGATTGAGGGAGCTGTCTGAGCTGCTAAAAGCCCCAGACCATCCCAGGTAGCGTCGGCTCGCGTGTTGTTATTCTATATGTTTTCCGCGTCTAGGCATACTATCTAAATATATAACCCATCGCACTTCAACTTCTATTTTCATTTCGATCAATACTCTCTAACAAGTTGGATGTCGACAAAATATTGAGTATCCTCTGAAAATGGCGGGAAATCTAGAAGACGGCAAGACGCGAACTTTTCTCTGGTGCGTCCCGCGCTCGATCGCCTGCGCGTTGACTAAGTCGCTCAGTGCCATCGACGGCATCGAAGTCTGGTACGAGCCTTACTTCTTCAGCTTCGTCGCCAAGCTCGATTCGAAGAGACGGTTGGACATCGAGCTTCCGACATCGTACGAAGGAAACGAGGAGACGTTCCAGAAGGCTGCCGATATGTTGAAGAGTTTATCGCACTGCACCTTCAAACCGGATTACTTACCGTAAGTGCACTTTCATATTATAAGAATTTTTAAAAATGAACAAAAAGTAATGTCTAAAGTAAGAAATGTCTAAAAAAAATCACAAGAGTTTATAAAGTGCCAACTTTATAAGCTGATACACACGAAATACCTGTAATGTAATGGATATCAAACTTTGAAATTGACCTAATGAGTGTACCGCTAAGAACACCCCCCCCCCCTCTCCCGATCCCCTCTACTCCAAGAAAAGTTTGTCGGTAGCTGTAGATTTCTACCTGATGCCTCTTGTAGAACGTGACATTTTCAAGCATTTTACCACCTTACTTTCTGGCAATCCCTCGATCTGCCGTAACTGGTGACTGTTTCATAAAACTTTTTATCTATAACAAATGCTATATAACAAATGCTAAATTTCTATGACAAAATTGCTCTTAGCCAATCAGATGCCTTGATTTCAGTAGCTTATAACAGTAGCTTGTAACTTGTTATTGATAACAAGTTTTATGAAACAGTCACCAGCTGGCCTCTTATACTACAGCTATGAACCACATTTTCAGAAGGATTTTATGCGAGACGTCTGCCAGGTTATAACATGAAGTTACAAGGGCTTTTCTTTATTTCCAATGTGATTCAGTTGTACCATCATAATACCTAAATGACATGGGTTGCATTTCTTCTTCTCTTCAAAGAGAACATCGTGAGACTAAAGAGTGTTTATAAAGAGTGTTTAATGCAAACCAAGAAAATATTTGGTTTATAAATACTTTCTCGACTTCCTTCCCAAACAGGTTTGCGTCCGTGAAGGGCAACCTATCCGCTTGTACCAGCAAGCATGTCTTGGTGAAGGACATGGGTTTTGCAGTCAACAAAGATGTCTTCCAGTTCTTTCCAGAAGGATTCAAACACACTTTTATTATTCGTCATCCTCTTCGCGTCTTTCAGTCCAACCGCAAGGCGATGTTCACCCAGCTCTCTATGGTCGGTATCTTAGAAGGTGACGCAGCCGACGAAGAAAAATTCGATCTCGAGCGTGACGACCCCTACGTAGGTCCTGGACTGCTCTTCAAAGACATCTATGATGTCTGGCAGCACTGCCGACAGAACCTCGGTGATGAGCCGATCGTGATCGACGCTGACGATCTCCTGGCGAAACCGGCCGAAGTTTTGACGAAGTACTGCCAAGCGGTCGGACTGCCGTATGACGAGTCGCTCCCTATGTTCGGCGGTTCGTCCGATCTAGACGTCTTCAAGATCTGGAAGTCACCTATTAGTGAGGAAGAGCTTAGGCTGACCGTGTCGGCTTTCTCGGCTAAGGCGGTAGCAAGCACCGAATTTTTACCAGCGAATGAGTTGCCATCACGTGAACAGGTCACTCCTGACGTCATCAGATGCACCGATCAGATCATGGAGTATTATGATGAGATGTACGAAAGCAGGATTAAGGTTTGAACTGACTTGAATGAAAATCTGTTTAAAAGGCACTATATAATGCGAATTACTTGGAAAAGTCCGCAAGAATTATCGAAAGTGCCTTACACCTACAATTATTATGCATGCATTATGGGTGACCATAAGGTCGAAATTATGATCCCCGGCCCCCCCCCCCCCCCCACTCAGTGTTATTTAGGGTACGCATATGCTCGTACCCTTTTTTTGAAAGCACCCCCTATCTGAGGACTGCCAACATTTTCGAACCCCCCTTTCGCGGGCTTTTCGCGTGCTTTTCCTGCCTTGGAGACCCCCCTAAATCAGGAAAAATGCTCAATGTACCCCCCTTAATTCGGAATAATTTCTCAGGAGTCCAAAGAGATGAGAGAAAAAAAGAAAAACACCCCCTTTTTAAAGAAATCTCCCCTTTTTAAAGAAATCTCCGGGTGAAAAGTCAAATACACCCCTTTTTTTACAATTCTCGGGCCGGACTTTGTCGCACGAAAAGTACCCCTTTACCGGACATTTTGGCAACATGCATGCGGTCATTCCGACCTCTGAGTGGGGGGGGGGCCGGGTTATGATCTAAGCTACAGGCGAAAGCAAACAGTAAATGTTACACATCTTAATTTGAATTTTATGCCAATAAATTTACTATTTACAATTTTATGCCAATAAATTTACTATTGGCGGCTTTTTGTACTTAATCAATTATTATTATAGGTTTGTGCTGGATATTATAAATTCGTGTCTTTACAATCATTTTTTTCTCTCTCTCTCTTTGGACTCCTGAGAAATTTTAAAAGGGAGTTATAAAATATCTTGAATATCATAGATAGGGGTTACATTGAGCAGTGTTCCTGATTTAGGGGGGTCTCCGAGGCAGGAAAAGCCCGCGAAAGGGGTTTCAGAAATGTTGGCAGTCCTAATCAGATAGGGGGTGTTTTCTAAGGGAGGGAACGAGCATACGCGTACCCTAAATAACATGAGGTGGGGGGGGGGGGGGGGGGAGCTGCTTAAACATTGGCATAAATGGCTTGATTGCAAGACGAAGGCTTTGAATGCAAATGTTCAGACAATCTACTCCTATAATTTACAGTAATGGCCCTTGTATACTGAAGGAAAATGGGCTTGTGTTTAGGTCTATATTTTAACCCTGATAAGGCATGGTTATTGTGGTGATTAATTCTGTTCAATTCAAATCATTTGTCATGTATGTGGGTCTATGTAAGAGGTCGTTTTTGAGACAATACGAAAGCTGTCATTATCCATGATACCTTCCTTACTTCTAGCAAGCTTCCCCTATTTTATCCGTTTGATCCACAACTCGATCTACTACGAGTTAATAAAGATAATGAAACAATAATTTATCTGGGTATATTTCATAACATTTCAATTTGAACTTGAAGTTCAAAAGAAAAACTTTTTAACATTTCGATCTTTTCTACACATTTACAAGAATGCCTTTGCGTGTTTTGTTAAAACAGATAACTTCCAAATAATAGGTTTCAGATGTATGTTTACGAATAAATAAATTGTAATGATATCATGATATGAAATATACTTTTCATAAAAGCCTAATAAGACAATACTAATTTGGTTGTTGCTATACTTCTGTCGAAAAATTTGTGAAAGAAATTGACTTAAATGGAGTAAAAGAGAGGAAGAGTTTAGAGAAAGAAGAAAGAAAAGGAAAGGGGCCGAGAAAAAGGGGAGAGGGTGAAGAGGGGCGAGAGCAATTGAGGACGGAGAGAGATAGAGAAAGTGACAGAGTGAGAGAGATATATATATATAGAGAGAGAGAGAGAGAGAGAGGGGGGGAGAGAGAATGGAGGGGGAGGGGAGTTAGAGGGGATGATTGTATGGTGAGAGAGTGAGACGGAAAAAAATCGAATGTGAGAAGTGAGAAGAAAAAAGAAAGAAAGAAGGAGATGGAGGAGGAGGCGGAGAAGAAGGAGGGTGGTGGAGAGAGAGGGAAACTCAGCCAATTCAGACATGTGGAAAAGAAGATACATGACACTCATTACATTTATACACGTACTAAACATTGGCACTACAGCTCCTGTGTCAATGTTAAAAACGACCACCCAGCCCTATGAATAGGTCTCTCCTCGTGCTTTAAATGTTGGCTGAAGGTTTTTTTTCTTGTTCACTCCATTTAAAATCACATTATATAATTGTCTCTCTTTAATTTTATTTCTTTATCTGTATCCCCGCCCCTCTCTTAATTCAATCTCTCTCTCTCTTCCATCCTGCTTAGTTCTCTTATATCTCCTTTTTCCCTCACCCACTGCTGTCTTACTCTCTTCTCTTTTTATCTCTCAACTCTTTCTCTCTCTCTCTCTCTCTCTCTCTACTCTTTGCTCTCATCTCATCCCCCTCCTCTCTCTCTCTCTGCATTACTACAGATCATCTCTCTCTCTCTATCTTTGGTTCTTGCATCACACCATACGCATTTTGGAGGACAAATTGTGGAGTTTCCACGATTATTCAGAAATGGTTAGAATCCCCCAAAAGAAAAATCTTAGGTTACAATTGTCATTTGTATTTATGCTTTTAGTCAACAAATTAATATCAAAATAATGTTAAGTTAAAGTAAAAAAATCTGTTGGTTGGAAAACAGGCTTATGATTGAGGGGAAAAATAAGAAGCAGCTTTAGAATGCATTTGTATGTTCTGGAAATAACTCCAAATTTATTCAATTTATTCCATTTAAAAACATCAGCAGTGCACTTTAATATTCATTTAAAACACATCTCTATTTACTGCATGATCTGTTGGCCGTAGCCTCATAAATAGGTCAACAATCTGTAGTCCAACACTATTAGCTTTACAATTTACAAGTTCATTCTTTCTCTCCAATATATCACAATATGTGTACATGGTGCAATTGAGGATCATGATTAAAATACAAAATTAACCATAATGAGTAACTGGGTAAACTTCACTGGAAATGGGTGATATTGCATTTAATTCTTGGTTAAGTGATATATTACTCTACACTATATTCCCTACAGCATGGTGAGATATTGGCATACTGGTTTCTTGGATAAACATGAATTTGTGCTCTTTAGAACATGAAATAACATGAAATAAAGGCTTTAAAATCTTTAATGTTCTTGTACATGTACTGTATATGTGTATAAAAACACTGTTTTCCGAGAAATCCTAATACTGTATCAAACTAGCATTAAATTGTAGTGCATGGTGCATTATACATACATGTATTACCCTTGACAGTACAGTTGTAAAATAGGACTTTTAGAGACCCATAAAACCCTGCAATAACCACTTTATTACTTTGAACACCTGAATTTGAGCATATTACGGTATACACAATTACAGTACTGGTATATCGTGTGTTTTAATCAAACCATGATATCACCCTGCAATAATCACTGAGTTACCTTTTGAATACTTAAATTCATAATCCTTGTATATTGAGCATCATACTGAACATGGTAGTACGTTTTTAATGCAAGAACTATTTTACCCTGCAATAATTAGTTTGTTATCTTCTGAATACCTGGGAGAGTAACATATTATCAACCGGAACATTTCACATTGTTTCATTTGTTTGGAGATGGTGGTTTATTTTGTTTCCAGACCTGGCACAGTTCCTGTTTAAATAAGAACAGAATAAATAGGAAATCAGGTGTTAATCAAGTTAGCACAAAAAACAGAGGCATGTCCAGTGTCAGGTGTACATCGGGCTGGCATATAGAGAGAAAGAAAGAGAGAACGAAAGAGAAAAGAAACACATAGGGATTAGGGATGGCAAGGGGGAGAGAGAGAGAGAGAGAGAGAGAGAGGGGGTGGTAGGAGAGAGAGATAAAAAGATATGCAAAACATATCTTAATAGGAGAGTATCAACATATGGTACTTTCTTTTTTCTTTGATGAATTTTTTTAATTTAATCAAAAATTCAATTCATGCCAACAAATAGTCCAAAAGAAATGACAAATTGAGGTATAAGATGACACTAAGTGAAATTAGCAGCACTTAAATGGGATGCAACGGGAAATACCATAACTAGCTGTTAATAATCAACTTTCTATTTTAGCAGCTGCAACTTTAATCAACGTTCAGGTTCATACAGAGTATTGACAGACCCAAATTTTTTATAAGGGCAGTGGTGCTAGGTGAAGGTCACACCAGACCCAGTAAACTTCCTAAAAACATCACCCTGGCAAAATAACATGACAAATGTGCCTGTGTGCATAACAAAAATCTGTATTTTATTACACATAGATCATAGAACATGCATTAAGGGGTTTGTTGTGCACATATTTTATTGTTTTACCCTAATTTGTAGTTCACTGCAGATAAAATGGTTTACATTTTGCACAACTTAAAAAAAAAATTTAGTTCCTAAATCAAGTGTACTGGTAAAGGAAACCTCACCCCAAGAAATAATTTTACATATTCTGAGAGATTTATTGTATTCTTGCCCATTAATCTACAAGATTCCCCACCAAAGTGTATGAGAGAGGCATAAAAGCAAGAATTCTGTACAGTTTCTCAGCACGACATGGGCATCACCATTTTTTTTTTATAACATGACCTACATGTACTATGTGAAGTCATTTATCAATTAAACGTATTCAAATTGATGGATGCTTCCTTCCCAGGTGTGTATGGTGATGAGGCATTTCATTGACCTGCTATTATCATTTAAACTGTAATTGCCAGAACGCAAATTGCATAAATAAGTTGGTGCTCTTCTGGGGAGAATATTGGAAGAAGTAGAGATAGCTGCAGAATTTCACATTATAATGAAGAAATGATATATGGGAAAGTTTAGGAACACAACTTTATCATCAATTTAAATACATGTGCTTGGATATGCCCCCATCTTTTTAAGGCAAACTTAACAGCAAACCATAGCCCTTGACCATTTTTATTCAATGTCAATATGATTCTATTATTTGCTAAATATTCATGTAAATGTAAGAAGACACAAGCTAAATTTACTCATTTCAAACTTGGTTTAGATCAAATTGAAAAAATAGAAACTGAGAAAAAAATTGTCTAAAAATAAAAAGTGATGAATTTACATCAAATAAGAGTGTTTTATGTCAAGAACAATAACTAAACTGGTATATATAATACATGTATGCCTATCAGGTTTCCATATGTTTGTAATGTACAGTATGTTATTTTTGTTCCTAATTTCTTTATGCATGTTCCTAATTTCATTAAAAAAAATAGATACCGGTATGCACACTGTACAATATATCCTTTCTCAAAACAATTACAAATGAAGTGATGATTCTAGGCAGAACTGAGTGTCTAGAGATATTATTCTTAACCCCTCTGTAACATTACCCCTACCCTACTCCGTAAATTTAGCATTTAAAAGTCTCCAAACAACACCCCATGTAGAGTATAGCAACCTGATATCAATCTAAAGTTAATCCCTTCAAACTATGGAAAACCAACAAAGAAATAAATTTAATTAAAATATCTAAGGTTTACCTTGAAAATATGGGGAGAAACTCTGAACAATCAACATCTTGTTTTTATGGTCTACTTCTTCAGGGCAGCATTCATGTCTGGTGAACTTCCCCATGTGACGAGTCCATTCAATTGTACCTGGTTGAAGAGAAAGAGGAGATTTGGTAAGAGTGAAATATATTTTTGGCGAGCTTTTTTCATTCTTTTACTTCAGTATGAAAGAATGTTATTGTACATGTAGCAATGTCACAAGAAAAGGATTGTTCTTAATATGGATTCATAATTTGAAAACATATCACTATTAAAAGTTTTGAATTCTAGAGATTTTGGTCCATTAGACTACATCAGAAATTTTTTAAGATTTCAACTAAAATTTAAAGATTTCTTAATTTGGCAACATTCCATTAATTGTGTGATGGCAAACAGAGAAATGAATTTCAGTCTGTTCTGTATATGTGTTTCACCAAACAATTCTTGAAGACAAAACATGTGTCCATTTAAAAGGTGTTGGTGAAACAGAGATGAAAATTAATTTACAATCTATAACTTTTGGCTTCACTATCCATTAGATTTTATCTATTTGTTTTCATTGAGACATTCTTTAAGTTATATTCAGCGATACTTAGAGATATATATTCAGTTATTTTTTGAGTTATATTCAGTTATTCTTTGAGTTATATTCAATTATTTTTTTAGTTATCTTTAGTTATTCTTTGAGTTATATTCAGTTATTTTTTTTTAGTTATATTCAGTTATTTTTTGAATTATATTCAGTTATTCTTTGAGTTATATTCAGTGATACTTAGAGATATATATTCAGTTATTCTTTAAGTTATATTCAGTTATTCTTTGAGTTATACTCAGTTATTCTTTGAGTTATATTCAGTGATGCTTAGAGATATATATTCATTTATTCTTTAAATTATATTCAGTGATACTTAGAGATATATATTCAGTTATTCTTTGAGTAAATATTCAGTAATAATTAGAGATATATATTGAGTTATTCTTTGAGTTATATTCAGTTGTATTAAAGGTCTCCTTACCATTGCAGCAGAACCAATCAAAAAAGCAATGCTTCCTGCCAAGTAGAGATTACCACTTTCTTTTTTAGGCATCTCTGAATAGATATGAGCCATGTTCCTCCTTGCGTTCATGCGAGCGGCTCCAGCTGAAAACAAAAGAAAAGAGATGGTGGTTAGCTTTCTCATTCCTTCATACTCACATGAGGAAGAATATCTTTGTAGAAAATGTGACATGAGAAGCATTGCCCTTGGAGTGCTCTCATATCAAAATTACGACTGCGAAGATTTTAAAACTTTGATATACTTCTAAATGATTTTATTCATAATGAAGTCAGACTCATAAGTAATCAACATAAAATAGGGGGGTGTTTCACAAAGACTAAGATCGATTTAAGTTGGACTTGAACTATAGCAGGCCATTTATGCCCTTAAAAAGTCTTGAATCAGATGTAAAATTAGAGGGGGAAAAAAATGTTATCATTGTAATTTACACTCATTTTCATAGTTTAAACAAATATAAAGTATATTGGATTAAATTGTGTGAATGAAAATTACAAAAACATCAACAAGAAATTGTCAATTTGTACACAAAAGTAGTAATTAAAAATTGAGTCTGCAATTTCAATATATAGAAACCTTCAACCATTAATTTCTTTTAAATTGCTCTTATTCATAAACCCAATGTATTGCAACAGAATTTTTCCAGTGATTTTACAATTTCTGCTCATGTACAGTTTGTAATTCAGAGCATTCTAGATCAAAATATTTTTTAAAAAACATCAATATGGATCAAGTTAGGTTCAGGTGGTAATTAGGTTCAGGTTAAGGTTTTGATTAGCAGGTACTCTAAGAAACTGACTTCTTAAATGTACATGTCATGTATCAATTATTGCCAAAGCATATGTCACCTAACTTCTTGAGAGCCTTTATAATTACAAAAAGTGGTTCCTTAGCTACTTTGGCACTCAGTTTTCTTGGCATTGCCTCATGTCAACATGTGCCATACTGCCAAAGTAGCAAAATGGTTTTTGATAAGTCAATTTAATACAACTGACAGGTACTTTATAAACGTGTGAAAATACAAGTGCACTATTTGACCTATTTATCACATTCTCAATTAAAATGGCATGCTGAAGGATTAATAACAAATCTCACTGACTCAAGTTCCCATCAAAATATCTTTATAAATGATTAATGAAACATTTCACTGAGTTGGCACTTGAGCATTCCATTAATCTATTTTAATTTTCATAATTTGATAAATGTTGGCAATTAATTTTATCAAAATGTAGTTCACTGGAGAATAATAGAATACTCATTTTGGTTGACAAATTTGGATAGAATTTGACATCTACTGCTTCAAACAATGTTTTCATTTCCTTGTCATAGTTGACAGGGTTGTCACTAACAAATAGTCATTAGCAGTACCGTACATAACTTGGAGCCTTAGCTTTAGTCACAGGAGATAAATGTGTTGTCACACACTTTGAATATACCAGTACCCATTAAAAAAGAATCATGTCTTTATACATTTTAGAAATTTATTAATCCAAAAATTCCAGATATCAAATATTGCAATGTCAAAATTTGACATTCAAACCCTTAAGTTTGAAACACTACATGTATTAAATTAAATGAATAGTCCAGAGTAGTTCAACATTTACACATGAACATGTATAAGTACATTTACATGTACATATTTGTCATGTAATCATATTCAAACACTACACCTTTCTCTCCTGTCCCCATTCTCTCTATAAATTTTTCATTCCTTAATTTTCTATCCTTCTTTCCCTCTCTTCCCACCATTTCTCTCATGATATCTCCCTTATTCATTCTCTATCTTTCTAATTCTCTTCTTTCTCTCAATCTGTCTCCTAGCTCCTCTCCCTTGCTATGTCTTTTTTATTCTGAATATTTTCTCTTATTATTTCTTTAACAGGTTCAATATCTTTCTCCTCTTTTCTCTCCACCTCTTATCTAAAAGTCCCTCTTCTTCCTTTCTCATCCGTCTCCTAGTCAGAGTCTACTATTCATATTTATCTTTTCTATCTCTTTCACCATTCACTCAATAGTTTCTGTGTGAAGGCTGTAGCTTGCACTTCTTGAAATCTAATAGCAGATACAGAGCTGAGCAATGCCGAGTATTCGGGGGTATCGAGCTCGAGTCACCCGGCCTTCCTGATCTTGGGCCTTGAGCTTGACTTCCCATGAGTGAAGTGCAATGTCAATACCGTACAGCAGGGCAGTGCACACATAGCGCCTGTGAGTGTGTTATGCTTCGAAAGCGACGCGACGCCGCGCCGGCAAAATTGCATGCACGGTACCGGTTTTTAGACCCATATCAGTAAACAATGATAATAATTTTATATCTACCTGCACGAGTGAGCATTCTTCTTGAAAGTACGCCGAACATTTTTGAAAATAGGTCTTTCTTTCAGCAAATAATAGCAGTTTTAAGTCAGTCAATATTTCTCTACTGGGTGATTAATCGCCGGTTCAACTTATGGTAAGCTAAACGACCGTCACCGCAAAACTTGTTCTCGTATCATTTCACAAATAAAACTCATCAATTTCTCCATTTCAATTGAAAGCCTATTTCAGAATACAATTAACTTCACGAAAATTTGCATGAGAATTTCAATATTTCTGACTGAACTCAAAGACCAATATTTCCCTAATTACAATTAATACGTTGTCCATATGGCATACCATAAGTCGATCGCAAAGCATCTCTCCGTCGTCTTTTGCAAACTTTAGGAAAGGGAAAATTGTTTTTAATGAATCTCATTTTAGTAGAACATGTTTTTGTTCAGATGTCCCTCCTAATAGTAAAGTAATCTCATTGTTATATAAAAGTGCAAACCTATGAAGAGAAATATATTGTGCTTCTGATTTTCTTTAAAATTTCAGCTATGGAATTATTAAAATTCAATTTCATTTATTTCCACAGATCACGTAACAACATAAAAAAGACAATATAATTATTATAATCAAATATAAAAGATGAACCAGCAGACAGGGGGTGATCAAAAACCACAGAGGTTTTTTTAATTAAAAAATAAACACATTATATATATTACAATCAAATCTATGTGTGGGTGAGTGGTAGTGGGGTGGTGGTATACCAATAAATACAATATATAGATATATACAACAACAACAACAATATATATATATATATATATATATATATATATATATATATAGACGGAATGAATGACAGGAAAAGAAAAGTAGTGAGAAACACCTTATGTCTTAAGAGTTGGATACATAATCAAATATTGTTTCATATTTGAGTGATGAGCAACTGACAATATCATTAGGAGTTTAGGACTGAAGTAGATTCCATAGGGAAGGTCCACGACTAAAATAAAGGTTCCTTTGGAAAACAATTGTTTTAACAGAGGGCAAATGAAACTTATGAACTTGTTGTTTTATAAGAATGGAGTTTACAGTCGCGTTCCTCTAATAGTTTAGTTGTTTCGTGTTGACATCTGACCCGACCCAAAATTGTCCTAAGATGAACTTCAAAAGGTGTCCCTATCCCAAACAGAAGGAGCATGCATGCTAGCCCAATTAAGGCCATATTTATTTATCTTTGGGGTCGATCGAGGGGATAAAGCTTATATCCAATCACATTGGAGAACGAAGATTAGAAAGAAAAGAATCCTCCATACTCACTATCAAACTATTTATCTCAGTCTTTCTATCTCTCTCTGTCTCTCTGTCTCTCCCTCTCTTTCTCTCTCTTTTATTATAATTATTGATGGATTAAGCATAATAACTACAATGTTGGCTTCTCCACAAGAGACTAAGAATGATACGGAATATATACGTGTGTTTTTAATTTTTTAGGTCAATCTCTGTTTATTCGTTCTTCAATTTTTCATAATGTACTGATTTCAGTCACATTATTGACTCTATAGAGATACTTTAATATATTAAATGTTAACGGAAAGTTAAAAATAAATAATAAAAAAGTGAAAGAATGTGGAATCATATTATTTTACACTTGTCTATAAGCTAGGCCCTATACATACAGGCTATTTTACAGTAAAAAGGACAGTATCCTATTAATTACACCTTCAATATATACAATCATGCAACAAATTAATTTACAAATTGGTTCACTAATACACATCTTTCATTAAAAAAAATGACGCGGGAAACCGCCACAAAAAAGCCGCCTTTGCTTATTTAAGTGTTAAAAAAGACTAAACAAAAGACTTCGCGTATATTTCCTGAGGCCTGTGTTATTAATTTTTTTTAATGCAGAAATGTGAAGAGTATTTTCTAATCGTCATCATTTAAAAAAAAACTATCAAAAATATGCGGCGATTTTTCCGAGTCATATCTGAACAAACCTTAAAAGTTTGTTTGTTCCTATATACTGAACGTTCACCAAAATTAATATAGTACATTATAACATAATTATGTTTTTATTCAGTTGTCATTATGCAAGAGACGAATAATACACTAAAAAGAAAATAATATTTCTCAGTCTCGCAAAGATTGCGTGAAATGAATGTACTGTATAATAATTCAAAAGATTATGACACCGATATGCATCGTATATAGTTTGTCTGAATTTGTTCGCCGTAAAATTGTCAGCAAGAAATTAATTTGGCAATAACTGTTTCTTAGATCGGTATTGTCCTTGAGAAGATTAACAGAAAATGTCTGGCTGTATATCAGCAGTGGAGTAGCATGGGGGCGGGGACCGGACATGAGCCCTATCCAAATAGCGTAAAAAGAAATGAGATATAATAGAGAAAAGGAATGGGAGAAGTATATACGGAAACATGAAAAGGAGGCAAAAATAGCTTCTCTAGCTCGCATCCTCCCCTACTAAATGGTTTTTGAATAATAATAATAATAATAATAGAGAAAAGGAATGGGAGAAGTATATACGGAAACATGAAAAAGAGGCACAAATAGCTTCTCTAGCTCGCATCCTCCCCTACTAAATGGTTTTTGAATAATACTAATAATAATAATAGAGAAAAGGAATGGGAGAAGTATATACGGAAACATGAAAAGGAGGCAAAAATGGCTTCTCTATAGCTCGCATCCTCCCCTACTAAATGGTTTTTGAATAATACTAATAATAATAATAATATTACGCATTTTCATAAGATGCAAAGCGCACAAACAAGAAATACAAACAAACAAAAAGAGAGAACATTATCATACGAAGCTTGAATTACATTATATACGAACAAAGAGTAATATGACAACAAATTAGAAAAGATGTTTTTTCAGACAGTCGTCTTGAAAACTGTGAGAGTATGGCAATTATTAAGTATACAGGGCGGCATGGGTGTCGATCCCGGGGGGAAGGGGGGGGGGGAATATACCCCCCCCCCCCCCAATATTTCAGGTGGGGGATGGCCTGTACAATCATCCCCCCCCCCCAATAATTCACCATCAAAAAAAAAATCAAGAGAAAAATTAATGATGAGAGCCTGATGAGAGTAATTAATGGTTATTACTCGCAAGATGACCATCAATATACACATTTTGCTATCTCATTTTCATAATACATAATTATATACGAAGTAAATGAGACAACCGTATATGAGACAAGAATAAATTGAATTCTCGCTCATACGGCTTCATCAGGAATTGATCAATTTATTCAATTTATTCAATCAACAGCATCATAGTGCGCCAAATGCAAAGACGCAGCGTTAAATCGCAACAAGCTAAATGTTAGGCGCGAAGCGCAAAAGTAGCAATCTGCAATGCACATCAGACAATCCTGGACAATGTAAACATAGATGAACTCTGTGACGAATTCGTGATGAGATCGGAGACAAGGATTAAGATTCGAGAATGGTACATCGAATGGTCTTCTTTCTTTAATAATCTAATGAAACATCAGAGCTTCCGCGCTACGCGCGGAGGAAGAGGAATTTGATTCAAACAAGGATTAAGAGTCGAGAACGGTCCAACGAATCGTTTTCTTTCTTTAATAATTTAATGAAACGTCAAAGCTTCCGCGTTTTGCGCGGGGGAAAACTAAATTCAGACAAGATTTAAGAGTCGAGAATGGTACATCGAATCGTTTTCTTTCTTTAATAATCTAATGAAACGTCAAAGCTTCCGCGCTTCGCTCGGGAGGGTGGGGACTGAATTCAAACAAGGATTAAGAGTCAAGAATGGTACATCGAATCATCTTCTTTCTTTAATAATCTAATGAAACGTCAGAGCTTCCGCGCTACGCGCGGAGGCAAGGGAACTGAATTCAGACAAGGATCAAGAGTCGAGAAGGGTCCAACGAATCGTGTTCTTTCTCTAATAATTTAATGAAACGTTAAAGCTTCCACGCTTCGCGGGGAAGGGGGAAACTTCCTCTCCCTGCACCCAACCACCCTAGGGACCGCGCTTCGCGTGTCCACTACCGCCCCCCCCCTAAAATGAAATCCTGGCTACGCGCTTGGGGAGGGTTGCAACCTGCCACACGCTTCTACCTCTTGGTTGCTTTGATCCATTGCCGAAAATATTTTGGCACCTATCATCCCCCCCCCCCCCAACCATGGATACAAATCAACACCCTTGCAGGGCGGGTAAGGAGTTCCTGGTTTGGGGGGCAATATTAAACAGGAAAAAGCCCTATCACCTATTTTGTTTACTGGTTCGAGTGACAGTAAGTGTTTAACTGGCTGATCGTGTATTATACATGTACATAGATGTGTGCGAATGGAGTAGATCACCCAATTATGCTGGGGCCTGACTATTAAGACACTAAAAGGCAAGTCTTATGTATGATACGATTATTAACGCGTAGTCAGTGAAAATCAGTTGTGAGAGGGGAGACATGGACAAATTTCGGTTTACAATGACAGAGCTGTGCATGCTGCTTTATTTTGGAGGAGTTGAAGGGGGATAAGATATTCCTGATATGAACGCCCCCATAATGAACCCACAAGGCTTAAACCAGTGCTAAGCCGGATGTGCTCACCGACGGAATATACAGGCCCCCGTTGCATAAAACTTACCATTGATGGTAACTTTGCCATCAATATTAACCACCATGGCAACATCACTCAACAGCCAATCAAATCAAGATTTCCATGGAAGTTATCATTAAACCCCCTTGTATAACTTATTTGGTATGGTATAGGAACAGAAAAACAAGAGAAACAGAATTGGGAAAGTTTGAACTAATTCAGGCCAATAATGAGGGGGTTACAAAATGCTTGAAAAGATGCGATCACAAAATCCATGCAAATCTCAAATTGCATGGCAATATGGAGAGTAGGTTGTGCCGTAGTCATGGGATAACTTTCACGTTTGTCGTGTACAAAAATATAGTTTATTTCTCTTTTTCTTCGAAGTGTCTTCTCTCTTGGAGCACTACTCAAAATATATTATGGAAAGCATATTATCGTATAGATCCTTTAAAATGAAAAGACCCTCCATAATTTTACATTTTTGAAGAAAAAAACCCCCAACATTTAACACTTTTGGGGAAAGCAGTACCCGTTTCAGCCAATTTGAAGTGCCCAGACGTAAAGTGATAAAAACTTTTAAAAAATGCATAACTTTTTTTTGTTTGTATGTCCGATTTAATTCAAACTGTCATCAATCTGCTAGTCATATTTTTCTGCTTTTTCATTGCCTGTTAAGGTTGGATTTCCCTGTAATGGTAAGTACTGCGAGCTGCTTGTTTGATGTGTTTTTACAATATACCAAACCAGTAAATTATTCAATTCAATTATGCAACGGGGCCAAAAATACACTTTTAATAAACACCCAATTAGACAATAATATTATTATATAGAAGAGATATAAGGGTAGGACATATTAATAAGTTTTTGTCTAATTCTGAGAAGATATACTGCTCGTAACGCTTGATGTAGTGCTTGAAATAATTCATGTAGGATTTACAATTGACAAATTGCATCAGTTTCTGAATGGTCAATAATGGAATCCGATATGTAACTGAGTGTTTGTTCGATGTCATGATGATTATCCTGCTCGGCTGTTTCTTGTGTGGAGTTTTCAGAAGGCGATTCTTGGTTTTTGTTTTTCGATTCATCTGTGGAGAGTTGGAGTTGGACTGTTCTCGGTAAGGTGCTTTGATCTGGTTTGCTATGTCGGAGGAAAAGTCGTTTTAGGCAAGGAATGGCTAAGATGAAAGCTCGGCGGTAGCGCTTGTTTGATAAGGTATAAATAAAAGGATTCACCGCGGGGTTGATGTAGGATAGAGTACGAAATGCCCACACTAATTGACGCGTCCGTGTTGCGACGACGGCATTGGTATCAGTTACTAATCCTTCTATCATTCTATAGAAAGAAAATATTTGAAACGGAGATAGTAAACAAAAGAATACGACGCCATTGATGACAAGCATACGAACAACTTGGTTTCTGGTGCGCTGGTTTCGCGCGTTGATGATTCCATGAAGACGCTCATTGGCTGCGATGGATCCCGGATGTGCGCGCATCCGCGTTGTAAGTGCTTTAACGATGCGCACATCCATGTACACATTGACGATCATGACCACGATGAAAGGAATGGTTTGTATCCCATTCGCGATATAATTTGCTGCAATAGAACCTACAGGCTCACATTTCCCAACATCGAACGGAAAACTCGAGTAAACATCTTCATCAGGCCAAATTACTTGGTAGTCATTGTAAACTGCGTGCGAGGGAATCAAACAGAAAGCAAAAAGTAACGCAACAATCCAAACCGTAACAATAGTTCTGACAGTCCTCTTTATCCCACTAACCACACGGTGCCGCAAAGGCTTGCAAACCGCGTAAAACTTCTCGGCCATTGCAGCTGTGATGAGAAACATGGAGGCGAAGAAACAGATATTGGTGGTGTAGTAGAGGAGGGTACACCCCCATACCCCCAAAACTCGTTGATCGTCAACCATGGGCGACGCCAGATACAAGGCGAGCTTATCCCCCGCTGCCAAGCTCAAGAAAGATAAGTCAGAAACGGCCAGGTTCAGTAAATAATAATTGGTGATGGTGTGCATGTGCCTCAAACGCAATACCACAAAAATAAAAGCCAAGTTCGCAAATACTCCGATTCCGAGGATGATGGGAATAATGATGACGATGAGAATTCGTTCGCCCTCTGTATATTGTAGAAATGACGCTACGTCGGTTCGATTTGTTAGATCGCAGTGGGTCGGGTCCTCTCCAGAACATGTTCCCTCAGCCATCGTGACTATACAACTTGTCCACAAAACGCACTTTCGTCTAATATATACTTGACGAAATTAAGATGATTTTGTCAAGGCAAATATAAACAAACATCGGGCGTTTCAAATGGCGTATAAAGCACGGGGTCCGGGCATAGAAGGAGCGCTGGAATTATTGGGGGACATCGGTCTATTACACAAAAGAGTTAGTCCACTGTGCAAGAGGAGGCCGGGTTCGGAGAGGGTGTTATCATCGGTATGTCGTTGCTTTCCCTGTTTTCCATTTTCTCTCTCTCTCTTCCACCCCCTATATCTTTGTCTTCGCCATTGAATATATTGGGGTTGGTGGGGGCAGTCTGGGTGAGGGGGGATATCCCCGACTCCCCTGTAGCTGCAGCACCACTGGGTGTTTCAATTTAGCATACAACATCATCAATCTACGTTTAGTTCAATATTTACCAACGTTCATATATTCATCCTCTATCTCTGAGAATAATTAATCTTATCATTTCACGCTTCCAAGACGTGGGGCAGGTATATATCAGCAACACGGTCCGACATCACCCAGCAATGTGATATCCAAAGTGCAATAGTTGCCAGGTTACACATTTCTCACCAATTGCGACGGACAACCAAAATGATATTAAGCCTATACTAATTAATACAGAGTTCAAGAAGAAAATGACTAATTAATATTTAATGACAAAATGATTGAGGTGAACATTATTGTAGGCCTACGTGTACGTACAAAATAGTTAGAAAACTAGGGTAAATGTGTGCAGGGGTGGTTCAGATTCATGAATTCGAAAGTTTTACAGTGACAGTTGACGAAAAAACAAAAACATATTTTTCAACATCTGTGTTCATTTCTTTGTTCGTTCCCCCTTCTCTTTCTCCCTTCTCTCTCTCTCTCTCTCTCTCTCTCTCTCCCTCTCTCTCTCTCTCTCCCTCTCTCTCTCTCACCCTCTCTCTCTCTCTCTCTCTCTCTCTCACCCCCCCTCTCTCTCTCTCTCTCTCTCACACCCTCTCTCTCTCTCTCTCTCTCTCTCTCTCTCTCTCTCTCTCTCTCTTCCCATCTTCTTCCCCCGCTCCTCACATTTCCCTATCCGTCGCTCTGCTCATAAAATAATATCATCGGTTGATTGATTGACTTTATTTTATTTCACATGCTCGAATGTAGTATACTGAACACAAACACAACATACAAAAATGAAGGATATTAAATCTGTAAACAATATTATATACATTGATATCGTTCAGTTGCAGTAATGACAATTACACAAATTGGAAATTTTAAACATTATTTAAGGTATTTCTATTAAAAAGCGTAGCTTGTACTGGTAAGCTTTGGAGTTTTTTGAAGTGGGACCAAAACACAATCAGGATGGAATTCACTTATGTACGATTAGGGGATACGGGTCGACCAGTGGGTGGGGGCTGAGGAGTATTGGGTAAAATAGTAATGTTATGGCATGGACCTGGTGGAAAATTTGCCTTTATATTTGAACGTTGAGGTGTACGTCATTCGACGTTCTTATTAATATACAATAAGAGGGATGTTAAAGCAGAAGCCGGTATTTTGCTCCGGGATTTTCGGTCTTTATTAACGTGTTTAAACAAAAGTGTTTTGATTCACAGGCCAGCGTATAGTCATTGAAATGAGGGAATTCGATCCCATCTTCCGTCTAGCCTTTAATGTTAGAATGTTGAAATGTTAGAATGTTGAAATGTTAACTGTTATAAATGAATTTTGGGTATATTTGATTTGTAGTATACGAAAATAATTTACTCATGCTCAATTTTATTTTTTCAAAATGCGATATAAACCTGCAATAGATAACAATAAAAATAAATTGAATAACATACACGAAATGTAGACAAAAAACAAGACATATCGGTAAGAGGAAGGTTAAAAGAAGAAGAAGAAATTGTTACGTAAGCTATTAATATAAGAATACTAATTATACTAGGGCTTGAGATATTAAGAACAATTTTTGAGTTATGAAATGGTGAAACCCGTGTCATTTATGTGGCTAGCTTCATTATTAGAATTAAAGTTATATGAATAAAAACAACGAAAACATCTACAAAAATAGCAACAGCAACATCATCATTATTATTGTTGTTGTTGATGTTTTTTGGTAGTATTATTTTTATTTTAAAAATAATTATTATTGACATTATTACTGCTAGTACTACCTGTGGCGGATCCAGGAATTTCTTACCGGGGGGGGGGGGGGCACAAAATCGCACGGGGTAAATATAAGAAAAACGATGGAGCGAGGCAACAGAGGCGAGGGAGGGGAGCGACCAAGCGGTGTTGGGTCTGGGAGGGGGTCAGAACTCCCTCCCTGAGTAGGAAGCATTTGCAATTTTAGAATCACATTAGGCGCATTTTTAGGCATTTCCTTGGGTAATATGACGTAAAATTGCTTTCTACTACCCCCTCCAAGAGTAGAGATCTTTTGCAATTTGAGAACCACATTTGGCACATTAATGTCCACCGGCACTTCCTGGAAAAAAGCTTTCACGTTTCATTAAATTATTAGAGCAAGAAGACAATTAGTTGTACCATTCTCGACCTTCAATCCTAGTCTAAATTCGTTTGCATCCCCCCTTCCGCGTGAAGCGCGGAAGCTTTGATGTTTCATTAAATTACTTTTAATCCTTGTCTGAATTCAGTTTTCCCCCTCCCGCGGAGGCTTTCGGATGATTCTCAAAATTATTTGAGACAGAAGACGATTCGTCGTACCGTTCTCTATTGTTAATCCTTGTCTGAATTCAGTTTCCCCCTCCCCCGCGAAGCGCGGAAGCTTTGACGTTTCATTGAATTATTACTCTTAATCCTTGTCTGAATTTAGTTTCCCCTCCCTCTCGCGGAAGTTTTGACGTTTCATTAAATTATTAGAGAAAGAAGATGATTCGTACTGTTTTCGACTCTTAATCCTTGTCTGAATTCAGTTTCCCCCTTTCCGCGCAAAGCGCGTAAACTTTGACTTTTCATTAAATTATTAGAGAAAGAAGACGATTCGTTGTACCGACTCTTAATCATTGTCTGATCAAAAGATTACATGAAATGCAATTTATCATGCTATCGCTGCCTCTCTTCTATCGTTGTTTAATTCTCTTTCATCTTTTTACCTTTCTCCTTTAACTCACAAAAATTGTCTCTTTCCCCCTTTTTCCATCTCTTTTTTATGGTTCTTATTGTGCTTTTGGGGGAGGGGGGTACACGCCTGGCAAGAGGGACCCCATATTATGTAGACTGCGAAAGTGCGTGCCCCCCGCCCCTTTCCCGGTAAAAAAAACTACTTCTTATAATAATATTATCCCCTCTCTTTCTTTTTCCCTTCTCATTATTCTCCTTCCCCCCCTTTTGTATCCTCCGTCTTTCTCCCTTTCTTCCTTTTGCCGCATTTTTTCTCCTCTCTCTTCCCCTTTCTTCCTTTCCCCCTCCTTTTTCTTCTCTCCCCTTTTCTCTCCTCCCTCTTTTCTTCTGCTTTCTCTCATCCCTTTTCTTTCTTTTTCCCCTCCTTTTTTTTTTACCGGGGGCCACGTGCCCCCTGTGCCCCTCTGGATCCGACATTTTGCCCCCTTGCGAAATTGTCCCCAGAGGTAAGGGATAGCGGAGAGCATTATCAAAGTCTATTTTGTGGTCCCACTGTTCCCTCAGATATCCTTCTCTTGTCCAAGTCCATTTCATCTTTCTCCCCAATCATTCTCTTGTTCAACCTGTAAACGAAAGAAAAGCGTCTGTTAGGCGATTCCATGCAATTTGTCTATAGCGGCTAAGCATGATGACGTCTGTTTCTGATTCATTATCTACAAAAAATGTGAAATATCTTGAAATGTGAAATGACAATTTTGTACCGGAGAGAAACGTTTTCAATTTTTTTTTTAAAGGTTTTCATTTTGTATTAAATACAGTCAAGCCCGTCATCGTAGCCACCTTTCTCGACTCCCTCTATAAAGAAGAACATGTCAAGAAGGTGTACCTATCTACTTCGGCAGTGGTGGATCCAGGGGGGGGGGGCGGCACCCCTGGCGCTCAAGGGGGGGGGGGGGGGTTCAAATTTTCGAGGGCCAAAAAAAATGTCCTCACTACCCCCCCCCCTTCTCCCCCCCCCCCCTACTGAGCGAATTTTCGGCGGCGCGATTTGCACATTTTAGCAAACAAAATTAAAAAATTGGGCCCCCACCCCTAAGAAATCCTGGATCCGCGCCTGTACTTCGTTCAGTTTCCCCTTTTTCCTTTGGTGGCAGATTTTAATGGATAAAAGGCGTCCTTTTGAGTCAAGGAACTGCCCTTTTTAAAAATAAACTGAGTTCCACATAGGCTCGAAGTTGCAATACACTTCTTTGTGTTCCAAAAACAAGCTTCACATTTCGGATTTTTGCTTCTCTAGCTGACTAAATATTTATTTTCAATGGTATTTTATTGATATAACAAAAACTGTCAAATTGTTAACCAATTTAAAGCTTGTCTTAAGACACATTTATTCAAAATGACTCTGTTCACATTGATGTGTATTTCATAATTGTAATTTGTAGGTTTATTTACACTTTTTTTTATTTTAAATAATATTTAATTGTTTATCAGTCTATTTTGTTTGTTATAGCGCTTAGAGACTTCAGTGGTAAGTGCTTTATAAGTAACGTTGTTATATTATCGTTTCGCATAAAAGAAGTAAATTGCAATATGGAAATAAAATAAAATATATAGTCTATGTGACATTTTATATTATGCAAAGGGCAATTTTACATGTTGATAAGTTTTCAGAAATAATAATGATAATGCGTTGGTACTATTAAACTAGGGCGCTGTGATGGACACATGTTTTTTTTTTAATTTTTATTTAATTGACTTCAATTATTGACATGGTTCAATTTTACAGTTCTGTGGGTTCAATCCATCGAGAAAAAAAAATCCTTCTAATTCTTGGTGCAAATCGCATATCGATGTCGTTAAATGACGTTGAGGGCGTACATACTATTTTGTTCTGATCAACGTTTACGTTTGCCTACTCGTGAGTATTCATGAAACTTTACATTATTTATTTATAAAATCACTAAGATGAGTGAGTGAATTTCGTTTAACTGGTGTATAAGACTGTAAAAATGAATCTTATTATTAATCATAGTGATTGAAAAACGGCTCGCATATTACAGCAAGACGGGTTGTTTATTTGATGTCAGTCCCACATAGGCTGTTTTGTGTTTGTGTGAGATATGGTCTAGAGTCTGTTTTTGTGTGGAGACTGGAGCTGGAAAACATCAGCTCCAGAGTCCAGGGAGCTCGGAGCGTCGGTGTCGGAGCTCCCTGGAGGCAGGTGCAAATGTTCATTAATGACATGGAAGGGGAATGATTCATTTTTAGCCAGTGCTTGCCAAAAACTGAAGAAGTTGTAAAATTTGGAATTATTCAATTAGGCACTCCAGCAAAGATAGAGACTTTAGTCTAGAGAGTCAATGCTAATGCGTATTGACCTCTAACAGTTAGTGCTGCACTACGTCCATGCTAATAGGCAGCAGTTGCACACATGAATGGTATATTCAATACACAAATAAGCAAGTTTGACAGTAGAATCACAATTTTAATTTTTAACTTATTCTTTCCAACATCGGTGAGTTGAAAAAAATTGTATTTTACTGGTATTTAGGTGTCATCAATTGTCACTAAAGTACCGATTTTTAGTGACATGTTGAGAGTCAATAGAACAGGTTTTCATACACAGCCAGGAAAGTAATGCAGCTATGTGTGGAATTTGGAAAAAATAACTTCTATTATGAAAGACCCATCACATCCACTATTTTCTTGTTTTACTTTTAACCGCTCAGGAATCCGCCTGCGTGTACCAATTACCTGTAGAGCCAGATACAGAAATTCTTTTATTCCAAATTCCATGCACATCTATAATGCACAAGTATCACAAAATTCTCAGCTTTAAGCGAAATAATAGCGATTATGATTATTTGTTAACTTTTTCTCTACCCACCCAGTAAATAAACTTGTAGGGATTGGGTTGGAAAGTTTTCCACCTTATCACCTTTGTGGGTCAAAACATCCGTTGTTAAGCTCTGCTGCTGATTTTGTTGTATTTTTCTGTCATGCATTATAATCTGATTGGAAATTATGCCATTTCTCCTTCTCTATCTCTCCCCTTTCCCTTTGGACCCTTACCAACTCTCCCTATATTTCTCTCTTTTATCAGTCCTTCGAGCTTGAGGTCTCTTTTCCTTTCTCTTTCTGCTCGTATTTCGATTGTGATGCTGCTCCTATTCTACTTTCATATTCACATCTATATTCATACCTGAATTTATTCATGATGTGTTTCAGAATTGTATTTAAAATTCTTGATATGTATAAGTCATATAACTGTCTTGTCATGTTTTGTGCTGAAAGCCAGAGGACCGTACCTGCTCATAGACTTTTTCTTATATAGTCTTGACGCCCTTCTGGCTTTCAGCACACGACACCATGTTTTTGTCTTATGTTTTATGTATTACATGTTATACCAATGGAAAACAAATTTCGGTATTATATTATGGACAATAAAATCTTGAATCTTGAATCTCGGAAGTTTAACTTACGATTTCAGAAGACTTTCCTTCAAAATATTTGGAAGTTAAACTCTTTACCATGTTTACTTTAGAAGACTTCCAAATTCTGAGTTTGAACTAAATGCCGAAAAGAAAAATGTCTTTTGTTGACTATAACCTGATAACTATAACCTTTGAATGTGATTTATTTATTTCCAGTTGTAATGAGGGTAAATGTGTTTTTAATTTTGTTTTATTTGTCAGAAATATGAAGAGCAAAAAGCACAAGAAGGACAAGAAGAAGCAAAAGAAGAAGAAGCACAGACAGAGAAATGAGACTTCTTCTGAGGTAAATTCATCATGGAAAATGAGAGTATTCTCAAGTCATTCCGATAGAGGACTTCAGTTCTCGCCCAATCCAAATTGCTTTTCGAGGGCAGGTCAAGAAGTTACATACAGAGTGTCTGTCTAAAATGCCTAATCAAGAAATGTTAAGGACTATTTACTCACACATTTAAAGGATTACCTTGAAAACCAGATGACTACACTGGAGTGACAAGAGTCCAGCAGCAGGCAAGGACATGTGCAAAACCTTGTGTTAGAGTCCCAAAGGAGCAATTCCACTTGATTAAGATATAGTGAATAAAAGGTACTACAATGTTTGCTCATCTTGCAATGTAATAGAGTACCAAAGCTGTGATGTCATTAAAATCTTCTTTTAGAATTTCTCAATTTTTTTCTTCATTTTCCGAAAGAGCATCACAAATAATGTCCAAACGTCGAAACCAATTTAATATATATATAAGTATTTTTGATGCTCTTTCGGAAAATGAAGACAAAATTGAGAAATTCTAAAAATAGATTTTTGATGACGTCACACTTCACCACTCTATAGGTGAGGTTTTATTGATGAGTATTCTGGCGTAGTTGCCTCTGCAACTTAGAAGCCCACTGCGGCTGAAATTGACAAAACCCTTCATATGCCTACCTACCTAGGTTTTGGGAGTTGGCATGTCTGAATTAAAAATTAAAAAATTAACATTCTAAAGGGGACCAATCACATAGGACAATAATTTAAAGAAAAAAAGAAGAAGAAAACATTGTAAAATATTCAGAAGGTGAAGGAAGAAATGCACGAAGGGAAAAGTAATTCATAGCAAGGCTCATGTGTAGCATACTTTGGATGGTCTATTATATGAATGAAAACACACAAGTTAAAAAAAAAAAATATTTATAATATAAATATACTTCCATACTAACGTAACCAACCAAAGAATCTTACAAGTACATGCTTGACGTTCACCTCCTACAGGGTACCTACTTAATGTAGTATTCATACAAAAGGAAGGTATGAAGTTACCCTTATGGAGCAAATAGTTTCTGTGGTAATTGGTCCCCTTTCACATAAACCATACTTGAGGTATTGTCATATTGCTTCTTTCAGGAGAGTTCTGAGCCTGAGATGGAATGGGTAGAGTCGACATCTTCCTCCTCCCTCCAACCTCCCAAGGCACCATCCCCTGATCCTGTCCCTATTACTGCAAGTCAGGAAGATTCTCCTTTGCCTCAGGTAAGTGCAGTCTCTTCCAGTGTACACAATACTTCTTTGTTGGTAGTAGCCTATAATCTAGGCGGAGTGCCGAGCTTTTTTCTTTGCTGCTAGACTAACCTTAAGCAGAACGTCTGATACGGCGAGACTACGAACCGTGAGCCGTGAAGCGGCTCACCGCCTATAATCACTGGTCTAGCTTTAGTCGTTGTTTTTTTATTATCGACCATGAATCCGTGTCAGTTTTTCGTACGAAAAAACCTCATGAATACGAAATGAACTCAACCAATCAGAAACACGTATGGAGAAAAGTCTATGCATATGCATATTATAAATCATGTGACATTACGTCATTTTCTTCGTCCAAGATGGCGGGTAGTTCATGCGACGACGATCTTCTGCGAGAAAGTTTATCATATGCGGCCAACAAACTAGGCATTCCTAATGGAAAATTCAGAGAACTGCAGGAATCCGCTATTCGTAGCGTTATTGAAGCCGGCAGGGATATTTTTGTTGCATTACCTACTGGTTTTGGAAAGAGTGCAATATACCAAGCAATCCCCTTGTGCTGTGATTTTCTACGCGACCACGGGTTCTATGATCATGATGACTCGAGCGCAATCTTTTTTTGTTGCGGTTTCTTATATCTGATTTGTCGAACGTAACATAGGTGTACCTTATTTGGTAGGGCTGTTGAATGATTCATAGATCCGCCATTTTGAATATATATGAATATTGATTAGCTAGACCAGTGATTATAGGCGGTGAGCCGCTTCGCGACTCACGGTTCGTAGTCTCGCCGTATCAGACGTTCTGCTTAGGGTTAGTCTAGCAGCAAAGAAAAAAGCTCGGCACTCCGCCTAGATTATAGGCTATGTTGGTAGCAACTCTTCACCAAACTTTTCAGAATTCACGCTAAAATCAGCTTAATTTCTTTTTGGATTTGCTGTAGAGGAAGTGATATGTCATCACAGATATTCTTAAATATATTTTGTTTTAACATAGTTCTAGGTGTAATAGAAGTTTCCTGCTCTTAGTAAAATATCTTACCTTGGGGGCATCCAGTGATGTAGCCAAGGTCAGCATCGGTCTGGGGATTTAGATGTCTCTGTCTTGATTCCGAGACCGAATGCTAAATGGAATTTACTTGTTGGCCTCACTAACATCTACCAATGTGTGTGTTTTGCACCAGTTAATGTCTTTTTTAAAACTCTTTCTTTTGTTTGTACATTGAATTGCAGAATATATTAAAGATGTGTAGCAAATGTAACCATGACTATTAGCCATTTTGTCTCTTTTGTTTGTGCTTGTGAATATTTTTTTAAATTGGTATGAAGGATGAAGGTTAAAAACATGAATTCAGCTCGTAAAGAGTCGACTCAGTACTATCTCTGTTTCTCTGAATACATTTGCTCTGGCTGAAATTTTGTCAAAAATATAGGGATAGAGCATGGGATGAGATTAATCTTAGGTTAGATTTAGGGATCTGATTAGACAGTGTTTTGTGAATGGTTGAATTTGGACATTTGTGATACAAATTCACTGCATAGCGATTGTTGCCAAAACATATATAAACAATTAAAAAAAGAAAGCAGATGTTTAAATTTTTAAAATTTATTGAAAGACCTCCATTTTGAAACAGTTGGTCAAACATTCAATACACAACATTGAAACATTGTTACATAATAATTAATAATATTTAAACATTATAGAACTTTCAGTCAACAAATAAATTGTAATTCCTCAAATTGGCAGGTAAATTTCAAGCCATTAGAACAAACAGTATGAAAAGTAAGAGAGATGGAATACAGTCACAGAGAGAGAGAAAAACAGAATGAGATATAGAGAAAGAGAGAGGGTGTCATCAATTGTCACTGAGGTACCGATTTTTTTTAGTGAACTCAGTCTCAAAGAGAGATGCTAATCATAATTTTTAGAAAAATGTCTCCAAAATTACTTGGTGACCCCCTAAAACGGTAATTTTAGACAAATTCTGTAAAACTAGTAATTATTGTGTGCATGAATTTTTAATGAATTTAGTAATAGTTCAAATTTACAAAGCTTCATGCCACAAAAATTTTGACTCACAACCGATACAACACTTATTTCTGCAATTTGCAAAAGTCTGTTGCCTTTGAAAAAAATTGTCGTAAACAATTTGCAAAACGTTCATGTTGTGAAGTTTAATACATTGGTTCTGCAGTATGCAACCTAAATTTTGAGTAAGAATTAAACGTTAATAATTCTTTTGAAAGTAGGGGCTTGAACCTAGATAACACTTTTTAAATAAATTTTGTCATTCTCAGTGTAAATTGAATACCTCGCCCTGAATCTAAGATTCTGAATACATTACGCTTACATTGTACAAGAGTAATGTTATGAATGTAATACACAAGTTAACAATGTCAAGTTTAAATACAACATAACAAATTCTGATTGTTTAAATCCCCATAACTACCAGTATGCATTCTAACATTGCCATTTACACATTGCCATTGTCTGGTTTTTTGGTCTCACCCCTCAAAACAAAATGAAACTGATGAGGGTAATGAAAACTGCAAGTAAGGTAATTGGCTTACAGGTTAAACAACTCGAAGAGATAGCTAATTCAGCTGTAATTGATAAGTTAAATCACATCACTAAGGGTGAAACTCATCCTAATAATACACATTTTGTTTTGTGTGTTAAATAGCCTCAATGACCTTTTTGTGAAAAGACAAAATCTATCCCCATTGACTTTAGAAATTGAGGTAGTCAAATAATTTACTGGCCCATGCTAGTAATAACTTTTCTGGTAATACATTGCTGATGTAACATCCATTTTTATCTTGTAAAACGTTGAAAATGGATAATATTATTCCAATGTTGATCACAGAAATAGACAAAAAGATCTGACCTCTTGTGTACGTATGCTTATATCTCGCGTGAAAGCCAATAATCTGAGGAACTTACTCCTGAAAGTCTGTAAATGTCATAAAAATGATTGGGAAAAGTAGAGATCTGTACATACATTGTACTACATGTACATAACAGTCTCAACATTGTTTTTGAGATTTTATTTGATTGTCCATTCAGAGGAGATAATCAGAGGATTTTTTTGCTTGTTTCTTCAAATTCTGTTCTTCCAATTCTCCCTCCTCAGCTTTTCTCTTTCTTCGTCCATCATTTCCTCCTTCACTTTCTTGGACAGTTTCATTTTGCTGAGTCACCGGTATCTGAGGTGTGATTCCTAATCTTGCTCCAACAAGCTTCACAAACTCTTCCATGTCGGTTCTTATGTTATGAATATCAGAAGCCACTTTGGTCTTTATGGTCTGAATCTCTGTTCTTAAAAGGCTAATCTCATTCCACACCATGCCCAGGTCAACTTTGGTTGCAGGTTTGTGAATTTCTTTCAGGTCAGCAGTGAGAGGATTAGATGTGGATTTGGGGTTGAGTTTATGTTTGTAGCGCTCTTTGGCGGAACTTGGCAGCATGACGGTAAGGAGTAATCCCATCCCTGCTGTTGCTGTTTTTGATGGGGAAGCACCAGCCTGTGCAGATGCCTTTGAAGATGATGATGTCCTGTCACTAAGATCCTCGTCACTTGTGCAGGAACGCACGCTTGCTATTTTGATGCCCGGTGATTCTGCTCTGTTAGTTGTCAGAGGTGATTCATTCCTTTTATCAGGCGTCTCACTTGAGTGATTGATAGCAGGAGAGACGGTACCTGTTGCAGAAAGTCTATTTAAATCTTCTTGTTGAAGGTGTAACAGAGAGTGTACAGGAGGGCCTGGTGGTCTTGATCCCGATGGACATGTGCAGTTGACATGGGCCCCCGGTACTGGAAAGCGCAAGGCATCTGGTGGTAGCGCTACAGGAACCATACCAGCAGGAATAGATCCTGGAGGAAACATGTGAGCTGGAAAGACTCCTGATGGCCTTGCACTAGCTGGTGCCAGACCTACAGGAACCATCCCTGGGGGTAGCAATCCTGCGGTCAAAGGTGCTCGAGTCGGTAGTATCCCCGGTGCAGCTGAAGTGGCCGACTGTGGATTTGGAAACACTCCAGCAGAAGGAAGTGCTGCGTTTGATTGTGTACTTAGATGCTGCAGTGGGGATGATTGGAAACTAGACCGTCCTTCCTGTTTAATATTTTGAATTGGAACAGAAGGATTTTCATCGTTGGATCTTCTACTTGGAGTGTCTTTACCACTTTGTACATTGGATTTCGGGCTTCCTTCCTCAGAATCTGATTTAAAAATAAGGTTACAGGAGTCTAGGGGGATCCCCATGAAAGGTTCTTTCATCTGCCCAGTAGCGTCAACAGGAACTAAAACATCCAGGGAACCTGCAGGACTTGGATGCAACTCTGGGATATTCACAGTCCGATTTTCTGGCATAAAGATTGCACGTGTTGGGGGACTTGACATATCCTTGAAACTGATGTTTGTCTGTGGCTTTAAAGTGTCCTGCAGTATGTTGCTTCCGGGATTAACAGGAGTAGAAGTTACAGCCACAGAAGGTCTGGTAGGTAATGCTGGTACTGAGTTCATGATTCCAGAAGGTACAGAATTTGAAGTCATGGCCACAGAAGGTCTGGTAGGTAATGCTGGTACTGAGTTCATGATTCCAGGAGGTACAGAACTTGAAGTCATGGCCACAGAAGGTCTGGTAGATAATACTAGACCTGTGTTCATGACTCCATTATTTTGCGGGAGACATGCAGCTTGCAGAGGTTGCTTCGGGGCTATCGAACGATACACGTAAGGTGGTGGCGGCAGTCTGGGTTGTGCTGGAGGAATATCGGGCAAACTACCCTTACTCTCACCTTTACTATGATGAGCTGCAAGATGAGCTGTAGCCTTGGCCAAAGTAAGCGGTTGATGAGGTGCCCATTGGGGCATTGTTTTCTGAACATGTACTTTAACAGGACTTGGTGTTTCAATAAGTTGTCTTTTCACCACAACGTTTTTGTATTTAAGCCTCTTTTTGAACATTGAATGTCCTCGCTGAAGGTCTTTCAATAATTTCAATTTCAGTTTAGGCCTTTCATCCATTTGTTCTTTCAACAATCCCAATGTAGCCACATTTGGTGTGCTAACACCGTAAACTACTTCCATAATTTTCTTCAAGGTTTCCTCCGTCAAAGGTTCATCCAGATCGATGGCGCCAGACTGCGTAGATTCTTCTTCCTTGCTCTCACTGTTGGGTCCATCATTTTCGTCAGAGTCGCTTCCTGGATCAGGAATCCAATCACCGTCTTCTCCGTCATTCTCATCAATATCAAAGTCCGATTCCATACCACTCATATGATCATCACTTGATTGCTGGTTATCGCTTTTGGGAGACTTGGGCTCTCCCTCGATCCAGCCGTCCTCAGAAACCATCAGCATGGTACCTTCTGAGGGTTTCCCTTCCTGGGTGCCGGCAGTGGTGGACGATTCCTGATTGGGGACGATCAGCACAGTACATGCTCCTTGCGGTTGCATCTCCCCTGAGCCACTGGAGGTGGACGGTTGTTGATTTGATTCATCTAGTGCTTCACGGAAATGGTCTTCTTGGTTCTTCATTTCTGTAAAAATAAACGGAAAAGAATGAAAAAATACTCAGTTATTGTAATTGAATTGTAAAATTCAAATGAAAACTACATTGGTTCAGGTCCAAATGATTGATTAAATTTATTTATTTCAACCCAAAGCCCAAATGCAATTAAATCTTCATAGCAATTTGCTTTGAAAGAAGCAGAAAAACAAATTGGTGTAAAATTGACATAATTTGATAAACAATAAGAAAGTCATTAATTGTGGGAAAGCTGTAATCACTATACATAACTGAAAAATGTTTATGTGGTGTTAAAAAAAACTCCCCTATTTGTTGCAGCACATAATAAAACTGGAAAAATGACGGGATAGTTTTTATTCTGCAATACCAAATATTTAATAACTTTTTTCTCATTTTATCTTTTTCATGCAATTCAACATCATGTTCAAAAGATTTTTATTGCCCTTGCATCACTGATCACTGATCAATTGTACTATAAATACTAAATGGAAACTACATTGGTTCAGGTCAAAATGATTGATCAAGTTTATTTATTTCAACCCTAAGCCCAAAGGAAATTTGCTTTGAAAGCAGAAAAACAAATTGGTGTAAAATTGACATAATTTGATAAACAATAAGAAAGTCATGAATTTGGGGAAAGCTGTAATCACTATACCGGTACATAAGAATTTTAAACTGAAAAATGTTGATGCGGTGTTGGATAACACTGAACAAAATGACTGGATGGTTTTTATTCTGCAATACCAAACATTCAATAACTTGTTTTCTCATTTTATTTTTTGTCATGCAATTCAACATGTTCAAAAGATTTTTATTGCCCTTGCATCACTGATCACTTGTACAATATGCAATTTATCATTATTTGTGTAACTGTACTTTTTTATAATTTTTTCTTTTGTCAAATATTCCACCTTGATGTTTAGTGCACATTCTCTTTATGTGTGTGTGTGTGTACATGTATGTGTGTGTGTACATAAGATATGCCAGACTAGGTTTTGCTGGAGCCCTGTGTGGCACTTGCCTACCTATACCCCCATTTACGCAGCTACTAGACTATATGACGTATCAAATTTCCTCATACATGTGAGTGGCACTTGTTTGTCAGCCTATTTCATTCCTCATGATGGTTTTTTAATAATAGAATATGTGAGTTTCTCTTCCGCATGCTCCTCTGTTTCAGCTGGGGTTTGGACCCAGCCCCCCCCCCCTTCCCCACTCCTGGAACGGAGGGACCCCATTCATGTTACCAAAATGTCCGGTAATGGGGTACTTTTCTCGTAACACACACAAAAATCGGCCTGTATTGACTTTGGGGGTGTTTTCAAAAGGAGGGAACATGCATACGCATACCCTAAATAACACTGAGTGGGGGGGGGGGGGGGGGGTGGATTATAATTTGTAGAGGGGCACATATTCTTTGTGTACATATGCAAGACTTGATTTTGATGGATAGCACTACCCCCCCCCCCCCCTTGCTGCGACTAGCTCCTTGAGCAGTTGAGATGTAATGATGACCTCATTATTCGTACCTCATGAGTTCCACTACGGTAGTTAGCCTGGTTTTATATCTCATATTAATGCATAATTATTGCTCACCAATGCATTATTCAAGTCTTATGTTGTATTGTAGCCTATATCTGAATATATAAGGCTGAATTTTGCCAGATAATTGGGGGCACTGTAACATAATGATGTTGGTGCATGGTACTAAATGCGCTAACTGTACCCGCCCCCTCCTCCTCCTCCAACTTCTGAAACCGTCAATATTGACATGCCAAATCACAATACTGTATTTGCCGGCGTAAAGGCCGCAGTATTTTTGGAAAAGAAAATATCAAAAAGTCGGGGTGCGGCCTTTACGGCGAAAGAGTTAAAAAAAAAAAAAGTAAGTCAAAACCAGCACGAATTTGCACATATGGGACTACAAACGATACAATAATGGTACAGAACATTTCCACACATCTTACCGACAATTTTATTTTGCATTGTTGACATGAAGACGAAAATAAACTTCCAAAAACAACATCTGCCGATAGATCTTGATCTAAGTTCGTGCCAGTGCATTGCAAAAGTAAAAGAAGGGCCCGTTTAATGGAGCTGCCGCGAAGTCGCCATTTTGAAGCCATTTCAATATACACAAGAGCTATGGCGCAATACACAAGAGAGAGGTGCAATGTATACATCCAAGAAAACTGCAGATGATAGCATCAGTGCGGGATGGCCGAGCGGTCTAAGGCGATGATTTTAGTCACATCAACATTTGTACGCAAGAGATCAAATCCCGTCTTCGACAAAAGTTTTTTTTTTTTTTTTTTTTTTTTTAATGTCAAAATCAGGGGTGCGGCCTACAAGGCGCTGCGGCCTTATCCTTGGCAAATAGGGTACTTAATTCTGACAGATTTGTAAAACAGGCCCTTGATAATTACTTAAAGGGGGTGTAGCATAACAAGCCTGCCTCGGTGCCTATTGGGTTTACGACTCCAGACGACACAACCACAGTATGAACATGTGTGCAACATACGCGAAACCGAAGCATGAGGAGTACTTCAGTCTGTTTCTCGAACGCTAGCACGCGCTGACCATTAATTGAGTCCATTCGTTTACATGCGGTTGTCCAAAAGAAGTCGTAGAAAGCATTAACCAATATTTGCCATATGCTTCACCCCCTTTAACTAGCTTACAATGTTACTTCTATGTACATGTGCATGCATCCACATGTTTCATTAGGCGGTGTCACACAGAAAAATCCCTTAAAAAATCCCTTGAAAAATCATTTCAAGGGAGAATTTTCTTGCTTCGTTAAGGGATTTTTAATGGGATAATTGAACTAAAATCCAGATTTTTGGCCTCTGTGTGACACCGCCTGTATATTAGTAGGTATATTTGGCAATCTATTTGTATTTTACAAATTAATCAGGATTTCTCCGGATGTGTCGTTTAGAATACATTTTTTATATAACTCCCCATCTATCTATTCCCAGAGGATCTAGTGTATTGTAGGGCTCATGTTACTGGGACATGTCCTGAGGCATTAGGTCCCGGCCCCCCCCCCCCCCACTCGGTGTTATTAGGGTACGCATATGCGTGTTCCCAGCACCACCCCCCCCCCCTATTCTGAATAAGTCTGGTGTGTAAAGTCAATACGGGTAGATCTTTTTCTTTTTTACGAGCCAGAGATTTTGGGAACACGCATGCAGTCCCTCCATTCGATCCCGGAGTGGGGGGGGGGGGCCGGGCATTAGGCATGACTGATCTACAAGATTATAACCATATACATGTTGAGCAAGAATTTGAAAAAGAAAGACATGATATCGAGAGTGCTAATGCCCACAATTTTATATGATAAATATTGCATGCTTTATCATTTAATGGCATAGGTTTTCTCCATATTATTAAGAATTCCTCTTATACAATATCTTTCGACCGCAGTCTGCTGCCTCTGATAAAATTCTGAATAAAAATTATGTTGGTTTGATCATACTTACTCTGTTCATTTTGTTGATCTATATATTTGATACACTACAGGGCATGCAATAAACATGAATTGTGACTGAACATCATTAATATTTCATAGAGATCTAGATACTTACTTCTCAAATCTGTAATCTGTACTCTGCATGGCTTGATAAGTTGTGATGAAGTCGAATCCATGCTTGGTTTCAGATCCTCTCAAAACCTGCAGCTGCAGCTCACAGCATAAACATAATTTCAAAAAATGATCCGCTAGCAGCAGGGAAATGGATGTTGCCAGAACACAGTAATACTCCACAGCTAGAAGACAGAAGGCTACTTATGATGACAACTAATTAGTATCCATGCAGCAAGAGTGTAGCAGACAGCTACGTTATGTTCACAATGGACTTGTGCATGTACATGTAATGTAGGCCTAAAAAGCGCCAGCATGACCATACAGAGCTGCAGTGTTATGTGTGTGTACACTGGTGCATTGTTCTTTATTGCACACAGAGCTAGCTAGCTAGGAGCTCAATGCTTGCTGTACAATAATGTGGATGACTATTCTACACTTTCAGACCCTACAAAAAAAAAATTGGTATTGAATGAATGTATTTGATTTGTACCGTTTGATTTAATGATTTATTTTACCTGCCGGTCTGCTAAGAAACCTGATGCATGCTTGTTCAAGTTTCAAGTTTATTTTGTTTCACATTTCACAAAATAGAATTCACATAATAGAATTCTCATAATTGACAAAATTAGAAGATACAGTGTGTTTAAAATATACTAAAAGTATGACATTATATAATCAATTCTTTGTAAAGACATCAAAATTAATTGTATTGAATAGTAGGTTATACAGGGTGAAATGTGAGGAACCTATTAAAAAGCTCAGCTTGTAGATTATAGGTTCCCCTAAATAAAACTAACATTTAATCGAAATGGTTGCAATGGTGAAGGACGTAACAATAATAATAGGCAACTAGACCAATTATACTCACACTTGTTCTGCTTAACCCGTACTTTGCTTAGCCCCGCACTATCCTTAACCCCGGACTAACTTTTAGCGCTTTTCTCACTGCACTTCGTAAGCCCCGTATAGCCATAGCGATGATAGCGTAAATATTCATTTCATTCGCTCCACTGCGTAGTCCCGGACTAATTTTCGTTTCTGTTCTCATTCATTTGCTTGACACCCCAATGGCAGAGTTAGCACCACAATTGCGGGGCCAGCTAACCCTGTACCATAGGTGGGGCTAGCCCACTTTAGTAAATACGTGTCTGAACAGAAAGTGGAATAAGCTTAACCCTGGACTATAGGTGGGGCTAAGACCCCCCCTTTAACCCCACCTATAGTACGGGTTAAGCAAAATTTGGCCTGTGTGAAAACAGTATCTGTCCGTCTTTATTCTGCAATCGTATTTGTCCTCCCCCTGTTCATACACTCCACACAGCATGGTGTCTAGCTCCGGCCCTGATCTTACATAAGGCAAGAATGAAAGGCAAGGTTGCTTTGAGGGTGTGTTATTTTCTCGGCTGATTAGGCCAGGCCTCCTTTTATAATTGGGAGATAGACGGACATGAGAGCATCCAACACCCATCCCACAAGTGAATCACAACCTCATCACGTGAAAAACAGAGTTCCAGTATCAGTATAGGCTATAGCCCTACTGTAGCTCGGAACAGACCAAACATAAAACATGATTATGATCACCAGCCCCCCCCCCCCCCACTCCCAAAATCTCTGGCTCGTAACAAAAGAAAAAGGTCTACCTGTATTGACTTTACACATCGGACTTATGCTGTAAAGGGGGGGGGGGTCCTGGGAACATGCATATGCATACCCTAATTAACACTGAGTGGGGAGGGGGGTTGGGTCACTAGTCCATGATACTCCGTAACCTTTGGACACAAACAAATATTTTGGACTTCCTCATTTGTATATAAACATGTATATGAAATTGAATTTTGTATTTTTTAAAAAATAATGCCCTCATGGCTCTGAACAATCAATATGTTTAATGAAATCTTCGTCAAATAGATCTACCTGCCTGTAACCTGTTGCCGTGACAGGCGAGTTGATCAATCAAATTTATATGTAATCAGTGACAGGCTGTAAATATTTTGCTCTTTCTTGTATGTACTGCTACTGTAATTTTATCATGGTTATAGTATGTGAATAACTTAGGCCTGAATATCCATGCATAGTATAGTATTAATGACTGCTTTGAGAGAAATAGTTGTTTTATTACGCTCAAGGGAAGGTTAGAATTGTGCTATTCCCCGAGGCTTGCCGAGGGGAATAGCCCAATTGTAACCTTCCCGAGAGCGTATGAAAACAATTATTTCTCGAATATTAAAGCAGTCATTAATACTTTTATATGCCGAAAAAAAATAGACTAAAAAATAAAAAATAAAAAATACTTTTTTTTTTGGTCGAAGATGAGATTCGAACTCTTGCATACAAAAGGTGATGTATTTAAAGTCAGCGCCTCAGACCTCTCGGCCATCGCGCGTTATTAACATGCTTGGCAGTTTTGTACGATATATACATTAAAATGGATTGAAACCGGCTTCGCGTGTGATGAATGCTTCGCAAAAGCTCCATGAAACGGACCCTTCTTTTACTTTTGCAATGCATATTGGCACGAACTTAGATCAAGATCTATCGGCAGATGTTGTTTTTTTGTTTTTGAGAGTTAATTTTCGTCTTCATGTCAACAATGCAAGATAAAATTGTCGGTAAGATCGATTGAGATTCAATTGTATTGAAATTGCCGACCAATTTTTCGCACACGTATGGTATCCTCCATCGCTCAAACCATTTTTTAACATGTAAACCTATGGGGTAACCATGGAGACTGACCTATTTTTTTAATAACCATGGTTATTAAAAATATTGAAATGTTTTATGCATGGTTACCGGGAATTTTACAGGAACAGTTGAAGTTTATGAATGCAATTCGACCAATCAGATGGCTGGATTTCTTAAGTGAGGTATATAATTTAGTATGTTTATGTAGTATTGTCTTGAAGTGATCCAGAATAGTTTTTTTATTTCTTCAATACATTGATTTTATTTTATTTTATTATGCTTAAAATAGAAAACTGCTTTACAGTCTGAACAAGTAGACTAAACTGTGTAGACTTTCACTGCTGAATGCCCCCCCCCCCCCCCCCTCTCTTGCTCTGTCTCCTTTATCCTCAACACGCAGCTTGAAAGGAGCGCAGGTTATCAATAGCTGAGGGCCAGGGCGCTGGCTAACAAAAGACTTCCTGAGTTGGTAGGCCAGGATTAGAGAAAAGGGATTTAATATGAAAGGTCAGGAGTAGATCGAGCTCCACCACCAAGCCAGGGATTTATTGATATGCAAATTACTTTGTGCTGCTGGGAGAATAATAGGCGCAGGTGGTGAGCAACCAATGGGGCGCAGGCTATGTTGCTTTTTAAAGAAAATAATTGACTCTTTTGTTAATATGCCTTTTGTTGCGATGCCTTTTGTTTGGTCCTTTGCCATGTCATTCTGGAAACTATACAGTGTACTTTACGTGACGCATGTCCTGGAAATGAGGAGTACTTCATTCTCTCAATTGAATTCGTATTGCTTTTATCATCTATCTTTCTCAAATAAGGTTTATAAGAAATTTTGAATGAACAAAATATATTTCACCCAATTATATGCATCTTTGAAATTATGTTTTTGTGTTCAAGAATTGTATGGCTTTTAAGAGCAATCCAGCAGTAGTTTTAAACAGTAGATTTATATGGTTGTTATATATGTTCATATATATATATAACCAACCAACCAAACAGCCATAGATATATTCAGCATTTTGAAAATATTAATTGTAAGTCCTGTATGATTTTATGCTTTAAAAGTCTGAAATTTTCAGGCAAGATGTTAATCATAATTATCATATATACATGTATGTATATAAGGAGGGTTTAACTTTGGTATTCTATAATTGTCTTGTTCTGCAAAGATTGGTGAATAATCAACTATTAACTTTTCGTTGTAGGCTGAAGTATCATCAAAGTACATGTATAATGAAAAGATTATTATTAAGTTGAGTATACAAACCCCCCAAAAAATCAGCAAAGACTTGCAATGACCAGCAAAATAACTTAGTATACTGGTAATGGTTTTTCATCTGTTTTGATATTGAATTTTGTCCTTGTTTCCAATGATTTATTTTTAAAGTTCGGGGAAAAAAAAGTTTTTTAGATTCCTTTTGATCTTTTTTTGGGGGGTGGAGGGGGGAGGGGGGGAGGGAGGGGGGGGGGGAATGGGAGATCTAATTTTCTACCTTTATTGTTATTGCTATCCATTATACACAGGACTTATTCTGCATCATAAAACTCATATCATGCCAAAAACACGGTTCCGTGAATATGTACTTATTACTATTCACACAGAATCTCTCATTCACTCGCCTGCCACGTACACATTTTCGTGAAAAGTACACACGCTAATTGTTTATGCCTATTGTGCGATTGTGTGCACACACAAAAGCTTGTTTTGAAAAAAACTCACAGGATGTAGCAGCTAGGCTGACAGAGTAATTGTTTGGTTTCTTTTCTATGGAACATGTACACTTGGTTATCCAAAACAAAAAAACAATGATGAGTGTAAACAAGCACAGAGTAACACCTCAGTATCATTTAATAGTACTGTGTTGTTATACTACGTTGTTATATTATACACAGAAACCATATGAGACAACGGATTAGTTTGATAACCAGTAGGAGATCAATTCAAGAATTTTTTTTTTTTTTTTTTTAAAGCTATCATTCTATACACTACTGGAAAAAACCTATGATAAATGGCAGGATTTGATAACTCTTTTTTTTTATGCCTCAGCTACAAAGCAACGGGGCAGACGGGTTGTCCGTCCGTCTATACGTCGTTCCCGTGATCCTGTTATCTCAAGAACCAATTGATGGATTCATGCCAAACTTGGGTCATGTATGTAATGTATCATGCAGAGCCAATGAACTGATTAGATTTTGGGGTCACACGGTCAAAGGTCACAGGGCTCATTATGTATTCAAAAATAGCTTTTGATCGCGTTATCTCAAGAACTGAAGGATAGATTACTGCCAGTCATGCATGTATCTTGCAGAGCCAATGAACTGATTAGATTTTGGGTTTAATTTCATCTTTTCCAAGACAAATTTTTATGCGATTTCACTCTTTGTAATAGAAATGTTTTTTTAACAATTGTTAAATACTTTTTGAACTCTTTCGCTCAAACAACTTCCATTTTTTCCTTCTCCATTATCTCCTTTTCACGTATTGGTCTTTCAACATAAAACTGTATTAGGTACTACATTAAAAAAATAACTTTCTTTTACAATTTTTTATTTTATCTTACCGATGCTAGATATCTGCAAAAGTTGACTTACAATATGTATTTTAGTTTTTTATGTTTATATCTCTCTATATTCTAAATTTGTTTGTAGAAATAACACTTTCAGCATGCGAGCTGCTTGTTTGATGTGTTTTTACAATAAACCAAATCAATTCAATTCAATTCAATCTGCGTGCGCCAAATATGCAAGATTTTATGTTAAAATCCTATATTTTCTTCATATACCCTGGAACCGTTAAAGGTACAGGGGTAATGCAAAGTTTTGGGAAATTTTGAAAATAGGATGGATAGTACCAGTAATTCTTTAAAATTTTGATATATTTTAATAGATGACCCTGTCGATATAAGCCTTTGAAAATTGAGCCCCTAAAACACTTATGCTTAAAGGTAATACAAAGTATATGGGGTCATGAATTTGGTTCAAATGAACATATTGGAAGCATATGCGACCCTACGATATTCTAAAAAATCGTTATCGCAGTTGAAATCGATTCTAAAGTTATGAAATTGTAGATAATAGACTCTTAATGTTGTATAGCTCCCTCTCAAGGTCAAGATATTAATTACACAATAAAACAATGTTTCTTGACTGAAATCGACTGATTAGCTATTCCCGTTTGGAAATTATATATCACAACTACATATTCTGAGATTTTCATGGTTGCAGCTACCATTGTACGGCCGTAGGCGCTATTTGAAATTTATAAAAAAATTACTGGTGCTCCCGGTAAATTTTATATTCAATTTTTCTCAAACGCAGAAGTGTTTTAGGTGCTAAGTTTTCTAGTGCTTATAATGCATTCACAGGGGCATCCAAATATATCAAAATTGTAAAGAATCACTATCCTCCCAATTTTCAAAATTTCCCAAAACTTTGTATTACCTTTAAGAGAAATTGAATAATGAAAATTTACTGGTGCTCCTGCTAAATTTCAAATACCGGTATTTCAAATAGCGCCTAATAGGCAATTCCATGGTAGCTGCAACCATGAAAATCTCAGAATACATGTATGCAGTTCTGATATATAATTTCCAATCAGGAATAGCAAATCGGACGATTGTATTCAAGAAACATTGTTTTATATACAGCTAAAGTAATATCAGTCTTGAGAGGGAGCTATACACCATAAAGAGTTTACTATTTACAATTTCAACTGTGACAACGATCATTGAATATTGTCGCATCATGCTTCCAATATGTTCATTTGAACTCATGACCACATACCAAAACTTTGTATTACCTTTAAGCTATAGAATGCCAGGTAATTTTTTTTTTTTACCGGTAGGTTGATTCTATACATTCTACCTAGATAAACATATATCGGTAATTTTGGTTACCCATTCAAATTATTGATATTTTTTCATATTTAGGGTTGTTTCGTCTGCTTGGAGTCAGAATGGTAGAAACTCAAACAATTTTACACGGAGCTAATGCCTCTCTGGCTTAATTTGATGTCTTTTACCAATATACAATTTTTTATTTTTGTTTATGGGGGGGGGGGGGGTAATGGATCTCCTGTAATATCAAGTAATGCCTTCAATGAATGTGAAAAAGATTAGAAGATTACATGTTCTTCTTTTCTTTTTCCTGCAGGGAGAAGGTAATTGGTTAGAGAGTCCATTCCTGACTGCAGCAACATCTGTGGCTGACATCCGCAAGAAGAAGAATGCTGAGAAAGAGAAGGAGAGAGAGAAGACAAAGAACCTTGCTGATGCGGATTATGTAAGTAACGAGTAATGAATGTTTTCATGTCTAATCCTGTATGAAAGATAAAGTTAAGTTTTGGTCATGCGATTGCATTTTGAAAGAAACGTTGTGGAATCGATCAGAACAGGTCGATCATCTAGCATATAAGTATTGGTGTGTACTGCAAGGTTCTGGAATCATCAAAATGATAAGAAATTTGGCCCAGTCTTGGTAAAGTTACGAACACTGTACACAAAAAGATGTATATGGGACTACGCGACACATGCGTGACACGTGCACAATATCTATCAGGTCCAAATGGATATAATATTATTCCAAATATGTCAATTAGTAGGCAGTTTCTCTGCAGAATTTGTATCATTACGTATTAACAGTCAAAACATATTCTTTCACATGATTGGTAATAAGAGCTTCCATTTCTTTTTTTTTGAGAGGGGGGCGTTTCCAAAACTGGTCTTTACCTTTAACAATGTTGCTATTTAGATGGAAACAATAGGTTAAAAGATTTTTTTGATAATAAACAGGTTTCAATCTTCAAACAGAACGACCCATCTACACTGGTAATTCTGAGTTTTGGTAATGACTAATACTACAAAATCTCACAGAATCAGCAAAAGTGTCAATGATTTGAGTTGAAGGTTGAAGGTTTGACTCTGTTGGAAAGAACATAATCAACTGTTTGGAGAAGGGTGTTAAATCTATGTAAAATAATATTTGTTAATACTTGTCTGGGCCAGTATTCAATTAAATAGTTAGAATAAGTAAGAAATTTATTAAGTAAATTACTAAGCTATTCATTTCTGTTTGATTTTCTTTTTCTTTGCAGTTTAATAAATATATAACAAACAACATTTAACAAATTATTGCAAATTGTACACATGACAAAAGAGTACATGTTGAATAAAGTAAGACTGGCTGTTTCTAATCGAAAACATCAAACAGGAGGGTTGACAAAATAAGTAGAGCTTGATAGCATGACTACCCTCAATGGATACATAATAATACAAATATGGAGGAAAAATATTGGTAAAAGGGGAAAAGGAGAGAGAGAGAAAAAAAAGAGGGGGTTGTACACCAATATTCACAGATCATGTGCATGTGGTAGTTGGATTTCAATTTGATAAATTTGATAAATGAAGATAAAAAAGAAGATGTACATTTGAATATTGGGTGGCCAACTTGGGATATATTATAGAATGAGAAGACTCGCAAGGTTTCTGGACAATATAAATAAGAACGTGAGATCAGCGAGCTGGTTTTAAACCTGGGCCTGCGAGTCGGAGCCTTGAAATGTTTGTATACAAAACAGTGTTTAGCCAGTATCCCAAGTAGGCCACTCTTTATTCATACCAGGTCATGGAAGGTTATAATCAACGTTTCAATGAATGGAAGCTAAAAAAGCATTGAATTGAATACCGGCCCTGGTTCTAAACAGATTATACTGTATTGATTTACCTAAATCCTGTAAAGTTTGAAGAAAAGAAGTTTGAAGAAAGATTAATATTCATTTTGCATAATTGTAGAAATAAATATCCTATGTGTACTGTGATATGAATAATTCTAAAAGCATAGATATAATCATGACCAGAGGAGTAATTTCAAAGGAATTCCATACTATTGTGGCATCCCATCACCCTTTGAACTGATTTTTGCAAGTTAAAATGGAAATTGATTTTAATTATCATGTTTTTAATTTTTTTAAAATACCAAATTAAGAAATTAACACCTTTCACAATATCTTGATTCTGCAGTCTGCCAGAGAGCTGAATCCGTACTGGAAGGAAGGAGGAACAGGTCTTCCGGAGGATGAAGAAACGTCTCGGCACAAAGCACCTCCCCCAGCCAGGAGGGTGGGGCATGGTGTTGATGGAGGGGTCAGCTGGCTTAAGAAGTCCTACCAGAGGGCGGTGGAGCAGGCCAGGGAGAGTGGGAGACCAGTAAAGGAAGTGGTAGCCGAAAGATGGGGGGTAAGTTTTTCATGAATCATTTTTGTATTTAAGGGCTATCTTATATTAATAGTAATATTAATGTAACAGCAGGCACAAACGACACATGACAAAGTCATTCAGTTTTATGTAGTATTTATTTTGAGGATGTATCAACCCCCCCTCTTGAGCTCTCGAGGAGAGACTCCTAGCGAGACACCGAGACTATTTGACCAACTAGCTAGTGCACCATCTCCAACTAAAAGTGTGAAGTTCTACTCAGAGTTAGCTTCTCTGTCAACTCAAACCGCCTAAGTCATGAGTGGATGCATAGTCCATGCTCATCCCTCTCAACCTGTGATGTGGCAAAATATCCTTTCTCTCATTACCCTATACCCTCTCTGACCCAAGGTCAAAGTGCACTTCCCCTGTGATTTGGCAAAAATCCATTCTTCTCTCCAAATTACCCTTATACCCTCTCAGAAGTACACTTAAAGGGATCTCCTTATTCAGAGACATAGATCCCTTCATTCAGGGACCTCCTCAACAAATAGAATTAAGAAACATTTCGACCTGTCACATTAATATAAAGGATAGAGGCGCAATGGCTCAGTAGGAGAGCAGTGGTATCGTAACTAGGAGTTTCTGGGTTAAAAACCAAATTGATGTGCTAGTGCCCCACTTCCATTTATTTCACCTAAAATTGAAAAATCACTCAAACTGACCACTGGCTACTGCTTCTGCTTTCTTCATCGGTAAATTAAATTAAAAATAAAGTGTGCGATGTCTATTCATCTTACTTTCAGATATGCAGAGTGATACTGTTTTTTCTCACTATGAAAACCACAATATGTTTTTGTCACATATGACATGATAGAGCATATTTTGGAGAAAGATTAATCTTTTCAAATCAGACAGCCTTAAGACCCAACAACAACAACAGCAGTTAATGTTTGGGACTCATTCTCCCCAAATGAAATAATGCTATACATATTATGTGGTAGTAAGAACTATTTGTGTAAAACGAAGTCATCTCAAATAAATGAAAATAAAAGGCACTGACAAAGAATTCTGTGTTTTCCAATTTGATTGATTTGATTTGATTTGGTTTGTATACATTACATTTTTGTTTTTGGATTACCTTTGTTAACAGTCTGTTGCGGAGTATGAGAAACTATTTGCTGAGGCAATGGAAGCAAGTAGAGGATCTTCAGGATCCAGGGGGCCAAGAGGACCACCTCCAGGTTGGAGGAAGAGAAGGGATGAAGATGGGGAGGACAGACGAGGAGAGGATGGAAGGAGAGATGGAAGGAGAGATGATGAGAAGGAGCGTAGGAAGGATGACCGAGAGGACAGATCTGAATCTAGGGATAAATACAGGAGGTATGACTCTGATTCGAGGAGAGACTCAACCAGTAGGGGCTTCAGGAGGCCTGGAGAAAGAGATAAGGATGACAGCTTGCGTTCAAAATTCAAAAGACCAGGTGATGAAGATGGTGGTAGGAGTTATAGAAATGATGGGCATAGACCACGCCCATCTTACGATAAGGGGTCATCGTCACGGGAACGGAGTAGGAATGATGACCTACCAAGTTGGAGGAAGACAGGGTTTAAGAAACCAGGGGAGGATGATGATTCCTCATCTCACTCAAGATCATCATCCTCCAGGATGATACCACCTCCAGCATCAGCCTCCTCTAGTGGGGGTTGGAGGAAACCAGGATTCAAGAGACCAGGCGATGAGAGGCAAGATTCCAGGTCCAGCCCTTCATCATCTGGAGGATCGAGGAAGTCTAGGGATGAGGAACTTGACAAAGATGATCGGCATTCTCGTGGAGGACATTCATCGTCCCAAAACAACACCTCCTCCTCTGCTCTACTGCCAACATCATTTTCATCTGCATCTTCCAGGAGGTCTGGTAGAAGGAGTGATAGTGAAGAGGAGAACAGTGACGATGTCGGATCATCTGGATCCTCGTCACCAGATACCAAGGAGGAGAAGGGTGGAAGAGAGGAGAGGGAGAAAGACAAGAGTCCTAGTCCAGTCAAGCTTTTATCGGATATAGAGATGAACCAGCTTGGAGCCAAACTGATCAAAGCAGAGATCATGGGCAATGAGGTAAATTGATGATAATGGTGGTGGTGGTGGTGATGGTGGTGGTGGTGGTGGTGGTGGTGGTGGTGGTGGTGGTGGTGGTGGTGGTGTTGTTGGTGGTGGTGGTGGTGGTGGTTGTGGTGGTGGTGGTGGTGGTGGTGGTGGTGGTGGTGGTGGTGGTGTTGTTGATGGAGATGCTGATGATGATGATGATGATGATGATGATGATGATGATGATGATGACATTGATGATGATGATGATGATGACAATGATGACATTGATGATGATGACATTGATGATGATGATGATGATGATGATGATGATGATGATGATGATGACATTGATGATGATGACATGGATGATGATGATGACATTGATGATGATGACGATGATGATGATGATGATGACATTGATGATGATGACATGGATGATGATGATGACGATGGTGATGACGATGACGATGGTGATGACGATGATGATGATGATGATGATTTACAGCACTGTTGCACTATTTTGCTTTTAATATGTATTACATTTTGTTCATTTAAAAAAAGCGTAAAAAGGAGTCTGCCAAAAATGTAAACCCAAGAAGGCTTTTATAGAAAATCTCAAGATTTATATAGGTTAAATGATCTGTAATGGTGTTTTTTATCCAGCCACAATTGATTGATGATATCTGATCGTTTCATCACACCTACCATTACTAGAAATGTTTTCTGATGCTGGGTAACAGTAAGCTTATAATGTAGACTTTACCATGTATACAAATTAGATTATAAGTAAAATTGCTCTCCTTATACTAGGCCCAGGCTCAGAAACTGAAGGCAGAGATTGAGAGTGCTCGACAGGCCAGGGTCGCATACAAGACCAAACAATTGGAGAGCAAGGAGAAAGAGAAGGCCCCTTCAAAGCAGACCAGTAAGAGGCCAAATGCAGAAAGGGAAGAGGTCATCTTGACCAGAACTGACCACAGTGGACAGAGTTGGCCACTGGCCGAGGAAACAGCAGCCCCTACAGGCGGCAAGAAGATAAGGAAAAAGAATGTGAGTTTGAGTTGGCTTCACGCTGTTTTTGTTGTTGACCTTAAAGTAAGGAGATTTAGCCCCGTTGGAAATGGTTTTTATCCTTTGATTTGTATTGTCTGCTTGAGATTTTTAGGGTATTCATTGATCAGATAATGATGATGATGAAGATTTTAATTTTTTGTGGGGACAATTTTGAAAGTCAGTGTAGGGCAATTCCACGGTAACGGAAGGACACTCAGACAAGATTTTTGAACTTCAGGTTCATACTAAAAGAACTGTTTTATTAGTATAAGATGTGAAACAGTACAGATATAATACCTATATAAGTGCCTTTAATTCTCCCCCAAAAAATTGTCATTATAGTTAAGTAGTTTAAGAATGTGCATATTAATTATCTCGGTAACGGAAGGACATAAAAATGGACATGGTTTTTCCAGTTAATTAGTGTTTATCCAAACTTTGTGAAGTTGATGAAGCTTTCCACTTGACTGAAACACATTTTGTTCCCCATAGTTTAATACATACTAATAAAACATTTCTTTTAGTATGAACCTGAAGTTCAAAAATCTTGTCTGAGTGTCCTTCCGTTACCGTGGAATTGCCCTGTACCATATGGCATATACAGATGACATTATTGTGAGTTTTGAATTTTGGCATGCGTGGTTTTTTATCACTTCTTTTCTTAAACCACAGTGGAAAAACAACAGCATTCAACAAACATCTAGGGACTCAAAGCCATGTTGCCTTTGTTACGACTGAAATGGCCCATGTAACCTTCCAAGTAGCCCCTGTATTTTCCTTCTTTAAAACCTGTATTCCCTACTGTAGACTTTTGTTAACAGTTTGAAAGTAGCCCTTGAATTTGCTTTTTTTTTCTATTTTCATATTTTGGTAGAATTTTTGCCATGCAGTATGCAATTTGTCTCCAAAATATGAATCAAATTTCTGCCACAGCACCAATGTTCTCTGCCAAGATATTAATCTACATTTGCTACACTCAACTACACAGGTGTAGTAAGTGGGTACCTGACAGAAGATTTTACCTTTACATTTCTTTTCCATTTCTTCATTTTGAATAGATTGTAACCCATGACAAGGGAGGTGAGAGGGAGAGATACTTTGCAGACGATGATGATGTCGACCTTGAGACGATGGTTAGAAGAGAAAAGATGGGATCTGGTGATGATAACAATAGACTTCTCAATAAAGTAGCAAGCAAGGTAATGTATCCCAAACATTTCTTTCTTTTCTGTTCTATTCTCTTTCTTTCTCTACGTCTTCATATGTTCATTTTTCTTCTATTTGTGCCAGGTAATGTATCCCAAACATTTCTTTCTTTTCTGATCTATTCTCTTTCTTTCTCTACCTCTTTATATGTGCCTTTTTCTTCTATTTGTGCCATATCTTCTTTATTTATTTCATATTTACCTATTTGTGTACTGGTATGACATTTGTTCTTTCATGTGGTTTTGAGGTATATATTATCAAATTAAAGACTAAAATCTGTTTTTTGCTGAAAATTATTTATTTGATAACTAAAATCTGATATTAAATAGTATTGTAGTTTGGAGTAATTTAAATATAACTATAAAGTAACATAAAGACAAAAAAATATATTGTCTATCTATGTGTTAATAATTTTCAATACCGGTACATGCAATGTATGTGTATTTCTTTTTAGCTCTAAATATATGTCCTAAGATCATTCTATCCTTTCGATCAATTAGAAACTAGCCTTGCTGGATTCAGAATTCAATACCCTGGATGAGATGTTTGTGTCATCGGCAGCAAAAGCCGAGCCCAAGGCAAAGATCGAGGAGCGTGAGAGGTCAAGGGCCATCGCTGACCACCAGCACACCGTGGCCAGGCTGTCCAAGTGTTCTTTCTGTCTGGAGAGTGAAGAGATGAAGAAGCATTTGATTGTAGCGCTAGGGTTAAAGGTATCATACATGTTGTTTATCATACCAGGGCCTGGTCTTACAAACAGCCACGATTGATCCAAATCAATCGCAAAATTGCAGTTTCCTATCTCTTATGTACATAGCTGCAATTGATATCAATCGCAAATAAGTTGCAATTGATATCAACTCTTTGTAAGACGGGGCCCAGGTACTCATTTGTGGAGGTGTTGTGGTATAGTGGTTCATTCACTTGACTCTTAATCCAAGGGTTGAGGGTTCAAATCCCAGCCTAGCACTAACGCCCTTTGACAAGACATCCATCCACATCTGCCGCTCTCCACACTGATGTAAATGGGTACCCTGTATGCTAGAGTGCTACATATTTGGCTGCTCGGCTTTGACCGGGGTTGTTCAGTTTGAGTGCAAGGAGTATCATGGCATGAGGGACATTTGGCTATATAAGAAACCACCCCCACCATCATCACTGTCATCATCATTTGTTAGATATACAAAATTAATCAAGCATTAAGAAAAGCATGGATGCTTTTGAGGGATGCTGTTGAGGCTTCCTTTGGTTTGTTAAAAAAAATAATCATATATATTACATAATTTCTTGAAATGCTAGAGCATTAGTCAGGGTAATAATCAGGAGCGCAAGTCTGACAGACATGAGTGCCATACAAGAACCCACTATTATCATTATTATTATTATAATTGATATTGTTATTATTGATATTATTACTATTATCATCATTATTATTGTATTATTCATAACTCAAAGAATTTCAACGATTTGTTCATTTCAGGTGTATCTTTGTGTGCCGCAGACAAGGTGTATATCTGAAGGCCAGTGCTACATTGTTCCAATGCAACACGCAGTAGCTAGCACTGCACTGGATGAAGATGTGTGGGCAGAAATACAGGTCAGTTTGACATCTGCGATCTGACATTTCAATTCTCATTTATTTCATTCTCGATTAAAATTACATTGATACAAAAGATACAAAATAATTCATAAACAAATTTAGAAAATGAAATGGGGAATTACATAAATAAAGCCCTTAGGCCTTGTACAGGCGCAGTTCCCAAAGCATTCATAGCATAATGTAAAGCAATGATAACCCCCCCCCCCCCCCCAAAAAAAAAAAAAAAAAAAAAATTGCTCCAGGCTATATCTTATCCAAGATACAGGGCTAGGATGTTGTTTGCAATCTTGGGTTATGGTTAGGTTTAGGCCCGTCAAGGTAGTTTAGGGTAATGTATAGTATTTGGTCTGGGATTGATGTCAGGGGAATTGGGTTTGTTTGAGAAAGTAATTGTAGATCAATTGTGGCTGTTGTTCAGCCAGTATGAAAGTTGTTTTAAACTCTTCATAAGGGTCGTTGTTATGATTATGCAAATTTTCTATTGAATATTCATAAATGCCATCAATGCACTGAAAACTCCGGTTGCCCGAGCTAAAGCCAGGTTTATGATACCAAAGTCCTTTGAAGATGCATAGAGAAATTATTTCATAATATGATATGTACTATACAAGAACGGCATACTATGAATATTATTTCCTGTCATATTTCTGCTCAGGTGTTCCGCAAGGGTTTAACGAGGATGTTCGAGGACCATGAGATGGACGTGGCGTTTCTTGAGACCTGTATGAACCCCAAGAAGCAGAGGCATATGTGTATCGAGTGTCTTCCTATCCCCAGAGAGCTGGGAGAGATGGCACCTATCTACTTCAAGGTAAGCATGCACAGTGCCAGGCAGATTCCCTGTTGTGTCACTTTATATTCAGAAGGGTAGTGCACGATCGTTAGTGGAGTAAAAAGTGATCCCTTATTTGAGGCCATTCCTGAATATTTTCACCAAAATGTGACCCCTTTGCTCATGCACGGCCTTCTCTGTGGAATGCTTTCCCTCAAGAGATTTAGAAATAGCAGATCAACTGTTAAAATGTTAAAAATAATCTGAAAATGTATTGTTGGTTCTCTTTCTTTTTAATACGTTGCATCCTACTCAAATTATACTTTTGTGTATAGTACTTTTATGTAGAATCATCATTCGCACTAGTGCAACTTGAGCAATTAATTTCTAGTCGATTTGGTGCCTTAAAAATCTTAAATATTATTTCCGGTGTATATTATTATGATATATAATTATTGTTAACAGAAAGCTATCCAGGAATCAGAGTCTGAGTGGACACAGAACAAGAAGCTGATCGACACCAGACAGAAGGACATCCGTAGATCAGTACCTCGGGGATTCCCCTTCTTCAGTGTTGATTTCGGGCTAGACGGTGGCTTTGCCCATGTCATCGAAGACGAACTCCTCTTCCCGCATTACTTTGGAAAGGTAAGCACCTAAACTAAAGCTCAGTAGGTAGAGGTGTATCCTGTGATTGCATTGTGTGGGAGGGATTGGAAAGGGTTGATCATGTAGCACGTGCGTTTCAGTGTATACTGCGACGGTTTGGAAGCATTAAAATGATAAGAAATTAATCCAGTCTTGCTATGAGTCACATGAACTGTCCACAGAAAGGTGTATATGGGACAACACAAACACATGCCATGTGCTGTGGCCAAACACCCAACACTTCAGGTATTTCATGTCATAATAATAGCAATAATAATAAAAACGGTGCTTATAAAACGTCATGCATTACAGGGGACGTTTTTTCTATGATACTCTTACACAAGCTAACATAAAAAAAAATGAAATGGCTCACAATTATTTTTAAACTTTTCCACAACTCAACCTTCTCTTTAAGCTTTCAACATTTTTGTTCCGTTATTTGCTCTCTTATAGGAAGTGATTGGTGGTCTTCTTGATGTCGAACCTCGTCTGTGGAGACATCCACCCAGAGAAAACTTCCAGGACCAGAGTAAACGAGTCCTGGAACTCAGTCAGTGGTGGAAACCCTTTGATTGGACTAAGGAAATTGATCGAGAGAAGAGTTGATTAAGAAAAGGTTGAAGTCTTGCATGCGTATGCAGTAAACACTTTAAAGATCACAGCAGGAGAGTCCTGGAACTCAGTGAGTGGTGGAAACCTTTTTAATGGATCAAAAAGATTGGTCAGGACTCAGGAGAAGAGTTGATGAAACAGTTTTTGGAGGCCTTGATGTTGAACCTTCTTTCAACATCAGAGTAATCAAGTCCTGACAGTCAGTCGTAATTTGGAAGCCGGTCGACGAGACCAAGAAAACAAAGAATGGGAGAAAACTTGACACAGATTTCTTTATTCCCTCACCCATGGAGAACTCTCAGGACTCATTAAATGGTGGAAACATTTTTTATTGACAAAGAAAATTGATTTAATATGAGAAGAGTTAATAAAGGAAATGTCTTCACCCAAAGAAAAGCTTTGAGGATCCAATGAATTATCAAGCTCGGTCAATGTTGGAAGCCCTTCAGCTGGACTCTGAACATTTTTAAGAAGAGTTGATACAGATTTTTTAGATTCATTCACCCGAGAAAATATGAAACGACCAGTGCCCGTTGCACAAAACCTACTATTAATGGGAACTTTGCCATCGATGGTAACTACCACGAAAACCTTAATTTTGATTGGTTGTTGAGCCTTGTTACCATGGTAGTTGCCATTGATGGCAAAGTTACCATCAATGGTAAGTTTTATGCAACGGGCCCAGATGGGACAGCGTTGGTATATATGGGATATTTTGTTGTTAAAGAGGTCCAATGTACATCGGTATTGACAAATAGTTTCAGACTTTGCACTTCTTGGGTGAAGAATATGATGGATTGATGCACAAGATGATCATTAGTTTACAGACTTTTAAAAAGCATAATACAATATTATGAGTAAATTTATTGAAGACAAGTTCCAGATATCCTGTTAAAGGATCACATACAAAAGCTGAACTTGTGGATGTTTAAATTGAAAAAAACTTTTACGGTGACGAGGCAAAGATCAAATGTTAACCTTGTGATAATAGCACAAGTGATCTAATATTGACCGAGTGTTTTAGAAAAGGATAAAAGGGAATCTTGTCATTTGCAAACATCAATATTGTTTTCACTTTTGCTATTTGTAAATAAATCAATACTTTGAGATAAAATTGTCATGTCAATGTTACTGCTTGTTGAGAACTGATTCCAGTTATCCCTAATCCATTGTATCCATTAATTTCATCTCTTCACTATCTATTGCTGTCTCTTTCTTTCACCCCTGTCTCTCTCTTTCTCTCACTGTCTCTCTTTTTCTCATCCCTCACTTCCCCGTTCCTCTCACTATTTCAGCATTTTGCTATAATGAAAGTTTCAAGTACCTGTATACACAATTATAAACAATGATAGAACAAAATCAAGATATCTCAGTTTTTATTATGAACCAAATTAAAAGATACCATTTATGCAAACAATTTTGTATATACCTGAGTACAATATTTTGTTTTAAAATTGAATTAATTGTCTATATATTTATACATATACATGTATTTGCATTTCATGCAAAAATACAAACAAACAAATCCATTCAAATGTTTAAATGTTGGCATGAAATTTTGGATGGCCACCATTCTTTGGACAATTTCTTATTGACAAAACATTTCCTATGAAGGCAAATGTTATCTTAAAAATAAAAACAAAAAATAATCAAACAAACAATTGAAATACAGATATTATAATAACAAATCCCAATCTGTGACCTTGCAACTAAAGATCAAAATATCTTGTCAATCCACCTGGTTGGTGTGCATTATTATATGGCACTATTATATAGTTGACTCAACTTTTATTTGAAATATACAAAGTTCATGTAATTCATGCAGGTTAAGTCGAAATCAGATTATGCAGAGACTTGGCTAGTTCAATATCCAGCCCATTGATTGCACTGCATATGTACAAGTTTCAAAACATAAACTATTTCAAGTCAAAACATAAACTACAAGCCTGCGAGGTGTTTCACAAAGACTGAGATCGAATTTAAGTTGGACTTAACTATGGCAGGCCTTTCATGCCACTGTTTGCTCTCACTTACTGGCATTGGTCTCTCGAGCGACATACGAATCACGGTCACAAATCTACAGAACTTACATTTTTTGATAATTCATTATTGAAAGAAAAACTATTATTTTATAGATCATAATGGGGAATGGAAACCCTTTTGTATTGCGGTATAACAACATACATGTAAAGGATATACTGATTTTGACCCCATTCTCACTCACTTTGAAAGTGGTCTTAGTTAGACCGCTCCAGAGGAACGGGTCTTGAGGAACGGTTTGCGAGCGTTCACACTCCGAGCAGTTTTTATGGCTCAAACCGCTCCACGAGTCAAAGTGGTCTTGTTGCTATGGCAGCTCAGGTAGGCGGGTCAATTTTTTCGCGCGCGGAATACAATCCGTATGTACTGTACTACATGTTTCGCACCGAAGGTCACGAGCTCACTTCCGTTCAAAGTACGCTTTCCGTTCACATTGCACGTTAGAGCGCTCTGGAGCGCTCTTAATAAGACCCGCTCCTCAAGACCACCTCGGAAGGTGGACTTCTGGAGCGGTCCAGAAGTCCGCTTCCTGGACCACTTTGAGCGTTCTCACTCACCTAAGAACTTGGTTAGAGCGCTCCAGAGCGCTCCAACGAAGTGAGTGAGAACGGGGTATAATGTTCTGGTAATTGAATCAAAATGGCTATGTCATGAAATGTAGCCGAAAACAACAACATCAATACACAATTTCAGTCATTATCATTTCAGTACAGAATTATGCATACATCAATGGATCAACTCGACCGACCGACTTAATCTGCTTCAATGTAGATGAATACCAGCCAGTACCTCTAGCATCATATAATGGCCTATTCAGACATAACAACATTCTGCAGCAAATTAAAATGAGATTTAAGCTTAATACACTTGCTCTTCACATTTCTGTATTTCACAATACATCGGCGAAAAGAAATACATGGGAGCAGTGAGCAATTTAGTTTTTGAGGTTTACCACGCTGTGTCTGAATGGGCCGGTTCCAAGAGTTAAAGGGGGTGTAGCTTGGCAAATACTGGTTAACGCCATCTACGTCTTCTGTTGGACAACTGCACATAAACGAATGGACTTGATTAACGGTAGTCAGCGTCTTAATCCCTACATGGTCAGTGTTCGCAAAGTTCTCCTCACGCTTCGGTTTCGCGTATGTTGCACGCACGTGATTGCTGTGGTGGTGTCATCCGTAGTCGTATTATAGGCCACCCGTTTGGCCTGTGTCAGGCCACGTAGAAGATGCGTAGTCTTGTATATGACCCAATACTATCGTCTATTTCAGGTGACACTTGGACGTTGACGTCTTTTTCCGACTACCGGTACTTGAAAATAGATTTCTCTTCCAAGACGGTCTCTAGCTGGTCCTCTTGTTCTTCACTGTCTCTAGAAGATGAGTAACCAGTGCTATCACGTTTAGAAATTCCCATCTGTAAGAGGTCAGAAAAACTGTTGAAGAACATGAAGAAAGAAGAGGGTCATTCTAGTTACCTTTATTCCTTGTATTCACTTGTGATATATAATCTGACATGTGACATAACCTGGCCTTGTTTCCGACCTTGTACTTGACCCAATACCTGACTTAGTATCTAACTTTGTATCTGACCCTCGACCTGAATTATGACCAAACCATGGTGCTTGAAAAACACCCATTATAACCTTATATTAATAAATCTAATATTATTGAATGTGACCTTGCATATGAATTTGTGACCTATATCACAGAGCTAACATGTCATTCATCCTATTTCCTGACTTTGTGACCTCGTATCTGACAACATATCTGAACCACTACCCAATCTTGTAGATGATCCTACATCTGCACCTGTAATACCTACCTTGTGTTTTCCGACCCACTACAGTACCATACATGTATAGTTTACAACTATATTATTCATACCTTTACCAGGTTTTGTAATTTTTAAAGAATGTGAACAATTAATTTGTCCTGATTCATTTTTTCCTGAGAATGTTACATATATCAAAGCTTACATCTCAAATTATTCCACAAATGCCCTAATTCAACCAGTCACTTTTATTTTTGACATATGAAAAAGAAAAAAAACATCAGATTTACAAGGGGTATGAATATGTTATATTTATCTGACCTTGTATGTCATTACGAAAAGCTCTCGTTAAAACTATACCCCACCACTATAACACAGTCAATGTAATCTGGTGGGGTGTCACTACCCCAGTTTCGTTTCTCTCATTAAAACTTTGAGAGAGCCTTGAGGCTCTGAGTGAGAGATTAAGATATTGGATTGCAGCCGGACACTTCATCATCTTACGTTATAATAGTGTAACAATTAAGCTCTTACTGGGGCTCTTCCTGAAAGGAAATGAGAAGTAGGAAATAAGTATTTTACTTGTTTTAAGATATTTTCATGTCCTAAAGTCACTAATAATTTAGATGAAGACAAAAATGAAAGTTTGAACGAAGCAAAATGACCCATAATTGGCGATATAACAACAATTTTAACTCTGGCAGCGAACCCCTGCATGTGTCTCTTTCTCCCTTCTCCCTTCCTTTCCCCCTCTATCATGCTTATCTCTTGCTCTCTCAAGGTCTCGGTGGGGTGGATTACAGCGCTAGTGTTTACTTAGGGCTTATCACAATATCAGCTCTAGTAGTGGTGAAAGTCAAATGGGGGTTTCAATTTTAAACGACGAGTTTTCGTCATGGTGACCTCAAATATGGCATACTACATAACTTTTTATAAATTACCTGGGGGGTGTATCATAAAGCTGTTTGTAAAGTTACGCATGAAATTACGAATGACTTATATATGAAAAGCCAAATGGGATGCTCATTTTTAACTGCATCAACTAAAGTTGAACTGTGCAGATGTAGATTAACATTCTTATTATAATAAACATTTTTAATGCAAAGTATATTTTTTGCTATAATTTAATTGAGGTTATTGCAAATATAGTCATACTTTGTTAAAACATCAGGAAAAACTTTGGCATCCTATCTGGCACTTAATTAATATTCAAGTCGTTTGTAAATTAGTCATGCATAATCTGACCTGACCTGACCTAGGGACTGACCTTGGATCTGACCTTGTCCTGTGTTAGGGCGCACTCACTGTTGTCTTGCTAGCTCTAGTCAGCTGCTTGTGTTTGTTGCGCACCATGGAGACCACGTCTCTGGTCAGCAGGATCTTGTGTTCTGCAAACCCACTCTTGAAGAACTGAGGCCCTGTGATCCGTGGGACGTAGTGGAAGAGGTCCCTCAATAACTGCAATGATAAATTGCAATATTCTATTTGTGTATATATATATATATAGTTTGAAATTATGATGCAAGCAAAGGATCGATGACACATGCAGGCTATCTCTGTTTTAAGCTTTTACCTTCATCAGACTTCTTCAGAAATACATATTACATATGCATGTATATCACAGGTCTTAAATTTCATTATTTTTAGGGCAAGGCCACTTTTCTGTAGGGCACATTCCTATATTACAGCACAAATAAGAAGAATGGGAAAGGGCACAAAAAATCTCCAAGGCCAATGAGAGGGGCATTAATTAAGGCCAATCAAAGGGGCATCCACGGCCATGGCCTTGGTGGCCTTGGATTTATTTAAGCCCTGATATCATATATATTCCAATCATTTAAATTTGAAATAAATGACCAAATATATTTCATATCTACATGTTCATATGTATAATTTCATATTCTTCTTCAATAGAGGTTTAATTTATATATGTGTTTTTGCATATATATTTTGAACTCTAGCTGAACTCAAGTTTCTTCTTTAATATATAAGCATGTGACATTCACAATTCAACTTAGCTTCATTTGACAGGATATATATATTTCAATAATTATAACAAAGCAACGTATTGTTAACTGGGCCCCTGATCCATGCAGCACTCTTTTTCATGAACTTTCTAATTGTGTAAAGACGACTAATATGCACAGTTACAAGCCATATGAAAATGATTGCATTTGATTTTTAATACCTGTGAGCAAATATGTTATTGAAATATGGAAGTTTTTACTTAAAAGCTACCCTCCCCACCTCCCCCCCCCCCCCCCCCCCCCCCCCAACAGCTCACCCAATGCAGTATACACAGTGCAGACATATGAGGGTTGGGAAATTATAGGGAAAAGTGTATAAGTGTATATGCATGCACAGCTCCACTATCAAGTGCACAGTCACACACATGCACCCACCAGTACCAGTACAAACTCGATCAAGATGTATTACACACACACACACACACACAGTGCATAAGTTATAATGGGATATGCATATGGCATGCACTCATGCAGTGGCTGCTTTGTGTGTGTGTGTGTACCCATACAAGTACAGTGCCAGTAGCACCATCTCATGTGCTATGCATACATTGTAAACACCCAAGTCACAAACACAAATACACACACAGTACATCCTATGTACAATGTTCCAAGGCAATGCCAGGACAGGACAATCAGACTCCTTTGTATATAGGGTACAGATCTGATTTCCCCTCACTTTTCACTGAGCTAGCTGCCAGATAGTGCATTTTCTCTTGAATTATCATCTGTAACAGCTAGTAAATTAAAAGCAAGGTGCATTAATGCTGCAAGATCTTCCATTTGGGGCCTATACAGCTCAGAAACCTAGCTGTGCAGAGTAAGAATTACCAACAGGTAAAGTATAGAGTCTTATGTGCATGCAATTGGTGCACATGCTTATGTATGCATGCAGGCATGGCATTGTGGAGTATAAGGTTGAATGCATTGCATGAATGAGAGTTCAAATACACTACTAGTATCAAAGTGATTGATGCTGATGTGCAGGTAGGTGTATCACATTGTGGCTTGTGGTTTGTCAGCTAATTATGGTAACATTTCCAGTAAGTTTGAGTTTGATAGAGTATGGTGATCTAATTGTGTAAGGATAAATTGAAGTGACCAAATCATCAGCTTTCAGAAAGTTTCTGCAACAATATGCCAACTAGCTGAATTCTGTCGACAACAGTTTTGCTGTTAATTGCAACTTTGCTGTTGCAACTAACCCTGGGATATAATTGGTTTTCACTAGCTGATAATAATCAATTTAGCTGCATGTGCATTTGCTGACTTCATTCATATATTCCTTTAGCTAAATATATATAATTGGCTATATATTATACATGTAGATATTTTTTAGTTTTTTGTTCGATCTGCAACATTTTTGGGAGAAATTATGTAGATTTGAAAACATAAAATGAGGTGATAGAGTCAGTGAAAGTTTAATTAAAAATGTAGAAAATTTAATTAGGACCACAAACTGACAATTAAAGCAGAAACTCTTTAAATGCATGTGTGCATATGAGCAAAGCTAGCTTCTCTATCAGCTAGTTTCTTGATTTTATATCTTGAAGATCGGTATTATGAGAAAATTTCATTTGGGCCCTGCAAAAAGTTGCAATTATATATATATATATATATATATATATATATACCAGTATACTGTATATCTCCTTCACATTAATTGTAATTCGATCATTCAATCAGTCATAATTTAATAATAAAAAATATCACCTTACAAATTTGTTTTTGTAAGAGATCTTATAGATACAACATTGTCTAGTGGCAACATTGTGAATAACAATAGATTTTCATGACTGATACATTAATGTTTATGATAAAGGGCACAAGATTGATATAGAAATTTGTTATGTCAAATAAAATATATATGGGTATTAGCTAATTGTAAGCAAAACAGACCATGTTGCAAATTACTGAGGCTGATGGCCCCTCTTCATCTCACTTGTACTTTCAATTTACTGCATGCAAACAAATTTATACGATGTACTGTTAATATGTTCATGTTTATTTGTTTCATTTATTTTGTAAAATCATGGCAAAATGTGAAATATGAAGAAGAAAAAACTTAGCTACTGATCTTTACAAGATTAAAATTCAGTCACTTTCTGTATTACTATCTGTAAATTCTATACACTCAACTCCCCCCCCCCCAATTTGTTTTGTTTCCATGCACATATTAAGTAAATTTGCCACTTTTAAAAAACAGCAACACTTTAAAAAAAAAAGGAATGTATTTAATGAAAAGAGGATAATGATTACTCTTGTATAAATACATATGTATTCAATATTTTAATTATCTTGATGAGAGAATTATTTTGTAGGAAAGTTGCCTAGCTAAATATATACACTGTATATAGTGTAACCTTTATAAAGTGCCTTTTCACTATATACAAAAGACCTAGCTCTCTTCATCAGCTTGAGTTTGCCAAATAACCCACTATTTTCAGAATCAGGATATTATCCCGAAGCTCGAAATTGCATTTCTACCAGACCAGACTGATACATGTACGCTCATCACAAACTAGCTCTGACAGGCGCAATTAGCACAATATTTCCTTTAATTAATAGCGGGATTTTGGAAACAAGACCAAGATTTCTAGGGATATTTTCTAAACCAAATATTCTGCTAATTAAAGACAGGCCTTAAGTGATAATTCCCACCTAAGGATGTAGATTTTCTTAGCTACTTTTGAAAATATGGGTCACTATATAGTTCTTCTGTTTTGTTTATCTCTCCTAGACTAATATCTCAAAGCTGATCAAGGAGCTGAACTAGACCACCATGTCCTCCACATTCTTCTTGGTCCAGTGGATGCCAGGACCCTGCACAGAGCCAGGAACCGGTAAAGAATTCAGCATCATCGGCTTGGAAGACATCAAGGAGGACTATCGCTATGCACTGGAGAATGGACGTATCACCATGGCAACGTATCGCTTTAGGAATGGTACCAACGTGGGCACCATGCATCGCTTGTGCAAGATTCTTGGATCAGCAGGTACTGTATAGTCATATTTTTATTGATAAAGTCCCCTAGCCCCCCCCCCCCTCCTTCCTGTCACTCCATATAAATTATCACACAATCACACTGAAATACACGTAAGATCTCAACACTAATAGCCAGTTCAGACTTACAGAAATTTATACTGAACTTGTATAAAGAAACGTTGTATATAGAATCATTGCATATTGAAAGGAGCGTCACACTAGGAAATATCATCTTGTAAAGAAACCATTTTGAAGAGGTCAATATATTGATGTGACAGTTGCAGGCCAATCATCAGTAAGTGTTCATGAAAAGCCCTGCCCAGTTACACGATTTTTATACAGTACGACACTGCAAAAATACTTAATTGAGTTTTAGTTTGAAATGATGCTCCAACATGCTATACAACCTTTCGTTTATACAACATTCCTTCATACAACGTCCATACTAAGGAAAATTTATTAGCTCGACCGGTAGCTATATAATTCCTGTATCCTGTAAGTCACCTGAAATAATAATCAACTTGCATTTTAAATGTTTCTCATATATAAGAACAGGCCAACAGAGTTTCCAAGCTAGGGACTTTAACGACTCAACTAGACAACTACCTCAACTAATTAACCAGACTAGACATAAATAGTCAAATTTGCCCGAACACCAAAAATATACAACCAACAGCAACAACATTATCTATTTTGTTATGATAGGAGACAAGTCTCCCTTGGAAGTAGAAATGATGGCAGTTATGAACAGCGGTGAGGATGGGAGTGCAGTCTATACCATCGAGGATGAAAAGGTGAGTAACATTTTTTTTAAGCCTTTTTTAATGGGCATATTACCTTTTATACAATTTAACTTCTAGATACATGGGACTCGAGCTGATTGATTATTAGCTATGTTGATCCTAGCAGTGTCAATCCCATGAAAACGGTGCTCCATCTCCTTGAATTTCATGCTTAGATCTTTAGTAGGATTAACATTTTTAAGATGTATGGAAGGTTGTAATTTGTATCATTTCAAGTTCATCCAATATTTTCTAATGGCCAATGAAGTATTATTGTTTGTCTAAAATGGGGATGGATCAAGGATTCTGTAAGGGGGCACAATTATAAAGAGAAGAAAATTGTTTTAAAATCACTAAAACAATTTTGTTCTTCAGAAATGCCAGTTGAAGTTCAAAGGAGCTAATTCTTCCACTATACCCCCATATTCTCCAGTGATCTAGAAGATTGTTTTTTTGTGTTGTAAACATGCATGCTTGAATAATCTAGCTTGCTTGCAGTGACAAGGTCTGACCTCTGACCTTTGAACCCTTCCTCCCATTCAGCCAAACCATCTGACCCTGAGGAAGCAGTCCTGCTCCAGGCCTCCACCATGGGAGGTGGAGAAAGAGATGCTCACCTTGCTGGAGGAGAATCACAAGGTCAGAAGAGAGAATGAAGCACTTAGAACAAAGCTCACCAAAGCAGTCGGTAAGAAGGAACAGAAATATTATATTCACTTTAAAAAAAAGAAGAGTTTCTCCATGGATCACATGAAACTGCTTGGACCATATACAACTAAATTATTCATACCCAGATGAACTGAAATACCATTTCATCTTTCAGATCAGTCAAACAGTGTAAAATAATTCAGTACACAAAAAATTATATCTTGAAGCCAAATGTTGTTAAAATAAATAAGTAGATATACATGTATATTTATAAGGATAAATTAATAGGCAATTTTTAATTTCTTTGAATATTAGATGTGGGTGACCTGAAGAACATCTTGGAAACAACTATACTCAACATTCAGCAGAAACAGATCGTTCAACCATCACTTGATGAGCAGCCTTCCTCGAGTCAAGCATCCCAACCTATAATTGAAACTCTATCCTTGCCTCAGAGTATGGACATGAGCTCCCAACCGCAACTCTCTAACCCAGTTGCCAATGGTCACACCATGTCAGCACAAAGGTTCTCCATGTCACCACCAGGGACTCAGAGACAACCCGTGAGCAGACGGACCCAATCCATGAACCCCATGAGCCACCAGCTACCACGAACTTCATCCGCCCCTACTGCCCCGTCCCACAGTCAGTCTAGAGTACCAGAGTCAGAGTTGGACAACCCTTACATCGTCAGAGTCCAGTCACTAGCCGAGCCAACACCAGCAACACCTCCAGCACTACCACCACCAGCGCCACACCCTGTAGGTATCAGGCCAGCTGTAACGACTGCTTCCATCAACCAAATAGATCGGGGGTACATGCGGCCTTCACCTCAGAGTAACCAGCGGAAGAGCGGTGTGAGACAGAGGCAGATCAAGACCCCGCAGTGGCAGTCTAGCTATATTTCTGATGGTATCACAGAGCGCCTCAGGATTGGACGAAGTGGAAAAGACCAAACATCCTCAATAAGTGCTAATAATCTCGCAGGCATTCCAACAACATCCGAGCAACGCGTACACACTATTCAGATGAAGGGTGCAGCTCAACGAAGCGTATTAAAACTAGATGATGTTGATGGTGATAAGGTGAGACATACAATGTAGCTCTTAGTCATGATTATGGTTGATTTATCTTTCAGATTATAACAGATTTTACATCTAAAAAGGTCTCCTTATCAAGCCTATGGTAGTTGGCTAGTTGGCCTGCCATGCAGAGCAGATTGTAAACTTCAATCAGTTTTATTTAACCATATCAGGACAAAATGTTCAACCCATGGACAACTAGCTGCCCCCCTCCCCAACCCCCAAAACACAGCCCTGGGGCAACTACCCCCATGACAAATAACCCCAGACACCTATCTCCAAGATAATAAATCCACTGGACAATATCCCCCCTCCCTAATATCTTTAAAATTACCCCAAACCCCATCATAAACTTATCTACATGTACGTATGTGGGTTTTTTTTTTGACACTCCACAAGAATTCTTTACATTTTCTTTACAAAGCTACATTGTTTTCTTTTCTTTTGAAAAAAATAAAAATTCTGTTTTGCCTCTATTTGTTTTTTGTTGGATACTTTTTTTCTTTGGTTTGCATTTCCCTTTGTCTTATCATTTATAATTTGTTTTCTTTTTCTAATAATTGCTGTGTTTATATGACGAAGTTAGTTGCAGGCATCACAATTATAAGTAATACATGAACTATTTATCAAATTAAGAGATTGGTCCATTTTTACTCATCATTTCATTTAATCATCAGCTGATTGAACTGGTTCCGGGATTGGGCATCTGGTTGCCAAGGAAACATCTCAAACTGTGTCAGAGGACCAAAGGGTACAGCCAGTACACCAGAAAGCTTGTCATGCTCCTATTCAACATGAAAGAACTTAGCACCAGCTCCGTTACCGGCTTCAAGGCCACGGGAAAGGGCAGTGAGAATGCCATAGCACGCCCAGCTCTAGACCCAAAGAGAGTCCAAGCAATTATAAGTAAGTACCGTAAGGTGACGTGGTAATTGCTGCAGCAAATTTGCAGAGATGCCAACCAGTACGATTAAATCGTATTTAGTATGATGATAAGAGTGAAATACGATCTTAAAATCTTAAAATACAATCTCTTTTTTTCAACAACAAAAACAACAAACAAACAAATAAACAGCCAAATCGTATAGAAACATGTACAAGTAAACCCCTGCAACCCCAACAAAAACTTTACAATTTTCTCATTAAATTTTAATGAAAGAGAAAACATTTTTCTGAAATTTTACTGGCCCGGGGCCGACGGGCCAGTGGTAGTGTCAAGTTTTCGTGAAAATCTGATTTTTCTCTCCAAAATCTGATTTTTTTTTTTTAAGATACTCAGTCTGTTTTTTTGTGTCAAGAGGTTGGCATCTCTGAATTTGCCCTGTAAATTCATTATTTCAAGAATTTATATGGTTGGCATTTGGTTTGCAATAGGGTTGGGGGCGGGATTACAAACATTGTTTGGTCTAAGGTTGGTTAAAGGGATTTTGAACAGTGTAGGAAAATTAACCACAGAGCAAGTCATGAGAGCATAGAAGTATAATTCTTTTGATTTTCTCAGAATGTGATGGTGCCGATGTAAATTACTTAATGGAGAGGGAATTGCTCATATATGACCAGAGTGGCACCTGTAAAATGATTTCCTCAAAATTAATAACCTGTAGTCAATCATACATTTCAAACAGAAACGGAAAAACAAAACACCTTTTTCATTTATCTCTTTCAATCACCATCACAATGTTTGGAATAATTAATTTTCAGTCCCATTTGAGAAGCACTTGTGTTTATGCAGTTGCACTAAATTACTGCTAGTAAAAAATATCAAACTGCCAATCGATCATCCCATAACCTTAAATAAAAGACAACAGAGAGTTATGCTAGCCAGAGAAGGTACTTATTTTTTCCATATTTTTGTGAATTGTTTTTTCCAGCTGCTGTTCAGAAGCGCTTCCCTGCAGCTTCACCTTTCAAAGTCAAACAGGTCATGAGTCAAAAGCTTATGGATATTCGCAAGACAGTCCGGAACAAGCAACTCAAGAATGCCACATGGAAGCAGAGAGGAAGCAGAGTAGTGCTGTGCAGCGCCTGATGGTTGCTCTCACAGGCTCTCCCCTTTTTCCTGATTTTCACACTTGAATTGTCAATTTCATCGAGTGATTTTTATATCAGATGGAAGGGAATATCCCATAGACAAAAACTATGGATACAGCTGTAACGAAGAAGTTTGCAATCTCCTTCAATTTTTGCTTGATTTTGGTTGTGATTTTGTTCCAGAGTACTCAATTTCTACATTGGACTTCTACATACAGCTATTCATCATCATCATCTTCAATCCAGCCCGTTGGACCCTTTCAGACTATCTATCCAACCAAGCCTTTCACTGGAGAGACAGATTATGCCAGCCCTTCTTTTGATACTTTTGTTGCTAATCTTCACTCCTTTGATTTGAAACCAAAGTCATTGCGTTCAGGCATGACATTGGGTCTGAGACTAATCCAGTACTCAGCGTTGTATCTTCATGGATTGTGTCCCTATTACTACCCTGAGGACGAATGTAGTTTAGACAGTGACGTCTGCTTCAGTTTACAGTCCTTAAATAAACAACTCCAGAATGCCACATGGAAGCAGAGAGGATTGCATCATGGGTTACTCTAAGAGAGATCAGTATTACTGTAGATGTCTGAGAAACATTCAAATTCCTGAATTTCGAAAAATACAAGGGGTCAGAGAAAGATGTTCGTAGGACAGTCCGGAACAAAAAACTCCAGAATGCCACATGGAAATGGAGAGGACTGCGCCATAGGTCACTCTAAGAGAAACCTGTAATATATGCAACTGTGTGAGGAACATTTAACCCATTGCATACAGGAACCGTTTTGATCCTGTATAGAGTCTATGGGACTGAGAGAATTTAGCTGTCATCAGGTTCATGCAAGAGCACTTGTTCGTAGGACAATCAAAGGAATCAGAGAAAAGATAATCTGTACAGATTTAACTTGTTTGAGTTTGTGAAACTGCATAAGAAATAAAGGCAGTATGGCCGTCATGTATCTGTATTGAGATGATGCATTTACATGTACAGGTACATGTACTTGTACAATGTGTTCATGTTGAGGTTGATGGGTTAATCTGACCAGTTTTACAAAATTTGTAGCTGAAAAGCATGATAAACATGGAGTCTGGAACTATGTCTTAGTGTAATAATAAATGAGTAATAATAAAAATGGTGCCTGTAAAGCGCTTTCCACCAAAGTCTCTAAGCGCTAATAACAAACAAAATGCAGTGACAAACAATTCTAATTAAACAAAAAAATTACAAATAAACCTACAAATTATAATAATTTCTGTAATGCTCATCATGCAATCAAGTCAAACAACTCATTTTGTTTGGCAGCTCCATCATTTATTCAGTCTTAAACATTTCATTTAATCATGCTTGACTTTGTAAATGTTCATTATCTGTTCTAACCAGAGTTCTAGATTAAACTTATTATGTACTGCTCAAATTTATGAAAATTCACTCGACTAACCATAATCAAATAAGCTACCTAACCAATTGTCCACTGTTACTGCCAATGTGTACAACACTGCAGTAGTTCTGATCATGCTGTAGGAGGATAGATTGTTTGGTTGGAGAGTAGTCAGTTCACTGCCATGCCATGAGCTAGCTGTGCCATTTTGGTGTTTTATTTATTACATGTACAGCACAAAGGCTGATGTTGTTTAGAACTTAGCCTATTGATACATGAACTACTCTTTTTATAAATGTGAATATTGCGATCAGAAGTGAACCCGAAGTGCTATTTCATCAATTGGTGCAGAAGTTATTTTCAAATGCTGTGCATCGTTTCATGACATCCCACTGAAACATAGTTTGAATAGAACTTGTATTGTTTGACGGTTTCATGAAGCACTGCCCTTTATCCATGTGGTTGCCAAGTGTCAACTTCTGTAAAGGTTAATCATATGGGGAGGCTGTTTGAAAGCCAATCCATTTTGTTGTCAACTTGTCGTCAAGTTCTTTTAAGCCTTCAAACCTGTACATAACGAGAGGAAAACTGTATGGACCTAACCATCCAGTACTGTCTATTTCTTTACATCACAAGAGTCAGTAAAAATGGGAAGTAATTTAGACCTTTTGTTACTCTTTCATCAATTTAATTCAAACTTTAAGTCCACTCAAACAGTAAAACACAAATATGTAGACCAATATTTTCTAGCATAAAAAGTTGATAAAAAGCATTGATAAAAAAATATATGTATTTGACAATGCACAATAAATACAAGCACATAAAATGTGGACATGAGAGGGGGTGAATTAAAGGAGGGGATGAATTAAAGATGGTTAACATCTTAAAACCTTTATCCAAATTCCTGATAATTTATAAATACACTTCAATCACTATCAACATGACTGACAATGAAAGCGGACAAAATATACAGTTCCTCAGGTGCAAAAAGGAACATCCCTTCACTGCTATTATTTAAAAATGTGTAGAACAGGTGTCACATGCATAGTCACCTTTTTATATAATAGCAGTGAAGGGATGTTCCTTTGTCCACCTGAGGAACTGTATATTTTGTCCGCTTTCTTCGTTTGTCATGTTCATAGTGAATGCCACTGCCAGGTTGTGATAAAGGTTAAAGGTCAAAGCAACTATTTGCATCATTAACGATTACGAGATCCATACAGCAAAGGGCATTTTAGTAGACATGAACATAAAGTATTTGACATTAAGCTTTTTAAAATACCATTATGTGCTTTTCTGTAAAATGCGTTCAGCTTTTGAAAAGAAAGTATCAGTAATGTTAATGTATCATACGTAGATGTACATGAAAGTGGTTGTTTTTTAAAACTTTAATTGTTACAAATCTATATTTTGCAACTGAGTTTTGTAAATAAACACAAATTTTGAAATTGAAAATAACATTTGTATATTTATTTTGTGAGAGAGATCCATATCATTTATACACTGTATGTGCATTAATAAAAGTAAGCACAGAGTCGCAGAGAAAGAGAAGGGAATAGAATTATACGAAAGGTCAATATATATTTTCATTCTCATTGCACGCCTTACAACTTTTCTGTCATTTCAAACATTTTCACTTGATAGCCTACTGGAAAGAAGCAGCACTTTGATGAAATCACTTTGATAAAAGCACTTTACCATATTAACATATTCTCATTCTAATCAAGGCTAATTAAAAGCACTCAGTTAAAGCCCACTGTCCTACTTGTAGTTGTAGCTACTGGCTCCCTCTATATAGAAAACTTCCCCAATCGGTGCCTGTTGGTCTCCCATGATCCTCTATTTCTTATGTTATATGAGAGCTGAGTTGATGAGATAGCCACCTGTCAGTGACCTCACTGTGTGGTCTAATCCCTCCTAGCCACACTAGTGTTGATAAGCTTAAACATCATCATCTATGATTCTTTTTTAAAATCAAAGACAAAGTAAATCTAGGAGTACCGTAGGCGGAATGAAAAGGAAATGGTATAAAATGAAAATCAGAAAAGATTTTCCAGTTCAGGGGTGATAGTGAGCACTAAAAAAAAAGGGGGGTTTATTTAACCACGCCTCCCTTGAGTAAAACGAAAAAAGAGAGGATTCAAGGGGGAAAATGGCATCTAACAACATCCCCCCCCCCCCTTTTTGAGTAAGAAAAAATGGGGAAAAATAGGGAAGAATAGAGAAAATAAGGGGAAAATTGGGATTAAAAAAAAATATTTAAAAAAAATCAGGAAGAAAAAAGAAAAAAATCTGGTTTTTATCAGACATACCTTGTACACGGCCTCCATGAACTTCTGATCAGTCTTGGCTGCAAGTTCTAGGTTGCTCTCCAGAATCAGATGGGTGACTGGCCTTGAATAATCACACAACATGTAGTGCATGATTGGAAGGAACTCTTTTGGGGCACCTCGTGCAAGGCTAAAATAATAATAATAATAATAATAATAATAATATTTAGTTTTTATATAGCACTTATCACAAATGTCTCTAAGCGCTTTACAAATATACTATTACCTCGATCATTGGATTCAGTGCTTGCCCGCACACACTGTGTGCACAATCTACACTCACTGGGGAGCATTCCAGCCAGGCGTTACTTGACGCTCAAAAACTGTTTGACCAACAATGACGGTCGCATCTTACCGGGTACCCATTTAACACCTGGGTGGTGAGTAGCAAGTGCAGGTTAATATCTAGCAAAAGGATATCAGTGCCGTGTTGGGATTCGAACCCTCGACACAAGTTACAAATCTCATTATTTGCACTAATTGATGTCCACATTACAGGTACGAAAAACTTTTTCTTTATAAAACAATATTCTTTAGGAAATATTGATTAAAATACAAATTATTGCTATTTTTTTCTGCTGGAACAGCTAGAGTAAATTGGAAGACCACCACCAACAAAAAAATTAAATTGCAACTTGTAAGACATATATGATTTAAATCTGAAATCTGAAATAGTAGTTTTCTAAATTCTATTCACTTGCATACATCGTATATATATATATATCAGAAATCCAATAGAAAATATATACCGGTATTCAAAAATTTGGTAAAGATATCTTGCTGTCAAAGGAATGAAATTGCTCATAATCTCATTTTGTATGGGCACAAAAGAAGCAATGACAAAATCACTCTTTTAATGGCAAAAAATGGATTGGATACATGTATATGTACTGTACATAGAACTGCTGCTAAATGCGACATTCCTGGGAAAATAGGCAAAAGAGTCTTTAACTCAAATGCAAGCTTTATTTCTATCAAAAATTTGTTAGGGTTCTGTTTTTGTTTTTTATTTGAACTTTTACATGAATATGGAATACATATTGTCTCCAATCTAATTTAAGACAATACTTTTCAGAAGAAATGTCAATATTTCATTAAATCAGTCTGAATCAATAAATTTGTTTAACCCTCTCAACAGTTTCGAGATATAAAATATAAACAACACACTACCTGATAAAGTCGAGGTCCTTTGGGTATTTTGCATGCTTTAACTCAGTCCGTAAGCTCCTCAGGTTTCCTTTCACATCACCCGTTGCCATGACAACCTAATCAGATGATAGAATATTAATGAGACAAATTTTTATGATTTACTATAAACAAGACCAAGATCAGGTGATAAGGAAATTTAGTCCCAATATACACTGGTGTACTCCCTGCAATTCAATTGATGGACCGATTTAGACTACACCATTCTCCGACTCAGTATAGCCTATCAACAGTAGGGGCGCTGGTCCAAGAATAAGGATCGTCTTCAGAAACAAGGATCGACTTTGTAAACGCGGACCGTTGCGTCCTCATAAGTAAGGATCGTCTGCATTTTCTTATTTTTGATCGGCCCATTGGCGATGCAAAAAAACGGATTCTGTGATGATTTTCTTGATGCATTTTACATTGACTTTGTACAGAGATCTTCACATTATGAGCAATAAATCCTTGGGAATTAAGACGGACAACCCATAAAAGTAGACGGCTAACTAGGCTTATTTTCCCCTGGGAAATCCATTTTTGGCATCGCCAGCAGGCCATTGAAAATAAACGTCCGTGAAAATGCAGACAATTCTTATTTTTTAAAACGCATTTTGTCTGCGTTTATGAGGATATCCTCGTTTGCGAGGACGATCCTCATTCTCGGACCAGCTCCTCTACTGATCAAGTTTTCTGGGGTAACCTCACACAACAAGAGAAAACTATAAAATGCCTTATGCAAGGCGGTCGGCATTAAAAACAAAATTAAGTTTCATTTGTCCAAGGAGTAAGAACACAAGGCCATATTGCTTCAATAAAAAACATTATGCACAAGTTCGCCAACATGAAACGCGTCTTTATGAAATTTCAAGGGTTTTAATGGTATGTTAGACTATGTCTATACTAGACCGAATTTTCTGTCTCTTTCGTTCGTTAGCCTCTTATTGGGGTAGGGTCGGCGGCTCTAGAGCCGACCCTACCCCAATAAGAGGTTAACAAACGAAAGCGACGGAAAATTCGGTCTAGATCTAAAGCCATTTAGTCTATATGCCTGATTATTCTTAAATCTAAGTTGGGTCTAATTAGATCAGCTATTTCACAATTGCTCACAATATTTTATTCTAGACAATCTAGATCTTCTTATCTTTTTGCATTTTTTCATAAAATCCAACGGGCAACGTACAGCAATCATGGTGTAGCCTACATTTCAATCTATATCAAGTTCTTACTCAAAATATGTGGTTATACTTGTAAATCCAATGAACATCAGCTCAGTACACGTCAGTTCCACTGCACTCCCTTCCAGCCTCTAGATCAGACACAAGTTATCGTCTCACTGACTCACTCTAAGCTCGCTCTCGATCTCAGCTCACACTGCAGCAGCTCATTTAATCTATCAAATTTGATTTGATGATCTACACAAAATCTTTGCACGGAAGTTTAAATGGCGCGCGCGCGCTCCTGATAAGCTTTACTGGGGCTCGGGGGTTCCCCCAAAATTCAACTCTTTCAGAAAGAGCAATAGCCATTGGTTTACTTTTACCGTCTGTCCATCGATCATCCAATGATATACCTCGTAACAGCATTGACATAATGTACATGAATATTCATATTTGATCATGTTTACCTTGACAAAAGTATTGCCATTACTTAGCTCCACGTCAATCCCGGGTTGTCATCACGGTATCGTTACTTAGTTATATAATTAGATGGTCGTGATGAGCCATCCAAATTTGTTGAGTATGAAAGAGCGCCAGATTTTATCAGTCGGTTGAAGTTGCTGATGATTATATTTATGCTTTTTACGGCTGGGACAAACTGGCAGTGGCCGAGGTCGACCTAGGTAGAAGTTCTAGACAAATCTCACTCACTGCATGCACACACTGCACTGGTCGCAACGTCGAAACAAATACACTGTGATCCGTGGCCGAGCTCTCCCGCTCCTTGTTGTAGAGCCGATCGAGAGCCTGTGCTGAAAACCGTACACAGCTCAGACTAGTCAGTAGGTGAGTGTTTCTGTGACTATAATTTATAAAGGCAATTTTCAAAGATAAGATCGACTGCTAACTCTTGTAGACTATATCCATAAATGTGACGCTTTCATAAGTTAAACAAATTACCTACGGCGCGAGTTGGTAATGCAATGGTATTCTGAAAATTGTAAATTTGCTTGGAAAAATGGACTTTTTAAAAGTTTTCTTTCATCCGTCAAAGATAATACTACACAGGTAGAGTGTGTGTGTGTGTGTGTATTTGGTTTTTTACAGACGTGTATCAATCAGATATGATTATTTACGTCTGGGGACCGACCTTTAACGTCACCATCCGAAAGACGTGACTCAGTTTCGAACCTGCGTCCTCGGCTGAATCAGTTTGTAACTTCCACTGTTAGCTGGATTACAGGCGCACGCCACAACGCCTATGGCTTCTATTGGTAAATCAATAATGATAAATTAAAATCGATTTTAGCAACTGTCTACACAGGTAGAGCAGTGCATGAGCACGAAAGTTCATGTCTAAGTTGGTATTTGAAAATTGTCTTAGTGGTCTAATTATCATCTCTAAGCTTCTTCCATTCGAGAATTGGCCTCTTGAATAGAGTGTTTTTTGTACTTTATCTCTAGAAGGACCACCTCCACCTTATCTTTGAGTAACACACCCTTCTTTTGAGACCGTACCAATTTAGATTACTTTTTTATTCATTCATGAGGATGCATTTGCATGTTAAAGGTACATGTGGATTAATTTCTGGCATGAATAAGAAATTACATGTTGTATATTGTCTTTGTGCTACCAACTGCAATTAATTACTGAGCAAAATGATTCCTGCTTTTGTGCTTGAATCAAAGCGCAAATTGATGTGAAATCAATGAATTTTATTTGAAGCACTAAATACAATTATTGAAAAATAAATGCGTTCTTTCATTTCATGAATCCTGAAGGCCAAACTGTCAAATAAATATTGTTCACACTTGTTTTTTAATATAACAATTTTTGTATGACCTCAATGAGATTTGTAATGCTATTTTAAAGAGATGTTTGTCACAATTAAATCTTGTTTATGTATGCTGTGGTTAACGGCAGCAGTTTCCCACAGGTCTTTTTTTAAAGCATATTTTCAATTGTACTGCGTTTCACATCTGTGTATCTTATAACATGCAGATATAAGTGGGTATGCATATAACCATTGTTACGGGCAGCTACTTCTTTCATTATTTCTTTAAAAAACTACTAGAGTAAATCGTCATGGATTACCCAGGCATGTGAGACTGAGTCTTATGTTTGTAGTAATCACAAGCAGGGCTCAAATTAATTTTTTGTCCACGGGGGCTCTTCCCCCCAAAAAAGAGCCCCCGTGAGCCTTCTCACGGGGGCTCTTTTAGTACTGACGGGGGCTCTTTGTTATACAAATGTCCATTGAATTGGTACATATGATACTCCTCAATTATTTGCTATTTCATCATTATCACTTTAATCAGCATTTTCCCTCTTACAAATTTACAAGCTACATAGCTGTTACTGACTTTCATCCCGTGATGACATTCTCTCGATTTTTTCCCGTTCTGCACATTATTTGCTCCTCATTATTCGGAGCAACCTTTACATTATTTCTTTACTGAGCCGCGTAGCGGCGAGGCGATTTTGTGTGTGTGCTATTTTGGACAGGCGCGGATCCACGGTCCGATTCTACGCCCCCCCCCCCTAGCCTCCCAAACCGGTAAAAAAAATAGGATAGTAACGTAAATTTTACCTTAAAAAATTAAATAAAAAACGCCCCCCCCTGACCTGCCAGTGACACAAATGCGGCATCAAAATATTTGTGCTTCTCTGACCGTAATTAAATGCCTAAAACCCCTGAACCCCCCCCCCCCCCACACACCAATTTACGCTCGCTACCCTCTACCTGATCGTAAATACTTTAGCCCCCCCCCCCCCAGTCCCCCACTTTGATAAACGTTCCGCGGGGCCTGTGTATATATACGCATACAACACTGATCTTTATGATGTCTTTAACGTGACATAGCTTCTTCTCACCTTGCAAACGAGAAAGAAAACAAGGTCATTAAAAGGGATTAAGCAACAAATAATGATTGTGATTCAAATTGATACGAATATTTGTTTAAATAAGCACTGCTATTCACCCGAATCTTCTTTGTAAAAACAACTTTTACAAATCTCAGCCATGTTTACTGAGTTGAGACGTTCCATTCAATGTAAAATACTCATTAAAGAATACACTTCTCCTAATCTGAAAGTGATCTTACAACACAGTGGCAGATTTGCATGGCTGAGATTTGTAAAGGTCGTTTTTACAAAGAAGATTCTGGTGAAAAGCATTGCTTATTAAAACAAAATCCTTGCACAATTTGAATCACAATGATTATTTGTCGCATGATCCTTTTATTAAATAACCTTGTTTTCTTTTTTGTTTGCAGGGGGAGAAGAAGCTATGTCACGTTAAGAAATCATAAAGATCAGTTGTATTATGCGTATATACATATGATACCAGAACAAAATGTTGATTATCAGAATGTCATTTTGGAATACCTCTTTACAAATACCACATTGTCTTTAGCCCGTATTAGTATTGGTATGAGCCAATGTAAAGCTATTATTCTTTATTTAGTTCAGTATAATGCTTTTCCTCAAAAATAGTTTTGCTATTTTGTTAGGGTTGAGACGCTAAGAAATGGTTTCAAATATACATTACACAAACCCTGAACCATTGCAAAATGATGGTGGTTCTCTCTCTCTCTCTCTTTATTTTAATCATGCATTATCAACTACATATAAAGCAGCAACCAAAAACTTAGGGTTATCTGAGATAGGTGAAAGTAAGAGTTAAAAAGAAAGTCATGCTAAAACGGGGCTTTACCTCCCCCCCCCCCCCCCTGAAAAAAATATAATAGATTAGTGGTCCTCCTGTCCAGCATCCCCCCTCCCGCTTTAATATTCACCGGCCGGCTGAGTAGGCGCAAAAATGTTCCCAAAAAACTGGACCCCCCTAAACAAATATATGTGCATTTATCCAGCCCCCCCCCGCTCATTCGCCGATAGCTGGCTGGCTGATTCGCCGCTAAATATTTTCTCAAGATTTGGTCCCCCCCCCCACCTCTTGCCAGCGGCTGGTTCGCCCCTGATTTTGGACCCCTGTAAGTGATGTTTTCCTGGCATCTACTTACATGCGAAGCATCGTCCACGAGCCGCATAGTGGCGAGGCGATTTTTGTTGTTGTTGCTATTTTGAACCCCTGTATTGTTTTCCTGGCATCTACGTTTTTCTATGCACATCACATTTTCACTTGGCAGCCCAAGGGGGCCGGGGGGGGGGGGGGGGGGGGGGGGGGGGGGGGGGGGGGGAGGAGGGGGTTATGTGTGTTACCAAAATGTCCGGTAAAGGGGTACTTTTCGTGCGACAAAGTCCGGCCCGAGAATTGTAAAAAAAGGGGTGTTTTAACTTTTCACCCAGAGATTTCTTTAAAAAGGGGGTGTTTTTTTGGACTCCTGAGAAATTATTCTGAATTTAGGTGGGTACATTGAGCATTTTTCATGAATAAGGGGGTCTCCAAGGCAGAAAAAGCCTGCGAAAAGCCCGCGAAAGAGGGGTTCGGAAATGTTGGCAGTCCTCAGATAGGGGGTACTTTCAAAAAGAGGGAACAAGCATAATGCGTACCCTAAATAACACTGAGTGGGGGGCCGGGGTTTCTGCCCTTGCGCGATCGCCTCCAGCTCCAGCAGACATGGCGCGGCAGCGTGCACACATACCGTTACTAACAGCGCAGTAGGCCTATAACCACTGCTGACGGCGGCACTGCACTGCGAGCTGAATCGGTAATAATAGGCCTACTCATAGAACGGTAAATCATGCACGCTAATCTAAGTTCTATTTAATTGGTTTAAGGTTTGAAAATTGAAACTCAATATTGTGTTAAAGTTATAACAGAAAAGATAATCTTTATTTTATAATTCCACGGGGGCGATTTTTAATTTTGCAATCGCCCCCGTGAGCAACCTGACGGGGGAGATTATGTAGCTCACGGGGGCAAATCGCCCACCGCCCCCGTGTATTTTGAGCGCTGATCACAAGACATTGGCTTTACAGCTCTTCCCCCTCAAAAATAATAAATTATACTAATCTTTATCATGAAAATGTGCAATAAATGAAAATAGGACCCATTTCTCTTATTTTTTTCTGAAAGGGAACCTGCCCAGTGAAGAAGTATTTGTATTTTTCTTGAACTATTTGTATGGTCTTTTTCAAGCAAGGACTGAAAGCTTTAGTTGCCCACAACTGCAATACTACATGTATACTTTGTTTTTGTGTTCGTGAATTATCAATCATTAATGCGTCAGTGTTTTCATTTCATTCCTTGACAGAAAGTCTTCAGAAGCAACTTTCTGACAGCCTGTCTTACATGTACTTAGCAGTACTTTCTGAATAAATATCTGGGACAAGAGTAGCTATAAAGCATGGGGCAGGCGGTGAGGAGGATTCGTCGAGAGCCGAGCCTGACATCATGGAACGTAGTTGGAAGCAGGAGCTACATGAGAAGGTTTCCCAGCTTCCTGGACCCTCATCAGAAATTTCCTGACATCATCAGCCTTCCTCCCGAGATAGCACTGATGGTGCTGTCAAACCTCACTGCCACCGACCTCTGCCTGGCGATGACCGTCAATGACTTCTGGAGGGAGCTCGCCAGCGACGAGATGCTGTGGCAAGGGTAGGTCCAATTTCAAAGCTAAAATCTGTGATAAAATGTTACTGTGAGTCTGGACCTAGAAAGTATGCCTTATGCCATTTATAATTAAGAGTTTCTGGTCTACCAGTACATGATACATAAATGAACAAGTCAATCAAAAACACTATCAAGGTTTTGAACACTGTTATCTAGACGAGGAGGATAACATTGATTTTCAAAACAATAATTTTTGTAAAATGAGGTAAGTATTTAACAGATAAAATATGTACCGGTAACATTATCTCTTTTGTATGACCTTTGAAGGGTCACGTCCACCATGAATACAGAGAGGGAAGAATGATTTAGGATCATAAATACGTAGGTGATCTTTCTATCATGACTGCATTACATGTGAGGTATTTGACCATTTAAAAAACAATTGCTGTGGCAAAATAAAATGTGATGAACGAGCTACTCATACAGATGTGTACCGGGTAAGTACACATAGGAACTTTGATTGTGCACTGCCTCTTCTTTCACACCCACTCGCCTTTCATTTACATGTGAAATAGTTTTCAAGTTTGCTGCAGCATTTTATGAGGCTGTTTTCCAAATGCTGTGTAAACAAGCCTTGATACTATTTTGTTCCATTTCCTAGTGTTACCGTACTTCTTGTCATGTATCTGTACATGTATTCAGAAAAAAGCACCAAATTTGGCCCAGAGGTAGATTATACCATTCTATTACGATTTCTGCCGGACGCCAAGAAGGGCGCTCTCTGGGACAGCCATATTGGGCAAATCCAAAATGGCCGCCATCTGGTCAAGCGTAGTTCCAAAAGAAAAAGCGCTTGTATGATAATAGTTTATATATTTATAGGGTATTGGGGGTCAGAGAATCTGATTATAATGTTCTTTCATTCATTTGAGGTCTGCTTGGGGCTGCCATACTGGTCATATTGATCAAATCCAAAATGGCCGCCATCTGAGTTACAGGTCATGTATAGTTTCGAAAGGAAATGGGCTAGTATGATGAAAGTTTATATATAAAGGGGCTTTTCGGGGTCAGAGAATCTGATTTTGATGTGCTTGTATCGATTTGAGGTCTCCTTGGGGCTGTCATGCTGGTCATATTGGCCAAATAAAAAATGGCTGCCATCTGAGTTAAAGGGAAAGTCCACCCCAAAAATAAGTTTGTTTCGATAGAGGCAGAATAATAAGAAAATCAGGTGAGTGAAAGTTTGAGCAAATTCTGAATGAAAATAAGAAAGTTATGAATTATTGAAGTTGTGATCAATCAAATACAAATTGGCAACTCTGTGACTTATCATACGAGCTCTCCTTCATTTGCTTTGTGCATAATATTCCATAAAATCATGTTTTCTTCGTTATTGATGACGGAATATATATTTGTTCCTTGCAGGGGGAGTATAGAAACATATTTGCAATTATTATATTTAGGGTGCATGTATGGTTGAAATTTTTCTTGAGGGAAAATGAAAATTTTAGATTTTTTTAGTACTGAGCAAATGGAAGTTGAGCTCGCATGATACGTCATAGAGTTGCCAATTTGTGTTTGATTGATCACAACTTCAATAATTCATAACTTTCTCATTTTCATTCAGAATTTGCTCAAACTTTCACTCACCTGATTTTCTTATTATTCTGCCTCTATCAAAACAAACTTATTTTTGGGGTGGACTTTCCCTTTAAAGGTCAAGTGTAGTTTCAAAAGAAAAAGGACCAGTATGATAAAAGTTGATAAATTCATGGGGTTTCCGGGGTCGGATAATCTGATTATGATGTTCTTTTATCAATAAGCGAGTTCGTAATTGCACACTCTGCATGCGCCAAAATCGGGAACAAACTTTTACAAAGGTCACATGAACATAAAGAGAGCTGAGAGAGGAACTGTAATTTGTTTTTGTGTGCTGGCCTTTCCTTTGTGAATGATCACATCTGACACATCAGTCACCGAAAATCATTTCTGAATGTCGAAATTGGTTCTTTATAGTAAACTTTACTTGGAATCTGGTCATCGGTAAAGTATTATCGGCTTTATCGTGATCCAAGTCCCCAGGGATCCATAGACACTTTTTACTCTGAAAAAACATTTCTAACTTCCAAAATTGTATTCACCAAACCGCGTGTTTAATGGATTATTACTTTATTTAGTCAATCCAATTTATCTAGTAGGCCTATTAAAGTCATTCACTATTTAGAATAAAGCGAACTATAATTTAAATTTATTTAGTCAAGCATTGATTAGGCTGAATAAATGAATATTATATTTATTAATTCACATTGCCTTTAACGATTATTGAAGACGAAATATAACTTTCATCATTAAATTTTGTTTTAAATGATATTACTGATTTATTTATTGATTGATTTATTGAACACTCTTGTACACGTCATGTGATTCCTGACTGAACTAAAGGTTTAATTATGATTGCAGCATGAGCTAAATCCAGCTTTTTGTGTGCCAATATCTTAAAAACAAATGGAACAAGCTGTTTATTTCTTTATTCATGGTCTATTTCTACTGTTTATCTATTTTCATTGCCAACCCTCAAAAACAAATTTATTATGCATTTCACAGAGGAAAGTTTGCATAGGAGAACTAAATATATATATATATATATATATATATATACAAATTATTTATTGGGCTTATTTTGCTTTCCAATAAATCCATACAATATGGCACAGCTTTAGGGGCCTGGCAGAGCCCAGGATGCCCGAGTTTATTTGACTTTCAAGAGAAAATGTCTCTAAGATATAAAGAGAGGTTATTTCTTAAATGAAGTGAAAGGACTCTTGAAAATAAAATAGCCATTTCATTTCATTTTAGAAATAAACTCTAATCCATCCCTTGATATTTAAATTGCATTGCTCCTACTTTGTGCTTTTTTCACACTCTCCCTGATCTATAAAGGGTGCTTTCTTTATTTGATCATCAACAGAAGCAAAATGCTAGGCCAAACTTTTCGAAGCATGACCAGATCTAAAGTATGCTTAAATGGGAGCATTGATGTATGTAGAAAAAACAGTATTAAGATCCCATGCAACGCTTTGAAATGTAAAGAAGAATGAGAAAAATAAAGTTGAGATTTAACCTTTATGTCTAGACGTTGCTTAATGCATTTCGTATTGGTATTATCTCCCATCTGACAGTGATTATAGACGTTATTTATATGGATAATAAAGATAAAGCTGTCCGTGTCTTTGAATGTAATGCTTCAAAACAAATCGAACAACCTGTTTATTTCTTTATTCATGGTCTGTTTCTACTATTTATCTATTTTCCTTGCCAACCCTCGAAAACAAATTTATTATGCATTTCACAGAGGAAAGTCTGCATATTGATGAAACATATGGGCGCAGGCCAAGATTTATACCCACTCAAGTGTGAATTTGGCGCATCTTCCCTCATCTTCTTCAACCAGGAAATGGACTCCATTGTAGCCTTAGGACAGGATGGTGACATAAAATTGATATAAAAAAGAACTTCATAATCAGATTATCTGACCCCGGAAACCCCATGAATTTATCAACTTTTATCATACTGGTCTTTTTCCCTTTGGAACAACGCTTGACCTTTAACTCAGATGGCGGCCATTTTTTTTTTGACCAATATGGCCAGCATGACAGCCCCAAGGAGACCTGTACTTGATACAAGCAACATGATATCCAGATTCTCTGACCCCGAAAACTCCATAAATACATAAACTGTTATCATTTTTGCTTTTTTCCTTTTGGAACTACTATTAACCTGTAACTCAGATGGCGGCCATTTTGGATTTGACCAATATGACCAGTATGACAGCCCCAAGGAGAAATCGATGAAAGAACATCATGATCAGTTTCTCTGACCCTGAATACCCCATAAATATATAAACTTTTATCATACTAGCCCATTTCCTTTCGTAACTACACTTGACCTGTAACTCAGATGGCGGCTATTTTGGATTTGACCAATACTACCAGTATGACCCGAGGAGATCTCAAATGGATGAAAGAACATCATAATCAGATTCTCTGACCCCGAATACCCATAAATATATAAACTTTTATCATACTGGCCCATTTCCTTTCGTAACTACACTTGACCTGTAACTATCAGATGGCGGCCATTTTTGGATTTGACCAATATGACCAGTATGGCAGCCCCAAGGAGACCTCAAATCGATGAAAGAACATCATAATCGGGTTCTCTGACCCCCAAAACCCCATAAATATACCAACTATTATCATGCAAGCGCTTTTTCTTTTGGAACTACGCTAGGCCTTTAACTCAGATGGCGGCCATTTTGGATTTGCCCAATATGGCATACCCAGAGGGTGCCCTTCTTGGCGTCTGGCAGAAATCGTAAAAGTATGTTATAATCTACCTCTGGGCCAAATTTGGTGCTTTTAGAAGAATCTGCACCAAACAACCCCTATTTAGCCCTAACAGCCCCAACGTATACCGGTAGATAGAATGCACTTCACAAGCCTTTATTTTGCCATCAGGTTATGCAGGGCTACTTGGGGATGTGTCACGGCGTATGAGAGAGGAAACGAGGATAACTTCTCCTGGAAACGTCTCTACATGACCCTAGATGAAGCCACGCTCACATTCAATGCCAGTGCAGATCTGGTAAGAAACCAAAGAAAATTACTTTATCCAGTTTGGCAAGTCCAATATTTCCTTTTTTCTCAGACTTGTAGATTCATTCAGCTTTTTTTAATGGCCAGGGCCCCACACTAACCTTGTTTGAAGGGGTCCAGAATTAATTTAAAGTCGGTATGCATATGCCCTATGTGAAGGTTCTATATTTTGGGGTCCAGACAGTGGATTTTGGGCACCTGTAATGGGACACAAAAAGTGAGGATATATGATATGTATTAAAATTAGAAGCCAACCATCTCTATTTTGTATTCCTTCAGGGGCTTGAGTACTTATTTAGCCATCAGCTGATCAATAATGATGTTGACGAAATTGCCAAGTTTATTCACACTACCAACAAGCTTCATCGTAGAGGCGTCAGGGACTTACTTTCAAGGAGGTAAGCTGTGTTTGAGTGGTTTAAAGGCCAATTTTAGTTTTGTTTTTTGCTTTTAGATGATAAATAGCAAGATAGTAGCAATACTCAAGTTTTTTCCTCAAGTGAAATAATAAACAAGCAAGAGGCAAAAATTAGTTTATAAACCTGGCTTAGAATATCAACCTACGCTACACTCGCTACACACATGTAAAACCTATTAAGGTTGTGTGCACGCAACACATAGGCTATCACGGAATGAAGCACTGACATTGTTGTTGTAAGCTGTCGGAGTTGGAGGGTCCCAGCATAGGGTAGTGTATAAGCCTTAAGTCTTTCTTTTAGATATTTACACTAAAAGTCACTGATGGACTTTTAAATGATTTCGCTCATGTATCTTTTGATACAAGGAAAACAATGTGAGACTAGATTTTACTTTTTCCCCACCAAAACTGTCAAAACTGTCTGTGAGCTTGACATGCTTAGCTGGAGATGTGAAGGTCGTTAGGTTCATCTCTCGGCATGGCAATTACATTGTTTTGTCAATTTTGTCCCGCAATGTCGTAGAGGGATGATATAATTTCACAAGATAAAAGAGTGGCAATAATTAGGATTTCATTATTTGCTGTTCTACAGAAATAATACAAGCAGCAAGTTTTATTAGTAATTGCCCTGTAGTGCCTCTCGAGTGCAATATCATGATCAACCATTAGGAATTATATCATGTCAAATATGTCCATTTAACAATACTAGGCAGGACATCTTGGAGGTGATCATTAAGCTGGACGACTACGCCAACAAGTTCCTTCCTAATGCTCTCAGGACATTCTTCTCCAACGTTGACTCGCCTAGTGTGAGTGGCAGAGACCTTAATGAGCTTCTTCAGAAGTTTGCAGAGAGATTCATCAACTGCAACCCTGACTGCGGCATGACAAAAGGTACGGATTTCTGCAATTTGATTCAGGAAGTTATAGACTGCATTTATTGACAACTTTGAAGGGCAGTGGGGTACGGTTAATACTATTCCCAAGGTGATCCCGGAAGTGTACTGTACCCTAAGATGAAGACAAGGGGCGCAGCTCAGTCTCAAGATCACAGAGAATCTACAGGTTAATCATGACCCCATCCACAAAAGATAATAAATGAATTATTTAATTAATAAATGAATAAGTAGTCAATATTTGTTTTATACACTGAGCATCCCCTTGGATTAATACATGCACAATACAGAGCTGCCAACCAGTACGATTTTATCATATTTCGTACAATTTTTAGAAGTAAATACGACAGTACGATTTTTCCTAAAAAAATAGCCCATTAGCCCAAATAGCATCTCACATCGGCAATTTGGGGAATGTCATTGGTTCATCAAACATATCAGTCATGATGAAATCATGCTTATTCAACCATTCGTCCATTAAAAAATTTCTTCCTGTATGTAGGAACTTATGCAAATTGGAACCCCCCCCTCCAAAAAAAAAAAAAAAACGCATTTCCGCAGTGAGAAAGTACTTATCGATCGAAAATAGGATTTTTTTTGGAAAATAATAAGATTTTTGTTCAGTTGAGGTTGGCAGCTCTAAATACAAATGAAGCTAATATTACCGGTAATGATATTATCACTATCCAATTTCTCCTTCCATCTTCCAATTTAGATGCCATTTGTATTCTGTCCTACTCGCTGATCATCCTCTCGGTTGACCTGACCAGCCCACATGTCAAAAACAAGATGTCCAAGCGAGAGTTCATCAGGAACGTTCGGCAGGCAACAACAGAGGTAGGGGATGAGCTCGCGGGTCATCTCTATGACAACATCTACCTTGTAGGCCACATCGCCCCACAGAAGTGGATTGAGTAGGGCCCCCTTGAAAACCTTGCAGTGACTTTTTCATACTGTTTTATACTCTGTAAACTAGATTGAACATATTTCTATATGTGTTGAGTCGATTTGAACGTAACCTGGTATAGACGTGAAGCACAGCTTGTGGCAGTGTTGTGATCGTGAGTATTTGTTTCAGCTTTTTCGCGGTTTGGCGGCTTTTAAATCACAGTGATTTAAAGGGATGACCATTACGCAGCTGAAGATGCACTAAATACTTAATCAATTGAGAAACAGAAGGATGTTGATTCAGAGAGCTGAACATGGAGTGTTAGCCGCCATTACTGGGATCATCAAGTGTACTGAATGATTCCTTTCCCACTTGAGTTCAGGGACAGCCATGCACCTGCCTAATTATATAAGACATTAAATCATCTATTGTTCCATGCTCTTGGATGGCCCCCAGCAATGGTAGACAAAGTATTACGGTACTCCTGGTTCCCATGGAAACGGAAACGGTGTACAGTCAAACCTGTTTGTACAGCAGCCACAGCGCTGTAAAAGCAACCTCTGTAAAGTGGCCATGTATTTTGTCTCCTTTGGGAAAGAACTATTCGTCATAGAATCTGTCTAGAAAGGCCAAATTTCTATAGTGATGTGTTTTGTCTCTCAAGAAATGAATAACACCTGTCTACAGTGGCCACTATATCTGTTTCCCTTGGGTGGTCTTTATAGCCAGGTTTGACCGTATATGTATTATTGCCCTTCTGGCTTTCAGCGGACAGTTTTTCTGTCTGCTCCGAGGGAATTGGAGATTTCATTGTTCTCATGATATTCAAATAATTAAATTAAGATGTCCTGTGGGTTACATTGCACAATGGTTGCCCTTATGATGTAAAGACTTTATAAATGGGCATGAAGTAAGACACGAACACTACTCTCTTTTTTAATTTGTAATTACCCCTACAAATCAACCAATTTTGACAGCCAACTTTATATTAAGATGTTTGTTTTTGTTGGATCATAATTTAGATGAGATATATGAAACTAGCACGGACTGCTATTTTCTTGGTCAATGTTAAAACTAACACTATAGCTCCTCTGTGATCTTTGGACCGTAGCATGCCCCTCGACTTCATTTTGGGACACAGCGCAGTTTGATTATCACTTTGGGCGATAGTTTTAACAATTCCTTCAAGTAGTCAATATCCATATCTTTCATCAGCCTTTGATAATAGCTATTAAACAGTTATCTCAAAATGGCTCTCATCAGAATTCTGGTTAATCGTGGCTGCAGATGTTTTTATTTACCGGTATTTCCTTTCTTTTGGGGGTAATAGTATATTTGTAATAGTATATTTGTAAAGCGCTTAGAGACATTTGTATTAAAGGCCCACTGCACTACTTGTAGCTACTTGCGCCCTCTATATAACAAACAATGCCTAATCGGTGACCATTGGTCCCCCATGATCCTCTTTTTCTTATGTAAACTGAGAGCTGAGTTGATGAGATAACCACCTGTCCAGTGACCTTGCAGGCCGGTCTAATCCCTCCTGTCAACTATGGCAGATAAGCTTTAAGCGCTATATAGAAATTAAATATTATTATTATTATTTAAACTTGATACATTAATGTTGTACTATTATTAATTACTGGTATTTAGTATCAAATGTGCTGGGAGGGGGAAAAGGAAACACACTGTGACCCTTTGATCTCTCTCCTTGGCATAACTGATTTTGAGGTGCAGGTGTATGACTACCATAGGGGTCCCTCTACTCATGTTTTTTTGTTCTTCTTTCTTTTAAAACTTTTATTTATCAAGTAATTCATACATACATCATGATAACAATAATCATAAAAATCACTGCACAATACCGGTAATTACAAAAGGTAAAAACACATGAAAAACGTCGCAATACAGAAATAGTGGGTAACACTTTCTTTTTCACAGTGTATATCATAGGATTATAATCAAAATACTTCTTCCACAGGGGCCCTCTACTCATGTTACTAAGCGTGAAGTGGAACCTTAATATGGGGTGACTCTCCTACACTCCTCCATAAGTAACGTCCTATCTGAGAGATAGTTATGGACTAAAGTCTTTGATATTTTTCTTGTGAGAGCTAGCCCTTCATCTCACCACCTCAAATATATAGTAGCAAAACCAGTATTTTGCTCATACATGTAGATGAAGCCTGCACCCTAAGCATCTGTTGATAGACTAATGCACTAGACTAATGCTTTGTAGAAATATGCTTTGAGTTTGGAAAGAATATATTTCAAGAAAATTTATTTGAACTGAATGTGCCTACAGCTACCAAAATGCTATTTGCAGAGCTCATTTACTGAAATTCTTTTTTTCCATGTCTTATATCTTTTGTGAAATTGTGCTACACATCAGTCGTCACCATATAGTGTTGAATACGTATATAATGAATATAGATATTACTGAGAGGACTTATATTATGCACCGTATGCTTATAAAGTACTAAGGGAATATATATTTGTCATTTATAAGGCATAATGACCTGTTTGTTTTTGTCTATTTCTTCTCTCTTTATAGTTAACCTTTTGAAAAGAGAGATTTTGGAAATAATTTCCCATTTGGAAAAAACAAATAATTATTATTGTGCAAGTAGAGCATGTAGAGTTATTCGATACAAATCTATGCAATTATTTGTAAAAAGTTATGAAAAATTGTTTGTTAAAATTGCTGCAATGTTTGTCTCATGTGTGTCGTACAAAAACCCCTATGCATGAATTTTGTCTTGTATGCTTGTTTTGCTCAATTTGGACAAACATTGATTATTTCTTGATAAAGGAAATATTAAGGTGTACCAATTACTTAAAAAATAATTTGTGTACAGCAAGAATGTATGAATTCAACTTTAAAAAAGGATACCAGGCATTTTATGGGCCATCAGATAAGAATTATAAAAAAAATTAAGAATAATATAAAACCCTTCGCAATGGGACCGAAGTCGGTTCCATATAAGCCCTATTCTATGCAAGTGGTCATATTTCCTTTTTTTCCCTGTATCTTAAGTTTTAGCATTGAACAAGTGCTAGGGTTACCTTAGGGGTTAGCAACATATTTTCATGCAAATTCATACTGAATTAGTGCAGAATACCATGAGATTAAATTATGCTTTGAACTCAAATGCTGGGTTCAAAGCCTTTCGTCCAAAATTGTGTTTAAAAAAGGAGGTTAGTTTGAGGTCTAAACTGATTCTTTTGTTAAATATGATTTTAGACTGGGTCAGGTTTAAGTGAATCTGTAGAATACTAACCAGTGTGTTAGAAAATCCATTGTTTAAATGATGACAGTAATAATGGGCTAATTTCTGTTTCCCGTTGTAAATATGTGAAGGAAGGTGCAAATAATTTTCTAGTAAACATAGTTCTAACATTTTTTTAAAGCCTGATATCCATCATGAAACGCAGAATGAAAACTCTAAATTCAAACCTTGACAATTTAATTTTCAATAATTATAAAAGAGACACTTCAGGCCCCATCCATCATGAAACAAGGCACAAAACTCTAAATTTAACCCTGAAAATGTATTTACTGATAAGCATTGTGGTGCAGAAGATTATCTGCAGTGCCGTGTTTTTTGTCATTAAGGATGTTTTGTTTTTTACCGCAGAAATTTGGCAGATTTCCATAATATGTGTACATGTAGAGGTGTTGCATAATTTAAACATAATGTAAAGTATTTAGTGCAATATATTGGAGTCTAGGATCAAAGAGCCGTAAACCTAGACTTCAAGATTTATTTTCTTTACTTTGAATGTGTATGTGGGTAGTTAAAAATCAACATTTTGAATGAATTGTAAGGATGAAACTGGTGAATTTTATCATTTTTTAAAAGAATTTCATCACATAATGTTTAAGGTTCTATGTTCACTCAAAGTGTAACAAACAGATTTATTATTCTATTCTTTTCTTTTCTTTGTCCTTATTCTCTTTCCTTTTCCTTATTCTCTTTCCTTTTTTAAAAAAAATATTTTCTTTTGGTGCTTGCTAGTATATTCTTTAGTGGTTATCTGGAGAATTGCTTATCAAGGTATGCACATTTTAGTTATTTTAATTTTTGTTATTGTTTTGAAAATCAAAAAGTTTTATTTGATAAATTCTTGATGGAGCATAAGCCTGTTTGAATTTATGAATGTGCTGATAATGGTTTCCTTCATGCTTGGTAGCCATGCCCTGGTTTATGTTGTAATCATATTCAAAAGCACAATACTGGGAAGCGATTAGTACTACTATATAGAAGCAATGGCCATTTGCTTCAAAAGATGACAAGAGCCCTCTATTGGTAGAATGGGGCTATTTGCTTTTCTATGGAAATTTGTTTCATAACAAAAGATTTGTCTATGAGCCTCACTCATGACAGCGGCAATAATCTGTTGAATCAGATTCTTTTCAGATAAAAAATGACAACAATTGCAATGGATTTAAGAGCCAGAAAGATGCTAACTCTGTATTAATGTATATTAGTTAGTGCCCTTCAGGCTTCTAACAGACGATAATTGAGTTTAGAATAATTGGACTGAGCTGATTCACATTAAAATATGTTAAAATATCTTGCTGTTTGCTATTTCAAAGGCAAGGAGACTGTAATTCCAAGATTTGTATTACATGAATGTATCAATAGTATATGGGTTTACCTCAAAATATGCTCGATCAAAACAACATTCATTCTCACAGTTGTCATGGTCTACTCAGATTTACTTTGAAGATTTCATTTGAATAGTCACATGTTTATGCATATACTTTATGAAAGGATAGTTTACAGTATGATAATATAAGCTTTGGATACATGTAGTCTCAATAAGGCTAATATCTTTTTAACTTGTGGCCAGAAAATAATATCTGTTCGGAACCAGAAGGGTGTTAACACTGTGTGAAAGCATATGATTCTAATGCCCTTCTCGCTCTAAACAGATAATAAAGTAACTTTTCTATGTATTTTGTGATCCAGGAATGTATCTGGAGGTCTGTATTTCAGCTCAAAACTTGCCATTGAATGTACATGTCTCTTTTGGGGACAGAAAGGCATTAACTTTATGTAAATTTATATGAGTTAATGCCCTTCTGGCTCCAAACTGACCATATATTCCTACCTGATAGTATTCTTTAAAAAACTAAAACAGCCTGAAACTTATTACAAATTGTTAATGAAGGCTGTGAAAATCAAGAATTGCGCAAAATTTGTGTTTTTAATTGTGTGGCAGCCTGAAAAATTCATTAAAATTAGAAATCCAGGAATCTGGACGACTAATGATACACAAAATTTCTAGCACAAGATACTTACAGGATTTACAGTACAAGCCTGTCTTCTGCTGCATGAAAGCCAACGTGCATGCATGACAATGTTTCATTTCCTTGGCAGCCCGACTAGAATTAACTTTATGTGAATGTATATGAATAGCTATTTGGAGCTGAGAGATTGATAACTCTGTGTAAAGACCGGAGCCATTGGTTAGGAAAGTTTGGCCAACATGATTTGAGTTGGGCACAATACAAACTTAAAACAAATGACTATATAGATGCCATGTTGTGACCAACTGAAACCAAGTTGGGCATACTCTGTGTATAGAGGCTCTGGTGAAAACACATGAATTAATACCATTCTGCCTCTAAGCATATCAGTGTATCTTTTAATATAGCAAAATCGTCAACAGCCAAGGATAAAAGCGAAAATGAACCACCCCTCCCTAATTCAATGACCCTCTATATAGGTTGTGTAAAGGTAATTTGTGTGATTTTATTTAACAGGGTACTTTCCGGGGTAAGGTACTGTACATGAAGTAATTGTCCAAAGGTTAGGTGTCGTGTTTGGTAGTTTTCATCTTTAAAATAGTGATATCTGACAAGAATTCACTGCTCTAAAAATGACTGCAGATTCTCTGACTGTGATTGGCTGTTGATAGCTGCATGTAATACTACATTATATTACTAATTTGAAGTTATGTTTTACATTCAGGGGTGTTGATATTGGAGGGGATGGGGTAGGTTGTGACAATACCTCCCCCATTTCTATTTCTGGCAGCAAATATGAACATTTGCATTTTTGTTGTTTAGGCTGTCTTGAAATTTAAAAAAAATAATAATTTTTTGTTTTGTTTTGTATTTGCTTTTTACTTGTTGGAAGAAAGCAAATGAGCAAATTCCATTACCACGTTATACCCTTACCAGCAAATTTGAAATTTAGTACTAATTAAATGTTTGGTTGTTGGAAAACTGCCAGCTATATTGTCTGCAATTTTAGTCACCCCCCCCCCCCCCACTCTCCGCCCTCCACCCTCCGCCCTCCACCCTCCGCCCTCCACCCCAATTTGAAATGGTTTAGTAACACCCCTGTACACACTGACATGTTCAGAGCAAAACTTTAACTTCTCAGTGATGAAGTGATACTTAAATGTGCTACCTTGTTGAAGAATGTCTTGATGTTTGCATGATCATGTGACCTATTTGTATGTATCAGGTGACAACGTTACATAATGTACTTGTGACTTCTGTATTATGCTTTATGTGAAAGTATACTAATGATTTAGTGTCAAAATCAGAGCTTATTGTATATTTACATGTATAGTGTATATGTATTTCAAAGAGTTTGAAATTCTGTATATTTTGCTGTGTGACTAATGACTAATGCTATTCTGCATCATATTTTGAAGAGTGCTTGTAGAATAAACTTATCAAATTCTATCTAAACTTAATGACTGCCATCTTCTTTTTATTAACGGTATAATGTGACGAAGTCTGAATTGATCAGGAATTTTTTTTTGTCTGAATGTACAAGTGAAGACATCGATTTGTGAAAGATATTATTTAAATTTCGACATTGAAGTAAAAGTGGGTAAATTGCTTTTAAGTTGTCTTAGAATATATGGGGGGGGGGGTGATCCTTGACAGTTTAAAGACAAAATATGAGTTTCATCAGAGAAAGATTTCGTTGTTTTTCAATGACAATACCAAGAATTCAAGTCACAATCCAATAAATATAATAATTCATAATTTTCCATCACTGGTTGGCATAATTACGGGGTGAGCATGGGGCATGTAACGGCCCCTACCACCGTATGATTTAAAAAGGAAAGGGAAGGGGGAGGCAACGATCGTAGATGAAAAACACAATCCCTTCCACACACTCGATGGCTTTGTTATCTCGCATTTTATTAACCTAGAAAGACCCCCCCCCCCCCCCCCATTGACAGTAGTGTCCCTACAACGACTTGATCCATGATATAACTCACTTTATAATTGCACAGTTCGTTTGCAAATTCAACAGTGAAATACACATGTAGTTCATTTTTCAGCAGCGCGTACGATTGTCCCTTGCCATCCAAAACTTGTATTGAAAGAAAATATCTGTACGTTGCTAGGGGAGATTTTAGAATTCCATACTGGAATGTCTGATTATTCACTTATGAATAAATAACGGCAATGCGGTGTGTAGTATCAGTCATGATCAAAATATGTGTGGGCATTTTGGGTGGTGTATTGAGTCGGAAAGATATGAAGGATTAAGGACAAATCATAGAACGAGGAGGGAAGAGAGAAAATGAAAAGAAGGAATCAGAACGGGAACGGGAGATATACAGGGGGAAGGACGAGAAGAGGTGTGAAATGAAGTGCCTCTTGATTTAAACAATCTGAAAGAGTATATTCTGTTTCATAAATGAATTATTCAGCTGTATTAAGATTTTACTGATATCCTATACACGATTAGCGAGTAACCAAAAAAGAATTGGTAGGGGGCGGGGCGTAAGAAAGTAGAAACAATGCGCCTTTCAACCTGAACCTCGAGGGGGTCGTTACACTGATTTAGATCGATTCTATTATTCAGCAAACATGCTCTATGGTTCAATAAATGCCATGAAAGAGTGATATAGGTATTCATGTTTCCACAATCTGGTATACACGATTTCATTCTCTCTCTATATACCATTTTCGTAATGTATCAAATTTAAAACACAAATCTCTATTACAAATTATTTAATTCACCTGCGAGTAATGTGTTTCAATTGCCAGAATGCGAATTGCATACATTAATTGTTGTGCATTTATTTCCGTCACTTTGTTTTTGAAAGAATTAATTATTAGGATGTTCTTGAGAGCCAGGGGGTTGATGAAAGAACGCTATTCCAAGAACTCCTGAGTCCGCCAGTTTCCATAATCCAAAGCGGGATGTTCTGGGGGACTGAATCTATTCAAAAGGCATTCTTCCAAAACAGACTTCGAAGGCTTCCCCCTTTTTGTCCGCACTACAAATTTAATCTAGTTCCCATTCAGTTCCCATTTTTAGAAACACGCGCATTGAAGTCTGTGTTTGCTTCACTGTCGAGGAAGCTCCTGTAAACACACAGCCTGGAGTCTGGCTGCTATTTCTGGCGTCCCCTAGTGATAATCGTGTTTTGTTCAACTCAACAACGCAGCCCAAGTAGCCGGTGGTTGACTTTTTGAGGAGTTTAGACGATTTACTTCTCTGTGTATAGTAGCTTTAGCCAGCTAACATCTTTCCTTTCCACTTGCCATTTGAGTTGCTTTGACGATTTCGTTAATGGAAAATCCGCCAACTTGTGCATATCTATTTTTTTTTAGAAGTTAGGGATAATCCAATTTTGGAATTCTTGGTGAAGTTTCTTGCCTTGACCAAGAAAAGAAGGCAAGACATTACAACCCAGCCGATGACAAAAAGAGGTAAGATTTTTGGTCGTTTGTAAGTTCTTCTTCTTCTTCTTCTTCTTCTTCTTCTTCTTCTTCTTCTTATTATTATTATCATTATAGTCCTCCTTCTCCTTTTTCTTCTTCTTCTTCCTCTTTTTCCTCTCCTTCTTTTTCTTATTGTTATTCTTATATTTATTATTCTTGTTTTTCTTCATCATTCTCCTCCTCTTGCTTTTTTTTAAGCAGAGGCTTTCTTCTTCTTCTTTTTTTTCTTCTTCTTCTTCTTCTTCTTTTTCTTCTTCTTCTCCTTCGTCTCCTCCACCTTCTCCTCTTTACTAATGCTAATTTACTACCAATGAATATGCATTTTCAATACCTGACTATTTTAGCTCTCATACCTGTGTACATTATAATGTGCAGTTGCTCTGTGTAAAATTATTTCGATCACTCCACCTTAATTCCTCCCTCCTCTTCTATTTCAAGCTTTATTTCGTCTGTCTTTTTCATTTCCTCTTTTTGCCAAATGCTTGTTGATTTTGTGTGAGTGCAATGTTATTCCTGTTTGTATATTACTGTATTTTATCGAACCAATTTTCAATGTATTGTATTTTAATCTATTTGTTAAAATCTTTTGTAAGGTCAATTTGTAACAGCCTTTGGCTGCTATTTTAAATGTATTTTTTTTTTATTCAATAACAAGTTCATTTCAAATCATTCTCTTCTTCCACCATCTTCTTCTACTTTGATATTCTTGGACATACTTGAGTCAACTTTATTTATGTTTGAGAATGGATCCATACCATTACCCAATTATCTCTTTGGAACATAATAATAAGGTATAACATTAAGATTTTGATTTTACACATTCAAAAATGAGAAAAGCGCAATCCCATATGATTTGATGATTTGTGTCAACTAGTTTATGCACATGCAATATGTTAAATCTTATCAGACCAAGGTTTATACATTGTGCAGTCGATCGATGTCAAATTCATTTGGTGTAGTTTTTATATTTCTTTTTTATACTATTTTTGAAATGATGCTCTGAATATTTAATTACATTTTACTTTAAGAAAATTCAAGGCCACAAACTGATCGCTACTGCCATTTCTGACACCCTTTTGTTTTCCAGTGTCATTAACGATTCATGACCATGACTACATTTTAAATGCGATGTGCAGTGGCTATTGTTGTGTTCTGGATGAATTATTCATACACATATCTACAATGTGTCCTTTATTTGTTAAGAGTAAAAATATAAATAAAACATTTAGAGCAGTATTTTTATAGAAGTATGTAAAGCATACTTCAGCTTTACAATATTTTAAACGTCAATCTAACTATAGTTATCACTTTTGTTGTTATTGTTAACAATATAAACTATTTACTATCCACAAACATTTTGCTTATTTATTATATATAAGCAAAGTGATACTTTCTTGAAACTTGTGCCACAAGTTGCATATTAATCCATATATCTTTGAATATTTGGTCCGAATAGCATCCAAATTTGAATTAAATTGCAGTTTCTATTTACTTATGATAATAATGCATTTTACCATAATGTTACATATCCCCAACTCATGATGCTCAATTCACATATAAAATTAGAAATATTTATATCTCCTTGATCCTCCCCCATCCCCACCCCGGCCCTCCCATTCTACATTCACCATACAGGAATAAGCTGACTTAGAATGTCTACAGATAGGCCTATTTAGAATTGGTTCAGGTATATTATGTTTTAAGGTTTCTCATTTCATGGCTATACGCTAGCCCACACATCTTGTTCCAAGGCAATAGAAAATAAGATGTTAGATTTACTTCTAAAGAGTCTTTGAAGTTTCTTTCATTAAAATAGAAATAAATAAATTCATTAACAGAATAAAATTAGATGATAACTAGGTGTGCATGTCAAGGCAAAGAGGGGCACTGGCGTCCCATTTTTTTTTTCTTCACGTGTCATCCCCATCTCTCTCTCTCTCTCTCTCTCTCTCTCTCTTTCCTCTCTTCTTTTTTAAAAATGTTTTTTCTCCTCAGTTATTCAAGGGCGCACTTTCCGATCCGATGCCCTTGTTAAGTTAACCCATTGAATAGAAGAAGATGAGAAAGGCTAAAAAATGTGCCGTACGTAGGCGCATCAGAAATAAAAATTGTTAAAGTAGGGTGCTCAAAAATGAGCGAAGTGCCCAATGGTATGTGATCCATGCATGCGTGCATGGGAATCGCGAAGTTCTGTAAAACTTAGGGTCACTCGACTCAATGAGCCTTCTCTTCCACCGTCTTTAATATTCCATCGCCCTTTTTTTCCCTGGGAAAATCTAAGGATACTAAGAAGGCTTCTCGATATTTTTATTCGGGGCGTTGTTGAAAATTCGTATATATCCCCCTGTCAGCAAATTAAACAGTCTTACAACAACATCGTTTTTATTATTTTGAAGCAGCAAATTTGAAAATTGACTGAACTTTGCTCGTTTATTTTTTTGCGGGGGAGGGGGGTTCTTATTAGAAATGTTCAATTTTCTGATGACCTTTCAGTAAAAGTAGTCGAATCTCGCCCACTCAAAATTGTAAACCGTAACCCACTAGAACTTATAATTGAAATACAGATAATCACTAATGAAATAAACACCCAGAGAAGACATTATAATCGTACGTATTTGTTCAGGCGCTGCAGTGATAACGCTCTCTCAAACTCAGGATCTCGAATCTATAGATCTCGTTTCTATAGAGAAACTCTGTTTACTTCTCGGATTGTCCTAGAATTTTAGATATCACCCACAAAACAACAGCACGAAATATTAAACAAAACTAAGAATAATCGTTGTATTTGGGCCTATGTTTGCAATCTTTATTTGATCAACCCTCGCAGATTCTTAAGCCCCTTTCTAACACATTTCTCATGGACGTAAGATGGGTGAGGCGTTTGAAGATACCGTGTTTAGTTTGTGATTTACTTCACCGTTATTCAAATAGGGTCGTTGTTAGGGGAATAAAGGAGAGACGGACAAGAATATCAGAAGGAGGGATGAGTAGATAAGTATAAATGGCGGAATATAAGAAAGAACAGATTAGATCTATAGACGACAAAATTATAAAACTATTTCCCCCCATAATCATAGATTTACTTAAATAAGAAAAATTATGATAGAGTAACGAATCTTATCTAAGCAGTTATTATGTTTTAAAACAACAAAACAAGAGGGTTAAGAAAATGTATTAAACAGAAATTTATCACGTTTATTTGTTATGTTCATGGGCTTGCAAACTGACCAATATAACTTTTTTGTTTTAAATTCCCCTTATTTAAAAAGGGATATACCTCAAAACAATATTACAAGGAGGCAGGCGCGTACGCAAGGGGGGGGGGGGTGTTTGGGGGTTAAACCCCCTCCCTTGAGTTTTTGTTATTTGTGTATTATATGTGTATTTTTTTACCAACCCCCCCCCCCTTTTGTGATTTTTTTTTTTTAATTTAAAAAAAAATAATAATAATAATAACATATTTAAAAAATTATGCCACTGACTGACCTAAATAAATTGACCTTACCCCCCCCCCCCCCCCCTCTACGGAGCAAATTTTCAAATATCGAGACCAAAAAAAGAAAAGTGTCCTCTTACCCACCCCCCCCCCCCCACACACACACACACACACATTCTCACATCAGGGCCTTTGTGGGCACCTGATTGTGGGGTATTTCTGTGCGTTCCAGATATACCTTGTGGTCCCCTACTAGTGGGGTATGTACAACCTGGCGATAACAACCCGGCGGTGTGCTTACGATGTTACCATAAAAAAGTGTGCAAGTTTTAGCACACGCTCACAAAAAGTCATTTATGGGGTACCACTTCTAATGCCCCGCAGGGCATAGGACACCGAATATACAGTCATTTGAAAGACTTTACTCTGTGGGGTCCTGAAAAAATACCCCACAAAGTAAAAATGCCTCACAAGGGGTATGTGAAGCGCACATAAAACCCCACAAGAATGCTGAGATGAGAGCACACACACACACACACACACAAACCGTTCAAAAAATAATGCGGGCGGCCATATTTCATCATACAGGTTACATTATTTATGATTGTATAATTGTGTTGATTTCCTTTTATTGTTGAGGGGAAATGGTACCACGCCCCCTTACTCGAATAAAAATGTCGTTGTGACGCCCCTCAGTTGGCATTATTATCACAGATAACATACTATACAGATAACGATTGTACATTGCACAAGTCATCGTGTTATATCATTAAACAGATTGGTGTCAATTTGATATATTACATGTACTGACCATGAATAAGACAACCCAACAAATTTGCACTCCTTGACGACAAATCTTAAACAAGATGTATAGATTATTTTTCACTTTTAAACTTTGAACTAAGGGGGAGGGGGGAGTAGGCTTAAAGATTAAGGATCAACAAGTCTGGAAACGGAAGTGTCCTCGTTGTCGAGCAGACCGACTTAGAAGTATGCCTAACTAATTTAACAATAGTTTTATTTCATCCACAAGAGACTAGAAAGTTGCTATTCTAATTTTTAACAAATTGTATTTTGTTATTTTGTTAATCTTTCCAATTTTTCAAAATAAATATTGGCCAATTATTGTCAGTCAAGTCAATTATCAAGCTAATTTCATCGGATTGTACATTAATTTGTCTCAAAGCTAATGATAATCTGCATTTTCTGCTTGTGATTGCCACATTTTTCTTAAAAGCATGCCATTTTCTAGTTGTAAATCTAATGTGTGTGGTTGCCTACGGTTTTTAATAAATGTCTTCATATAGGGCGAAAAGATGTTGGTATCATAGTTGTTGAATATCTCTTAAATTTTTCCCTTAAATTTGTTTTGTAATACAAGAAGTGTACACAGCAAAAATGACAAGATGATCAATTGATCAGCGTGTTGAAACTAAAACAACAGGGCAAATTATTTCTCCTAAAAAACCCCCAAATGGAAAGAGACTGAGGAAGGAGAAATATGTGAAAGGGTAAAACAAAAATCGATAGGTGCATTACCCCCCCCCCCCCCCCGTAATGCATGTGGATGACACCTCTGTAGTGTGTTGATCTACAATAATGAACGATACACGTTGTTTTAGAAGGAGAAGGAGAAGAAGAACGAGGAGAAAAAAGTAGAAAAATGAACATCGAGTTTAAAAAAAATATATATTTAAAGTAGAACAGTTATCACCTTCATGCGAGTTTTTTTTATAAACACGCCTGATAATTAGTGATCAGATGGTAATTAAAGGCTTGTTGATGAACACTGTGAGCGATCAATAGCGTTCGATTGTCTGTTAAGCGTGTCATTATTATCTGTCTTTATTACCTGTCATTAGTATGTACATGAAGATATGACGTTATCGCCTGTCTAAACGCTCTTCTATAATGCACGGTTTTGATTGAACGTAGATTTTTATTTTCAGTGTCTATCATCGTTGCAAAAAAGCAAACCAAGCTATTTAAAGCATAAACTCTTCAAAGGTACAAATTTTGTTTTAATGCCAATCTGCTTAATGGGAGAACTTCTGCAGTACATCAACTTGAAATTTTGATAAATTGATAAGATTATTTTATTTTAACAACAAAAACTGTTAGGATAGTAAAAAGAATTCTTCATTGTATTAATACTTTGCAGAATTATTTTTTGTTTGTGCAAGAAAGAATTGAATGATAAATCGTCATGTAAAGCGCTACCTTGCGTGGACGTAATGGATATCTCCCAGTTTTATGATAAGATCTCATGCATCTTAATCCATAGTGTATCCATTGTATAATACGGCATCAAATACTCATAATAAAGGCCATTTAGGGAGAAAAAGGACGATATCTATTATCTGGTCTACTGAATAGACAAGACCCTGTTATTCATATATCTGGGCCACAAAAATAATATCTTCTCATAAGTTAATTATGTTCCTGTCACATTGGGTTCTAGAACCTTCAAATAGATGGGTTGTTGAACCAGGATATAACTTCGACAACTTTAAAGTCTCACCTCCCTGCTTATTCTTTGAAATCTCTGCGGGAGGGAGGTCCGTTTGTTAGGGTTCAATCTTTCACAACTGTCAGGTTTATCATTTTTATCTTTGTTAAATATTCTTAGGGTACTATTATGCTTTATTGATTGATGTTGCTGTATTGGTGACCCAATTTAGGATTCAAGCAGACGCTGCATTATTTGGGAGTACAAAATAAAGGACGCATACAATTTCTATAAAGTTGTACGACAGTATATGAGGGGGACTTTCCCCGCGATTAACCTATTAAGAAGTGCGATTGTAGTCATGACAACGAAACGCTACGTCTGAGTGCATTCTGCCCATTTGCGATTGGCGACAATATTCCCTCTCCTCTTTCGCCCCCCCCCCCTCTCTCTCTCCCTCTCTCTCTCTCTCTCTTTCTCTTTCTCTTTCTCCTCCTGCCTCCTCTCTCTCATCGGTCTGTATGTCCGTTTCTACCCATGTATGACTCCCAAACAAACAAACTAACAGCCAAAGCAACAGAAAGAACTAATACCTGTGAAACCCTTCCCCTTCTTATAAATGTTTTGCAACTGAGACGTTTTTCATCTCATAATTATATTTTCTGCAGAATACTTTGGAGCTACATCAAGACACACCAAGTTATTTCCTCCACAACATGACCGGTGCTTGTTAGACTCTCGGTAAGGACTATACCAATATCTGAAAGATGAAGCTCGACACCATGCAGGACTGCATCACCTATGTCTAGAGGGTAACATACTCTACGGTGCTGTAGGGAGGGTGAGAGCATCTCATCACCATGACAAGCAAGGCGACCAAGGCCTTGAGGGGCCTGAAGACACTGCAAGCGGATGAGATAGGTGTTCTGAAGAGCATGAAAGCATCGGAGATGAGCAGTGATATCAGATGCCAGAATCACGCCGCGAAGGAAGCACTGCGAAAGCAGGTCAACATCTGGTATCAAGACCAACACGTAAGCATTAGGATCGCAACTATTTTCGAGAAAATCATCTCAAGGACAAAAGTGCCCTTTTGTATGTCCCATTTTGTATGTCCCATGGAAATCATGTTCGGATAACGTAATACGTTATTGACTTGTTCGCACATTCAATTTTTATTAGATGACGCACAAGGCTATTGAATTTACATTAGGTTAAATTTTCGAGAGTATTTCGATCGTGTTTTAGGCCTGTTTTGTGGAACAAAGTCCACCGGATCATTTTGTTCACCACTCGGACAACTAGACCTTCTCCGGACGATTACAAAATCCAATAAAAACGAGATAACTATTTCACCTCCAATGACATCCGAGAGGCAGTATGGTAGAAGTAACCAGATAGGGGAGTTTGGGACAGAGGTGGACGGGTCCAGGTTTTAAAGAGAGAGAGAGAAAACAACAACAAAAGGAGGGGGGCTTACCATTCTTAAAAATTGATGAAGGGCCATCGTCTACATGTTAAAGGGACACATTTTTCTTTTGTGTAATTACGGTATTTATACGCTATTATTTTTAAAAGTGACATCGACCAGTTGTGCTCCCCCCTTATTATATGACTGGTTCCGGGATATCTTTGTTCATTGGTATTGTCCTGGATTGTCCGTAAGGGGTACGGCTAATTGTTATAGGAATTTTTAAAAATCTATCTAGAATCCACGCATGCAATCAGGAACGCAAATCCATTTTTAGACTGGAGTTTGGATGACGTATCTTAAAAAGACAGTGGACTTGTGGGAAGGCATTTAAAACTACCCTCTCCCTAATAGTGGGACCCCCCCCCCCCCGTGTCCATAGGCGTCTTTGGGAAGGGGAGGGGTGAAGAGGAGGCATTCGCCCCCCCCCCCTCCCGTCACTCACAAAAAGGCTTGATTTTTACTTTATTCCAAACACGTTTTTTTTCTTTCTCCCGAAAAGTGCACTTTATCATCTGTTAAAATATGTTTAAAGGTCAACATCGAAGTATCAGATTAAAAACAAGGCAAAATGAAAAAAATAATATCACACTTTGAAATCAATTACAATGGGGTGCTTTGAAATGTCATTCTATATTCATAAATCATGAAAATGTAAAGGTATCGGTTAAACATTCTAAACAAACTCGAATCTATAAATAGTTGACCTTATAAAGCAACATGATGTATACAAGGTATAGGATATTGCCGATCGATCAAATAATTGCAGTTTATTGTGCATTTAACAACTTCTTTTGTGTCATACTTCCGCAGCAAGAATCTGTCTTTTTTCATGTCGATATCGATCGCAGCTGCACACAGCTGCAATTGACGGAGAAGACGGAAAGCGCGGAGGAAGTTTCGCAATATATATTTGTTTTGAATAATATTTTTTATCGAGTCTGGAATATGGAAAGAGCAAAATATTTTATTGTCTAATCGAAGATATCTTTGATAAAACTAGTGCCTCCTTTTCTGTCATGTGCAGAGTAAAAATGCTGAATGTGATGAAATTTTTCAACGCAACATTCCGACGCTATTAAACAGAAGAATAAAAACATTATATTTGCATGTGATCATCGATGTGGATGTTAAGTTACGTCCACATCGATGATCATATAATCATATGATCGTATAATGACATAACTATTATTGTAATAACGTTGGTTCAAATCAATCGTATTTGACAAGATATACCGAATGGATTTAATCATATAATGTTATCGACTAGGCCTTCTCTTAAAAATTGCCAGTTAGTCAGTTTTATCTGAAAAATGAGATGAGCATGTATATTCCAAACTTTATAGTGGCGTAGCTCCAGGAGCTTTGGATACGTACCCACATTCGAACGCGATAAAGAGAGGGGGAGGGGGAGGGCGAGGGAGAGGGCGAGGGGAGGGAGAGAGAGAGAGAGGAGGAGAGGGAGAGAGAGAGAGAGAGGGGGGGAGAGGGTAGAGCAGGCGCGGATCCAGGATTTCTTAGGGGAGGGGGCCCAACTTTTTTTTTTTTTTGCTCCCGAAAATTTGAAAATCGCGCCGGCCGAAAAGTCGCTCAGTGGGGGGGGGGGGGGGGGGGGGGGGGGGTGCAGAGCAATTTTTTTTTTTTTTTTTTTTTTTTGCTCCCGAAAATTTGAAAAACGCGCCGGCCAAAAATTCGCTCAGTGGGGGGGGGGGGGGGGGGGGGGGGGGGGGGGGTAGTGAGCACATTTTTTTTTATTTGATCCTCAAAAAAATTTCAATTTGCACCCCCCCTTGAGCGCCAGGGGGGGGGGGCCCAACCCCAAAAAAGGTAAAAATCAATTTTACATGATTTTTTTCTCAAGGGGGGGGGGCCCGGGCCCCCCGGGCCCACCCTGGATCCGCCACTGGGGTAGAGAGAGAGTGGTAGAGAGAGTTTGGGAGAGGGGGGAGATATAATAGAGAGAGAAAGAGAGAGAGAGAGAGAGAGAGAGAGAAGAGAGAGAGAGAGAGAGAGAGAGAAAGAGAGAGAGGGAAAGGAAAGAAAGGAAAAGAAAAGGGTTAGGGGGAAGGGAAGATTACCCTTTCCCAACCCCTCCCCTCCCTGTCGTGATGAGCTTGTTAACTAGAATTAGTTTGCTCTTTTAAAATATTTTGATCTCAGCTTCGGCAAAACAAAAATAAGACTAAAATAAGTTGTATGTTGTGTGTGCGATGATGATGATGATGATTACGATGACGATGTAGAAGAAAAAAGATGATGAAGATAATGATAGTGTTAGATATTATGATGATGATAAAGATGATGATGATGAAGACGATGATGACAATAATGATGTGGTTAAATGTGACGATGATGAAGATGATGATGAAAATGATAGTGATGATGATGATGACACGATGATGAAAATTACGAGGACCATAATGATGATGATGTTAATGATAATGGTGATGGGGATGATGATGACAACGCTTATTTTTATCCGTTCTATCAACTTCAGGATGCCGTGAGGAAACTGTCTCAAAATCAGCAACAAGCTTTCAGTAAACTCATCAAATTTCAGAATGAGAAGAGAAAGATACAGAGGCAATCATACATACAGGTATATTTGTTTTTGTTCTTCTTCAAAGATTCCCGCGGTCATACCGCCGTTTCGATTAGAATACGTTACCTTTTCAAAAATTCCTAATTCCTGAAAAAAAATCTCTTCAATTTCCCAAAACTAACTAACGGAAAGATTTCTGGTTACTTTCCCGTAATTAAGAAATATTTGATGGTCAATAAGGGAGCCGCAAAGTATTACTGAGTTTCATTAAAAACATGTACATTTACGAAATAGTTTATTCTTGCTTTCATATTCTCTTTCTTTATTTTCTCTGTCATAATTTCTTCTCCTTCGTTTTTCATTCTTCTCATCAACGTCATGTTATGATCTTCCTCGTCGCCTTCTTTTGATCTATTTTCTATGTCTTCAAAATTAAATTAGGCTGTTGTTGATAATATTAAATAACGATGTTCGCTAGCACTGCATTATTTAGTTTCATTTGGTTAAAACAATTTCTTTTCTTGCTTTGACAGAAACAACGAGCAATACAACAGACACTACGAGAGCAGGCCATCAAAGATCGGGAAGCAGCGGCCAGAAAGTTTCTTGAGAGCACCATAAAGAAGGGCAAGAAGAAAATTGTCGAGAGACAAAAGGTACTTTAAAGGCCCACTGCACTACTTGCAGCTACTTGCGCCCTCTATATAACAAACAATGCCTAATCGGTGACCATTGCTCCCCCATGATCCTCTTTTTCTTATGTTAACTGAGAGCTGAGTTGATGAGATAACCACCTGTCCAGTGACCTTGCAGGGCAGTCTAATCCCTCCTATAAACTACGGCAGATAAGCTTTAAAGATATTTTAATAACTCGGTGTGCGAGATTTAACTAGCAGAATTGGCTTTATGCTTTTCCTTTTAAATTGTGTTTTTAGGGATGTGAAAGGCTGCATTTCAAATTCATCGGGGCATATTGATAATGGAGTCAAAGTAGAGAGACTGTATATAGATAAGAGAAAAGGGCAAAGAAAGGAGGGAAAGGGAAGAAAAAGAGAGGGAGGGGAGCAGAAAGAGAGAGAGAGAGGGGCAGAATATAGATAGGAGAGAGAGAGAGAGAGAGTGGGAGAGGGAGAGAGAGAGAGAGGGGGGAATGAGGGGGGAGAAGGAAGAGAGCGGGAAAGAAATGCCAACGGTTAGTTTCATAGCCCATGTTGACGAAGTGCAATATTTTATTTTTCAAATAGGTGCAAAATATTAATCATGAGAACGTTAGCCATGCTTTTCAGGAGAAAAGATATCGAATTTCCATCAATTTAATCATTATGCTCTATTCATTACAGGAGAAAATGGAGATGAAACTTGGAGATATAGAAGAAAATGAAGAGGAGGCCATTGATGTCGGAGATGGGTCGAATGCAAAGACGTTGGTCAGCGACGAATCGGTTGACGAAGGCTACAAGATGGTTGAAGAAAACAGGGACAAACCTAAGACAGAAATTCAAGGGGATCTTCCAGGAAGAGAGTCGGTCGACAGCGGAATTGTGACACATTCGCTCAACTCTCAAAACTCATTTGCCAAAATTGCCGAGAAACTGCCACATGATCAATTAATAGTATCAGAAGACTTTGCGAGCAAAAGAGACAGGAAAGTGACATTTGTCGAAGATGAAACCGGCGAGGAGAGGAAATTAGTTCACAATAAGATTAATGACGTGATGACAACGCCTCTTAGTATATCACATCATCGTGTGACAGTCATTGATGGGGAAACGGGTCATGTTGAAATCCTTCCACGGCAGAAAACTCGAGTTGTAGACGAATCAGCTTTCCTAAGGAAGCGAGTGGGCGACATGTCTCTCAGATCAAACAGAATCCCCGACATTCACCGGGCCCATCTCAGGCCCAGCACGTCAGAGAGAAAGGGACAGGACGGTTTTGATGATGAAGATGCGGTTGCTATGCCGACGAGGACAGACTCTGATCTTGATCGCATCAAGGCAATCGCGCGCGAAAATGGTAACTCGCACTTTCACAACGCAGACGACACCGTTACGCTATCGCGAATGAACACGACCAGCTCAATCTTGCCGCCAATCAGTGAAGATGCACAGATCAGTATACAAGCAGACGAGACGCAGAATCGCTTAAGAGTGATCGATCAAACAGGAAAGACTGATCACGTGGGTAGCGACAATTCCGCTGTTGATACATCTCCCGCCAAAAGTTTACTATCGTCTGTCGGTGATGAGCTTTATGATCAGTCGGTGAATGGCAGCGATGAGGAAGAGGTGCTTGCCTCTGGGGATGACGATGATGATGATGACGCGGTTAGGAGAGATAAAATTCGAGAGAAGAGGATGAGGGAGAGACGAAAGTTGGAGGATGATATGCATAAATACCATGTGGGGATTGCCAACAGGACGTTTAAAGTACCACAATATGAAGTAAGTTTTTGTTTCCCCGTTAGTTCGTGTTAATTTGTCGACTTTAATACTATAGGTACATTATACTGCATATCCCATGAGTTTGTCACGCGTCGATTTCTTATGTTAACCCCTTTCTTCTTGCTCTTTGACCTTTCATCTTATAATGATTTTCAAATATACTTAGTGTTTTTTGTCATCCGATCAGCAAAAATGGGAGAGAATTTTAGCAATCTCTATTATAGAACGGCTTTAATAAACATGAGAACGAGTGCGCAAATTTTTGACAATTTCTTGGGAGTAAAATTTACAGATATTATATATTCGGTTACATATCCTGCTCGAATGATATTTGGGCACCTTTTTGTCTTAATATGAAGTGTTGGTTGCCCGAGTATAAGTCCGGGGAAAGCCGGGGGTTGCAGCATCCTAGCCTTAGTTCGCTTATTTTATTGAATGATTGCATTTGTTAAGAAAGTAAGATGAAGTATGTTTCAGAAAATCCCAGTTGAATTTGCGACATAGATAATCCCTGTTGAATTTGCGACCTAGATAATCCCTGTTGAATTTGCGACCTAGATAATCCCTGTTGAATTTGCGACCTTCTAAACATAACTAAAAATGCAGGGAAAGATAATAATAATAATTAGATCAATCTTTATAGCACAGCTTAAGTTCTATAAATATACTGTACTGTGCTGTGATAAACAAAACTTTTACTTAACAAACACCAACAAACAAAATATTCAAAAGCTCCTGAAAACAAGTGCGTCTTCACCAAAACTTTGAAGACAGCAACAGATGAAGCTGTTTATAATGTGTAGTGGTAAGTTATTATAAAGCTTTGGAGCGGCGCAACTAAAAGCACAACCTTCAAAAGTTACTTTTGTTTTTATGTGAGGATCGAAGCTTTAGAATCAGCTTGTCCTGTGCATTTCGCAAGCCACGTGGATGTGATTTAAAAGTTCATAATTGAGACAAATAATTTGAGGTTTGACCATTCAATGCTAAAAAAAAGCAAAAGTATGTTCAATGCAGTTTTCTGCCTTATCGGCAACCAATGTAACTTAATAAAGCAAGTGTAATATGGGAAAATTTGGAGAAATTGGACATAAGTCTTGCATATGCATTCTGAACACGCTGCAACTTGATTATTTGTGAATCTGGCAATTTATATATTCGTCTGAAAGGGGAACCTCAAACATTCGAAAATTATTTTTAGAAGAGAAAATTTAGATTATAATATCAAAGATATCACTCGGAGTGTGATGCCTATTGCACCCTGCAGTTTTATAAGCGTACCCCGGGAGCGCACCACATAGCCAAAATCGTATCATGAAACTCTGTTTGTTATTGATAACAGAATTGATTTCATCCTTACAATATCTCAATCTAAAGAAGGTTTATACTCATTTCAGTAGGAAAATAAAGTATAAAATCGACGATGAAGTTAATGTTCATAATTGTTACATCAACATCAACCACCCCGACCCGGCCGACAAGAATGTTGATATTATCAATATTCGGGTAGCAAGGTGGTGTATTTATACTCATACGCCGACTTCTTGTTAATGTCACAGTCCTAATTGTACACATAGGCTGCACCGAATTGAGAAAGCTATCTGTTAACAAAGTATGAACAAATCTTTTCAGGTCCCTCCGGTGCCTCGTGTCCCCGTTTACACTCGTAACTCGGTTGGGAGTCTGGTTGCCAGCGAGAAGACTGTCAAGCTTGCTTCGGAAGACTTCAAGCTCCCGTCCCGTCGGCAGGAGTATCTCATCAAGAAGGCGCTGGAGTGGGAGGAGGCGAGGAAGGAGGTCAGGGAGAAAAAACTACGAGAATTTCTTGCCAAGATGAAAAATTCAGGTAGGTTGCCTTTCAACACAAGAAAAAAGAATTGTATTTTGGTAATTGTCTAGTCATGATTCCATTTTACTATACCAAGTATCGCGCAAACATCATCCGAGATGGGCATTGCCCGGTTTGCCCCTAAACTCATGCATGACCATCATATTGGACAATTTTTCATTCAAAATCTTTACAGTGAATAATAGTTTAATTCTATCTCAAAGAGGGTGTACGTTCAAGCATCAACTCAGTCCTTATAAAAGCAGAAAAAGTGAAAGAAACGGATGAGTAAAAGTTTAAGGGTAATTTTAATGATAGGCGCCGTATTCTTTTTTGATGAAACGTGTCCTGAAAAATGACCGTAGTAAAAGGCGACTTTTTATGATGAACACATGCCACAATTCCACACCACTTAAGCCTGTACAAGTATGAACGATATGCCTATCATAATGACAAATCGTTATCTCTTTCTTTTTGCAATAATTTTTTAATGGTTTTTTGAGAAAAAAAATCTTTAGATGATTACGCAATACTCTCCTTCATCGCCTATAATCACTGCTTGCTATGCTGCAAATTTTGAATGCGGGACAAAGCTCGCCTATTTTACTTTTGCTAGACAATTCAATTTTGGTTTGATCCAAAAGATGATTTTTTTTTTATTTAAAGGTTGATGATCCCAATCGTGATTCTGAATGGTGGTTATAAATGACGCCGTGATATCGATCGAGAAAGAGATTTCTTATAACTAGGGGAAATTGGGGGAGAAAGTAATGTGAGGGGTAGCGAGATAATGGGAGATCATATATAATTACGTGGGTGTGATTCCATAAAGAAGAAAAAATCATATCATCATCGCTTTATTTTTTTCATATCAACCTTTTATTCGTGGTGACGAAAAAATCGGCGAGACCAGCTGCTCACATGATCCTTTTCCTGACATCACCAAACGAATAACGGATGTTATTAACAAAAAACAAAGTATAACCAGGAAGTGATCTTCGAGATTTTATTGGACGGACGAGTATAGTTAAATCAATATTTAGACGGGGAAACAACTACACATTGCCTACCTCAAAATAGCAATAAACTCTTCTATGAAAGTTGTAATGAAATGAAAGAAAAATAAATGAATGTAGAATACAATTCAACCCCCATTTGAACCGATCTCATTAAGAATTTGGATTTTAATTTTTGGAGTTGCGGTTCATCGCAACTTTTCATGCGAACAGTGTCAGGATGGATTTAAAAAAAAAACATCAATCCATGCATCATGTACATTAAAGTTGTCGTTTGTTGACGTCGAGTGCGATTGTTCATTTAGTTGATTTTGTCATTGTTAATGATCTATGTGAAATAAGAGCTCATAATCATGCTAATGCCTCTTGGTCTGCAACACTTTTCCCATGGCCTAATTATTGTTCTTACTATCAACCTATGTACAAAGTTTGCCGAAGCATGTGTACGTTCCCATATATACTCGAATGTGTTCCCTCTCAACGACACAACTCATTCCATGCAGCTCAGGACCAGCCGAACGTACAAATCTATCAATGCCAGGACAAAAAGATATCAGAATAGCTCCATTCCATTTCTGACAACTTGCCTAAATGAATAATGCCAAGGTTGTATAAAAGGGGTGAATAGAGAACAATGTACGCCTAACTCTTTTTGACGAAACCGGTGTCACTATTTATTTAATTATTATTATCGATATATATTTTGAAATCAGAACATATTTCTCATATAATTATATTTCCAGGGGCATAATTGATTATCGAAGCATGAACATGGGTATTACGCATAGCATTACAGGTATCAACTAGGTTATTTTTTGTTCAATTAAGCACTCAAATACCTTATCAATGACTTATTTACCAAATCTCTACTGAATGATGCAAAACCAAATTAGATAATATTATTAATGCAAATATTGTTGTTGTATATATATATACATTGAATTATTCTTAATGCTAATATTGTGAATTGTCACTAGAAAGTGATCTAACTATTGATGACAATTCATTGTCTTTGTTAATTATATGGTATTTTAACTAGTAGTATATTTGAAACAATTGTGAAAGAAATATGATATGTTTTTAATTGTAAATTGTCATGCAATTCAGCCCAGGCTGCGAAATGATGATATTAATAAACTGAACTGAACTGAACAAAAGGGAGACAAATTGCGAATGTTTAGTTTACAAAATAACTATAATTTTCACCTTTGTTTCTCTCCCCTTCTCCACACAGAACAAAGCATACCGGCGAAAAATGACCTGACCAAACTAGCGAAACGCCGGGAGCCTTTCCAAACTCAGAAACGAGATAGCATTAGCCACAATACCATGAAATCGACCATCTTCGGTCGCGCCTTGGTGACTGGGTCCAGATACACAGGGGAGACCACCGACGTCAACGACCTCCGGAACTGTCGTTACATTCGGCAGACAAGCATTGATACTACATCGAGTAGCAGCGTGGATGAATCTTACGAGATGAGGAGGAGAAAGAGAGCCTTGGATAAGGTATCAAGTTGGGGATCGCTTGGTGCGCCTCACGGTGGATCGTCTAGGACTAAGAAAAGGACATCGAGACCGTATGTGTCGCTATGACCAGTGACGCGGCTTTGGGGGAACCGGGGGGGGGGGTATGTAGAGAGAAGGAGGAAGAGAGAGGTGAAATCAATGTGGTCTTCATCTCTTCCTTTATATTAACCTGGACTAGACATACGGTCCTACGCAATGTTACAGCATAATGATCTCAAAGAGAGGAAGTTTTTTGTTTGTTTTGTAATGGCAATCAGTCAAGAACTGACTTTAATCACCAACGCCTTTCTTTTTAATATTACATATTAATTTCCTTCTTTCTCTTGAGCTTGATAAACTACATTAATATGAGAAAAAAGTTAGAATTGTCATTGGAAAGAGACATAGTCTCATGATTCGTGGTTCTTAATGTTGGAAGCATAGCGATTATCGCGTATGCGTCCTTACAGTATTTGTGACTGCTTATATGGAATGACGCTATTGAACCACCAACAACAGCAGCAACAACAACAATGACGACGAGGACAACGATTGTGTCTTTGCCGACGAATTATCATACGCGTCAACAGATTTTAATATGCGCCGACAATATCTCATATGCACCTAAAAATGTTCATAATGACATGCGGGGTCAGATTCTAATGTACACCGACAAATTCCCATGTGCGCCGATAAATTCTCATTTGCGCCGATAAATTCTCATTTGCGCCGATAAATTCTCATTTGCGCCGATAAATTCTCATTTGCGCCGATAAATTCTCAATTTGCGCCGATAAATTCTCATTTGCGCCGATAAATGTTCATGTAGGTCGACAAATGTTCATATGCGCCGACAAATTACCATATGAGTCGACAAATTATCAGGAAGCCGACAAACTTTCACGAGAGCCGATAATTTGTTTTCACGAGAGCCGATAAATTTTTCACTAGAATCAAAAAATGTTCAAGAGAGCCAACAAATTGAAATTCATGAAAGCCGACGATTTTTCAGATGAAGACAAAATGTAGTGGAGGGAACGTCGCCCCAGCTCTCGTTTCTGTCTACGCCGGTGGATAGCGATGCAAAGAGAGCAAGGAGTTTTATGGAGAATTAGACCAAACTTATTCCCCGTAATCAACGATCAGTAACATCTTGTTTTTTCGAGATAAATACTTCTATCCTATTTTGTCGGCTCTGGATCATAATTTTAAGTGCTATGTTTTATTACCATTCATGTTGTTAATGAATACTCTGTACCTGGAGTTAGACTACTAGATACAATAGAAAATCATGTTATCTATCAAATGAAATTAAGACATTTTTGAGGCACTACAATAATAAAGGAAAATAATTATCAAATTTCTCTTTTGGCTCTCTGAACAGTGATGAATTTGCTTGAAATGTGTTTTTGATCATTTCAATTGATTTGTGCATAAGATTGTCCTGCATTTGACACACTCGACACAGGTGAGGTAAATGGATACCTTGAATGCAGGAATGAATTTCTTAGAAGGCAAGAGCACCATAATGGCAGCCATGCTAAAGCTGGGGTAACAATGTTGGAGCGTCAGAAGAGTCAAATCTGACTAGGCAATTATGTGCGTTATACATGAATCCACGTTTGATATTATAATTATTAATAAGTCAAATAAACTATCATATGTAAGCCTTCTTTAGCCAAAAAAAAAAAATGAATGAATGGAATCCGGATAGATTGGGGCAATATTATAAAATTCCGTTTGCGGGTCATACGTGATTATTAGAAGATCATATTGAACAATAGGGTCTTCTTCAGCTATGGCAACTGCGCGCAACAAAATTATATTCAATAAGGTCTACTATATAAAGATACCGAAATTTGAAGCATATTTTTCACGTCATTTAAAAAAAAACGCCGCCGTTTTGCCGCGTCAAATCTGAACGAGGCTTTACTCGTTGATGTTATAATTTCAATCCAAAATTAGACGTAATATGTTGATTTAATATGACAGTATGCCTGTATTATGTAATAAAATGATAATATTATGTGAATATATATAGATTTTGTAAACGTGTCATTATTGACTGTAACTTTTGTAGGTGCGCTATGATGGGGTGGGGATGGGAGGGGAGAGGGAGAGAGAGAGAGAGAGAGAGAGAAAGAGAGGGAGAGAGAGAGAGAGAGAGAGAGGAAGAAGGAGAGAAAGAGAGATTGATTTATCTTATAGACGTTGCTATTGAAATAAATTGAATTGTATTTCTTAGCATTCATATATATATATTGCCTAAAATCACTGGCGGATCTTTATTTCCGGCCTTCTTCAAATAGGGGCACAACGTCCAAAGCACGTGCCGCGAGACCTGCGTCTCAATATAAATAAATAGATGACTGTTTTCTCACGCCCTATTAATTAGCGGGACACATTGGATATGTCCGCATGAATTATATCATAATGATTATAAAGGAAAAGAATTTGAGAATTTATAACATCTAAACTGTGCATTAATAAGATTTTAAGTATAATAAAATGGACAGTAATGGAAATTCAAACGGGTAATAAAAAGGCTTCATTCGGTCATGAAAATATATCTGCAAACCTGTATATATGTACACGGAAAGTATATGAAAGCGAGAAAGTGAGTTTATTAAAGCCCACGGTGAACTTTATTTGCTCGCGTTTTTATCGATCACGACTGTCTCTCGATACATCCGCTATCGACATTTTTATATATCCGGTATCGATCCGTCCAACCTGTCAAATCCCAAATGTAGCGTTTGAGTCAACTTTCCTGTCTTGATTTAATCGATGCGTTAATCCTATCTTTCTCGACGAAGTATGGAATTAAAGACATATTGTCAATGTTGGTGTTTGGAAAGATAAATATTCAATAAAAAAGCGACTTGCTCTTCGAAATTGATTCACTATTATATCATTCGATCAAAAATACTGTCAAATTCTATAGGCCCTGCTCTTTTCTCTCTCTCTCTCTTTTTTTCTCCCACTCTGTCTTAATGGTATAACCTTTGCAGTAATGTCGTAATACGGATAAGGCAGCAATAAAGAATCTTGAGAGCAGCTTGATGGTAGGTTGGGTGATGAGCCCATTTATTTGTTGATCATCAGTAACATAATCAGCATGAAGAAAACCCCAAGGTCTCTGAAGCAACAAGCCGGAGCAGCTCCCGGCTCCCAAAATACAACGCAGTCCCAGCTAGACCACACTACAGCTTCCAGCAAACCTCGCTAGCATGTCGTTTCTTTCAAAGGTGTAAAAACGTAACAAGGGCGTTGCACACTTATAGACGGCCCGACACACGCACAACCTCCTTCGCCCATGACAAGATGCAATGTGTGCCTACGTATCTGCTATGTCAGGCAGATTCCCGCGCCCACATATAAAGACCTATCACAATCCTATAAACAAAATATCCTACCTCTTTTTGCTATTCTTGTAGAAACACCTTTTGAATGAAGTAAAAATTAGTTATTACACATTATAAGCAATCTTATTCTTTTTGACATAGACTCACAATATATCAATTCTTCACTTTATATCAATACCAAAACAAACTTATAAATCGAGGAACTACATTTCATTCACCGTATTTTTAAACCGTAGATTTATGCAAATTATACAAAGTCATTTGCATAAGAAAAACACGTATAAATCCAATTTCCTACAGTAAGTATGTCACAAAATGACCCCTGCTCTGAAATGTATCAAATGCATATTACATCCAGGCGCGGATCCAGGATTTCGTAGGGGGGGGGGGCCCAAATTTGAAATTATACGAGCCAAATATTGGTACGTAATATTGACCAGCAGTGACGTAATGCGGGGAGGGGGTGGGTGCAGGGAGGGGCGGCTTCCCCCTCCCTCTTGACGTTTCATTGAATTATTAGAGAATGAAGACGTTTTGTTGTACCGTTTTCGAAAATAATCCTCGTCTAAATTCAGTTTTTCCCCGCCCGCGCAAAGCGTGGGAGCTTTTACGATTCATTAAACCACTAGAGAAAAAAAGACGATTCGTCGTACAGTTCTCGACTCTAAATCCTCGTCTGAATTCAGGTTCTCCCCCCCCCCCCTCCCGCGCAAAGCGCGGAAGCTTTTGCGATTCATTAAACCATTAGAGAAAAACGACGATTCGTCGTACAGTTCTCGACTCTAAATCCTCGTCTGAATTCAGGTTCCCCCCCCCTCCCGCGCAAAGCGTTGAAGCTTTTGCGATTCATTAAACCATTAGAGAAAAACGACGATTCGTCGCACAGTTCTCGACTCTAAATCCTCGTCTGAATTCAGGCCCCCCCCCTCCCGCGCGAAGCGCTGAAGCTTTAAAGTTTCATTAAAAGCATTAGAGAATGAAGACGTTTTGTTGTACCGTTTTCGAAAATAATCCTCGTCTAAATTCAGTTTTTCCCCGCCCGCGCAAAGCGCGGGAGCTTTTACGATTCATTAAACCATTAGAGAAAAAAGACGATTCGTCGTACAGTTCTCGACTCTAAATCCTCGTCTGAATTCAGGCCCCCCTCCCCTCCCGCGCGAAGCGCTGAAGCTTTAAAGTTTCATTAAAAGCATTAAAGAATGAAGACGTTTTGTTGTACCGTTTTCGAAAATAATCCTCGTCTAAATTCAGTTTTTCCCCGCCCGCGCAAAGCGCGGGAGCTTTTACGATTCATTAAACCATTAGAGAAAAAAGACGATTCGTCGTACAGTTCTCGACTCTAAATCCTCGTCTGAATTCAGGTTCCCCCCCTTCCCCTCCCGCGCAAAGCGCGGAAGCTTTTGCGATTCATTAAACCATTAGAGAAAAACGACGATTCGTCGTACAGTTCTCGACTCTAAATCCTCGTCTGAATTCAGGCCCCCCCCCCTCCCGCGCGAAGCGCTGAAGCTTTAAAGTTTCATTAAAAGCATTAGAGAATGAAAACGTTTTGTTGTACCGTTTTCGAAAATAATCCTCGTCTAAATTCAGTTTTTCCCCGCCCGCGCAAAGCGCGGGAGCTTTTACGATTCATTAAACCATTAGAGAAAAAAGACGATTCGTCGTACAGTTCTCGACTCTAAATCCTCGTCTGAATTCAGGTTCCCCCCCCCCTCCCGCGCAAAGCGCGGAAGCTTTTGCGATTCATTAAACCATTAGAGAAAAACGACGATTCGTCGTACAGTTCTCGACTCTAAATCCTCGCATATTTTGATGCCTCATTATTTTTTGACACTGGCAGTTAACTTTTTTTTCTTTCTTGCTCTCTTTCTTTTTTATTTTTCTTTAATATACCTTTTCAAAAAAAGTGGGGGGGGGGGGGGGGGCTCGAGGCTCTCGATCCCCGCCGTTCCTCGGGCCCTGACATTTAGGAATCTCAAGAAACACATTTCTTGCCTGGCTGTAAATTTAGGAATTTGTCACATAAAAACGTATAATTTACTAAAAAGTGAGGAAAAATCTCTGAAATTATGTCATTTCAGCATTATTTGTAATCTACCGTTATGGAATTAGAAATAAACCACGTTTAAATTTGATTTCCCACAAGCCCCCTACACCCTATCAGTTCGCCAGTATCTCCCCTTTTTCTTTTTTCTTTCCCTTTCCTTCCTTCTCTCTTATTTTTGTGATGGGGGGGGGGGGCAACAGCCTGGGAGGCAAGGCCTTTCGGCCCCCCGATCTTTTTCTTCCCCCTTTTCTTTTCTTCTTCCTCTTCTCTCTTTCCCTTTCTCTCCTCTTTCCCTTTCCCTTCTTTTCCTTTCTTCTCTCTCTCTCTTTTTTTTTTTTTTTTTTTTTGCGGGGGGGGGGGGGGGGGGGGGCCAAGGCACGCTCGGCCCCCCTGGATCCGCGCCTGATTACATCAATGATTATGTATCCTTGTGTTTTGATTTTTCTAATATGAACAAGTATGATAATCACTCGGGTGTTATAGAATGTGATATTTCTGATCACTACCCTGTGTTCATGATTTTAGAAAATCCATGTAATTTGAAGCAGCTGCATTATCCACAAACTGTAACTTACAGATGTTATAAAAACTATGATGTACAAAACTTTAAAGATGACCTTGCTGAGCAAGAATGGCAACATATCAATAGCTGTGAAGATGTTAACATGGCATACTCCATTTTTCTTAATTTGTTTAATAATGTTTGTAATAAACATGCACCAATCAAAGAGAAAAGAAGCTGCAAAGGACGCGCTTATAAGAAACCTTGGATAACCAAATCAATAATGAAGTCTGTTCGAAAAAAATATAAATTGTTTTTAAAAGTAAGGAAATCTAATTTTGATGTAAGTGATGTACACAAATTTCGGAACTACAGAAATGTATTAACGACTGTTCTTCGCAATGCCAAGAGAAATTATTACAGTGGTTTGCTAGCTGAGAACAGCAATAACACTAGTAAAACGTGGAACATCATAAATGAATTAATATCAGGGAGAAATAAAGGTAACAAAGGTACTAAGGTAGAAAAACTTATAAGGCGTATTAATGGAAATGATAAAGTTCTAACAACCGAATCTGAAATTGCCAATGAATTTAATGATTTCTTTGTAAACATCGGTCCAAATCTAGCATCAGCAATACCAAATGTACCCACATTATTTGAAGATTATTTGAGTAATAGTGTTGAGCAATCCCTTTTTTGGAAACCGGTCACAATGAAGGAAGTTCATGACCACATGTTGGCTCTAGACGAGAAGAAAGCTTGTGGTTACGACAACATTCCAGTACGCCTGATTAAGGATGGTGCATCTATTTTGGCTGAACCATTAAGACATATCTTCAATCTTTCATTGGAAACAGGAAATTTCCCTGATCAAATGAAAATTGCTAAAGTCAGTCCACTGTTTAAGAAAGGTAATAAACATGAAACGGGGAATTATAGACCCATTTCTGTCTTACCAATTTTGGGTAAAGTATTAGAAAAAATAGTTAATGCTCGATTGACCAGTTTTCTAGAAACGCATGACATTTTATATCACCATCAGTACGGATTTAGGAAGAAGTATAGTACTAAATTATCATTAATTAATCTTATGAATACGGTATTGAAAAGTATAGACGAAGGATGTGTTACGCTTGGTGTGTTTCTTGACTTTCAAAAGGCTTTTGACACAATAAACCATAACATATTATTTAAAAAGCTATCACATTATGGCATCCGAGGACATGCACTGAAATGGCTCGAAAGCTATCTTAGTGACAGAATGCAGTTTGTGAAATACAAAGAGTCATCATCAGAAAGTAGATATATCAAATGCGGTGTACCACAAGGTTCTGTCTTAGGACCAACTCTGTTTTTAATCTATATAAATGACTTGCCAACTGTGACAAATTATTTCAATTTCAGACTATTTGCAGATGATTCTAATATTTTTCATACTTTTCCCAAAGGTGTAGATCAAATAGATGAGTGTGAAGTAAACGAAAATTTAAAATCCATACAGAATTGGTGCACTGCAAATAAGCTTACTATCAATGCGTCAAAAACCAATTTCATGTTCTTCAGTAGTCGTAGAAGAAAGGCTGTGCTTAAAGGGAGATTAGAAATATCTGGGGCAGAATTAAGAGAAGTGGAGGAAGCGACATTTGTTGGCATTACCATTGACAGACATTTTACATGGAATTCACATATAAAATCTGTTAATGACTGTATACGGAGAAAGGTCGGCATCCTCTTTAAATTACGGCACTGTGTCCCTAAACATATATTGATACTGTTGTATAAAGCTCTTATACAGCCACATATTACATATGGCATCGAGGTTTGGGGTAGTACTTATAAATCACACTTGAATTGTATATTTTATACTCAAAAGATGGCTGTACGTACCGTTCTCATACTAATGCACTGTTTCATGACCTCAAATTGTTGAATGTTTTTAAATTGCATAAATTATCTATTTGTACTTTTGTGTTTGATTTGATAAATGAACGATTACCTCATTCCTTAAAACATTATTGCAGTATGATACAACATGAATATTCCACAAGACAAAAAACGGGTCGACAATTACGTCTTCCTTTATTCAAAACAGACCAAGGAAAGTTTTCTGTTTCGTTTGTTGGAAGTAATTTTTGGAATATGCTTCCTACTGATCTAAGAATTGAGAGATCAAGAACCTCTTTTCGTAAAAAACTTACAAAATTACTCTTAAGTGAAAACCACGAATCATAACCTCGTAACTATATAGTTGTATATAGTAACCAGTCTCATTTTAATATTATACACAAAATTATTTATAAGATTTGGAAACCCATCATATATTTTTAAATTAACTTTATTTTAGGCTTTAGATAACGAGAGTCAGACTCGACTAGCACATGTGCTATTTTTGACTCTATTTTACCATCGATCACAAACTCATTGTAAATAGTCATTTATTGTTTTACTCTTGAAGCAAAGTTTACTTTATCTTTGTCATAATGTACATGTATATCGCTGTAGAACATGTATTTTTTTATAATTCATGTCATGCATTTATGTTATATTGACATTGTCATTGTACATTTATCTTTTGTTTCAATGTTTTCAATGGTGGTGAATAAATAAATTCAATTCAATTCAATTCAATTCAAATTCAATTCAATTCAATTCAAATTCAATTCAATTCAATATTTTGCGTGCCTATTACGCACACCAGTTTGTCATCATAGACATATTTTTCTCCAATAACTTCCGACTCATCGCTCATACATTCATTAATACTCATCTCTTACCTCTTCTTTTTTGCTTCTATTCATCCTCCCATATTTTCCTCTATATTCATTTCCATATCCATCACTCTCTACATCCACATAATGATCTCTTCCTTTATCTTCTATACATCTGATCCAATTTTAACACGATCGCAACTACTTTTGAAAACTAAATTCAAGGGCAATATCAATACTCTATTGTATATCCTGTAGAAATCATGTTCCGATGACGTAATACATCATTGTAATGTTCACGCATTTCTAATGGTGATGGACAAGGCTAATACAATTGCCTTAAAGCCTATCTGCACTAGTTTGGCCAGGGGGATTAGACCTCCCTGCATGATCACTGACAGGTGGTTATCTCATCAAATCGGCTCACAATTACCTTACAAAAAAGGGGACCAACGGTCACCACTTAGGCATTGTTTGCTATATAGAGGGTGCAAGTAACTACAAGTAACTGTTTCTTTTGTTTATTTATTTTTATTTATTATTTAGACAAGTCATCGCCCTCCGCCTGCCGGATGGAGGGTTTTTAGGCCGTTTTTTTTTTTGGTTTTTCACATAAGTAGTGCAGTAGGGCTTCAAGTCCATCAAAAGTAGGTGCAATTTGAGTTTCTTTCTCTTGATCCATCCATTACTCCCTTTCTCCTATTACATCCTTTCTCCTATTACATCATCTCCGCCGATCATCTCCCCATCTCCCTATCTCCATCATACTCCTTTTATCCATCTTACCCACTTTCTCTCCATTATCATGTCCTAATGAATCATTCAGTATACCTCTCCACCCTTCTTTTCTTCACCTCTCTATCATTGTCTTTTCACTTCACTTCATCAACCACTATTCTTCCTTTCTCCCTCTCCTTCTTTTTCCCTTTCTGCCAATCTCTCACTTTCCATCCTTCTGGTCGTCTCTCTCCATCAGGGTTCCCATAGAAATTAAGTTGAGTACCAATTTCATAACTTTCCATTTTGGAACGGGTTGCAGCATCCAAGCAGCGTACAGACATCACACCCATTATCAGTTCAAATAGCTGCCATAGCCACACAGGGCCAACTCCACAGCTTTCCATGAATATGGATGTTTTTTCTTCATTTTCCATGACTGTGTGAACCTTCTTACAGTCTCTCTACCTTTATAAATCCCCATTTTTCTCTTTCAAACTGTCCTATGTGGGCATCATAACGCAAATAATAAATTCCCTATGTGATTAAAATATGTTACAAAATAATGACAGAGAAAGGCATCAAATTCCAAAAATGGAGGATATATTTATATTTATTTACAAAAAGACATATGAAGAGTACCTTTAAGAACGCTGTATGAAACAGGTGCACAACTTAGTTTCAAAACAATAACATAGATGCTTGGCATTCCTTACTTGACACTACCAGGAATTTTTTTCAATGATTTTGTTTCAGTCTTCAAAATAAGAAGGTATTAGAGAACAACATCTTTTCGGAATCATCTTCCAGCTCATGACAAGTAGATTAGAATGTTACAGTGAACGGAAGAGACAGCACAATAAATAACACAAGATCTATGGATATCATCATGTAATGTCAAAAATGTTGATAATGTGAACCACTGTTAGTCTGTTAGGTAAATACATGTCACCTGATGAGGTGTTCACACTTGTACAAGCATTGCTTTTTAGTGGACCCCTCTGTTTCCAACATGTATTTCTTAAATATGTTTTAAATACTCATCATTGATTTGTAATGTTTTGTTGGAAACATGAATAAATTTGAATTGAATTGAATTGATGAGAAGCAAATGCTATCATTTTACACCCTTCTGGCTCTCTAAAGATGATATGTGGCATTATCCTACATGAAAAGATCTTCAACAAGTTTGTCAAATAATCAGTGATACCAGTAATATAGGTTGCAAATAATTTTGTGACTTTTCTTATACACATCAAAAAGTACTTTGATGTAGGAGTAAATGTCTAAAGCTCTTTCAGAAGTTGGACAGCTTCCTGAAATAACCATGGAAACAGAACACCAACAGAATGAGGAAACTTAGAAAAAGTCACCAGGGTAATTAACATTTCACAACTGCCCTAGATGTTTAACAACTATGTAATTTTGTTTAACAGCCATTAGAACGCATGCTACTTACTGACCAAATTCTACCTCCGATGCTCCACTTTTCGCGCACAGTTTTGTGGAAAATACAGTGGAAGCTGTCTATAAAGACCATCCAAGGGAGACAAGAAAAGTGGTCTTTATAGGCAGTTGGTCTTTACTACAGGTTCCTTTAGTACATGTTTCAATGAGAAACTGTTTTTAAGGAAAACAAAAAAATGTGGTCTTTATAGACAGGTGGTCTTTCAATACAGAAGGTCGCTAAAGCAGGATTGACTGTATTCATATATGCTGTGAAGCATGTTTTCTTCCCATGCTGACTTCTTTTGAAGCCTCATATTGATCAAAAGTTTTTTATTATTTAATTTAAAAGACCGATAGGAGAGCGAAGACACCGTAGAGGAGAGCACAGGGGTAGGCGACGAGGAGTTGTTGTGAATCCATGGCTAATGCAGTCACAAAGAGCTTGGATGCCGATAAACTACACCAACCTATAGCTAGGAGCGATGCTATCGTACCGATTATACCTCTGTGAAGGAGAGAACAAGAGAGAGAGAGAGAAAGAGAAAGAGAGCAATGAATGCAATAAAGAAAGAATTAATGGAAGGTTAACAAAAATGTCTGCTTGAGCTATAAAATGTTATACAAAAGAGTTGTAGGGCACATAATAGTAAATTAAATGGCAAGAAACAAACATTTTTTTATCCATACGGCCCACTTTATCTTCACTGTTGATTTAATACGAGAAATGAGTGCATCTCTCCCCTTCAACAAATACAACCCAAACAAATAGCGATATACTCGAATTTTTTTGGATTTTTTTTGCGATATACTCGCAAGGAAAATCAGTTGTCAATTTGTGTTTGATCAATTAAAATACAACTTATAACCCTTTGTCATATCTATCTTTCTCAAAATTTACCTGTTTCTCTTATTTCTTTGCTTACATTAAAATCAAGCTGATGCCAGGATGGACTTCCCTTTTGAACATTTACAAATCTATAACTTGTACCAGAAACTACCAATACTTCCGGTAGCTTGACGAATGTAATGAAAAAAACAACTAAAACTTGAATTATAAGAAGCTACCGGCACTCACTGTAAGCTGATGATGATGGCAAGAAAGTTGAGACAGACCATTGGAAGAAGGCAGTACCCTAAGACGCTGACGATGCAGCTAGCGCCGACTCCTGTAAGACTCATCAAATTCAGCAACATCCACATCCCTAAGCAGCCCATACCACCAATACCATAGATGTAACCAAACTGGACCTTCCCTGCCTCAAAAGTAGAAAAGTCAAGTAACATTCACATCAGAAGTAAAATAAAAGACCCACTGTGGCCAAAATGGCTCTTATTTTAAGACTATTTTCTGGGAAGGCTGTGCACACTATGAATATGACGGACGAAGAAAGCGGACAAAATATACAGTTCCTCAGGTAGACAAAGGAAGATCCCTTCACTGCTATTATGTAAAAAGGTGAACATGCATGTGACACCTGTTCTACACATTTTTACAAAATAACAGTGAAGGGATGTTCCTTTGTCTACCTGAGGATCTGTATATTTTGTCAGCTTTCTTTGTCAGTCATGTTCATAGTGGCACAAGCATCTTTTAATCATCAGGATTGGCAATAAGCCAGTTTCGTAATGTAACCAAATTTAATGCATACGTCTTTGTGAAGTGCCTCAATACAAATTATTTCATTCACCTGATAAGAATAATAGTATTTCAATAGTCAGAATGCAACTGCATATATTAAGTTGTTGCCAGGTTGGACAAACATTATGGCTTGACCTACCTAGCAACACTTAATATATGCAGTTGCATTCTGACTATTGAAATACTATTATTCTTATCAGGTGAATGAAATAATTTGTATTGAGGCACTTCACAAAGACGTATGCATTAAATTTGGTTACATTACGAAACTGGCTTATTGAGGCAGAAATTGTCATGGCTTCTTCACATTAACTTTTTTTGGGCCCTGTTTACATTTTGGGGACCTTTTTAAGTGTTCATGTACATCAGACGACTATATTTGACTCTCTGTCAATGGCAAAACAATAGGTGATTCATGAACACTTACCAGAAGAAGAGATCCTCCAAAGCCGAGGGCAAAGACAAGGGGACCGGCCAGATCACAGTCGTTGATTGCTGCAGGGTCTGTCTCCCTCATAGGGTTCAAAACAGAAAGTGTCTGCAACCAGAAAAGGAAGGATTGTTTGTAAACAAAAATAGCAATTTAACAGACAATTCTTTGGGGAATGTAATATAAAAACCTTCTACTTTTTTTTCCTCCTCTTACCTCTTACCCCCTTCTAAATATCAGATACATTGCACAGCTCCTCTTGTACATTGTTAAGTTTTTATCTCCCTTGGGAAAATGGTTGTGAAATCCTTTCACACTCACTCTAACTTATGTTAGTAATGCACACAATATTCAAGAACGAATGATCTGATTTTCCTAAAGAAAACAATGTATAGCTAGCATTGTCTAGGGATATTTAAAAGGGTATATTACAATGCTCTTCAATAGTGAAAGAGATACAGATAGTATGTCATTCTTACCTTTTGATAAATGTGTTCAAAGTTGATTCCCAGTTCTGAGTGAGGAAAGAGCAAGAATATGAAATGGTTGACAGAAAATAGAAAGACAAGCCCACAGAATCCTTTCGGTATCGAGCCCGAGTATGTGAAGCAAATAACAGTGCAGCACAATAGTAGTGTTGAAATGTTTGAAACCAAGTAAATAAATCAATTCATTATTTCCCTTTATCTTCTGCATTCAAAATCAAATATAGAAACATGGAATGCATCATTTGTTTTTAGATGAGCATTAATTAGTCCATCATTTGTAGGAAACCTACACAAATACACAAAAAAAGAAGATTATGACTACTTATCAAAAGTACACCAAAGCTTTGGCTCATGATCTTCTTTGGTTTTAGATGTAATCTGCTGTACACGGCAATTGATTCATTTCTTCTTGGGCAAGTCCAATGTATTTGGTACCTCAAACATTACAAAGTTTATTGGAATATATAACATAATTAACTTGAGAGGTATGTACAGGGTAGTCCACAAGGTGTTTAAACAGGCAACATTGATATACATGTTTGAATTATTATTGTACAGGATTAAAAATTAACAACCAAAATTAAAATGAAAAGTCATAAAATGTTTGAAAATTGATACAAAATATGGCTGCCATTGCACCAGAGTGCATCTAGCCTTAGAGCCCTTCAACAAGCCTTGGAGCCCGGCCACAAGGGAATTCATATTCCTTCCACATTCCAAACGTACATGCTTGAATTTTGAATTCTGGACCAACCTGTATGAGTATTTTCAAACCCTTATCCCATCTAAGCTACATGACTGTCAACTTCAACTGCCATTTAAATATATTCATGAAATTATTTGATGTACATGGACTAAGTGGTAAGGTATCGGATGAGATACCTTGGACTTGCTCTTATATTATAGCCCCCCCCCAAAAAAAAAAAAAAAAAAAAGAAGAGAAAAACTGCAATCAAAAGGCAGAATTTTAAAGAAAGATGGACATAGCATCATGACATACCTTCAAGGAGAGGGGGTTCATCATCAAAACTGTCTGAATAGCTGCCACCAGCTGATGACATGGGTTCAGGGGTCATGATTTGACCTGTGTAGGGTACCTGCGGTGACAGCATCTGAGGCTGACCTCCGTAACCTTGCTGGGAATAGTCATCATAGCCTGCTGGAGCTGGAGCAGGAGCACTGAAAAAAAATCAATTAATATTTTTTAATAATAATAATAATGATGATAATGATAATAATGATAATAATAATAACAATAAAAAAATAATAACAATAATCTGTCTATTTTACCCTTGGCAGCCTTGTTTTTGTCAGTATTAGAAATTTTCTCCCTAAGGGCCTTGCAAGCATATTATCACCCTAAACCTAGTCCCTAACCCTAACCCTTAACATAAAACAATTGAATGAATGGATAATCCTTTATAGCTCTCGTCTACACAGGATTACAATACACACTTGCAAAATTTAGGATTTTGATAATCCCATCATACAGTTTGATGCAAAAAAATGAGATCATACCGTGTAATGAAAATCCACTGCAAAATAAAATTTGTTTGAAGTTGAAACTTGTGATTTCTAAGAGACAATTCATTTATGGTTTGCAAATCATACATCCAGTCTATAGAAGGTGAGTTCTGATGTGCTTAATAATAAAAACAACAAATGACTCCTATATCATGTTTCTGGAATAATTCCTTAAAAAACATTGTTTGTATCTAATCGAGTCACAATTACTAAATCACTGGTAAAACTTGAATACAGCTTCTGGGAGTGCAAACCTTGAAAGGCTAGTCTACTCACATGTCACTTGTGCCTTTCCTTAGAATGAAATTTGCAGTACTGGTTTTGAATTTTGTTTTCAGTTTCAAAGGTGATATTTTGAATGTATAATACCAGCATGGACCACATACATGTACATACCGAGCTAACAATACATTTTGGCAATTGATCACCGTACAGCTTGTCACTAAGTACTAAGTACTAAGTTCATAACATAGCATAGCAATTCATGACACTCCTTGTAGTTACTTGCCTCACCTACCATCCCAGTATATAGCCTCCTGAGTGAGCTGCCAAAGGTATTACCCAACTAAGTACCAAGTAAGCAACTAAAAAGGAGACATATCTTTGTAAAAAATTGATGGCACTCACCCATATTGTTGGCCCCCAACATCATAGCCCTGCTGCTGGTCATAGTCTGTCTGAAAGAAGCCTTGTTGATCCATGTTTGGGTTGAAGCCCTGTTCTCCGTATCCAGCCATAAAACAAATTCAACCTTTATTCCAACTTCAAAATAAAAAGAATCTACAAACAAAGCAAATATTAAACCAAAATGGATTATATGTTCTTCCCCCGAATGGGGGAGGGGGGGGGGGGGGGGGCTCCAGGGCCTGCTTCCTCTGATCCCATCCTCAAACAAAACAAAAAACAACTACTAGTGCTACAAAAATTCACCATCCACATCATGGTCCTCAATAGAAAATTGAACAGAAGAACTAACATAACTGATTGCCACAAATGTTGTAAAACTAAATCCCTTGATGATTCCATTAAGAACACAGATCTTATGGTAGACTTAATCTTAGGGTCAGACCTCTATATTCTACCAACATTAAAAAAAACAAACTATTATCTTAAATTAAAGTCGTATTATGATTCATACAAATTCAGCCAAACATTAATTGAAAGAAGGAGAGATCTTGGAAGTTTAAGTTGGACTTGGAATTTTGAAAATTAAATGTTTGTGCAAAAGCTTCCTCAAAATTAAGGCTTATATAGAGCACCATGATTACAATATACAAAAATGAAAAAGAAAGAAGAACTTCAAATCATTTTTCAATTCTTTCTAGATCTAGGTCTAGCACATTTGAAAATCTAATTGTTGTTGCTAGGCCTACTTGTTAGTTGTTGTTATTGTATCATAGATCATCTAGGTCTTCATCTGTTTTACACCCAAATACATATGTGACTTCAATTTCAAATGATCTCTTCACTCAGTCAGAGTCGAGTCAGTGTTCTGTTGGTACTTCAGTCATTTATTATTTTGATTGTTTTATTGTTTTTCAATTCAATATTTTAGATTTTTATTTATAGACAGTTTTACTGTGCAATGAACTAATCCCGGCCAGGGCCATTCCATGAGAAGAAGGACATGACATCAAAAAAAGAAATGTACCTCTTATGTTAATTTTTTGATTTATCACTAACCTTATGCCATGGATGTTCATAAAACATTAGGGCCTTTCAAATTCAATACAATTTATTTTTCATTTTTGTTGATTTCCTAAGATCTCAAACCATCATCAAAAACGTACATGTGGGACTGTAGATGAAAAAAAAACAATTTATTGCAGATTACACAGGATTCTTGTAATATTTTTTCCTGAAAATTTCGCTAAATTGAAAAAGATGAATATATTTCCATATTCTAAGCCTTTTCTAAGGGGTCCTGGGATATTTAATCTATTACATAGGGGTGAAAATGGCCTCCGGACAAAATGTAACGCGAGTTACCGTAACGTGAGTTACCAACATATTTGCTTCCTGCATTTTACTAGTCCATTGTTTCTTATCTTTAATATTGTGATCTTATACTAGTAAGTCTCAACCTACTATCAACGTAGGAAAGATTTTGTCAAGATTGTCTAGTATGAGGAGACTTTGCCAAAAGAGGGTCTCATAGAATTGACCATGTCCTTTTTTTGTAACGCGGGTTACCAAAATTCAATAATCCAAGAATCTAAAAATGTTTGTTCTTCAATTTTCTTTTTTGTTTCATTCAGTTGTTCTATATCTACCCTGTCCATTTTGAAAAAAGTATCTTGCAGATCCTAGCAGTTCTAAAGATATAGGCACATTATCGTGTCAATGTACCCATTAGGTGTAACACGAGTTACCATGGAATGGCCCGCCAGTGTTATTTAGGGTACGCATATGCTCGTTCCCTCTTTTTGAAAGCACCCCCTATCTGAGGACTGCCAACATTTCCGAACCCCCCTTTTGCGGGCTTTTCGCGGGCATTTCGCGGGCTTTTCCTGCCTTGGAGACCCCCCTAAATCAGGAAAAATGCTCAATGTACCCCCCTAAATTTGGAATAACTTCTCAGGAGTCCAAAGAGATGAGAGAAAAAAGGAAAAACACCCCCTTTTTAAAGAAATCTCCAGGTGAAAAGTCAAATACACCCCTTTTTTTACGATTCTCGGGCCGGACTTTGTCGCACGAAAAGTACCCCTTTACCGGACATTTTGCGGTCATTCCGATCCCTGAGTGGCCTCAGCTCAGCTCAGAGACAGAGTCAGCACAATACATTACATTCACAGTCGCACACACAGAGAATGAGTGATCAGCTAGATTTCAGACAAGACAAGGTGAAAATCACTGAGCTGAGCCTGAGACATGACAGTCACAGTCAAATTGTCTCAGTATCACAATCAATCAACATACGTTATCAACCCTGTTAGCGCTTAGCCCCATTAAAGCATAAGAAAATCCCCACAATATAAACAAAATAATAAATTTAGCTTACCAACAAGACATACAGCTGCCGCAATCCACAATGCACAGTCAATGCAACGTAGACATGTTAGTCCTTAGTTGTGTAGAAATTAGTTTGTATCGAGTCAGTAATGTATCCCACATATACACGAAAGGCGTTGCCAGAAGTAGACGTAGATTTATTTTTGATATCCTAGACAGTCTTAAAGTTTCATGACCTCCCACCTTCCCACAATGCAAACGTTTTCCGTCCTCTTTCTCTTGCGTTTGTAAAGGCCCAAGTTAGGTGAGAGAAATGATCGTGAAAATCGTGATCTATCTTGGTCATCTCCCGATATCTTATAAAAATTAAGGAACAGCTATCTACATAATATAATTACGATCTCTAGAAAGTACATTTTCATTCACATATTATAGGATATGTTATCTTATTGCCTCTGTATCATAAATGTTCACGGCCCAAAATTTTCTTGAGGATGTAGTCCCAATAACCTTTATTTATGTTGGGGCTGCAATTTTGTCGTTGGATCTCGTCGATACAGCCGTCGACGAGCATTTAACATTGGACATAATCTTCTTATGGGGCGGGATTTCAATGAAATCGATAATTTAGACGTATACTAGTCAATGATGATGCCAGAAAATTAGAAGCATCGACCATTGTGAAATTTATGCGGAAAATTTGATTGCATTTGACGAAGTCAAACTCAAAGTTCTTCATGTCGGACCCGATCACTGATGTCTGACTTTCTGTCGATCAATGAATTCATATTCTTCTAAATCTAAGAAGATTGAACTAAGTTCCATTCTACATGTTACATAGGTCTATATTGCACTTATTGAGAACATAGATCTAGATCTAGTCTATATCGCAGTTCTTGAGAAGTTACGACTTGTTCGTTCATGAACAGTAGGGGGGCGCTGGTCCAAGAATGAGGATCGTCTCATAAACAAGGATATCCTCATAAACACAGACAAATTGTGTCGACAGTGTCGTCTGCATTTTCGAGGACTTTTTTTTTCATCGGCGCTCTGGGGGTTTCATGTTACAGAACCGCCTGCTGGCGATGCCAAAAATGGATACCCCGGGGGAAAATAACCCTAGTTCACAGTCTTATGGGTTGTCTGTCTTCCCAAGGATTTATTGCTCATAATGTGAAGGTCTCTGTACAAAGGCAATGTAAAATGCATCAAGAAAATCATTGCAGAATCCCTTTTTTGCATCGCCAATGCGCCGATCAAAACTATAATATAAAACGTCTGTGAAAAAGCAGACGGTCCTTATTTAAGAGGACGCATCCGTCCAGGTTTAGGAAGATCCTTATTCTTGGACCAGTGCCCCTACTGATGAACAGAAAATAAAATTATTGGGAAACAACGATTCAGCTAATTTAGTATTCAAATAAACTCCATGATTAATGTGCAGTTCAGTTGTATTTCAATTAGTCTAGTCTAGTTTTGAAAGATTGATTTGGAGAAAGTTTTGTTTACTTTAACTGTTTTGCAATGCAGAACTTCTTCAAGTTCGATCTTCACTCTAGACAGTAGGCCTAGATCATAGATGTGCATGGATAACTTGAAGGCCTTGAATTAAGGCAATATGAATATCATATGGGAGACTGTCATGTTTGTTTTTTCTCTTTTTATTTGTTGATAAGTAATTTTTTTTTTGTATTATACTTTTTGTATCATCTATATTTTATGTAATTTACATTTATTTGATATAGTCTAATATGTGTCAGAATCTTGTGTAATTTACTTGAAGTTATAGGAAACGTGTGTCATATTTCCTACATCGAGAATTAACCCTCTCTCTCTCTCCTTCCCCACATTACAGCCATGAAGACTATTCTGGCCAGCAGGAACGTAGAAATCCCTGAGGGGGGTAAGTATTTTCAGATTTTTAATGCGATACATAACAGCCAGAAGGCCTCTTCTGTAAGGTAAAAGTACACTGCATTAGAGTTTACACCCTTCTAGCTCTCAGCTAACAAGTGAAAAAAAGTAGGATTTATACATCAATCCTTTTTTTTGCAGGCAAAAATAAGTGAATTTGAAATTTGGACCAAAGATATTATTCTATTTGTAACATGTTATGTTTAATAGCTGTCAATACTCTGTTAGTGTCTTTTTAACACAAGTTATTATTGTGAAAGTATATTCTGAAAGCTAATTGGCTGATATAATTGTGACCATGTAGAATTCTCGTTAAGAACAACAACATATACATGTATATATATAATATATATATGCTTTTTTTAAAAAACACCTTAGATTATGAACATTCAAATAAGACCGTAAGTGAGAGATCATCTGCTTATTATATAAGTTTGTAGTCTTTATTCAGGGCTTAACACAAAGTAACAGGCAAACAGGCCCCAGGACACATGGGCACCCAAAGTCAAATCTTGACCCAAAAATTGTTGACATTTTTACATAGGGCTCATGTATGTACATACTGTAAAATATTTGATTATTTGATACTTTTTCTTTAGCGTATTTTCCATTTAATTTTCTTCTCTACAGGCTGTAAGAAATCTTTTTTGATACTCTTTGACTTTGCATGTTTTTTATTTCATTAAAGTAGTGAATAAATTCTAATTCGATTTATTAAAACCCCAACAGTGGAAGTATCGGTCAAGGCCCGTACTGTGACGGTCAAGGGACCGCGTGGGACTCTTGTGCGGACATTCAAGCATCTCAAGGTGGAGATCCGTTGTCTTTCCAAGACCAAGCTACAAGTCATCAAGTGGTTTGGAAGCCGCAAGGAGCTGGCCTGTGTCCGAACTCTCTGCTCTCACATCGAGAACATGATCAAGGGAGTCACTATGGTAAGTCAATGCTTTAACAATTATAACAATACATTGTGAATAAGAATAATAAAACTGTATTTCTATACTGCATATGACCCCAAAATGCAGTCTCTAAAGCCTCCCTATATGAATAGAAAAAATAAAAAAGAGCTATAGAAATATCACATATGAGAATAGCATGCACATTAATTCTAATTATAAATAACGAAACGAACCCTTAAAGCTTATCTGCCGTAGTTTACGGGAGGGATTAGAGCGCCCTGCAAGGTCACTGGACAGGTGGTTATCTCATCAACTAAGCTCTCAGTTAACATAAGAAAAAGAAGATCATGGGGGACCAATGGTCACCGATTAGGCACTGTTTGTTATATAGATGGCGCAAGTAGCTCCAAGTAGTGCAGTGGGCCTTTAATTAAACCATGTGCACTACTGTTTATATTTCAATAGGCTTTACATATAGAAGTGGGTTATTAATGTGAGACAAATGCTTATGTATCCTTCTCAGCGCATTTTCTGTAAGTTATTACCAAAGAAAAAAAAGAAGTCACTCACTCCATAGTGTCCGACAGTGAAGTCTAGAAAGTAAACGGTTTTCCTTGCATAATTTAAATATTACGACACTGCTAACGTACAGATAGGACATACGTGACGTATTCATAATTCCTGCAAAGTTCTACAGAATTTGACGCTGTAAATGGGATATAGTACCTTTAATGATCATAGGTATAGAGAATTTTAATGAACCATTTTTTACATTTATTTGCCTGTATAGTAACTCTAAAAACAAGGGGGATGTGATGCTTTATGCTGTTATAATACGATCATGTAATTTGTTCATCTATACTGAAGTGCCTTTCCTAATTCATGTTTCTTTCATTTTTCAGGGTTACCGCTACAAGATGAGGTCTGTGTACGCTCACTTCCCCATCAACGTCAACATCAAGAATGAGGGAACCCAGGTAGAGATCAGGAATTTCTTGGGAGAGAAGTTCATCAGGAAGGTGGATATGAAGGAAGGAGTCACCTGTACCACGTCCACCAAGCAGAAGGATGAGATCATCCTTGATGGCAACGATGTCGAGCTCGTCTCACAATGTGGTAAGGACCTCGTCTGTTATCACAATGATGCTTGGAATGCGAACCAAAATCAGGGATGGGCCTTAGAAAGATATGTGTACAAATTTTAATTAGACAACACACAATTTTTTGTGCTCATTTACCTATAAGAGGATGGTCTCCAAACAAAAATTTTAAACTGTAAAATTGTAACTTTGAAGGAGTGTGAACCAACATGTGTGGTGCACACTATCCCTTGGGGGTGGAATCCTGGAAGGTTTGGAGTGCTTAAGCCTCGGTCACAAATGCCATTACGAACTGCTACGAACACCGTACGAACGATTTTCAGACCATAAAAATTCGGGAAGCCCATGGAAAAACGGAGATTCGTAAGAACGCATCGTTCATACGAACCTTTGTGACCGTAGCTTTAGATGCTCTCTGGTGAAATTTAAGCAACATTTTGAAGCATTTTCAAACAGATTTGATGATTTTAACCTTTTAATGCTTTACCAAAATTGTTTCAAAATTTCAAGCCTATTGCCATTACATGTTAAAACCTTATCAAAATAACTCTAGATTTAACTAAATGACAATTTCTGTCTTCCTATTTTATTTTGTAGCTGCTCTCATCCAGCAATCCACCACCGTAAAGAACAAGGACATCAGGAAATTCTTGGATGGCGTCTACGTCTCAGAGAAGACCACAATCCAAACAGTTGATGCATGAACACGATCGCTGCGGGCAGGGGAGTCTCAAAAAATGGAAAAATGTTGACCTACACTGTGTAAATGTAAAATAAAAGATCTGACATAGTCTTGCATCGTGCAGAGTTTACAAACCAATGCCAATGAGTTCTTGCCTCGTATTGATTGCTAGTGTTGAGTAGAAAGGGAGAGTGTGTGCCGACTAGAAATGTTAATTCACTACCTTTTGGTTTAATGCCAATTTTGTTCTACTCCCCCAAACATCTCTTGACATTTCATATAGAAGCAGTCTGTTTATTGTTCATGAGGTCTAATCATCATCTTGTTACTTTTCATCACTTCCAATTTTGTTATGGTTAATGCCCATTTGGGCCAATATTTGTTTTGTCTAATCACCAGTTTGTTGAATGCATGTTAGTCTCTTCCTTATCTGTCTGATACCCATTATGATTTGGTCAAATAAAAGAATCTGGCAGATGCCATACATAAAGCTTTGTTGCAAGGCCCGAATTTCAGACAAATATGGAGTAGATCAAACAATAAGTAGAGTAATAGAGCAACTAGTCATTAAGTCAAATGATCATTAAATCGTATCAAAATTTTACAAACTAATGATCAGATAATTTTGATAGTAAACAAGTTCGATCAGACCAAATGGCAATATAGACCTACTAAGTAATGCACATAAAACCATCTTTGATATTCCTCAGTCACACTACCAATCCAACTTTACATTGACTCTAAACCTGACTCCATTTTAAACCTTTCAGGGTAATGTAATGGTCTGTTCGGTCTGGTGTTGGTTTCATACGTATGACTGCTCTTTTGTGTATTTGTGTGGTGGAACAATTATGAAGGTGTGTATTGAGATGTATTTGAAGGAAATATGTGGGGAGAGAGAGAGAGAGCGCGCGCGAGAGAAGGTTGGGGTGAGAGGAAAAGAGGGAGAGGGAGGTGGGTGAGAAAGATGTGAATAATAATTTTTTTTAAAATCTAGTTCTGCTTATTGAATGGTGTTTTCAGGACATTTTTTAAAACTTTATTCTATTTTCAAAAATGATTTGTTATACATGTTTTCAGCAATAAGCTGAATCGCAAATGTATATATATAGATCTATACAAGATAAAAATTAACATTACAATTTAAAAAACAATTTGCAATAGTAATAAACATACAATGTATACAAATTGGTTAAAATGACATGGCAATATCGATATTATACATATTGTTAAAAAATGTGTTATAACTTTGATGAAGATTAGCAAGTTGTGAGCAAAGCTTGCTCATCTCATAAACTAACCACAGAGAGGGGAAAGAGCCAACATATGTTGAAGCCGGTCTGCAATAGTTCGGTCAGGAGGGATTAGACCACTCAGCATGGTCACTGACGGGCGGTTATCTCATCAAATCAGCCCTCAACTAACACAAGAAAATGGGGATCATGGGGGACCAGCAGTCACCGATTAGGCATTGTTTGCTATATAGAGGGCGCAAGTAGCTAGTAGTGCAGTGGGGCTATAAGATTAAAGGAATCTGTAGATGCAGTATTCTGTGATCAGAGTGTATATAGTGATGAAGAAATGGACGAATGGAGAGAAAGTCAGATTGTGATTATATAGAGAGGAAAATCAGATAAAAAGATTGAAATAGTTACTACTTTATTGCAACGCATATTGAGATGAAGGCTTCTATTAATTGTCTTGTGGGGAATGATAAAAATTAATGTCCATCCATCCACAGTGTTAAAGAGATCTAGAAAATTGATTGTTTTTTTTGTTTTTTGTTTTTTTGGAGGGGGGGGGGGGGTAAAATGATAACAAAATATTATATTAATCATGTATTTTGCCCTTGCCCCCCCCCCCCCCCCACCCTCACATAAGCAGTTTAAGAATGCCATACACAATTTGATCATTTCCATTTTGCATGTAAAAAGTTGGTAAGTACTCCCAAATACTTTAAATCAAGTATACATTGAGGTATTGATCTCTCCATCTGAATTTTTAAAATTAATTCGCTTGGAATGTTGATACCAAAGTGGTTAAATTTCATTTATATACACCCTGTATGTCCAATTTTCAATATATGTTCCTGCATTTATTTAAAATTATTGTAAACATATTCCTAGGATCACTTTCTGTGAAATAGGGTCGTGAATAGATGAACCTAACATTCTTCAGGTTGGTGTTTTCAAGCAGTGAAAATAGATTAAATCCCTACAAAATAAATGAAAGATTTACCAACAAGCAATGTACGTACAATTTTACTAAAACATAACAGAATAAATATATTTGTTGGGTTACCATATTGTCGAATTCCAATCGATAACTTCAGTTATAATTTTTATTCTATCGCGATCGTGCATGTGTTATCGCTTTAAAACCTTACCTTACAATAACTTGTATTCTTGTAAGAAGGATTTGCACTTGAGAAATATAACTCATTCTACATAAAATAATTTATTAGAGACTCTGAAGATGGCTCAACAAGGAGGTGTTGACCCCGAAATGGCTCGATTTATGAATTTTGAGGCTCAGCGGCAGAAGTTCTCGCAGCTCGTCTATTCACTCACGGACACTTGTTGGGACAAGTGTGTCGCAGAGCTGCGGCTGGGAGCCCGACTGGAGATCAAGACCGAATCGTGTCTGGTGAACTGCGTAGAACGATTTATTGATACAACAAACTTCATCGTAAACAGGCTAGAATCTGTGAAATCGAGTCCAGGCAGCAAGCTGGGACTAGAGTGATTAGTGCCATGGAAATAATTTATGCATTTTTGATGAAAGCCAAAGTCAAAGAAGATGACTAATTTGCAAGTCAAGTGTAACCAAGACCAAGTCAGTAAAACTAATGTGATGGAAAAAGAACTGGCTAGCGGCAGCGGTAGTGCAGTGGAATGTTGATACGTACTAGGCAAGAAGTGCATGCTGATAATTATCATAATGCATATGATTGTACAATCTTCAATCAATGTGGATGGCATCTTGTGCAGTTGATGCCAGCTTGCGCTTGCTGTATCCCACTCAGCCTCGATCAAAACAAATTGTTTACAGTAGCACAATCAACAAAACACTATAATGGTAAATAATTTTTAAGCATCTCATCTCTCAGTTCTTGAGACCAAGGAAAAAGTATAGACCTAATATGAATTCTGGAGAGAAAAATCCCATTGTGTTGGATCCTCTGAGGAGTTTGAATACCTGGATATGGATTTGGCTGAGCTCGAAGAGCTAAATGTCGAAGGAAGTCTCAACATACCTGAAGAACGGTGGTGCAGCATCGGATTGGTGCCAACTCTTCAGAAATTGGAACTTTTCATGAAGTCGGAGATAAATCAAATGACTATCAGTATCAGTTCCATGAGCAAGAGCAATACTTGTCCTGTCTATTATTTTTGTTTTGTCATACTTTCCATTTCTTTAGCAATTGTACCCTTTGTCCGTCTCTATTCGCATCTCAATACTAGTCTAGAGACTTTACTGAATGAATGATTACTTCAATTGTATAGAAAGACTAACCATCTTCCTGCATTACAGAAATCTGTGCATAAAGACCACATTTGAGAAAGCTTTTCATGAAGACCTGCCAATATTAGGCAATTTTTCTTTTTCCCATCCAGTGGTCTTCGTACTACAGGTTTCCTAGTCATACAAATACAATACCATGTACATCTGTACTTTACTTTCAGTCCATTGATGCTAGTAGGACAGAGCCTGCCCATCAATCTGCAAACAAAGTTGTTAATCTGTTTAAATTACCAGTAGGGCCTACGATCTTGATAGGGGATGGAGTAACACAATGGATGTTCATGTGTTCTGAGTTGGTTGAGCAACTGAGCATTTTTTTCTGTTTAGAATCTGGGGAAAACAGCCATCCAAACATTTTAAATATTGCTGCTAACATAGTCACTCTAATTTGATTTCATTTGAAGTAAACAAAAAATGTTTAAGATAGTACCTGGCCAACTATTGTAATGAAACTTTTAGTGTGTTTTCAATATGTAAAGTTAATTTTATTTTTTTTGAACTGTTAGCAATTTTATTTAAAGGGATGCATACAGAACCTTATTTGTACGCTATTGGGATTTGGAAATTGCCCTAAATAGAGTAAGTGTACCCAATACTACTTCCCATTGCCTACTTATTATGTGCCATAATGCAGAACAGTTCATGTGCTTTTTCTCAACTATGGGGGAAATGATGGTCTTGTAAGTCATCAATGAAATGGTCAAAATTATAGTTTCCTAAACAAATAAAATGTACTCTCATTATTTTACCTATAAGTCCTAAACTAGAGAAAACATAATGTCTGACTATGGATAAGGTAGCTCAGTAACTTATGTAGTATGGAGTAACTTGGGTTTGTAATGGCGTTTGACATGAATTCTTATGACGGAGTAAACATGGAACTGCTTATCCAATCAAAAGCTAGGATGAATTGAATTATTTCCTTTGCAATCATTTTTAAATGATAACATTTAATTTGTTGTTGCAGGTTTTATAACATGAAACAATAATTATACATGTGTATCACAAATTTTGGATATGATATACTATACTTCAAGATTAAAGATGTAAATATAAAGAGAGAGAGATAGAATGGAGGGGGTGAAGGGATGGAGGGCTAGAAAGGAGAGAGAGAGAGAGAGAGAGAGAGAGAGAGAGAACTAGATATCCTTGAGTATAGAGGAGGGAGAGATGTGTTAAGAATTTGAAAATAAGAAGGATAGAAAGAAGAGCAGATCATATGGGAGAAAGCAATTGATATATAGGCTCCACTGCTCCAGAGCAAATGGGAGAATGAATGAGGAGAGACGGACCTAGACAACTATATACAGAAAAATTCCATAAATGCAAATTATTACAAAAGGACCATGAAATTGGATGGATGGAGAATAATTGGTTGGAATATTCATGTTGACAGTACAGAGATTGTTTGGGGGAAAAAAATAGCAAGCAGGAGGAAGAGAGAGAGATAGAGAGTGCGCTATGTGGTTCCAGTGTTTATTTAGATTCATTAAAATAAGCGATAACTTCAGCACGATATGAAGGTACATGACTTGTTTGCCTAGTCAAAGCCACCATACCAAATGCATTTCTAAGTTCATATCAAATAAAAAGTTCCGAGATAGCGTTGTGGCACGTTGGTCTAGTGGTATGATTCTCGCTTCGGGTGCGAGAGGTCCCGAGTTCGATTCCCGGACGTGCCCCTCTTTTTACCGAACATTGCTGTTTTTACAATCATAATAAACACAGGCATTACATTGTGCACTGACGCCCGGAATAGAAAGATGGAGTGAAATTACCGTTACTTGCCGGACAAAGGAACCATTTTTGGTACAGGGCCTTCCTTATCTACTAAACGTTAGGCTAGGAGCCCCCGGCAAAAATTTTAATTAAAGGGTTTGGGGGACGGAGGCGTCTTTTTGGAGCCCAAAATAATTTTGTAAAATTGATTTCTTGTTGTACATTATGGTACAGGGCTACTAGTAGGACATACTGAGCGATATTAGGGTAGGAGCCACTGGCAAGAATCATGTGGGGCGGGGGCGTCGCCTCGTAGCCCCCAAATAATTTAGAAGGTAACATAACCTTTGATTTGTTGATGTACGAATGCCATTTTGGGTACAGGGCTTCCTTAGGACCTACCGAACGATATTAGGTTAGGAGCCCCCGGCACGGCCTGTACCAAAAACAGACGGTCGTATAACCACAGCATAATGTGATCTAGCTTACATTATCTATAACATGGGGCTCCGGCACAACGCCCCATCCCTAATCACACATATCAATATTTTTGCCGGGGGGTCCTACCCTACCATCATTCACCCAGGTCATAATGAAACCCTGTACATGGCGTTTGTACAACAAACACTCAATTTTATATTATCTTATAAATTATGTGTGGGCTACGAGGCGACGCCCCCGCCCCACGCCCTTATATGATATTCTTGCCGGGGGCTCCTACCCTAATTTCGTTCAGTAGGTCCTAAGGGAGCCCTGTATCAAAAATGGCATTTGTACAACAACAAATCAATGTTACTCAAGAGTACCTTCTAAATTATTTGGGGGGTACGAGGCGACGCCCCGTCCCACACCCTTATTCTTGCCTGGGGCTCCTATACCCTATATCGTTCAGTAGGTCCTAAGGAAGCCCTGTACCAAAAATGGCATTTCTACAACAACAAATCAATGTTATAAAACTATTTGTTTACGTCAAAAAGACGCCCCTGTCCATGGGTGTCGATCCTTATACGTAATACCTATTCATCAGGGGGGGGGGGGATGAATGAATAGATCATCCCCCCCCCCCCCTGATGAATAGGTATCAGTTACAGATCGACACCCATGCCCCTGTCCCTACACCCTTATATTGCAATTTTTGCCGAGGGCTCCTAGCCTAATATCGTTTAGTAGGTCCTAAGGAAGCTCTGTAGGCCTACCAAAAATGCCGCTTTTATCCGGCAAGTAACGATAATCGATAAATTTGCAGTGAGCCACCTGACTAGAAATTCCCGGTCGTGTAGCAACATTTCATTCATAAATACTTGAAGCGCGTGGTGATTCTTTCATTATTTTAAGGAGAAATCAGACGAGTATAGGTATGTAATAAACCTGTGTAATAATAATAATATACCGTATATAGCGCATATCTGTCTCTATGCGCTGTAAGAAAGAGTAAGAAGGAAAAGTGGATAGAGTAACGTAAGAAGAGTGAGATATGCTCAACATATACTTTCTTTCGACTCTCGTTAACATTGGAAAGTATTTTTGAAAAGAAATGTTTTAAGACGCGCCTTAAAGTTGTCAACAGTGGCTTATATGCCAGCACTAATTAAAATGTATAGGTCTGTCACTTTAATCAAGTAGGCCTGGCATTACCCAAGGTTAAGTGGCGCATCGTAATGGATGCCTTGATATGCAGCAAGCCTATGGAATCGAACTAAGGATCATTGGCTATTAAACTGAAAAAAAAAGAAAAAAGAAAATAAAGAACAACATTTATAGAAGAACAAAAAGAAAAGAAAGAAAGATAACGAGATTTAGTTCCCCTTATATCTTACAGGCCTAGTTCGTCAGTTTATAACAACAATTGCATCATAATTATATTCAAATGATTTAATACGACCAGGGGCTGATTGAAGAAGGCAGTGGGGGGGGGGGGGGAGATGTGCCCCAGTCCGGCACAAATTGATAACCCTTTTTGGAAATCCATGGGACCCATGCACCCCGATGAAATTATCATACAGTGTGTATTTTCCTTGTGCTTTTTTTTGGGGGGGGGATGGGTATTTATTCAGCTATTTTGATATATATACAATGAAATTCATAGGCCTTTACAATCTTATTTGCTACCCATTCCATTGGCATATTTGTTTTGTTTCTTTTTTTTCTTTTTTTTGTTATAATTGTATCAAAAATAATTATCCAAATCTCATCTGTTAATCCTAAAAATAGACCCTAGGTCAATATGGGGTTAAATATCACAATTAGAAGACAGCTAAGAGATTTTTAAAAACATGAAACACAAATTGGGGATCCCATGGCTTCAGCGTCATTATTCTGTTGAATGGGTGCCTCTGACTTTGTACGCGTGGATAGGCTTGCTAGCGCGAGATGAGATCGTGAGCTAGTGGTGTTGCACCTGCACTGCCGGTAGTACATCACAAACATCGCGGCTCTGTTGGATTATACACGCGCGGCCTCAGCATGCAGCAGCCACCGCCGAGAAAGGTAAACTAATCACCACATTAATATCATATTTCTCTGCATTTGAATGCTGATTTGCCTGATTTTAAAGCGTATGTATCATAATTCACGGATATTTTGAACTGTCAATTGTTATCTTCTTCATTTATAGGCGAAAATTGGCCAGGATTTGAAGAACATACAGCATGACCAGTGGACGAAATTACAAAGCAAACATCAATCCGACTCGGAATTATTGGAAGATGTGAGGTAAGATACTCGAAATAGTACAAATTTAAAGCAAATTATTGATTTTATCAAGTGTTTTACCAATTACCTGAAGTTTGGGGGAACGACAATGCTTCTGTATCATTGTTTTTGTTATTTTTATCGTATTTATTTCTCTTTATTGTACAGGGATTTTGCAAAACAGAGGGCGGCCATTGAGAAGGTATACGCGCAGGTAAGTGGATTTTTTTCCTTCTCTTTTTCTCTTGATAATCTACCTCATTTTATTAACACAAACGTTGACAATGATGTCTGTAGAATTATTTGGAATCTAATTTATAGAAATATGAAATGCAATCATAACAGTATCTACTTTTTCACACGAAAGCCAATACCTAATGATCTTTAGACATTAATAGTGTTATTTTGTCTCCGGTATTTGTCACGCACCGGTTTGCTAGTTGCTGCTGTCAACTGCGCCGGTTGTTCAGCGCTAGCCTCTATACTATCTCCGTTGTTTGTTCAACTGTTGTCCACGGACCACGGCGAATCAGTTGGGGGCGTTGCATACGAAACCATCAAGATTAAATTACCCATTTCATGCACATGTACATTTAAACTCAATGCTTGTTGAACCATGATAGCTCACCTTGGCCTCAGGGCTACAGAGCTACAGAGCACCTATTGTCAAATGTTGGATATGGTCGAGGGAAATTAAAGATCATGTTCCACTTCTAAAAATTACTGGTTGTTTTAAACTCTGTAACCGTGTAAGTTGTAGGAATTAAGTTTTTAAAAATACACCGAGGTCAATGGTAAAGTCATTGTTTTTTCCAACTGGATGTTTCTCCTGTCCTGTCATCATGGTTTATGACTTGGTTTGTCTCTGAGGATACATTTCTATAGTTGTGGGCTTGTGGCAAAAATTATAATTATTTTGTAATATATTTGGCAGTATTACCCAAATTAACCAAGACAAGAAGAGCCTTGGAGGCTTAAGAAACATACCCTGACAATTTTACACACAGTGGCCTGCATTACTTTTCGAGAAGATTTGATAATAAGTGTGAAGCTCCTGAAAATGCCTTATAAGCAGCATTATCCATTATCTACAATCTTCCCTATAATGTTATTGTATTGATAAGACATTATAATCAGATATCTTTGAATTAGGTCATTGATGATAAAATGATTGTGAGATACATGTATACTTGTATATTCATATGTAAAGCTGTCAGATCAAAGGTTGTTTACAAGAACTATATTGTAAATATTTACTGGTAGTAGAGCGCGACGTCAAAATTAATACAAGTATTGACATAACGATCCATATAAATTGTTATGGAGATGATTATAAATATTGTTATAACTCAGAAACAAAATAAAAAAGGAATGTGAAAAAGTTACTCATAGGAAAATGAACACTTGAAATTCATATTAATATTAGAATTTAGAAATATAATTCCTCTCAAACCTTAGTTATTTTTTGTTGATAATGTGTAAATGACACAGTTGCAACCAACCTAGCCAATTTTCACGATCATGTCCATCACCGTTTGAAATATGCAAAAGCTAAAATGATGTACGGTACTACGGTATATATATTTCATAATTTAAGCATGATTTACATGGGATATACATCTTTTTTGGTAGGTTTGAAACTTTTAGGTAAATGGCATTTTTAAGAGGAAAATAACATGAAGAAATATTGCCAATTTTGAGAGGAATAACTAGCTATTAAAAGCTGTAGCTTTCATATGATCTTTTCCTGGAATATGTTGAAGTTTTCAGACAATTGCACCAGGATGTAGGGGGTGAGGATAATGCCATTAGGTTCGTAAAAAGGGACGTCAGATTTTAGTCATACTTCCAGAATCGTTTTCATAAATGATGATTGCTTTTGAGTTGAGACGATCCAAACAGGAAACTAGATTAACTAGTCAGACATTGTTAGAATGATGATGTAATCCTAGTAGAAGCACCAGTCATGTCATTGTCCTTTGTTATGATTGTCAGATTTTATTTAGTTTTGAATAGGAAGCAAATCAGAGGTATACAAGCAGGAAAAGTTTGTTCATTTTGTTTTCTCTGTGAGCATATAAGGGTGCCATCATCTAATCATCTTTGTGATGTTAATTTTGGTGTTTTGATTTGTCTCTTTATTTCAAAAAATATTTACATCATTGTCCTTAAAATATAATTGGTTTCAACTTTCAAGGGTCTAGTTATGTAATATTTTTGTCAAAATATTTAATTTCTCATGTATTGCATGGTACATTTTTTACTCTTGATGTTGTGCAATTACTCTAAGACCTCAAATTAATGTTTGCTGTTTGTGTAAATTTAAAAACATTAACAAACAAAAAAAATAAATCTTTTTCCTGCGTTTGATGCTGCATGATGATGCTCATAGCCATAGGTGACATCTCAACATAGATACAGTGTACAACTGTATGTATGATTGTAAAGGGACAAAATTAGGAGTCATTATCTGAAACTTTGTGAGACATTTGATGTAATTTTGTTTGAAGAGCAGGTAGATATGTGTACTGGATAAAGAACAAATCAAGGCTTTCAGGAAAGTCTTGTGCCTACATGTTTTCTGTAAAGCCAAATATAACATATCAAGATTTAGAACAGATTGTAGGATTTTAAAGGTACACACTGTAGCCCCTTCCCCCTACCCCCACTTTACTTGTTACCAGCTGAAACTTTGTGAGACATTTTAGTGTCGGATAAGTTTTGTATGAAGTGGAGTCTGGGAATGGATGTGTGCTGGATTGCTAAAATGTTGAGGCTTTCAGAAAACCAGATGTATAAAGAAGAGAAAAAGACTTTTATGTGTCAGAATCGAAAAGTCTGAAATTTGGCGAGACGGTATTAGTGTCTGATAAGTACTGTTTGAAGAGCAGCAAGCAATGTTATGTGAAGGAAGGATGACATCATAGTCGGGCCAGTGGTTCTAGGCACGAATATCCTGTAGAGGGATGATCTAACGGTATGTTTTCTTGCGTGGGCAGACTCTCCCCTTCAATCTACGTCATATGGGATCATAGATTAGTCGTACAGGCCCCCTTTGAAGACTCATGTTAGTGACCCAATAAACTACACCTGTGTCATGGTAATGATGGTATCTTTTAATCCATGAATTACGCTCCGGCGACAATTGCTCCCCGCTGAATTTCCTACACTTCCTAACTTTAATCATTGACTATTTACAAATGGTCAAATGCTAAACCTAACCCTGATGCTAGATGTACATGTAACTCTAAACTTCACGTAAAACCCAACTGCAACCCTAACCCTTACCGGTAATCATATTCCTATATTTTTGATGAAAAGAGCTCCTAGCAATGTAGCTGGAGCAACTGTTGAGTCACCAGTCTATACACAGTCAGGGCTCCATGTGTTTTCTCTTGGGCTTCAGCCTTCAGAGCAAAATTATGTCATCCATGTATGTACACAAGGTCCATGTTTACATTATTGTATTTTGGAATCTTTGTGTGCTTCAGACCATGGTCCATGTTCAGACCTGCAATCACCTGCCTGCTGTCACCAAGCTTGGCCAGCTGTCATTCAAAGAGCTAATTTTAAGTTTGAAAATACTAACATGACACAATTATTTGAGCTACTTAATCTGCAATCTTATTCTTTTATGATCGATTTTAATTATGCATCAGTTGCACTGTTGCAGAGTTGTTCTTATTTTATTAGTTTGCAAACAATATTCCAGAGTCCAAACTTCCAAAGAGTAATTTAGGATATTGATTTGTATACCTTGTCTTTCAAATTTTGAATTTGCCTACTACATTTCTCTTCTTAAATAATGAGTTTAATTATTCAGCTGCAGAAAATATTTAAGATGTGTTGACTAGATATTTTCAGTTTTCAAAGCGGCCTATAAATATTATCTATATGTTATTAAATCTTAAATTGTAGGTCACACATCTGAACCCATTACTCCGATGGCATTGTTATGAATAGGGAAGTCTACTTTTGTTTTATGCCATATCCTGTCATATTCATGGGAAGAGAACTGATATGTTCCGGGTTGACTGTGAATGACACCTGAGAAAGCATAAGTTTAATTACTCATACATCAACTAAAATCCGACTTAAAGATAATACAAAGTTTTGGTATGGGGTCATGAATTTGGTTCAACTGAAAATATTTGAAGCATATGCGATCCTACAATATTCAGTGATCGTTGTCGCGGTTGAAATCGAGTCTAAGGTTATGAAATTGTAAATAATAAACTCTTTATGTTGTATAGCTCCCTCTCAAGGTCAAGATATCACTTAAGCTATGAAACAATGCTTCTTGACTGAAATCAACTGATTAGCTATTCCCGTTTGGAAATTATATATGACAACTACATATTCTGAGATTTTCATGATCGCAGCTACCATTTTACGGCCGTAGGTGCTATTAGAAATTACTCAAAATTTACCTGGAGCACCGTTAAATTTTTATATTCAATTTTTCTCGAAAGCAGAAGTGTTTCAGGGGCTAACTTTTCTAGTGCTTATAATACATCCACAGGGGCATCCAAATATACCAAAATTGTAAAGAATCACTATCCACCCAATTTTCAAAATTTCCCAAAACTTTGTATTACCTTTAATCTGACATTACATAATATTCTCTCCCCTTGTCTCCTCTCTGTCTGCCTACTTTTACATTGTTCCTGTATGACTGTTGATGTGGAAGGATTAAGTCAACCTTTATCTTCCACCTTTCAGATTTCTGTAGGCGGTATTATAGGCTAATGATTACGGACATTCCAATACATGATTAGTTTTAAAGCCATGGATTCATGAAGAAACAAATATCAACAACAAGATCAAAAATATAATGGGCCTACATGTATACACCCCCTCAAATGAATAGTCAGCTCTGTTTGGTTATTTTGAACGAATTTTAATGTGACGTACCAGTGAAAAAAAATACATGGGGGCTCCGGGCGAATTTGCCCCCGAAATGCCCAGAAGAGCCCAGAAGAGCCCCCAAAAATCAGAAAAGAGCCCCCGTAAATTTGCATAGAGTTCAATGCAAAACAAATTTTAGAGTGTTATTTTTATGCAGGCAAGCTTGAAAAGTAGCCCCCCCCCAATTTTGTTTTCCCTGCGACGTACTGCTTGTACAGGAAATCATCTGTTTGGAGCCATGAAGTTATAACAGCGCTTTGTTTTCTTTATGTTTTTAACACAATCACAGAGCGTGTTAATGCCAAT